TTAAATCTTACCATGTTGTAGGAGGCGGATCCTCTGGGGCCGTCGAATCCACTGAGCTTACGCGGTTCAGGGAAGGGGATACGCTGGAGCTTATGCTTCTCAACCAGCTGGGTATTTATGAGAGCGTAGTGAAGGAAACCACTGTCTACCATTGCTCGTACGTTGACTAAGCTATTTACAATGGCAGGGACCATGATCGCGTCCGCTTGCATCTTCTGCTCGAACCTCCAGCTAGCTTTTTGCTCCTTGAGCTCTCGTCCGCGTTTTAGGGCGAGAGCTCTTCTTTTCCCTGTTCCTGCTTATCCGCGGACGACACAGCATTCACGCGTGCGGGGGATCGACTCGGGAGGACCGCGTTTGGGCACTGATTCGCGAAGTGCCCTGGCTTGTCGCAGCGTATGCAGACTCCTCTGGCGATTCGGTCGGCGGCGTCCTTGCCCGAGACGTTGGGAACTCTTGGGCGTCCGGCATTCACGTGAGGGATCCAGTCCATTGGCTCTGGCTCGGATGCGGGAGTTGTCGCGGAGCGATTTGGAACGTACGCGTTCGTTCGGCGGAATCCTTTGCGGTTCTGAAACGCGCGGAATTGGGACAGGTCGTTATCGAGTAGACGGAGGTCCGCGCAGTATTCGCTGTACGTTGAGGGCCTCGGGCGCCCTACGCTTCGGTTATGCAACTGGAAGTTCAAATTCTTGAACAGCATGTTGATCTTGATGACGTCGTCCCAGTTCTGCCCGCCTGCTTCCAAGAGCTTGCGATCGAATTCAGGCAGGTAGGTCGCCAACGGGGTGTCCTTCTGACGAGTTTCATTTAGCCAGTCTAACGCCTTGGCTTGAAGCGTAGGATCAAGAAAGAGGGCGTCAAGTTGTCGGAAGACCAACTCTGGCGTACGCTGGTTGTCTGGGCAGTGGCTCATCCAGGGTTGGAATTTCGCTAACGCGTCGCCATCTAACCTGCTGTGGATATACCATGCTTGGTTCGATAGTGAGCCTATCGCTTGGCCATCGATGTCCAACTTGGCGTTCGCTTTTGACTTCCACGCAAGGTATAATGCTAGGTCTCCTGCGTACTTGTCGAGGATTGGGAGCTTCTCTCTCGGGGGCTTCTCGTGAGGTGCGGGCGTAGGGGGAACAGTGAACGTAGGCGTGCTCATCTCAGCGAGCCGTCGTTGTAGCTCAGCCATCTGCAGCGCTTGCTGCTGGAGGATGCTTCGTAGGTCTAGATTATCGTCCGCCGCGTTCGAATGCGGCGGGTGCTCGTAGGTTTGTTGGTAACTCATTTCGGTATCTAAAGACATGTGATTCTAGGGGACGGGATATTCGTAGGCACTCGGGCCCTCGCGAACGCTATTCGCAGCGTTGCGGCGCTAAGCTTATCAAGCTTCTTCGTGAACGCTATTCGCAGCGTTACGGTTCGTAGGCACTCGGGCCTCTTCGTGAGACAGTCGATTGTGTCACGGACGCTTAGGCTCGACGGCCTATGTATCTAATGATGAGGGCACTCGGACCCAACAAGGAACTTATATAACGACTAGGCACTCGGGCCTTTTTTTTTTTTTTTTTTTTTTTTTTTAATGTAATCGACGCGCTCGGGCGTAGGAACTGGTAATGAGGCACTCGGGCCTTAAATGTAATCGACGCACTCGGGCGTAGGAACTAATAACTAGGCACTCGGGCCTTAAACGCAGATGAATCGATTCGTAATGTAGCGGGCGTGCCACCGATTAAGCAGATGTTACCGATGTTGCAGATTAAACCGTTCGTACCGCCTGCGCAGTTCGTACGATCCGTTCCAACGGCAATATCAACGGACTTGACACTATCCTGATAACAGTTTACGAATCGATTAAGGAAAGAAAGAGAAAGAAGATCAGAAGAAGGGGTCGTACGAGGGGGTTCTTATAGGCAAGGGGATCGGAGCGGAAGAAATATCGGAGGTCGCGCTCTGGGGGAGCGCGGGGCGGAAGAATCGTTAGGGTGTTAAGATGTGCGCGATTGTGGGGCGGAATCGCGAGGAGGCGTGGGAGAACTTCATGAGCGCGCGTGAGCACGTGAGCGCGCGGTAGGGGGTTGGTTGCGTAAGTTAACTACCAACGGGTGCTAACCCGTCACAATAATCAATCTTATCTGTAATAAGTGTCAATGAATATAATATATATCAGAGATTCTATAATACAGAGAGATTCAATGAGTTTGTATATGTTCAGATAGGTAAGATAAAGAAATAAGAATTGATTATAATTAAGAAAATAAGCTTTCTTGATTCTAAGAGTAATAAATGTGTTTCTGCAGAGAAGCTGATATTGAACTTTTATTCTTACTCTCATATTCTTCTGATTATAATTCTATAGAGAAGTCATTTCATACATTGAAAGAATGGATTAGAAGATACAGATGTCAGTTAGAGAATCAGTTTGATAAAGATTTTGAAGTCTTCTTGCATCATACAGTTGAGAACTTTATAAAAGAAGAAGATGTAAGAGGATATTTCAGATCTGCTCATATAGAATAGTATTGTAAAATCTAGAAAGATTCAGATTACAATTCAATTATAATGATATATAATATCTAAGTTTCAAATTCAGAAGCAGAAGCAGTATGAGATCTGCTGTCATTACTACAAACAGTAGATAAAGACAATTTAATCTCCTTCAATCATGATTGTTAGATAGAACTCTTTAACTCATCTCTTATTATCAAGAATATATCCATTTCAATATTCAACTGAACCATCTACTCATTTATCATTGTCTGTATATAATTCAGTTCAAATTCTTCATTCTGAATAATACTCTTTGCAGTTAAAAGAGCTTCTGCTCTTCAAGATCTCTCTATCATCAATCAGTTGAAGAACTCATCAATAAACAAATCCATATATTCATCAAACTAAGGAATTGAACTACTTCAAATAGAAGACAGATTTGAATTCAACAGCAGATTTGAATTCAACAGCAGATTTGAATTCAACAGCAGATTTAAATTTAACAGCAGATTTGAATTCAATAATAAGTTTGAATTCAGTTCTTTCATATCTCTCATTTCTTTCATCATATATTTCATCACCATCACATTGATTATCTTACTTGAAGACATAATATTAGATGAAGAAGAAGTTGAGAAAGAAAAGATAACTGCTGACATCTGAGATGTCTGTATAGAAGAATTAGAAGCAGAGATAGATTCACTTTTTCATTTCTTCTTCTTCTTTCTATTCATTAATCTTTTTATCATCTTTCTTGACAGATTTTTAACTGTTGTATGTCCACATTCAACATCATCTATTCAATTGACAATCTCACTACTCAGAAGTTGAATATAAGTATCATCAAAAGTCATTCAACAAGTGCTCTGCTCAAAGTTATAACAATTCATTTTTTGACAACATCAGTGAACAGTTATCTCACATTCAATCCACAAAGAATTATACTTATTTGATCATCAATTTCAAGCCTTCTTCAGCTGCTGACTAGTGATCATGAATCTTATATATATAGACAGCAGCTTTTCATCATCAGATATTTCATAAATTCAAGAAGATTTGACAGAACAATAGAGAGAGGATTTGATAGATAGTGAGATTACTTTTTTTTTGATATCTAATACTCTTTTTGATATCAATGTCTGAGTTGTTAATTGTGAATCCAACACTTCAATGAAAGCTGCAGAATCATATATTACAGAGATATTTGAGAATAGAGTTGAGATATCAAGAAGATTAAAAGAGATGGTAATTTCAATGTTAAATCCACTCATCTTCTTCTTATATAACTTCTTTAAAAGAGTGATAATCTCTCTTCAATCTGTCTTCTTCTCAAGAATGATTTTGATTGAAGATTCATATTTGTTTGATGAGATGACTGCTATACAATTTACAATTTCTATCTTCTTACAGTTCTGCTTTATAACATACTCTTCAGCTATTCTTTTTACAGTATATTGAATACAATAGAAGCTGACAGTCATATCATTTATTGTGACATTTCATAACTTGATCTTTATAGACTTCTTTATCTTATTGATAATCATCTGTTCATACAGTCTGAATAAGATCTCAGACTCAGAAATAGATATTCACAGAAATCAAGAATCTTCTGACTGTGTCTCCTTCTTCTCCTTCTTCTTCTTCTTCTCATTATCAGTTGAATTCTTGTCATTATTCAGAATATCCAGAACAGACAGTTTGAGCAGATAAAGATACAGAGTAGTTGAAGTTCTTTTACAAACTTGCAAGGCAGTAGAACAGTGAGTGTTGCAGAGCATATTGACAGATTTGATGATAAAGATGCATATTTGATGATAAAGGTGCATATTTGAATGAATTGGATGATATTTGAATGATTCTAGAGATATGTGGATATTTTGGTTATTTTTGTGGTGTTTTGCTACTACTTTTCAGGGGGTGGCAGAAAATTCTGTTTTCGCAAGCTTTACGTCCGCCACAATAGTTGATGGTAGGAGAGTAACAACTTATCCTCCATGTGGGAGAAATACGTCGAAATGTATGTTTAACGACTGCGGCGGGCCATCTGAGGCACTTATTTACTGGTATTTGACTGCTGGCCACATTCACACGCAGGTTTATGCCATTTTCGCAGTCCCGCAGTAGTCACATATTAACTATGGCATCCTCCTTTTCCACCACAGTATGGCGCCTCTCCCAGCCCGGGCTTGGAGAAGCGAACATGGTTGAATGGTTACATAACATACTACTAACTTAGTAGTTTGCTGTTTTTCGCTTGGAAGAATGCGATTCGATATCTCACAGTAGTTACACGGGGAGAACTTCAACCTGCGTGCGCTGGAGTATACACCAGATATACATATCGTACGGGATGACCATCACGCTGGACGGAACAGTACGATTAAGTTTGTGACAACACCCTTGATCATCCACAAACGTTCGAACCTACAAGTTGAGCTAAAATTGACAGCCCGACAAGGAGGTAGAAACAGCAACTAGACCAAAGACGTAGTTATGGGGCACTCGTACGCCATTCAAACATGAATGGCCCAGCCGAGGCGACACTACTCTGTAATGCCATCGAGACACCGGATAAGTTTGCGCCAGAGCGCATGCGTGCTTCGCAGGTATGGAATCGATTGACCCAGCTATTCTGGTTTTATTATCCTTTGTTGCTCACCGGCTGATTGCAATGTTCACAGCAATGGATGTGGATTGGGTATAATATTCATTGGGGTGCAAGGTGGGAATAGTGGTCCTGGGTTCGGAACCCTTCTTTTCCCCCCTAGAAAATCAGAAACGGCAACAGGGGGCAACAAGGCACGTAGCAGCGAATAATGGAACAAATCTTGCTCTTGCTCAATGGCCCACAGCAGCTACAGTTTGGAAATGACTGGATCGACGAAGAGTTTGTCTCGAATCATGTGGTGGGGATAGTTGCCCTTCGTAAGGTCGTGGATAAGTATACTCCCGATTATGTGGAAAAGATTGCTGGCGTCCCTATGGCACAACTGCAAGAGACTGTGAAAAATTGTTGGAATGACTCCTTCTCTGCCGTTTACCACCCTTCAAGGTGTTTATCAGTCATATCAGTTCCACTGCCCGCACCTGCCAGATCAATACCATCAGCCTCCCGCGACAAAAGATTGGTAAACCTGGTGGTGAGATCCTCCAGATGATGGGACAGCTCACAGCCTAGAGCAACCGTGAAACTGGTTGTGATGGAGAGTTCCTTAGGCTTTCGGGAATTTTCGAATTCTAAACATGTAGGAAATTGCTGATATTTGGAACATCGACACGATCAAGATGCCTCACTGGAACAAGCAACTCACATACAGAACAAGCTTAGTTACATTGAAGGATGGGTCAGTTGAGATGTTCTGGATTTCTCGGACCAACCCACTTGTTGGTTAGTCTTCCGAATTTGCACAGGATTCGGAATTTATCATCTAAACCAGACTTATTGGCTGTGAGGAAGGATTTCTTCCCTGACAGAAAAACTGCATCTCTTTCGAATGTGGTTCTCCCAGCTGCTCCTTCAATAGGGAAAGAAGACTGAATGCCTCACTAACGCTGATCGGACTATGCATCCATCTTACAAAGCAGTGGACCCTCCTGGCGAAACCAAGTCCGACTTGGAGATCTGGTTTGACTTGGCAAGGAGAACGGAGGTTAAAACATGGACGGAGAACCGTTGATTCCATACACGCATCCTGAAGAGGTATTTGAAGCGTGGGAAACGGGCTTTCAGCCGGTCGTCCACCGGACTGTTGCCCGTTGCCATATGAGAAATTGAACTGGCGGGTCAGGGATCCAGTGGCCATACGCGGCAGAGTATCTTTATGGCAAGGAACGTTTGTTCGAAGATGGCAAATACTTCACAGACGCGGACTACTGCGAGTCGTTCAGACATGGTCTGGAGACTTGCGTACCCTGCACGAAACAACTGTACATGGAAATGGGCCCTGCTGATGGAGCAATTTTGCACACAGCTCGTTGCAAACCGCCCATGGAGGCGGTAGACGATCATTAGTTGTTGGATGTGGTACTTCAGCCAGCTGGCATGGCCATGTGGGATAAAGAGTTTGTGGGGGGGCGGTGTCGTTTGCTCAGAGCGGAATTCATATTAAGGTTAAGAGTCTCCCTCCAGACCCGCTGATGCCAATGGCGATGCAGGGAGATCTGCATCTGCCCGAGTATGGTATGGCCTGGCAGATTCGCGAGGGGAATTAATGATGCTTGTAGTTGGTTTGTTCGGATTCTGTTTCGCAGATGTGCGAAATGGAGATCAATAATTGTTTGCTGGCAAAATCCGAGGAGTGAACGGGACGGGACGAGCGCAAGATTGGATCCTCCTTGCTTGCCAAATAGAATACGTCATGAAAGGGCGTTCTACTTGCTGTGTAGTGTATATATGATTAGTGGGCAACAATCGATCTTCCTTGCTCAACAATGTGGGCCTGACGGTTAGATTCCAAGGCGTGAAATTGCGGGTTTAACAGCAGAAATGAAGTTTGAGTAGAGTAGTTAGGAACTATTTAAAAAGAGATCAGTTAGCTAATTCGATAAGAAAATCACATCGAAATCCTAGATCATATTGAGATATCATTGTCCGTTCCACACATCCTTTTTACACTTTCCGTCCCAATTGCACTTCCAGTAGGCTCAGCAAGCGTCACACAATTCACAATCAAAGAGGCTATCTAGCCCACCGTGTCTCCAAGAGAAGAAAAAAAAAAAACAAATCCCTAAATAATTCCTGCCACATTTGACATACATTCCATTCCATACAGCATATCTTGAGTCCTTGGTTTCCATCACATAACAGGCAAGCGAGGCTTTTGAGGATGTCGTGACCCCAGAAAAGACCATCAAAATCGAACAAAATCCAAGTGTTTTCCCGGGTGAGAAATCTAGCCTTTGCGTCGGTATTTCATTATATGTAATGTACCACCAGAGACCCTTGGCCTATTCAAAACCGTAGACAGGATTTCCCATCTATAAGCGAACAGTTACAAAGATTAGCTAGCGTTGAGATTTCGTTCTAGGGATGCAAGCTTCCTGGTCGCTCTCTTGGTGGGGAGGGGGAAGGCTGGGGTGTGGATGGGATGGAGAAAGAGAGGGAGACGAGAGAGGATGGTTCAAAAAGGAGCCACCGGAATAACACAAATTCATGAAATCACGGGAATAACGAGAAAAGAAAAGAAAATGGGTGACTTACGCCATGCAATATGAACACAACCTTTCATGGACAAAGGAGAGCATAGTTGATTAGTCGTCGAACATAGAGCGGGTAGCATCAAACGTAGCGCGCAATCCAGCGTAATCGTCCAATTGCTCATATGCTCTGGTTTGCGAAGGCATTTCATATAAAATGAGAAGAATAACTCACATCACGAGTGGTAACAGTCTGGAATATTAAGGAAGATATGGGTTTTTTAGTCAGCTTCAGTCTATTTTTTCTCCCTCATCCTCATCACATGCAAGGAGAAATGAGAGCAAAAACTAGAGAATAGAAAAGAAGGGGGGAAATGAATACCTTGCGCTCTCTATTGGGATATTTCGAGCCTTCAAGCAAATTGACGAGTCTCCGGATGATCTTGAAGTGAGTTCCGGAAAACAAAATAAACGAGCATTAGCAAAGCACACTGTTTATACTGCCCCGAACGCCCCCCCTTTTTCGTTTCCTTGCACCTCAAGGACTTGGCAGCAAGATGTAGAAGAGAGGTATGCTTAAGAGACAAAGGGAATCATCAACAAAGGTGAAAGTATCAATCGAACACAAACATACCTCCCGCAGACGCTCGAGAACCACGGACCGGACGGTATCGTAAATGTCCTTCTGAATGCGAATTACGCCACCGCGGCGGGCAAGACGACTGCGCGTGGGATTAGAAAGGCGGAATAGGAACAGCACTTGCACCTTTTTATCCAAAAACAAGAGGGGCAGTGTGTCATTTGGAATAAGCCTTGAGCGTAGAGGGCATTTTATCCCGTAGTATAGCCAAAATCTCCCCATTTGTTGGCCTTTAAATTAGGGGATTATCCAGGCACGGAAGAAAAGGTGTTGGTTCCAGGGGATTTTGATAATGGCCGACTTTGAAATGCAAAAGTCCGAGACATCTGGGGTTTTTATAGACGTACCGGATAGTAGGTTTGGCTATGATAAAGAAGGCGCTGGCGTTAGTTTACGATCAATCCCCAGATACATAATGTCCTATGGCGGGCGTCCCATTCTTCTATCAATTCAAGGAGGCCGCAGAAACTGCCGAATGACAGAGGCAATATAATACTTACTAATGCCCATGATATTATCTCTCAGACGCTTCCTGGGAGTCGAAAATAGCAATATGGGAAGTCAGTTTCTTCCCTGGTCTTATGTAGTCATACAAACCCGCCATCCGCAAATCCATGGCAGAGGGAATAATATGCCCGGAAACAAGACAGCCTGGAACACGTAGGATGGACAATGAACAATCCCAGAAATGATGTGATGCTATTGGAAATGCATCAACTCACCTGTGCCGTTTCGGAACAAATTTGGCGACATTGGATAAGTTGCGGTTGTGGCAGGAGTTGATGGTCTCCATTTGTTTATTTTTAATTTTTATGCCTCGCCTTGACTGTTTATAGCTGGTTTTGTATCGCCAGATGACTTTGGAGAGATTCCTCTTGACTTCGGAACTGTGAGATGGAAACTTGGAAGATGAAGCGCTGTGGGCAGGATGGGACGAGAGGGATTGATATTTGGTTTTTGCTGTTGGAGAGAAGCGAATAGCTCTTGGATGAGATAAACCGGGTATTTTAGAAGATATGTAAAGTAGCCAGTGCTTTTTGGTCTGATGTGTTGTGTTGATATGTGTTGAAGATACGAATGTGTTTCTATGAGTGAATCGAAGAGGGGGAAAGGGGGTTGGTAGAGCAGTGAAGAGATGGGTATGCTCTAACAGGCAATGTGTTAACCATTCCCATCTCAATAAACTTCAAGTCGGAAAGGGGAACAAATAAAATAAGAATAAAATAACAAAAAAAAAATTGTAGTTGGGAATCCGACACTCTAGACGGAAGAGCGGAAGTGACACTGTCCGGTGTTATTCGATTTCATTATAAATACGATTATGATGGGAATAAGCGACGATTTGCAAACTCCTTATCGAAGTAACATAAAAACAAACAGGTGATCGTTCGCATGTGTATAGATAAGGTTTTAGGCGTTGCATGCATGAGAGGTGGTTCAAAAGAAAGTATTAAATAAAAATAGAAGAGGGAACGAGCGATTAAAAATAAAAAGGCAAAGAAAAAAAGCATCCCAACGCCAATTCACGGGTCAACCATGATAATGACAGAGCTCTTCGTTTGTGATTACATTATGAAAGAAGGGAGAGAAAATCTGGGCAGATCTAAGAGATGAAAGTTGCCTCCGAATAGAGTGTGCCTTGCTCTGTATCCTGAATGTCCCCGACGCGAATATTCAGGGAAAGCTTCTCTTGAGGCGAAAACTATGGAGTGATATTAACATCAAGATCCCATTACACGCAGTGAGCCATTATCTCTCGCTTACCTGATAAATGTATGGTTTTGTTCCAGCAACACTTCCGACAATGGATTTTATAAAGCCCGGAACCTCTGCCATAACATCAACACGATCAAGGCGTTCGCCCAAAGAGCCCTCCAAGACTGCGTCGACAGCCTTGCCGTCCTTGGATTTCCCATCCCAGGTGAACTTAATCGACTTGGGTTCCGGCCAGTCGTTGTAGGTATCTTCGGCGGATTCGACATGGATCGCAGGCTTGACTGGCCCTGCAACAACGATTTCACCGTCCTTTGCAATGCCACCAACGCTCACAATGGTGGAGCCGTATGAAGGAGGTGTGGTGTACTCCATGAACACCGCCGAGTACGTTGGGGATTGGAAAGTTCCAAAATTCCACCGAGCGGCTGCAAAAAAGCATTAACCTTTATACCGTGCGTATAAAAACCCACATCAATCAACGGCTTCTCATTAAGACAAAGAACATACCAAGGTGATGAGGCTTCATGCCTTGGAGGGCATGAATGAACAGGCCATGACCTTTGAAATCAATTTCCCTCTCCGGCGTAACAATGGTACCCTCGACTGTACAGCGTGGCCAAAACACATGACGCATGCTCCCCCACGGATTTTCCGGATCGGTGCCAAAGTTCGAGGTGCCATTCTGTCCAACCGCGAAACCCGGCGCGGCTCGTTTCAAATTGATATTGACGAGGCTGTCCTCATTAATGGCTGATTTGATGGAGTATGTATCACCCTCAGCATTGAGCGTGAGGGCGATGTTGTCCCCGCCAAATGAGAGCATGTCTTCATCGAACATATAATTATGAACAGAGTCACTGCACCATATATGCGGTGATTTGCCGTCCGTTCCGTAGATCTTGGAATTGAAATGGCAGGTCGTGTGGAGTCCGCTGTGAATCGAAATGACAACATGTATATGATGGAAATAGCTTAGCAAATCTGTTTCCAATAGGGACGCAAAAGCAAAATAAACATAACAAGTAAAAGAGCATCAGCATCTCCCCCCGAAAGTTTGCTCACGCGACATTGCTATAGATAACCTGGAGCATAGCAAGCTCCCCACTATCAGAAAAGAGATAGAAGGTCTGAGTCTCAACGCAAGTAGACTGCATCGCCCTCCATCGCAAATCATCCTTCGTTAACTCCCGGTATGGGGTTTCCAACGCCTGTGCCTGCGCTGTTACTGACTGGATGGCCTGTGGGCCATATATGGGCTCCTGAGTCCCCGCAACATTGGCCAAGCTAAAGCAGGTAGTACAAAGTAAGCAATAGGCATAACGCTGGGTACAACTAACGGGGATCGAAGCTGCACCTACGTTTGTTTGAACCAGTTCATGATGTGAGAGAAATGGAGCTGATCTAGGAGGAGGGATAAGAGAAATACTAGGAAGAGGATGAGGAGGAAGTTGTTGGAAGCAAAACAGGTAGGTATAACTTCCCGCCGGAGAAACCAGAGCCCCGGGACTATGCTAGATACGGCAAGCGAGCTCCGACGACGTGGCAATGGCAAATTCAGCAGCAGCAGCAGCAAGCAGCTAGAGATTGTCTTTGAGGAGCAAGAAAGCACATATAAAGATAAAGACAGACGAGAGAGGAAGAAGGGACAGCTGCGTAATGCTTAGTCATCCCTCTGCGGCTAAGTTTACGGCGGTATTTTGACGCGGCTATATTAAGCGGGCGCTAATTCGGCTTATCCTTGTAAATGGATCTGCAGCGCAAAAATTGAAGAAAGCCGACACCAGGCCTCACAAATCTCGCGGTTTCAACTTGTGAAAACTTCCTCCCATCAACTACTTGCCACATTAGTATTCGCCCTTGTCTTTCTTTCCCTTTGGCCCTGTCCTCCCTCCTCCCACAATCCATTCACAATGGCCCAGAAAGCCGCTGCAAAGGAGCTGATTGTCAAGCTCATCGTGGGAGCGGGACAGGCCAGCCCGAGTCCCCCCGTCGGCCCCGCACTCGGAAGCAAAGGCGTGAAGAGTATGGATTTCTGCAAGGTATATCCTATTACAGCTATTCGTCAATTGGTTGCTGTCGCCGCTGTAAACTGACTTCACAATGAACTGTTAAGGAATTCAACGCTCGCACTGCCCACATCGAAACCGGAACTCCAATCCCCGCCCTCATCACCATCCGTCCTGATCGATCCTTTACCTTCGATCTACGGACCCCGACCACATCCTGGCTGTTGCTCAAAGCAGCGGGCGTCGAGATACGCAAGGGCCGACTTCGGGGCACGGAGAACCCGGGCAAGGACTTTATCGGCAAGGTGTCGCTGAAACACGTGTATGAGATTGCAAAAATCAAGCAATCCGAGGTCCGCTTGTCTGGGGTAAGCATACAGTCGCTGTGCAAGAGCGTTATCGCGCAGGCAAAGACGGTTGGCATCGAGGTTGTCCCTTGAGCCTTCTAAAAGTTTTTTAGCTTTGTTTTCGTGAGCATATCAGGGGTGAACTTCATCTTGATCTCCCCTTTCCAGTTTTTGGGATGGCATAAATTTTGATGGCGTTCTTTGGGGAGGATGGCTTCTTTTATTTTATTTTCTTATGTTTCTATGCATTATTATTTGGATCATAATACCATCCAAGCGAAGCGATTGCATTTTTCTTCTGCTGCGACTGAACAGGAAATAACCACCCCTACCGGTTTATATTGCGTGTATTATATAGGATGATTTAGGCGCTCAATTCTTCATTCAATTAATGCTAACGATAAGAAGGCTTTTTTTTGTGAGATACCACTATGTGCAGGGAGTGCTAGTATTTAGTTGAGGAGCTTGACTTCTAGTAGTTACTCAGAAAATCCTCAGATGTTGTCCTTGATATGTAACACGAGCACAGACACCCGGCAAATACTCCGGGGAATAACACTTGTAGGTGTAAGTATGTACTCTGTACTACTGTGTTAAATGCTGTGCCTGTTTCTAAATTTATAGAGAGAACAGATTTAAGTTCATCGCAAGTGGCTAAGAAATTGCCCTGAGCCACTGGTTTGTCCGAGTCTGTTATAAATCGCTGCCAACAGCCTCAGCCCACGAAGCTATTTTTTCCAGTAACCGTGGCGTTCCGGAAAATTTCATATCTCCGTCCATCAGATCTGTAGCTCAGACCCTGTTGCCAGCAAGCGTTGTCTAGCCTGCAGAGTGGGTATCGCATCGACAATTTTAGTGTTCGGCTTAACTAAGTGACAATTGTGACTCCGTCGTCGTCCGCCATCTGTCTCCTCCATCCCACCTCTTAACCAAGCCTGCTCAGGCAACAACCACCGCCCCGCTCACTTTCGTTGCTTCGCGCCGTCGGGCGCGTCACCAGCAGCACATCCTCCCATTGCCGCACGCACGCAGCCTCTTGTTTCTGAAACTCAACTGTTTGTCTGCAGAGACTGCCAACTCCCCAGTTCAGCCACATCATCACCCTCCTATCCTGTTTGCAAACGAAAAAAACCCTAAAAAAGTTTCCGGTTTGCCGTCATCATCGCCAGTCCCGATAGCTCTCCCGATAGCACCAATCGAGGGGTAATGTGTCTCGAAGGCTCCTGTTCCTCTTCCTACACACTCTCTGCCGCTGTTGATGGCCATGGCTTCCGAATCCCCGCAGTACGAAGGTACGTCTGACACAACGTAGAAAAAAGAAATAGCAAAAGCAACAAACAAGGAAAAGAGAAACGAGAAAAGCAATCCTTACCTTGATGGCCCCTTCCTCCCACCCACATAAAGGGTGCACGGAGTTGATATTTGCTGACTTCTGCTTGTCTTTACAGACTCTCCACCTTCGGATAACGATAATCAATCGCCTCTTCAGCAAAACCAGCAGCAGCAGGAGCAGCATCAACCAATTATCTCTGCCATGGCGAACCATCCGAATTCCCGGCCACCTTCCCAGCAAGGTCCGCAATCAGTTCGCTTTGCTTCTGTAAACCAGGAGATCGAACCTGCGTTCTCCATTCACGAAAGTAACGAGCCTGCTAATACTATCCCCCGGATGAAAGACGAGATACAATCCCTTGCAATACAAATACAAAAGTCCAAGCTACAGGAAGCCCGGTTGCAAAACTTCTCTTTTGATCCCGTTTCCCTTCCCCCCTCAAGGGTACGTGCTGCCTATCTTTATTCCCTTCCCCCTTCCTCCCCTATTTTACCCATGTATTTTCTATTCTTTCTTTCTTTTTCACTCGTTCATTTGTTGTTGGGACTTGTTTTCTTTTCCGTTTTTTCGTCCAGAGCAACTGTTGGTTGGCTCTCTTATATTGGTTCTACGCTGTTTTTATACCCCCAGGTTTCACTTGTTAACAAAAACGTGTTTCAGGTTCCCTCTAAAGAATCCGGCAGTATTAGGAGCTCTCGGGATCCTAATAGATCTAACCCGACGTCCCCTCCTATATCAGGGGCTCAGTCCCCGTTACTTACCCCTACCGGCTCTGGAAGCCGTGAAGGCAAGCGGGGAGATCACGTTGACTATAGAGATGGGATCGGAGTGTCAGAACAGTCCGAAATCACTCCACAGACATCTCTATCAAATGACGCGTCGGGAAAAGGATACGATTCTGCCGGGGCTGGATCCCGCCCTTCGACCTCTTCAGAACTTTCCTCGACCAAGAATCCAGACGTTACCGCCGCAGATAGCGGGAGACAACCTCGTGCCCACAGATCACAATTTTACCTAGCCCGGTCTTACGAAACTGATTCTCGCGAACCAAGCCCGGCGGCACCCCAGAAACATGAACCAAGCTGGAGTACACCCGCTTCAGGGGCCACTACCCCAGCCGGAGATCAAAATGACCCTTACTCTCGAACCCGTAGACCACCCCAACCTAAGAGCCTTTCCCAGATTGATCCGCGATTCGTTTTTGCTAGTGTAGATGTCAAGCGCCGGGGGAACCAGTCGCGATCTCCTGGGCCTATACCTCGATCAGCCAGTGGGGGTGATCTGAAGGGCTATGAAAAACGAGGCGTTTTTTTCACTGGAAGAAAGGACAGCCGTCTGGGTGATTCGAGCGGGTTACACGAAGGCAAAAGTTCCGGGTCAATGTCGGAACTGAAGCGCTTTTTCCGGATGGGCAATAAACCCAAACGTAGTGGTTCGCCTGCGTCTGCCTTTTCGAGAAAGGAGTCTGCAAAACCAAAACATCCTCAGTTCCAGCCGGCGAGCGTATCTGTACCTTTTGCGGATGATCATGGCCTCCAGTCCAAATATGGAAAGTTAGGCAGAGTTTTAGGCTCCGGCGCAGGTGGTTCAGTTCGGTTGCTGAAACGTAATTCGGATGGTGTCACGTTTGCTGTTAAACAATTCCGAGATCGCCATTCATGGGAGAGTGAAAAGGATTACTCAAAAAAGGTGACAGCGGAGTTTTGCATCGGATCAACATTGCACCATGGCAATATAATTGAGACCATGGATATCATCAACGAGGGCGGACGGTGGTATGAAGTCATGGAGTTCGCTCCATACGACCTTTTTGCGATTGTCATGACAGGAAAAATGACGAAGGAAGAAATTGCGTGCTCATTTTTACAGATTCTCAATGGCGTTGCTTATTTGCATGGGATGGGTCTCGCACATCGGGACTTAAAATTAGACAATGTTGTTGTCAACGACCAAGGGATCATGAAACTGATTGATTTTGGGAGTGCTGTTGTTTTCAGATACCCATTTGAGAGCGACATTGTGCTCGCAACTGGTAGGCTACCCTCAACGGGATGATGCATGGCTTCTTCTCCTCTACCTCTTTCATTCTGCTCTCGCTAACAAAGTACAAATTTAGGAGTTGTCGGCTCCGATCCGTACTTGGCGCCTGAAGTTTACGATGAGAAGCGCTACGATCCGCGTCCTACAGATTTATGGTCATTAGCGATAATTTTCTGTTGCATGTCGCTACGTCGATTCCCGTGGAAACAACCACGCATGACCGACAATTCCTTCAAGTTGTTTGCCTCACCCCCCAACCATCAGCATTCTGAATCCGAGTCGAGAACCCTTCTAAAAGCCCGCCCAAGGTCAACACCTGATCTCCCCAGCATCGTTGGTGCAGCCAACAAACAACCCCCCTTTGAGGATAAAAGAAGTGATGGTGCTCGTTCCTCGAGTCACCATCGCCATCACTCTCGGTCGGCGTCGAGATCCCGATTACCACTGAGTGTTGAAAACGCGGCCAACACGAATGCCAAGGATGGTGAAAACGAACCGAAAAACGAGACTGTTTCATCTCAATCATCTTCCCAAGTGGTCCAGACGGGTCAGCGTCAAGAGGTTATCAAGGGCCCATGGCGCCTTCTACGTATTTTGCCCCGGGAAACGCGACCCTTGATCGCCCACATGCTCAAACTTAACCCTCGAGAGCGCGCAACGCTAGAGGATGTTCTAGCAGACTCGTGGGTTCGAAGTTGTCAAGTTTGCTATCAAAAAGAAAACGGTACTGTGGTTCACGCAGCCAATCATACGCATGTCTTGGAGCCGCCGTCATCGGCTCAGCCTCCAGCAAACAGCAACAAAAAAGACAAGCCCTAGCTAGTCTCGAGCCTCCCTCATTGTTGAGTTAAGGAGTGATTTTATATTGTTTTGTTTTTGCCCGGGTTTTCACCCAGCACATCGATCTATCCTCATAAAAATAGATGGCGAGGGGTGAGTACATAATTTGTTACGCCCCGATATCAAGCCATGCCCGCATACAAAAACCGAGTAACTCCGACACTTCCACCTTCCACGTCCAACCCCACCCCCGCATCCCTCCACAACACCCTCCAACCTAGGACAAGAAACGACAAACAAAAGAGTTCGATACATGTGTGTCTTCACTTTCTTCCAACTGACTAGTTCACTACCCCTAATCTACTGACGTTTTTTTTTTTTTTTTTTTTGGTTCCTGTTTTTTACATCCCTGCATATTTTACATTGATAGATTGACTCAACCTTTTTCTCTTGTTTCCCTGAACTATTTCTGTCTCCGACTCATGAGTATTTTATCTTCATCGTCTTAAACATTCATCATGCATATGAGTTCTAAGTAATCATTAGACTGAGGGAAGGATCGGGAACAACGGGCTTGAGATGTTTTCTTGTCTGTTGTAACACATATATAGCTATAGCAATCAAATTGTACCTATCTAATGTATGGACTGCAAATGTACTGTACATTGCCTACTAATTCTTTTTAACTTATCATTGTAATCGCAATAACTTGTACGACGATCATTTCCTCTTCCCCTACAGCCATTCGTTACATACAGCGTTCCATCTATCCCTACGATGAGCTTCCTACATATCCACCTTATGCAGCAAAACCCACCCCATCCCTGCCGTATGCCGATCTACACCTGGCCCTCTTTCGAACCCCATCGTCTTCTTCCCATTCAACCGAACTTGTGGGGTCCATAAACCCAGCTCGTCACATCCTTTCTTGCCATTTCCTGCTCCGTCCTGCCTCAAGGCTGGCCCGATCGGCGAGTGTCCTCATGGGTGTTACTGTGTCCTATAACTATTTACTGGTGATCAGGGGTTCCCCGTTTGTACCTCTTTAACAAGGACATACAACTATAAGTCTGTAGTTAGTTACACTAGATGCAGCCCAGATCGACATACTAAATACTAGTTAGTATATATCATAAATAAGGGAAAGAGTCTGATATTGATCATTTCCTCCCTCCTTCCTTTACATGCAGCCCAATTTTTAACATCCACCCCCGCGTTTCTCCAATATTTCTATATGCAGAGCGGCCCTTAGGTGCGTGAGCGTACATACCCAAGAGGCTGGCTCGTCAACTATAAGGCAATCGTGGCGATGAAAAAACTCCACGCCCACGGTTCCCTCCCTCTGCTCTTCTCCCTCTTTCTCCTCTTATTGATGAGCCAATTCATCAGTCTCGCCATGGCAGGGAACTATATCATGTATTTAACCGGGTACGCCTTTTTTTTTTTCTCCTGCCCCCCTTCGCCGAAATGATGCATTCCACTTATAAAACCAAAAATTTCCTGAAAGTATATCATAAATTAAACTAAGGGGAAACAAAAAAAAAAAAAAAAAACAGCCAGCACCCTCACCCCCCCTCCGACATTTCCCTTATCAACCCCATAACCCATGTCGCCCTGGCATTTATGAATTCAGCTCTTTTCAACAAGGTGCTCACGGACCCTCCCACAACCAAGCCCGAGTGGGAGAAAAAGTTGTTCACCACGGTGGATAAAGTGCGGAAGCAGTTTGCGCCGGGCACGAAGGTTATGATTGCCATTGGTGGATGGGGGGATACGAAGGGCTTTTCTGAGGCGGCGAGGACTGTGGAAGGGAGGAAGAATTGGGCGGCGAATGTGGCGGCGATGGTGAAAGAGATGGGGGCGGATGGTGAGTTTTATGTAACCTTTATATATATATCTCTCTTTTCATTTTGCGTGTATTGTTATTTTTCGTTTTACTTATGGGTATTATCTGTGATTATGAGGGTCTGTTGGTTGCAGACTGAGCTGGCAGAGGGATCTAGGGAACCAGAGGGGGCGAGCAGAGTCTATGTGTTGGCTGGTTACTTCGTACTAATTTGCTCTTTACTCTTTATCTTATTGTAGGTATTGATGTGGACTGGGAGTATCCTGGGTGAGTTGATCTCCCACCAAATTTCTTCATTTCAATATATATATTCTCCTGCGAAATCGGCTGGCTAACATGGCATCCAAGGGGCAATGGCGCGGACTATAAGCAAATACCCAATTCCGAAAAGAAATGGGAAATCGACGCCTACCCATGCCTGCTCGCCGAGCTGCGCTCTGCCCTGGGATCTGATAAAACAATCTCAGCCGCAGTCCCCGGCCTACCGCGGGACATGCTGGCCTTCACTCCAGAGACGCTCCCAAGCATCCTCGAATCTGTAGATTTCTTCAACATCATGACGTACGACCTCATGAACCTACGTGACACCGTCACGAAACACCACACAGGCCTAGCCCTCTCCTTGGAATCGATAGACGCATATATAGCAGCTGGCCTACCGCCCTCGAGAGCAAATCTCGGCTTCGCTTTCTACGTCAAATGGTTTCGCACTGAGGCTCCGACTAAAGGTTCCGGCTGCGACAAGAACCCCATCGGCTGTAGGACGGTCCTGCTGGAAGACCCAAACACGGGCGAAAGCACAGGTCAGGCGGGAGCTTTCTCCTGGAACGAGCCGGCGCCCGGCGAAGTCGCCTCGTCGTTCGAGCGAGCCTTGGCGGGCGGTCGGTATGATGATTACGTTCCTATTCATTATGGAGGGGTGGGTGAGGGTGGTGGACACTACTTTTGGGATAAGAAAGAGAATATCTGGTGGACGTGGGATACGGGGGAAGCTATTAAGAAGAAGATGCAACCTATCATGGTGGCGAGGGGTTTGGGTGGTGCCTTTGCTTGGGGGTTGGGGGAGGACGGGCCGAAATTTACGCATCTGCAAGCCTTGGGACAAGGATTGAAAGAGATTGGGATTGTGAAGTGATATCGGGATGTGATTGGGATAGATAGGTGTGGGGAATGAGAGGGCGGTTGTGTTGCGCGCAATGTGGTTTTGTTTTGTTTTTCTACTTCCTCTCATCGTCATGTATGCAATGCAGTATGATGGGTGGGTGAAAGAACGTCCGAGGATGACAGTTCGGAGCTCCGTCAGGATATAAGCTAGGGTGGCACAACTGCAATTGTGTTTCTCTGGATGTATATATATATATATATACATATCACATCGCAATTAGAAAGATAAATGTAAACGAAGAAGGTGAAGAAGAAAATCAGCAATCCGCTCCGTATCAGAGGAAGGACCTGGGGTATCAATTCCTGAGCGTCTCAGACCTTCCCGAATACTCTAGAGGACGTTTGCAATCAGGGCGCCTGCTAGGCACGACAGTCCTAACGAGAGATAAAAAAAAAGAATACATCACACCAAATGTAGAATCAAAAGCTAGCTGCCCACGCCCAATGAAGAAACGAAAAATAAATGTAAATAAAATACCACCTCATATCTCTGCACCAGACGCCGATCTGGAATTTGCGGACGTTACCGAGCTAGGGCCACCAGTCCCTGCTGTGTTAGCATCGGAGCCGCCCGACACGCCAAGTGCCGACATCTTCACAGGTAGCTCCGTGTCATCATTGGGCCCAGGCTTTGCATCCGAAGCTGAAGTCGGCGCGGGGGCCGGGCGTGACGCTATTGCGGCTTCGGAACCTGGGATTGGGATTTCCCGCTTGCCGTTGGCTTTGTAAAAGAGGACCATGTCGTTTCCAGTCCGCCAAAGGTGAGTGCGGATCGTGGAGAGGGTCATATCGGGTGGAACGAGCTGGAAATTTTTGTTTTGTTTAGCTTGAATTGCATCGTTATGTGTGGAGTATAGTGCATGTGGGAAAGGGTCATGTTTTGGCTTTCACCTCAAACCGGAGAGGGGTAGGGGAGGGGAGCATTTTGGTCTGTGGAAAACTAGTCAGTGACAGAAGGAACATACAGTATTTTGGCAGTATAGTTCCAAATATTCTTCTGGCTTCAGAGGATTTGCATCGGGCTCGTCAGGGTTTTGAGGGTCGATGCGTTCAGCGACGTATGCGAGGATCTTTTTTGCGCGGAGCATCCGATTGGCGTTCAAGCGGGAGGGATTATTATTTGTTGAGAGGCTGCAGCACCGACATTCCGCGTCAGCTATCGAAAATGTGGATGGGGAATAAGAGCTGGTATAACATACGTATCAAGCTTTACGACCGGAGGGAGTAGATCTTTATAGGGCTTCAACGCAAATGCGACTTTGGTTACCTCTTTGAAAGGTATAATGTTCTGCGGGGAAATAGTTAATGTATTATTTTCGTTAATTTGAAGATCGACATGATAGCAAGAAGAATTGAAAGGTAAATGAATAAAAGCTTACTCGTAAAAGGAATTCGCCGAGCCATTTCGGGATGGATTTCTCAAGCTTATCGGCATCAGCCCCTACAGTCCCGACGGTCCCTAGATAGAGATCTGCTGGAACGGCCGATTCGGGGTGTTCCTCTTGTATCAGAATTGCTGTATTTGGTGGCAGTGATAAGGCTGGTGTCTCATTTTCTTTGCTTGGGGTGATGCTAGAAGGCAAAGGTTGGCCCGGGTGTTCGTTCAACGTTTCTTCGTATTCTGATCTCATCTTTTGAATAACCCCGCCTAAATTTTCTTCGTACACTTTTTCTTTTTCAGACGACTTGTCATCAGACTCCTCTTCGATCTTCTCTTCGATGATTGGCTTCGTCTCGGTGGAAGTTCTTCCCAGCTTTTTGGGAAAGGACATTTGGAACTTTTTACCGAAACGCGATCCACTTCGTTTGCCAGGTTTATCCTCCTTCTCCATATCGGCTGGCGAAGATTCGAGCTGTGATTGCGATTCATCCTCAGCTGGACCCGGGGACTTTGGGTTTGTATCTGGAGAGTCAATTGTGTGCGTGTTGGTGGCGGCGGCAAAATAGTCAGGTTGGTCCCTACCAGGCCCATGGATTCCGGGGGCTGACGTTGACGGATTCCCAAAATTATCAGAAAAGGAGGATTGCGCTCCAGGAGTGACAAATCCAATGGAAAGTCCAGGTGTGGCAGGAGGATGCATTCCACTACTTGTACGCATTGTACTGGAAGGACCAGCTTCGGCTACGTTTTGGGTAACTACTGTGGGAATTTCTATTGAACCCGGGGCATTCTGTCGAGAAATCCCTTGTGTCCCTCTCGCTTTTTCTTCAAGGCTCTGTCGAAATGCCGCATCTTGTTTTATTTCTTCTTCAATAAGGCTGGCGAATAAATAACGAAGAATCCATTTGCCAAGATTAACTGTTCAAATGAATGTGGTCAATTGCCTATACCATCTATATTTGATCACATAGGGAAAATGAGACGTACTCCTCTGGTCTTCCCTAAATTGGCTCAAGTCGTCAAGACCTGCCTCATCCGCATAGATTTCACCATCGAAACAACGGTTAGCTTCTAGGATCACTGATAGTCTCCCCGTCCGCGTATCCAACGTGCACCAGTTCGCTATCGTGTCTATCGTATTGACTTCAGATGTGACATCATCCAGGTGACGCTTCCCAAAGGACCGAATAGGAATACACTACCGAATTTTTACGTTAGAAAGGAATATTTCTTGCAGAGCACGTTCTATTTCTCACATACCTTAAGGAGATCCCAGAGGACTACCTCCCCTGCCGTGTCCTGGGTAAGCGCGCGCTTCCTATCCTTGAGTAGGACATGTTTAATTAAGCCGTTTTGTCCCACTATCGTCTCTTCAGGAAGCGATTGAAGGGGCACTACCAACTCCAGATCGTCACCAAGCAACATTTCATGGGTCATACGTCCCCCCATGGGAGCGGCCGCGTTTGATAACTGTAGAATGGAGCTGCGAGGAAGTCTCCGTGCTGAAGAAACAGATTCCGAAACTTCAGATGAAGGTTGGGTATTGCCCATGCTTTGACGCGAGATAGTGCTAGAGGTATGTCGATGTTGTGATGGAAGTGGCAAATCAACTTCTGCAGTTGTGTCAACATCATTCCATCGGTTAATGCTTGATTTGGGCGTCGCAGTCCAGATATAGTCACCAGCAGCAACGACCTTCACGACTCCGTCATTCTCCTGCAGCGCGGCCATGCAGATCCCCTGGTCAAAATCCGTTGCCCTTCGAGAATCCGTTTTGGCAACCAAACCTGATCTGTCGCTGGAGTAGAATACGGAGAGGTGAGGGTGGTCGGAATGAAGTGACCAAACACTATCATTATGCATGGTCAAAGTATGCATGCATCGTCCAGCCGTCATGGACCATATTTTGACGGTCTGGTCGGAGGATGCAGTCATGATTGTATCTCCATCCTGATTGATTAGTATGTCTCGCACATTATCTGTGTGGCCAACAAATTTCGTGATCAATTTCCCTGACCTGTGGTCCCATACACGAACGACGCACTCCGGCCCTCCACTTGCTAAAATCGAGCCCCTTGCGCTCAGCGCATAGACGGAGCCTTTAGTCGCAAGTTCATCTTCAGATAAGTCAATTTTTAACCTTTCTCCTGCTCCGTTCAAATCCCAGAGATATATTTTGTGATCCAAACCACCAGATGCAACCCATTCAGAGTGCGGCTCTGGTGTTGCTAGACATTTTACATAGTCCCCATGCTTGCCAATCGAAGGCGGTAGCCGCATGTCTTGAGATTCTGGCCGCCATACTCTAACAGTCGTATCTGATGATGCAGAAACGAGCGCCGAGTTGCCTTGCGCAAGGAGAATATCATTTACCCAATGTGTATGTGCCTGAACCTGGCGGCGGAAAGTCGTTGCTGGTATAGTCTTTGTACTCGAATCGGAAACTAAATTAGTGGATGTAGTGGTTGACGAGGCGGAAGAAGACGGGTTAAAACCACCGCTCGATTTGAGGTCAAGGTTTAAATCCCAGGCGCAAATAACTCCATCGCGTCCAGCCGAATAACTACGTGACATGTAAGCTAGTCGTTGCAAGAACCTGTGGAAGCAGACATTGGACCAAGGTTGGGCAAAATAATATAACACAGCGTATAATGTAAAACATAGGGATTCTGTATACTGACAGGATTGAGCTCCCAGTGTCGACTGCAAGCCCATTGACACCGAGACGATGGCCACCTGGACAATCTGGCATAGGCAGCACTAGAGGGGGAGATTGGAGTTAGCTGCCATTAAGTATTCATCGCGGCAATACAACGCAACGTAGGAAATACCAGGAACTTTCAATGACAGAAAGAGGCAACATACCATAGCTGACTCGCTGGCTAGACTTTTTCGCCATCAAGCGTTATTATAGAGGAGCAATGGGGAATAAATTGGCGCAACCTCGTGTACTGTACATGGGGAACTTAGGCGACGACAGTTTGGGAAGAGATAGACCAGGCCATGGGAAAAGGCTCTGTGGGCAGAGGTCGAAAATTCGCAGCAGATGAACGTCAAATCATCTCAGGCAGCTTGTCGGGCTGCACCGAGCTCTGGTATTGCTGACAAGGAGAGAGGAGAGCAGCGGCCGCATCAAGCGGGAGATGGCTGCTCGAGGCTTATTAAGTTGGCAGAATAACTGCGCTAACTAGCAGACAACGATATTAAAAAAATATATTAACACAAAAGTGGACTAAAAATATCAGAAAACGGTCTATAAAATCATATCTCATTCCTTGATATCGCCAAACATCTTGGACGATGTTGAGAACCGAAACGAAAGAAACCAATACTCCCGAAGAATCGGAAGATCAAGCGGGGAACCACGTGATTTGTCAAATAATCCATGGATACAATGGACGGACGAGTCTCCTACAAACAATGAGAGCGGCTTCTATCTCCTCCGTATCTCCTTACCCCGTCGTCGTCGTTATTTGACCCTGCCAACTGCAGATCACCCTGGTTTCAGTCTGGACCTGACAAATCGTTTTTCATTGGTGATATCATGCTGCTGGATGAAGGCCTTCGGGGCAAAAGTAGTATCTGGCCATTATCACCATCTATCAACTTGCCACAGAGTATTTCCGAGGTTGAACGGACATAGGAGTTTAGAAGGGGGACACAAAAGACTGAGGAGAGCCCAATATTGCAACCAATCGTGGCTCCGTCCCATCGCACAAAGCTTCAGCCTCTGTGGAGAAGATTCTCTACAATATTTTGGATACAACCAGGATCGGATATTTAATCACCGTCCAATAGAAAGTAAATACCTATTGCCAACAACTTCGGATATATACTCGCAGCCTCACCCCTTCTAGGATATAGTGGGTGGTGCCGCGAGTAAGATTTTTTTTTTTTTTCTGGCAGAAGATCCTCCAGCCATTAGTTGGGGATCCCAGCAAAATGTGGTCTGACCTGCTTATTTTGATGATTGAAATGTCCGAACCCCTCCTCTTCTCCTCTTTTGGTCGTCATGACTTAACATAACCAAAGCACCTCAAGAAGCGACAGGAAATCATCTGACGGAGGAGGAACAAACCACGACAAGATCAATGATAGCAAGTAATAAAGCGAAATAAACAAGTGCAATTACAGCGATCCAAGATGGACAACACCCCACCGCTCTCAGAAATAAAACCCGTTTTTCCCCCCACGTCATCTCCCGCCGCAGAACCCCCCGCAGCTCAACAGACAATTGATGTCCTCAACCTCCAAACGCACATTGAGGGCGGATACTTTGTCGAAACCGACAGAGACCCTCTTCGCATTCCGAACCCGTTCCTGAAAGACAATAAGCCGTACCGCCATCAACCAGGGCATGCCACAGCTCAGGCTGTCGGTGACGATTCCACCCGTTCCGCCAGCACCTCAATCTTCTACTATCTCTCACCTGGAAGACCGTTAGGTGTCTTCCATAGGAATCGGTCACGGACTGTGCATACCCTGCACCGTGGACGGGGGAGATATGTAATCATACACGCGGACGAGGTGGAAGAGGGCGGCAAGGCGAGGATTGAAACCTTCGTGGTGGGGAAGAATATTGCGGCCGGTGAAAAGCTGCAGTGGATTGTTGAGGGGGGTAAGTTTAAGAGTAGCTATTTGTTACCAGACAATGAGTCAGGGCAAGAAACGGATGGTTTGCTGATTAGCGAGGTATGAACATTTTTTTCCTTTTTCATATTTGTTTTGTTTCTTTTGGATCCCGTTCAAAGTTGTTCGACTTCAACAACGCGTCCTCAGTCCTCGTTTCGTCGTGGGCTACTTTACTGATGGACGCCTCAAATCGCTTTAGACTGTCGTCCCCGGATTTGAATACCAGGATAATGATTTCATGCTACCTGAGACCTTGGAAGAGCTATTGACACCCGAGCAAGCCAAGGAGTTGGCATGGATGGTGAAAAAAGCCTGAGAAGCCAGCAAGAGTAAATGAAAAATCAGAGTGGGAAAATAGTAGAGTCAATTTGAAGCTTCAGCGTTAGAAGTCAAATGAACTGAGGTAACTGAGGTGTTCAAGTAGCGAAATTGAACCATAGCCGCAACAGCGAACAACAATTATCTCCTATCCTCTCTGCATAATTTTCTGTAATACGTGCTATTTCACATGTTCATGTAAAATATAGCAGAATCTAAAATGCTGTAGCATATAATTAATATACATTCATCCTTCATGTCTCGGGACAATTAAAATATGTTTCAACCATCATAGGGGCTCTGGACCAGCACGTATATCGCCAGCCTGTCTTGTTCGAAGCATATTCGAAGTAAATTGGTAACTACCCAAGAAGACCGCACCTCCAACCCCAATCCACGCAACTCTTGGCCCGATCCCTCTCCAGAACGCGCCAAACCCTTCCTCCTTCATGAGTCTACGCGCTACATCCCGCACCCGTATATGATCGCTGCCATTTCTCCTCGCTAGCATGACTCTAGTTTTGACAACGTCAAGCGGAGTCGTCAGGCCAGCCGCAACAGCCCCCGCAAGGCTGCCAAATAATGCACTCGGTGCCGCACCTACCCCTATCAATCCAGACCCCGGGACGGTGCTGGTATCTGCTCCTGCATTTTTTCGAGATGCGTATGCATCTTTCATCGTCTCCCACAACGTAAATTGCAGGACCGTGAATGGTATCTCTCGCGCAATCGTGATGGTCGCGCCGCGATATAACTCTCTTATAACGAGCCCCAAGCCTCTAGCTCGTGTATCATTGGCGCTCCCGGTTCCAGCGTGCCGTAATGAGAGGATATCCTTGAGCGCATGTAACGTAGATCCACCAAACAACCCTGCCTGGGCGCGTTGCTTTATTACCTCTGTAGGGACTCGGACTGCGCATGCGGATATTTCACCAAGAGATGATGCAAGAGAATGTGTGAAGATCGCATGTTGCCAGGATACGGGGGTGGAAGTCGAGGATGACGGAGGAGACAAAAGGAAGCGATTTACGCCATCGTAGACGATGAAAAAGCTAGCGGCTGAAGGGGCAGAGCCGAGGAGGACAGAGGGGAGTCCAGCGTAGATTCCGCGCACGGTTTGCCGGAGAGACGGAGAGGAGTGTTTTGTGGAAGATCCAGTGTGTTTACGCGCTTGTTGGAGGCGGGTTTTTATGGTGTCGAGAGGGTAGAGAGAGAGGTCAACTGTCAGACCTGCCACAGCCCCGGACTAGTAGACAGCAATGGGGAGTGCTGTGTGAGTCAAGAGAACTTGCGCGTGGGGCTTAGTATGGGGTATTATATTATTGAGAAATGGTTGCGTACTATGAGCGACCTCGTCCAGAGGGATGGATTTGCTGAAATCTGCTCTGGTTCAGAAGGCTCAATCGCGGCCATGGCGCTGGTGTGGAGTTGTATTGACGTAAAGAGCAGTTTCACGACATCGTCACCGCCGCCAATGACATGTGCAAATATACATTATCATTGGTGTACTTACTGAGTTTGCTGGTGGTGCGTTGGACTTCCGCTCGCAAGCGTCGGCATGGATGTGTCATCAGCAGCAAAAAGCCAATTTTGGAATCTCGGCATGCCGAGTGTCAACAGCGGCTCTGGATCATTGCCGATTGCCAAAACTTTGGACCGCCAATTCTCGTTCCAGAAACAAGCCGAGGAATTGCCAAATTCATGCGTAGGAAGTCGAGATAGAGAGCGAATATAGTAAAATATACCAGATTTAAGGGATATATTTAGATAATTGAGTGTGGAAGTCAAAACCTGTGATCACCGGGAAAAAGAATTCACCTGAATAGAATCGAGTAGACCTATCAAGGTAATTAGGCATTTAGAAAATATTCTATCTAAAAATATAATAGGACCGAAGGACTGCTTAGAGCTTTGGAATTCATTCCAATCCATCATTGCTGCTCGATCTCAGTATGTCACGTGATAATAACTGGTTGACTGCCTTCGTTTCTGCAAATCGATGGATATCAAAAAATTTGAGGACGGACACAACGACAAAATCCAGTTTGGCTAGTATCATTTGAATGGCGCGAAGACCATTGCGACTTGGCAGCACTGGCCCAATTTCCGCGAAAGAGTTTTGTGAGGCCGTAACACATCTATGGGGAATATGGCGAGGCGCTTCGACTCCCAGCTTGCCATCAAGAATAGGTTCGTTCATAGACCCTTCGCTTAATACCTTCGGATGCACTTTTGCTAACTTGCGAGTTTTAGGACTGGCTGTCAGTGGGGGCGCTGACTCGATGGCATTGGCTTTCCTGTGCAGACAATTAATATCGGAACGCTTGATTCCTGATTTACAGGTGAAGCCCTTCATTGTGGACCATCTGGCTCGAGAAGGCAGCACGGACGAGGCACAAAAAGTAGCAGGTTGGCTTAGAGAACTCGGTATGGATTTGCGAATAATGTATCCCATTTGGCCCTTATAATAATTGGATTATGTTATCTGACTGCGGACGCTAATTGTCTGTTATTCTACTGCCCGTTTAGGTTATGACCCTTCTATCCTAACCCTCCGTTGGTCGGACGGAACTGACCCGTCCAGCTTGTCTGATTTTGAAACCCTGGCACGGAAGCTCCGTTATCAGATTCTTGGGCAAGCTTGTAAAAAATACAATACACGAGCACTTTTTTTGGGACACCATCTGGACGATAATGTTGAAACGGTCCTCAGTCGGCTGACTCGTGGACAACGCCAGGCAACTGGTCTCAAGGGCGTCGCCAGCATAGGCCATATACCAGAATGTCATGGCATTTATGGGGTAGCGGAGAGTGGCTCCGTCATCCGTTTAATGAATGCTCAAAGCATGATAAATGCTACCAGAGCCAGAAACTTCTCAAGTCACGAGAGTTACAGCTCTAAAGGCCTACAACCGGAACGCTCTACCACGACCGATCGGGCCCGCCGCTTTCGTGCAGATCTAAAACTACCTATTGCAGAGGGTGGCATTTACCTATTCCGTCCGTTTAATTCGTTCCCAAAGTCACGTCTCACGTCTACTTGTCTTGAAGGCGGCATAAAGTTCGTCACCGACCGAACAAATTTTGATCCTACCCTTACCTCTCGAAACACACTACGTCATCTCCTTTCCAATGACATGCTTCCTCGCGCACTGCAAGCTCCATCAATATTGCAACTTATCGAGAACAGCCAGCGGATTTCAGATGAACTAGGCAATGAATCTAACGCCTTCTTAGAAACTGTCCGAGTTCGCAAACTTGACCTTCGAACTGGCAGCCTTGTTCTCGAGTTCCCTGGTCCTCGAGATATGGAAAATATCGGAAAATCCCAGGATATGCCGGTTGAGAATTGTCCCCCTAAACTTCAAAAGACACTGGCGATTTCTTTGCGGCGCCTCCTGGATATTGTGTCCCCTGCTCCGAAAAGTGACGTACCGCTAGAGAAATTCACGTTGGCGTTACAAAAGGTTTTTCCAGCGCCTGGAACAACGCGTGACGAAGAGCCAGCTCCTGCTAGAGGGAACATATTTACTGTTGGCGGTGTGAAATTTGAACCAGTAATGCTACCGAAAATGTGGGCTGGTGGGAAAAGCGTCTCTCTCAAATCATTTGCCCCAAGGAAGCAAACTGATTATTTCCCAAACACTTGGCTTCTGACCCGCCTGCCGTACTCAAGACGCACCCCAAAGCCTGTTTCCAGTTTCGAGATTCCACTTCCTACTTCATCTCTTGCGGACAGTGCAGTCGAATCACGCTGGTCTTCCTGGCAGCTTTGGGATAACCGATACTGGATACGATTGCGGGCCGAAAAAGCAACCCCAGGGAATCCTGTGGAAGAGGGTTCGTTTGAATCTAACGACATGAGCATCCCTGTTGTGGTTCGTTCAATGGAAGGACCAGACTTAGCAGACGTCAGACGCCGACTCGTGAAATACACATGGTCGCTTTCTAACAAACAATTTGATCCTAATTCCGTCAAACCAGATAGTCCCTCGTTCGCAACACTAAGGACGAGACATCATTTAGATGACCTTCTCCAGTACCATGCGCCAGGTGACCTGAGATATACTATTCCCGTCATCGCAGAAGCAACTGGGCAAAAACGGGTCCTCGCATTTCCATCGTTCGGAGTAAAAATGCCAGTAGCTTTCACTCAAAGGATGCGGGATAACAATGGCACTTGGGCCTTAAACTGGCAGATAAATTATAAACACATTGATCTCGATCTGTTGAACCTGATATCTCGGGATTTGGAGACAGTACTATCTCAAGTCACTCCTATTAGCGAAACTTGAGGCGAAGTTTTCATTTTGTCCATAGATATCCAGGTCAAGGACCCCATTTTGAAAACGTTTTGTATATATGTATATTAATAGACCTAAAGGAAAAACCACCGATACAAACTAGCGAACTTCCTAGAGTGTGCAGCCTGGTATGGACTGCACAGCCACTAGCATTCGAGCACTAACATCAGGTCTTCGATTGCACATCCTCTCATTCCACCGCCAAAACCAGACATAATTCGTGGGGCCTTTGTCACACATTCCCGCGAAAATCTCCATTTTCCTTCCGCTGGGTTGATGCATAATGTTTCGAACATTAAAGCCGACTGCTCCTTCATCCGGGCAAATGTCCTCGCATACACCCATCCGGGGTGACCGGGCTGTGGACAGGGTAGACGTGGCTCTGAAGCTCCATTGTACTCTCGAGGAGTCAACCACTGGGGGCCATTTGAAAACATAACTGTTCTAGGACCACAATTCTAGGCGAAGCGTTTGCAGCCAGGAAACTTCAGGTATAAATGGATCTAGCATTTTCTCAATCCAGAGGCCCCAATCATCATCCCAACGTACTGCACAAACAGCTAGACAGTACTCCCAGTAACTTGGATACCAACCAGACTTCTCCCAGTCAAGAATGACAAGCTCCAAGATCTGATTACTGGCAGTTGTCTGCTGGGGTTTGCTTCGAATCATAATATTTTTGCGTTGACAGTCACCATGAGTAAATGTTGGCTTGTGGTCATGGAAAATGCGTGGCAGACATTGGCGGTAAAAATCTGCTCTATAATGAGGCCGGCCATCATATGTGTATTTCTGCGCCATTGCTTCATTGAGTGCAGCTTCAGTGGCAAATGGGCCATTGATTGTAGCTTCCGCATGCTGTGTCCAAAATATCTCATCAAGAAAGCATCGTTTGCCTATACTGCCATAGTAACCTGGCGATGGCAGCTGGCGTAACTCCTTATAGTAATCACACAGTTTTGCAACAATAGATTCCTTCTCTGAATATGTCAAACTTGCCCATAGTTTTGCAAGTGTCTCACCAGCAATATGCTCCATGACAATGTAGTTTTTACATGTTTGTGGATTTGAATACAGAGCATAAACTCGAGGCACAGGGATCTTTGTCATTTCCTGAACAAAAAGCATGTTCTCTCCTTCAATAAGATTGACGCCCTTCCCAAACTTCACCACATAATGAGATCCCACCTGGACAACCCGTCGCCCTCCATACTCTGGAGATATATTCGGCGCATTCTCAATTTCAGCTTCTGTTGGGAGAGGGAAAGGGACATCCGTCGCGTAGTATGGTAATCTGACTGAGCTGTCCATGGTTATTGGATGGCGACGATAAGGAATGGAATGGTGTAGATTTAATTGTTGGGTAAGAATTTCTCAGGCAGTCGCGAGGGTTTAGGAGCATGGTAAGGATTTATGTTGACGTTCCAGCGTTGGTTGGGCTGTGTGCCACGTGATGACCCCTATATACTGTATGTGCCTAGGCACCTGTGGACCTAGGCAGTTCCAACAACAACAACAACAACAATCCCACATCCACTGCTTCTTTCCAAAATATTAGAAGTTTGAATCTGCTTCCGGTTTTGATACCACGTTGGTGAAACTACAGAAATATCTTCGCAAGGTGCAATAGCGCGACAAATAGGTCAAAAAAGAGAGAAGTGATTCTCTCATTTCTACACTTCCTTGGTTCTTTGCTGACAGGACGAAGGGACACCACGAAATGTCTTTTGAGGTCTATCGGGTTGCCTACGCTGGTTTACCACGTGACCACCACGCTATTTTCGTGGTAACAAATGACGATCAATCTGGCCATCTCTTCCAAGTGACGGGGAATATTCAGAATGGAATGACTTTCGAGGATAAACCCGGCAAGAAGCCAGAGGAGTCTGCGAGTTTTCAAAGCAAGGTTTTTGTTGGAAAGGTGTCGGCAGCAAACTTCTCTCGTGTTAAAGCGATCTGTGAGGATATTCCTGCACCAAAAAAGCAATTCGAGGGTCCTCGGCGGCTCTATCCTGAAGAGCCGATCAGGCGCTGCCAGGAATGGACGACTGAAGCCCTTGAGGCCTTAGTTAATGAGAACGTCATTGAAAGTCAATGATATTTGTTATTCGGATGAATCGTCCAAGAATCGAGGTCAGGCGTATACCCTTGGTCTGCGGGGCGAGGAAGCTTTGATGATATTGATGATGCAGTAACTTGATATGTTTTACTCGTATTCTTCTGTTTTTACAGTTCTTTACTGTACAGACTCTCTTCTCAATAGAGAAATCAGGGTCCAAATCTTGTAATTAATTATTGCAGTTTTTCAAGTGAGAGGGGTGTTTCATGATGATTTTGTCAGGTAATATACACAACCACGTCATCCTACGAGAACACCGGGACAGCTTAATGGAGGTGCCAACATAGGCGCCAACAACATCAAAATTCAAAACAAATTTAAATACAGTATGCATACTTCATTCCGACAGATATGGTACTAAACTCCTACACATTATTTAAATAAAGAAAACTATAAGAGGTCAACACTGTAAATCGATTTCCAGAAAACAAAAGCCAACCAATTCCCAAACGCTCAAGTAAAGACTGCATCATCAGTCAAAGAATCAATCCCAAGTCCTAAACTGGCAGAAAACTCTGTAAAGAAACAGCAAGATGATGCCGGACCAGGCGTGGAATCCATCTAAAAGACGAGTAATTCAAATGCAAAAAGAAACCTGTACCCGCCCCGTGTATTTGATCGTATCCACGCCTCATATTCTATCTGCCAAGTAGTATTCCTCACAATAACCATGCCATCAAAGTACGCCGTAAGTCATACCACCCCATCCCATACACCGTTCCATAAAATAACTAAATGCCATCACCACATAACGCCCTCATTCCTCGCCCTTTGGTGCATCCCCGTTGACAAAACCAAGCTGCTGCGCTTTCAACCCTCCAATCTCCCTTTTTAACCTCAAATTCTCCTTTTTCACCCTAGCCACTTCATCCAGTGCTTCTTTCAATTGCGATTTGAGCGACTCCTCACCAGCCCCTAGTCGTACTTCCTTAGTTACTTTACTAAGTTCAACATTGAATCGTTCATAAAGGGCGCTGTTCTCTGCGCTTGCTTCTCGATAGAGTTCGTCAAGTTTCTTAGCCCTCCTTTCGCTCACAAGGAGCGAGTCTTCAATATCTTTCTCAAGGGCACTTGTTCTTGATGACAATTCTGATAACAGAGTATTAACCTTGGACTCGATTGAACGGGAACGACTGTGGAGAGTTGTGGTGGAGCTCGAAGTCGGCGGGGATGACGCGAGCGCTCTTGGAGTTCCTGGTCGTCGCCTTACCGGAGAGAGTCTGGGGGTAGATATTTCATCTGCCAGCGAAGAAATTTCAGCTTTTATGGCAGATTCCGCACTTGCAATAGCTTTTTTCTCATTCTGAAGACGTTCGCGTAACTACCAATTTTTGGAATTTTAGCAGAATACCTTCAGAAATGGTGGACTTAATAGAACATCCACATACCTTTTGGGGATTCTGCATTCGCAGTTTTGGGGTTCGAGGAATCGATGAAGATGACTGAGGCCTCCCGTTATACATATCCGTCGGGTTGGGTAAAACAACTCGATCCTTGCATAGATTGTTTCTAGGAGATGGAATATAGGATAGGCCTTCCGAACGTCGTTTGGGGCTGAGCTGGAGTGGAATGGCTGAGTTTGACTTTCTATTTGAGACTTTATTCCCGAGCGTAGTTCTCGGTGTCGGGGGAGCATTCTCTTTACTAGATGATACTAGGGGTCGTGAAGGAGACGAAGTTGCAGGAACTATCTTTTTCAAAGTTTGCGGTCCAGTCTTATCGTCCTGCTGAAGCGGAGATGAAGGATCCAGTGAGGTTGTGGCATTCGGAGGGGAAGCCGGAGTAAGCGGGCGCCTCAAATCAATTGGAGGCAGCAAAGTTGAAACATTTGTGGCCGGCAAAGCTTTCAAATCAGACAACGAGCTTCGCCTCTTTTTCCTTATCGTTACAGGTTTATCCGTGGTGGGAACCTCACCAATAGATGCAAGTGTAGGAGCATTGCTGTGAGCACTGTTTGGGCGTAATGACTGATCCTCTGCGGATGCAGAAAAAATGCCATGTGCGAGAAGGCGTTCCCGTGACACAGGTCGCAACAAACTGTTTAAGCGCGAGTCGATGTCGATAGATCTAGATCGAAAAATAGATGCCTTTGAAAAACTTGATGGCTGAGAGTCTGTTTCTCCGTGTGCTTTGGATTTGCTAAGTGTTCGAATTATAGAACTAACTTTTCCTTCGCTCTCGGATTTACCACGGTCTCGAGTACTCCCAAAGCCAAACCTCTTTCGAAGCGAAGATGTGTTCGAGCTTATGGACCCATGGTTTGTCGATCCGTTATTCACAGAGTGAGCCCTGGAAAACGGGCTCGCATGGTCATTTAATAGAATCCCTTCAATCGGCGCACCGGGAGTGCTGCTTTCGTCAAATAACCGGTCAAAATCCTCTACAAGACGATCAAGGAGCGATATATGCTCCATGGCGTTTCCCTTATCAGTCAAAATTTCAGAGAAAGTTGCTGTAAGAGCACCGCGATCACCATCATTACCAGAAGCATCAAGCAGCTCAGCGAGCAATTTCACCAGCACTGTGAGAGCTCGGCGATTCTGAGGACTCATTTCTGTCAGGAACTGGTGGAAATAGTTTTCAAAACCTCCGGGAGACATTGAATCAAACTTGGACTGTATGGCCTCCCACGCGTCTGGAGAAATTATGGGGCCAATATGTTCGTTCCAGGAATTCGCCATGAAGGTTTCAAATGCCACAAACAAAACGTCAACTGGAGATTCGGCAGCCAGCTGAATCTTTCCAGCATCCTCTAAAAGTGCATTGTAAAGCTCATTTATCGTGGCGGGGTCAGCCTGCCTCCGCATTCGAAGTATGCGACCAACAATATTCCCACTTCTCGAACGAATTGCAATAACGTAGGCAGAAAATGTCTCTTCTAGAGACTTAAAAATATCTGGAGTGCCCTCCCCCGAACTTACTCCGATTAGGGTGCCGCCGTTCCCCGTTTTGGGCGGAGTGGCCAGGGTATTGGAGTGGTCTAATGCTGGCGGAAGGATTTGCGGAATTTCTCTTAGAATAGGGGCAGGAAAAAGTGATCTGGGAGGTGGTAACGAGCCTTTCGGACTGCCGTTCCAAAAGTTTGATAGAAGTTTAGATGGGGAAGGAGGTCTAAATCCTCGCCCCGATTTTGCGTGCTCCAGAATATAACTGGCGATCGAACGAATAATGTTGAAGTTAGTATTTAAAATAGCCGAAGTAAGAATGGGATTCTCAGGCTGATGTAATGGGCGAAGGACGTTGTTAACTATTTCCTTCGTTAGCGATCATTAGATTGGGGCTAAACCTTGAAAAAGTTGACTTACGTCGATTGGACAAAACTGAGGCAAACTCTTCAGCAGAAAAGGAATCTACTGAGGAGAGGCCCACTACAGATTCTGTCTCCATCTTGTACATGCCAATCCCAGACTGAGAGATCGAGGCAATAACCTCCACGCCCGGCCGGCTCAACTCTTTCGACATAACGGTTTTTGTTCCGTCAGATATGAGTTTAACTGTAGAGGATAAGTATTGGCCACCAACGTTTTTTGGTTCATCCTCGAATACGGATATCAAAATGCCCAAATCTGAAGAAACGCCCTTAAAACTGCGAAGGCTCCATTTGCTATGTTCACGGTACTCCTCAGAGAACCGTCCTTCGATTCGGGCCTTGGTGATTTCTTCAATCAAACGCCCAGCTTTACCCTCATAGTTTGACAAGAGTTCCAAAGCGTGCATCGCGGATGCAGAGCGAGAACGCTCATTCTGCACAAAGTTTCCCGCCGGGGTAAGATATAGGATACGGCCGCATACCGATTGGGAGCAGCGGAGGTTAGTTATCCGCAGTGCTTGTAAAAATTTAAGTTCGAAAGGCGCCGGTCCCTCATCATAGGGGACAACAGGAGGTTTGTCGAGCTCAGCATAAAGACCACGAGCGGTCATTCTGCTTTCAAATGTTTTAGATAGCAAGATCAAGTAGTCTCCATAAAGCAACAGAATCCCTGAATCTAAACTTTCTTCAGGTGAGCACGGATGATAAGGCGGTGGTAAGTCATAGAAATCAACCGCGGTAATCAATCTTCCAGAAGGCATGCTGGCGGCAGGAAAGTCTTCAACTAGTCGCTGGAGTCGTTTCAGATCTCTGGAATTGTCCTTTGCAGAATGTGAATCTAGCGAGCAAATTTCTGTGATAATATCGCGAGCCTTAAGGAGTGTTTTAACAGCTGGGTGGACAGAGGGAAGTGCACTAGTCATAGCATCGATAAGAAGGCTATATCTAGGGAGGCGCTGAACGGGTTCCATTAACACCGAGCGCATCTTCTGCTCTCCAGTCTCGTATACTCTCTTAGAGAAACTTGATTGGTTATCATTGAGAAAGGAACTCAAAGTTTGAGAAAAGCCATGGTGAGCGTGCATGTAATCTCCATATGGGTTGGAGAATTTTGGGAACCATTCCAGGAGGGCATGGGCAAACTTGATAATGCCTATGGGATCACTTCTCCTTCCTGCAGCGTCCCTGCGAAATGACGACAAGTCGATGTGCGTGTCTCCTGACAGATCTTCAAGAGCATCTTTCTCCGTCTGTTCGAGTATCTCGCGGATTTCGGCCAAGAACCCCATGTTAACCTCAAGGATTTCTTTCAGGCAGGGAGGAAAAAGCTGCTTCAATGCAGTCTCATCAGGGCTTGTACTTGTTGGTGGCTTATCGGCAGCTTTCTGGGAAAATCTTTGAATGATATTATGTACCAAGTCGTACATTTTTCCAACGTATCTTTCCTCAGTATCTACAGCTTCACACATGGCTAGTCGGAGAGCCTCTTTTTGGGCGGCAGAGAACAATTTTGATTTTCTCGCGTTTAAGGGTTGAGAAGGGGCTCGCCGCAGTTTCGAACTGGGTAGGAATACCGGTTCGCCAAGATGTTCAACCAGCGAACTATACTTTCCATATTGGCTCGTGAGATCTCCTTGGGATTCGACTTCAACGTCGGAATTGCGGGAACCATTGGCGATTGCGATGGCGCCAGGGGGTAAAACGAGATCCACATCAATCCATGGGACAATTCTGTCACTATATGCGTCTCTGAGATCGCGGATAGCGTCTGTAGGGTCCTCTACCTTCGCCATTTTATTCGCTAACTCTGCAGCATGAAATTCGTCGAAGGCGTTTGGCAATCGCGCGGCCAGATTTCCCGATCGCGCAGTGCCTAGCAGTACATATCTGACCGGCTCAGAGAGGTCGCTAAAATATTTCAAAAGACAAACAGCTAACCCTCTGTATATTTCATCGCCTTGCTTGTCCAGTGGAAGGTGGTTGACTGCAGCATAAAGCGGGCCTGCTGGAGATATTGTAAGTCGAGGGTAGCTCTGGACCCCACCAGGCGCGATAATGTGTGCTTGGAAACGCGAGCTCCGAACAGTGGAATTGGCTGTTACGACAGGACCGTGGAATATGAGAACTGACGAGAGAATAGGATCCACGGCATGGTAGAGTGTAAGTTGCTCGAGGGGTAGGCCCGCAACGGAAGTAGAAATGGAGGTCATGGTGGGGGAGGGGTGCACCTTCTACGCGTTGCGCCGGCGTAGATATTGAGCGTAACGAGGCGTCGTTTTCGACGGAAAGCGTATAGGACGATTTAGCAGGTGTAGTAGCACCGCCCTGCCAATTTATAGGGTGGGGATCTGTGTGGTTTGGCACAGCCTTAATCCTAAAGTGCCCCAAATGTTTTGAACATTGCAGAAGAATAAACAAACCTGAAGATGGGATCAAGCGCAACCATTTGATATTATGAACACATGGCCCTATAACCGAAAGAAATGTTGCTGCGAACCGGAAGGGAAACTTCCAGTGAAAATAAAGGACGAATGGTTGAACAACATCACCCGCTCTCTATTATCAAGCGGTCAGGGCAAGTATGGTGAGTTGGCGCTCGGGTCTGGATGCGCTGTTTACGGTCTTGTTGTTGTCCGGGTCCTGCAGCTGTGATTGGCTCCAACACGCGGTTGGATGGCGTCACACGCGTCTATCGCTAGCTTACGTCATCCAACAATTTGAATTGTTTGATAACTAACTAGTTAAGTTAACCTTGACTGTGGTTGGAAAGGACAGGAACAATCGCCTGTTGATGAAGCGGGCATAGAGAGATCCACGCATACATACCGTCTACGGACTTAATGGCCATCCCTAATTATCGACTCCCAGCAAAATTTCATTACTGAGCTTGAGGTCAGTCATCAAATGTTATCTGTTGCATGTCATTAGAGATAGGAATGAAGCAGTGATGGATGGCAAAATTGGTCACTTTCAAAATACCTCCAGTGAGCCTTTTATACCATACAACTCAAGTGCCTGCACGTAAGATGCAAATGAGATGCCTTGACCGGTATTCCTTGATGAATATGCGGAATCATCCAGTATCTGCCCCCGCTCATGAAAGCGAGTCCAGTGTATTTTGTAAACGTAAAGATAAAAATATCATACGAATGAAAACTACTAACCTCAATGGCCCACAATAATGCAGCTTTTCTCGTCCGGGCTACATAGTTTTCTACAAACTCAAACAATTCTGAGAACCCAGGACAAGCACTCTATTGATCTCAGGCCCTCTAAACGCTAAACCTGAAATGGAACCGCTGGAGCTCCACCGAGTTTATGTCAGCCGTTATTTTTGAGCCTGGTGAGGACAGCTACGAGTTTGCTCGACACCAGATCTTCATTCTCTTGCCGCTAGAATAAAAGTTACGAGATTTTTTTCTAGGAGCTGTAGGCTTATGGGAACCGTGAACATATGGTAATATGCCAAATGATTAATTGAACGGATGCCCATACATATAACGTCCAGTGGTCTGGTAAGCTAACACCCTCCCAGGCAGAGCAATATCAGGAGACTGCTCTAATATATGTTGAGTCGTGCAGAATGAAATATGACCATTGCGCTCGAGAGACTTAATGGCCATGATTCCCCTGGTATACTAGACCCTTCCACGTCTGGCTCGGTGACTCAAAATGCTCCAACCGATTTACCAGATTTATACCAGAGTGGCAACATGAAAGGACGCAACACCATACCGATAGCCGTAAACCCTGTCGAGCTGGTGACGACAGAATGTATCACAGTCACTTCCTCGATGCGAAAGCATTCGAGATGGGCTCATTCGTCTGTGGCGGCTATCCTGAGCGGAGGTGGTGCTTCACGATCTTACGAGCGCGAGCTTTCTGTCCCTCTCAATGTCTCCCTTGCGACGAAATCTCAGTCGACAATCGCCCCGACAAAATCTGGATCTGCGGGGGTTGAAGGTGAACACGCACTTGCGAGTAGATGGGGTCTCAGGGGGAAGAAAGGAAAGAGCTTGCAGGACAACCCGTTGATGTCTGCTTTTACGCGGTTACGTATCGACTTGAAGGACTGTAAAGATATTCGCGATTTTGATACCCCAGCTCTTCTACATCCATTCCTTCAGGTTATACGCTCATCGTCGACATCTGCTCCTATTACATCACTTGCATTGATCTCAATAACGAAGTTCTTTTCTTACAATATCATCAATCGAGATTCTCCACGCCTCTCCATGGCCCTTCAACTTTTATCAGCCGCTGTCACGCATTGCCGATTTGAAGCCACAGACTCTGCAGCTGATGAAATTGTTCTCCTTCGAATTCTCAAGCTCATGGAGGGTATGCTCTCTAGGGCTGAGGGTGAGCTTCTGGGAGACGAAAGCGTCTGCGAAATGATGGAAACAGGACTGAGCATGTGCTGTCAAGTTCGACTATCAGAAGTCCTACGCCGCTCTGCCGAGATGTCTATGATAAACATGTGCCAAGTCATTTTTCAACGCCTTTCCCAATTGGATGTCGAAGATTTACCAGTGCCCAATTTGCCACAAGAAGAGCACTCGCAAATGGAGGCTGGGAATTTCAAGATGGATCCCTCTGTGGATGGCGATACTGTTACATCACAGCATCATTCAAGCCTAGGCATGGATACCTCTACCCCAACAAAGGATCGTAGCAGTGGTGAAGATGATTCAGAAGCTACTTTCAATGGTGACACCACTACCAATCAGCCCGCGCCGCACGAAAACATGTCCCCCGAAGTTAAACCGTATTCATTACCTTCAATTCGAGAGCTGTTCCGGGTTCTTATTGACTTATTGGATCCACATAATCGCCAACACACAGACACTATGCGAGTCATGTCATTGAGGATAATCGATGTTGCTCTTGAGGTGGCGGGGCCTTCAATAGCTCGTCATCCAAGTCTTGCGCAACTTGCCAAAGATGACTTGTGTCGTCATCTATTCCAACTCGTGAGGTCTGAAAATATGGCTTTGTTAAATGGATCTCTTCGAGTTGCAGGAACGCTACTCTCTACCTGTCGTAATGTCTTGAAATTACAGCAAGAACTTTTCCTTTCGTATTTAGTCGCGTGTTTGCATCCAAGAGTAGAAATACCAAGGGAACCTGGGATCGATCCAAACCTCTATTCAGGTGTTCCACAAGCACCAAAATTGGTGAAGCCCTCACCATCACAAACCAGCAGTGGTCGTTCAACTCCAGTTCCTGTGAAAGATCGCCAAAAGCTTGGAATGGAAGGCGGGTCTCGGAAGCCTGAAGCACGAGAAGCGATGGTGGAAAGCATAGGGGCATTAACACGGATTCCAAACTTCATGGCAGAACTATTTGTGAATTATGACAGCGAAGTCGACAGGGCTGACCTTTGTGAAGATATGGTTGGGCTCCTGTCCCGTAATGCGTTTCCTGACTCAGCGACTTGGAGTACCACAAACGTGCCGCCATTATGCCTTGACGCCCTATTAGGGTACGTGCAATTTATTGCTGAAAGGCTAGATCAGCCTCCTAATTACGACAATCTGCCGGACCCTGCACGACTGAGGAGCCAACGTCAACGGAAGAAGGTCATTATCCAAGGCGTTGCGAAATTTAATGAAAATCCCAAGGCTGGAATCGCATACCTCGCTTCCCATAAAATTATAGAAGATCCAGATAACCCTCAACTTGTTGCGAAATTCCTCAAAGGCACAAGTCGAATATCCAAAAGGGTGTTGGGAGAATTTATCTCAAAAAAATCTAACGAAGCCCTTCTTGACGAATTCATTGGTCTTCTCAACTTCGATGGCAAACGGGTAGATGAAGCGCTACGGGACCTCCTGGGCTCTTTCCGCCTGCCTGGCGAGGCGCCTCTTATTACCAGGATTCTAACTGTATTCTCGGACAAATACATCACCAAAGTAAAACCAAGTGGTGTGGCGGATAAAGATTCGCTATTCGTCCTAACGTATGCCATCATCATGTTAAACACCAACTTATATAATCGAAATGTCAAGCCGCAGGATCGAATGTCGTTCGAGGGTTTTGTAAAGAATCTGCGGGGAGTCAACGGCGGGAACGATTTCGACACTGATTTCCTTCAAAGCATATACACTTCAATCCAGCACAACGAAATTATATTACCGGACGAGCATGAAAATAAACACGCATTTGAATATGCCTGGAAAGAACTTCTCATGAAAACGATGGAAACTGGAGAATTGGCTGTCTTCGACTCTAACGTCTTTGACGCGGAAATGTTCCAGGCGACCTGGCGACCAGTGGTGGCAACACTCTCATATGTTTTTATGTCTGCCTCTGATGATGCAGTCTTCTCCAGAGTCGTCATCGGTTTTGACCAATGTGCCAAGATCGCAGCCAGATACAATCAGACTGAAGCATTGGATCGCATTATATATTGCCTTAGTTCCATAAGTACCCTTGCACCAGACACTCCCCCAAACACGTCTCTCAACACCGAAGTTCAAGCCGGGAAAAAGAGTGTTATGGTTAGTGAGCTTGCAGTAAAACTAGGCAGGGATTTCAGAGCACAGTTGGCCACTGTGGTATTGTTTAGAGTGCTGATGGGGAATGAATCCATCGTTCGAAAGGGGTGGACTCACATTATCAAAATATTGCATAACTTGTTCATAAACTCGCTCATCCCCCAGTTCGAGAGTATGAAACCGAAGCTGGATGTCCCTCCAATCCCACTCCAACCCCCATCACAAATCATCGACCGAGATGGGCGAGGTAATGACAGTGGGTTACTTTCAGCCTTCACATCGTATCTCTCAAGTTACGCTGCGGACGATCCCCCTGAACCTTCTGACGAGGAGCTTGAAAATACCCTGTGCACAGTGGACTGCGTCAGCGCTTGTTCCATTCCTGAGATTCTTACAAATATAAGGTATGTTAAATTCTGCGCAATCTTGACTGCTCTGTTCTAACCTTTATAGCTTAATGCCTCTGGAGTCTGTTGTTTCTTTAGTCAATGCTCTGCTATCGGATCTTCCGGACACAAGCCCAGCCGTTATTGTTGTCAAACCTGAAAGGCCTCCTCCCAATGCATCTCGATCTCCAAGCAGTAAAACAGACGCTGATCGACCAAACTACGATCCTGGGATGATATACGTCCTTGAGTTGGCCACAATTCTAACTATCAGAGACCAAAATACTATCTGTGAGTTAGGCGAAACTCTGACCGGCGCGTTACAAAATATTGTTCGAGACTTCAAGGGCTTCCATTCTCTTGTAGTTTCTCGAGTAATATCATATCTCCTATCTCTGCTTTGCCATGCTTATGTACGTTGGAGTTCCCCCAATCAGTAATATGAGATATGTCCGTGTAATTAATATCATTCAGGAATACTCCTTTATGCGAGTGCCGGTTGTCCTCCATGCTATCTCCGCCTTGGATCAAAATATTCTAGAAAATTCAGCCGTTACTATCGTCAAAGGGCTATCTTACTGCATCACCAGTGCCGCTCCTCTCAAGAGCGAAATTACAAGATCACCAGATTTCTGGTCGATATTGCAGCGGTTACATCGACATCAGGAGGGCGCTCCTATGGTTTTCGATCTTCTTGAACATATTGTGCATTTCACACCGCCCGTGATTTCAGCCGACAACTACGAATCTTGTGTAGTCCTTGCAAATGATTTTGCAAATGCAGGGAGCCTTGCTGCTGTGTCTGACCCAAGGAGGGTTTTGTCAGGAAAACGATCCATGCCAGTGAAGGCCCCTAAAGCACAGTAAGTCCTCTGCTTCTTTCCCACTTTGGCACCACATATTCAATACTGACGCTAACCCGACGTAGGGATAATCCGTTGGCGCAACGCGGAATTCAAGCAATTGGCCTTATATACCACTTGTCAAAACGAGTACCAGATCTCATTCAACAGTCTCACCTTGAAAGAAATGAAGGTACGTGGGGGGATTTCTTAATATTTTCTCCGCATGTTGGTTCTGACGTATTTTCTTCAGCATGGGCTGCATACTGGTCACCAGTATTCAACGCACTGACCACCCAGTGCCTAAATCCTTGCCGCGATATTCGACATCAAGCAATCTCGGCACTGCAACGATCCCTGTTGTCGCCTGAACTTGCGTCGACGGATCATACGGAGTGGATCGCGATTTTTGGAGAAGTCCTATTTCCTCTCATTCTACGACTTCTGAAACCTGAAGTGTACCAATCTGACCCGGTGGGAATGAGCGAAACCCGAGTCCAAGCAGCAACCCTCGTGTGCAAAATCTTCCTTCATTATCTTGTCCTGCTTTCGGAATGGGATGGTATGTTGGATCTATGGCTGAAGATTTTGGATATTTTAGACCGCATGATGAACAGCGGTCAAGGGGATAGTCTTGTAAGTTCTCTTATTGTCCGGAGTTGCCGTGATCCTATTCGCCATGCTTCATGGGTTTCTGAAAGCTGACGGATTTGTTTTGGATATAGGAAGAAGCGGTACCTGAAAGCTTGAAAAACATACTCCTCATCATGGCGGATGGGGGTTATATAGCTCCACCTACGGAAGACCCGTCGAAAGAAAAGATTTGGGTGGAGACGCAGAAGCGCCTGGATCGGTTTCTTCCTAACCTCTTCGCTGAGATACCTTTCAAAGCCGAAGTGCAAAAACCTCAACCACCACAAACGCCAACACAGCAGGAGCCAACATCTTCGATCACCCCTCCTGAATTACCGCCTCAACCAGACCATGAAGAGAGCCATAGCCATCCCACAGCCAATGAGACATTGGCCAAGACTGATGTTTTGGACGCTGTCGACTAAGCCAAGCCAGGGTTTTTAGATATTTTGCCACCTGGGTGATTGAGAGTGGGGACCTGTGCATGCTGTTGTATAAGGAGTCGATCATTGCAGTCTTACCTCATCTAGACAACTTCGAGTCATTTTTGTTATTTTATCCGAAGCCTGGACATTCCTCCAAACACTCTGTACTTACCTCACATCATTTTAAGTTCTTTATAGAGAAAGGAAGATAGCCACTCTCCAGTGGTCTTCTCTTGCCTAGTAGATGTCTTGCTTTTCTTTCGCCGAGTTGCTAAACAAGCCACCCTCAGTCGGTCATCCAACGGTTAAGGGCTGCCAACTCAGCCACAGCCCCGCTAAGCTGCACATGATGCAAGAACCCATGTCAAGCAAACTTACTAGCAGATTGTATCGGGAAACGTTCCAGGAAGTGGCAGCGTAGTAGCGGTTGATCAAAGTCCCGAATCTGCCTCAGTCACGGCATCTGCTCCCCAACCATGTATGAAGCTGAAGATCAAATATTTAACTCACGAACCACTTCAATCCCTATTGCTGCCAAACCTTCTTTCAACTCGTTTTCCAGCGTGTCCAGACAGTTTCACAGTTTAAACACGCCTCTGTCGATCCCTTCCATATATCCTAAGTGGTTCGTCTCAATTGTTATTTGACAGTTTGAAGAGAATTCCCAGATTGAATAACAGGGAATAAAAGCTCCAGGATGAATCTGGAATCGACATCACAACGCATTAACCTCCACATGCCTCTTCTCCGCCCGCCTCTTCGCCGCTCGTACTAGTCGACAGTATGACTCATAAGCTTTTCTGAGCGCTTCCAAACTCAAAGCTCAGCGGCAGTCAAAAAAGGGTTCCCAGCGGGCTGTTTTGCCTTTTCGAGGCCAGGCGCGTCTCTCACTCTCTTTTATTTTCCCACCCCGCAGGCAGAATGGCTCCAGCAGGGCCATCAACCATGTGTCACGTTCTTGCTCTGGTCCAGCGCGGTGTCCTGGTTCGGCATGGTGCAACTTGTTGTGTTTAACGCAGGCTATTATTACGTGTATTAGTGTCTTTGTGTGAAGAATGTCCAGATTCGGAGGAAGCGATTCTCTCCATTGATTTAAATATACACAGCTGACGAGGAGGAGAAGCTGGGTTTTGTGAACATCCTGTACTGGAGCAGGTGCTCTGTTCGGGGGCAAATGGCGTTTGCTTGTCCAGAGCCCCTAGCCACGGTTCTTTCCAAACTCATGATCATGATAGCACTGTACACAGGTATCCCCGCTTTCCCCAACCCGCCTGGCCGTCTTTTGTGGGTGTACTGCGTGTTCTTGTTGGTCAGCTCCGTATCATGGAACCGGGGTCCTTGGTTACCTTGGCTTCTTGGTCCTATTGCGGTAGCTGAGTTTGGGATCTTTGTATCTTCTTCACCCCAGGTCCATTTAATTTTCAAGTCTGTGAAGTCATTAGAAAGTTTAGTCGTTTCAATCTAAACGATGGCTATCATTTCTCGCCTCCGAGTTGGTTATTTATGAGTATAAAACTATCCGAGTCGCCCCCACGCCCTTATATAAACTGAAGCATATAGCTTTTTCCATATCCACCTTAAAATAACCATAATAACCAAAAACATCCATATTCATTTCCTCGCATATATCTGATATTATTCAACGATCAAAAGACATCGCCCAGCGCACATCTCGAGACTTGATGGCTAGTATTGACCCTCGCACGACTTCCGAGTTCTCATCGAGGGCCGCTGGTATGGTTCTCCCCTTTCTCAATACAAGAGGCATCAACTCTCAAAACGCAGATAAGCTAACAAACAAGTAAACTTCCAGAAAATGTCGACACCACCAGGAAGGGAGTATTACAATCTACCAAAAGCGAGCCCGCGCAAAGGATAAGCGACCCGTTCGCCAACCACCGGACGCATGACAATGATCCATTTGACAGATCTGTATCTACCGAGCCAGATACTGGCACTTCTCCATCTCAAGTTGATAGGCGGATGAGCAAGGAATGGGGTACGTGGTAGCTCTTTTTGTTTGCAATGATCGTAGCCCGCCTTGTGGCTATGTATGCTATCAATTTTTGCCATCATCCTGTCTGCTTGACACAGGCAGTCATTACTCTCGAGACCCATTTCTGGAAATTAAAAGACTGCCTGGACAAACGAATTACAGGTTGTATAAGTTACCAAGCTGATTTGATCTTTATTTATTACTCCTGAAAACAGACGCAGCCAAGGTCCCGCCGTCAAGGTTCCAACTAAGGGAAGGGAGCATATTTTCGACATCGAGTTCGAGGGATAGTCATATAACACGGAAGGACCGCGATGTTGCTTACCATGCGAAACTAAAGGAGAAGGTTAGTTGAAGCCTACACCATTGCCTTCGACGACTCCTATATTTCCCTGGAGTATACAAATAGGCGCGTTGACGATGGTTATGTTATGTTTTGTTTTTGTAGGGCTGGCTGTAATCCGATTTTGCCTCGTGACGTCACTTTATTTCGAACTTCACGGTTGTCTCTTCCAACATTCGAACGGAGAACTATACACCTGCATCCCGTGCAGGTTCAAACTAGGACTCACATAAGCCTGACGTGAAGCCGATAACTCATGGATGGACAGAGCTGGGGCGATTCTTCCCGCCTCTCACTTCTTGCTCTCTTGAAGTCTGATTCAACCCTTGCGGAATTGTTTAAGCGTACAGTTTTCATTCCTCATTGCCATATTTTATTTTATTTTACTTTATTTTTCGTACACCTATTATTTTCGCCTTTTAATTTGCACAAATGGGGTTCTATTTGAACCAGATATTGTCTCCAGCCAGATCTCAGCTTCATCACTTTCTAAGGACTAAGCGGTGACTGCTCTCCCCTTCAACGAAATGTTAAAATAGGACCGTTTACTCGGAAGACATTTCAGCTACTTTCAAAAACCTTCTCTCATAAGAAATTTTTCCGAAGAAATATCCGAATAACGTTCAGCCACGTATGGTCACTTTTTTCGAAGGCATAATGGGATTTTCTTTAACTTCAACTGTCCCAAATAACCCCCTCTCCGTTAGAAGTAGAGGGTGAGAAACGAGACCCTGGACGAGAACTACCTCTATCCATGGTTTACTACTTCCTTTTTTTCCACCCCGCAGCTGTTGAGCCCTTAAGTTTCATGTGCTGGTTGGTAAGCATTGGGAATACAAGAACCCCTATCCCGCCTTGTTCAATTAATGTCGCCAAGCAAGCCTGAAAAAACACTCGCAGACTCAGAGCCACTCTACTCACAAGAAGCCAGGACGTTTTCCAGAGTGCCCCGTAGAGGAACGATGGGCCAACCAATCGCTCTCTGAAATATTAATCAGGCTATACCTTCTATAAATCTGTGGACATGGACCTTATCAAACGTAGAAGAAGTGCTTGCACAAGTTGCTTCCAGAAAGAAGGCGTTCAGATAGCAGATACGATGTAGGAATTGATAAAAACGCACAGAGATGGAAAATTCAACTGCTCATATTGCTCTAATACATATTTGCTTTCTGAAATATGATCATGCAAATTGATTTTACATAAAGGAAGGGGAGAGGCAAGGATGGAAGAGAAGATTCAAAAATATGTTCAATCAAGAAGAAATGGCAAGTCGCTCACCCTAAGTCTATTCACCCCACGAACACCGACAAACTCCAGTGGGAAGAAATAAAAACTTTTTCCCCGTCTCTCTATTTCCCTGCCAATGTCATTTTGCAGCTGGCTGATCCCAAATTGAAAAGGGGGAACGCCAAGGCATTGACCTAGGCTAAATTGTAGACAATGTGGCTGGGTCGGAATGCGGAAGTGAGCAATGAAGTAAGAAATAATACAAAGGGAAAGCAAATCTGTCAAGGACCGTGGGGATGGAAAGAGAACATTTTAAAAAGAAAACAGATCGAGATAATGGTCGGAGTTGCAACTTACAAAGCCGTTCCCGGATGCACATAGTGACACAAAGGAAAATCAGCATGAAAGAGGGAAGTGGCTAACATATAGTGTATTTATTGCGCGAATGCAGAGCTGAGTCCGCGCAAAGAGATAACAGGTAAAGCTGAAATGTGGTGGGTAAATGAGACAATAAAGGGGTATCTCTGTGTTAGGTTTCTTATGGCACTTTCTTAACCTTCTCCATTCATGTCTTCATCGAGATCAATTGCATCAGGGTTTGCAGGAACTTGCAGCTGCTGTTCTTGTTGTTTGTTACCATTAGTAGGCAATGGCCTGTTTCCACCTTCCGGTCCGGTGCTTGCGGGAACAAAACCCATGGGTGCTCGAGCTTGTCTTTCCAACGCTGCCATCGCATCAGCACGGTCTTGCCCCTCCTCTTCAGCCCCCGCAGCGTCTTTGACAAGTTGCTTGCTACGAGCAATGGCTTGTGAAGCAATGAAGTTGACGTCGGTACTACAAGGTTTAGTATTAGTTTAACGTGTAAAACAAACGTGGAGCAGTCAAAAAGGGTAGCGGGATTGAAGGTAAAAACATACTTGTACTGGGCCTGGACACTTCGTTTGATGCGCAGCATTTCCTTAAATGTATCTTCGTTGCCATGCTGAACTTCGAACGCCTCCCATTTTTGCCAGAACCCGGCATTGGTACGCGGATCACAGAACTGAGATGCATGGCCGTAAATAGCACGAGCTCTATCAATCTCACCCAGACGACGCTCCATCTCAGCAAATTTGAGGCACATTTCCTTTGCCTCGTTGTCCGGCAACGCTGTGATGGCGCGCTCGTAGATAGGGCGCGTTGATGTCAACCCGAAGTTGGAGGCCGATTTCGTGATGTAGAAGTTGAACATTTCAAATCTGTCGGAGTCAGCGACCGCACGAGTTGCGCGTTCGTATATTCTCATGGCGTGTCGAGCAAGCCCTCTTTCTTCTTCTAGATTGCCATACATCAAGTAGAGAGGCTTCGCAAACTGGGGTGGGCATCCGTCAACGGCTTGTTCGAACAAGTCTCGTAATCGTTCGATTGAGGTTTTGCGATCCACAGCCTTGGTTAAATATAGATTCCACAATTCGAAGGCAACGGGGTAGCTGAAGAGGTCAAGGCCCCGCTCGTAAATTTTAAAAGACTCCTCGAAGTAATTATTTTCTTCCAAGAGGTTCGCATAATTAACGACCGTTTGTGGTGTTGCAATTCGCAGTTCGAAAATGCGTTCATACACTTTCTTCGTTTCTTCGAGAGTCCCAACGCTTTCGACGAGGTCAACATAAAAACTCCACAGCTTCCAGCTCTTGTGGATCCGTTGTTGGGGTGAGAGAGTTTCATCAAAGTAGTCTACCGTAGATCGCTTTGGAGCCTGTGTCGCTTTTGCCATGATGTCCACGGCTCTGTCAAAGTTTTCGCTGCGCAATTCCATCTCAGCCCACTCGCACCATGTCTCAGCCAGTTCGGCCACCGTCTTGAAAGGCACCTTGACGGCCTTGTCCATAATTACCCTAGCTGTATCAAGATCTCCACCCTGTTCATAAAATTTCGCATAGTTAACCCAAAGCTCGTGGAACTTGCCATGGGCTTTCTTAGGATGGATAGTTGCAATGGCCTTCGTGTATGTTTGAACAATTTCGGCTTTATTATCACCCCACAGCGCTACACGTTTACTCCATTCGATCACATTGTTGGGGTTCTGTCTGAGAAGCACATCGTTGACGAGGAAAGGTCGGCGATCCATGAGTTGTTCAAATCTCAGCATTCGAAGGTCTAGATCGAAATCGGCGGCCTCATCAACTTTTCCCTGGTCAGATCGTAAAGCTGCCTCCTCCATCAGGTGTCCTATGATAGATTCTTCAAATTCCACATAGGCATCGAATACCATAGTAAAATCCCGAACAGTCATGACGGTTGTGATGCCTTCCTCAAAAATATCTCTCGCCTTTTCGAAATTTCCGCGGGTAATCCAATAGGTAGCCAAGCCAGCCCATAGCTTTCCCCTCTGGTCAGCGAATCTATCGATTCCACTGCGAATGATCAAATCGACATCAATACCAATCTCAGGGCCGACTTCGATATCCTTTGCTTTGTTGACAAGTAGCTCAACCATATCAGTCCACAATTGAAATTGGCTTTTCCCGTTCTTCGACTGAAATCTAGGATTATCTAGAATTTCCATGTACTTCTTCACGGCTTCAGTGTATTTACCCATCTCAACCAAGATATCGATATATTCTTCGGCGTTCTCGGGATGGACTTGCATGTACCTACGCCATATTTTTATCGCAGTGTCTCCAGACGCTGAGTAAGCGAAGGCCTTGTAAAGCTTCCAAATCCGATTATGCTGAGTAACTGGTAGCGCGCGTAGTGCCCTATCGAAAGTCCGGCGGGTGTGTGTGATCATTGGCTGCTGAAGTAGAAATGTGAGAAACATCTCCCATATTCGCGGCATCTTGTTGAGCAGGATGACAGCGCGTTCAAATAGGCCATTGACTTTGAGATATTCCGCACGATGAACCGCCGGATTCCGCCCTCTGAGGTGCTTCATACGGAATTCAAGATACTAAGAAAAAAAACAGGAGCACAAAGTGAGCTGGTATCCGACATTGAGGGAGTGTAATCTGCGCTTACCATTTTCCACAATTTATATGACCTGGGCAGTTGCCTGCAAGCCCGTTCCATGACCTTTATCAACGTTATTAGCCGCCTGTGTCTCTAAGAGGAGGTGGAGAAATAAAATGTGCACGTACAAAGGCTTGTTCATAGGAATTGCCTTGCTGGTGCTTGAATTCAATGTAAGACAGCCAGGGCGTAATGCTGTGCGGGTCGCGCAGAATGTCTTGTTCATAGACAGTATCATCATTCCCCTTCAAAAGGATTAGCAAATTTTGAAAAAAAAAAAAAAAAAAAATCAGATCCATGGACCGAGAAAAATAGGGCAGCGGCTTACAATCAAGTAGAGATCGGGCTGGGCTGGCGTGTTCTTGTCCATCTTTGCCTGGCGCCCTTCCTGGGGACCTCCGTCCAAAAGTGTCCCGGGCATCTCACCACCCACAAGAGCGTGACCCTACGCGGGCGCGCGCTGCGTTGATATACGAAGAGACGGACTGCCAGGAGAACACAGAGTCATTGCTGGCGCGTGGGTTGAAGAGATGTCGTCTGTCGCCGACAATGTTTCCTAGCTAGGTCGTGTCGGGTCACCTGACTGGGCTAGGGATGCCAAGGCTTTCTGTCTTTTATTAGAGCGACCTAGCCAGATGGCCCAAGCGTCCTGGGCGCCAACTTGGAATGACGAACTGCATTTGGACGCAGCAAGGACAACTACTCAGTCGAAACAGCTAAATGCAAGTTGTGCGGCCTCATTTGCGGGCCGCATCCTATCAACTCTCTTCACAATGTCTGGAACAGGGGTATGTTTTATTCCACGCCTTGCTCTTGTGTATATGCTCATCATTAATTTGTTCTTTAATCGTTTCAGGACCGGGAAGCTGTCTTTCCAACCCGGCAATCGCTGGGATTAATGAAGGGGAAGCTGAAGGGTGCGGAGACAGGGCACAGTCTTCTGAAAAGGAAAAGTGAAGCTTTGACTAAGTGCGTTCCATAGCAAATGATATCTAATATTATGTTGTGTACTAATTTTTATTTTCACCCACGAATAGGCGGTTTCGAGGTATGAAACGTTTGAAGCCCGCATCTTCCTACCTAGTCTAATGTCATATATTAATAGAAATCACCAAACGGATCGATGAGGCAAAACGGAAAATGGGTCGCGTTATGCAGATAGCGGCTTTTTCCCTCGCAGAAGTTACATATGCTGTTGGAGGAGATATCGGTTTCCAGGTCCAGGAATCTGCGAAACAGGCACGGTTCCGTGTACAGACGAAACAAGAAAATGTCTCTGGCGTAATGCTGCCTCAGTTTGAGAGCATAACGGCCGAGGGCAGCAATGATTTTGGTCTGACAGGCCTGGGAAAAGGAGGGCAACAAGTCCAGCGTTGTCGAGAGACATACTCAAGAGCCGTTGAAACGCTCGTCGAACTAGCTAGCTTACAGGTACAGCCTCGTGACCAACCCCCCAACAATCATCTTCTCGACCATGGCAAACAACTGACGGGTGTTGTACGATATTTATTAGACGGCATTTGTGATACTAGATGAGGTCATCAAAGTGGTGAATAGACGAGGTATGTTGCCCTGGCTGCGTTGTTGACTCGGTTAAGTTGCTAACTACAACTCATATCAGTCAATGCCATGTATGAAGCACCCTTCCCTCCTTCGGTTAACTGACAGTCAGACGTCACCCTAAGTTACCCTGTACAATTGGGGTACTCTAATATTCCTTTTCGGATATGGTTTATATTGGTTTGAACCGAGGATTAATATCTAGCTGGATACATTTAGTGAACATGTTATTATCCCCAGAACTGAAAATACTATCAAATGTAAGTGGCTCAAAGTGAAAGTAAATGTCATTGCAGATTACTTACATTTCACTAGACATCAACTCAGAGTTAGACGAACTCGACCGAGAAGAGTTTTACCGACTAAAGAAGGTAACTACAATTGACCCGAACATGTGCCAGACTGGAGTGAACTAACCCGCCATCAACTTGTTAGGTATCGAACAAAAAACAGAGAGACACGGCAGCCGCTGATGCTGAAATGAAAGCCAAACGAGAAGCAGCAGAAAAAGCTGAAATAGCAAATTCACAGCCAACGGATACCACTGCACCTGCCGATTTGCTTGGAGAACACGAGGATCAGGATATTATTTTTTGATTGCAACGCCTTTGGACCATTGTATAATTTCTATGCGTATTGCTTGTAGCACGATATATGTAGTAATTTTCTTTTCTTTTATACAATCATAAACTTGTCATTCATAATATATTTTGAGATAAAATATAAGAAACAAGAAAACTCAGGAGCGCATTCTCCCATTCATAAAAACCAAACGCCAAAAGAACATAACACAGCCACCTCACAAAATCGCATTGCAGATTCCCATCGAAAGCAGAAAGTATAGGGTAAACATAGGACAAATAAAGTGAATAAAATCCCTTACTGCCTCTGGTACGTCACCCGAATAGGTTTCCCATTCTCTCCCAACGGCATACCAGATGTAGCCTCCTTGGCGCTGATAGCACCAGTCTCTGCTTCATATTCCACGAACGCAATTCCTTTCCGGCCTGGTACCATACGCACTTCCTTGAAGCCCTCGAATCTACCGAAGACTGCAGTAAGGCCATCCTGATCTAACGAGTCAGGAATCTCCCGCAAGAACAGAATCTTATTAGGAGGTAGGTATTCGTCTGGTATAACAGGAGCAGCAGCGGCGTTGGAAGGCTTCAAGCCGGTACCTCTGGTGACCTTTGATGGGCGGGTTTCCGCGCCTCCTGGCGCCGCAGCTCCACGCTTCAGCTTCTTCTGCGCCTCGAGCGCTTCCTGTGCTTGTTTTCTCTCTGGTTGTTTGAACAAGTGGGAAAAAATGCAAAAATCAGTCACGAGCCCCATGTATACAAGACAAAAACAAAAAACTGACCCTTCTCTGCTAACCGCTTCCGTTTATGGGCCTCCAACTCCGCCTCCCCTTGTTCCTTCAGCACTGTCGCATCGCTTCGGGTCTTCGCATAGTCCAACACCATGGGTTTCTCAAAGAGCTCAAACCCGTTGATCTCCTCAATCGCACGCGTGGCGGAGTCTACATTATCAAAGACGACAAAGGCCTGACCTTTTGCTTTGAGGTTTGTCTTCGCGACAATATCGATGATGTTGCCGTATTCGGAGAAGATTTCGGTTAACGCCTCTTTGAGGGACTCGATTTTGATTCTTTCTTCAAGATTACGGACCTGCACGCATGGGAATCGCGATTTCCCCTTTGGTTAGCCTCCTAACATTTATTTATGTTGCGTCTGGGAAATATTTCGCTCTTTCTTCTGACGTACATAGATGCTAGAGAGAATAGCAGAACGAGGTCAAGGTCAGTAAAACTTGCATAAATCAAGGACTAGGGTGGCCGAACACGCACGTCGAGTTGGGGGCTACGCCAGACGCCGTGGCAGCTACGGCTGCCATGATGAATGAAAATTAGCGCTCCTGAAGCTGTCGATTGGATCTTGTCAAACTGGGAGAATCGCAGCCACGCGATAAGTTGTTCGCATTGGATTACAAGGGCTTCGGCCGAATAGTCGGCCCGTGATGTATAATTTTAAGTAGATTAAAGTTGCACCGAACATAGCATAAGAGCAGCATCATTGGTCTAGTGGTAGAATTCATCGTTGCCATTCAACTCTGGAACCCCTGTTCCGGATTCGTGTGATTCGATGAGGCCCGTGTTCGATTCACGGATGATGCATTACCTAACCATCTCTAATATTTTTCTGTTTCATTTTCCTCCTTTTTTCAAATTTTTTTTTTTTCGATTCATATGGCGAAGCGACGATATAAAAGATTCATAACATTTTGGTCGGTGTTTCTCAATTCATGCTATTTGCGGGTACGATAATTCCCCATTGTTCATTGTTTGGTGAATGTTATCAGTTGACATAAATATATATCTCTCCCATCCTCACACCCAAACAAACTACCAGTAAAATCATCCCATGGTTAATTATTAATTAATAGACATATCCATTGCCCGAGTTAATTGCAAATATGGACAGCTATTGAGAGATATCATGTGGATGACGAGAAAGAACTAGTCGCAAATTATCAACCTTCGCTTTCAATTGCTTTGGGGGACTTGACCAGTCTTCGCCTTTCATTTCCTCAATATGGCTCTCCATATATAAACAGTCCGCGGCAATGGTTCGGATCTATTCGTGGTTAAAAATAAGAAAAGCAACGCAGTGGGAACAGGGCCCCATGACAGGAGCCGGGGGAATGTACCTTAGGATATGGATGCAACAGCATTCCCGTCAGCTTTTTCATGGCGTCTCCTCTAACAACATTCAGCCTCCAAAGGAGTGCATATACTTTTATCGCAGCTTCAATCCGGGCCATATTGGCTGATTTATAATGGAACTTTTGAACAGCAACGAAGAGATTTTGGTAGCTGTCAGGATAAGGGGTAAGAAGGGAAAAAGACAACCATTAGCAAGATCAGCATTGCTACTGAATATATGGTGAAATACTCACTTGATATTCGGATCAGGGGAATTATGCAAGAAGTAGTTGTCAAGTAAGAACACAATCATTTCTACAGCTGGGATAGCATAACGATCGTCATCATTATCGCTTTCCAGTATCGAGAGCCAGTCTTCGATAAGTTTAGCACATATATTGTTTTTTTGCTCATCGTTCTGGCTATTTATGTATTGCAAAAGCGCGAAGCGGGCGGATCGGACTACTACTTCGGTACCGGTGGTAGCGGACGTTACCATGCCTTTAGAGAGCGAGTGACGAAGCCAGTCAACCTGTAGTAAGTCGCAAAGTTGTAAGAAATAGTCTGCCGTAGAGACTTGGCTAAAATGCTCAAATTTCCTAAGGAAATTTCTGTTAGGACCATGTGCTTTTTGAAAAAGAAAAATTTTTGTTCTTTTCTTTTCTTTTCTTTGGAGAGATCCCTGGGGCCTTACTTTGTTAGAGGAGGCAAGTCCGTGGATGTCTCCCAAAATGTCTTAAAACATTTCCACGCGTGAAAGCGGACTTTGTCAAGTTTTTCTGCGGTGAGGCGTACAACACAGCTCATCAAGTCCTTCAGGTAGACAGGTGCTGAGCCAGGTGGCACTTTCGATTCAAGGATGACATTAACTGCCTCGATCGCCTCAAGCCTGATGAACGAACCAACATCACCTCTTCGGTCCGTTGTGTAGTCATTAAGAAAGGTCTTGAAGTGCCCAGCAAGGGATTCTACATCATCTATCGCATCCTAGCATATCAGCCAAAAGCTCATAATATATATATATATATATATATATATATATATGAAGGAATATTGTTATCATACCTATATCCGGCAACACACCAGAAGCAAGACACTTCACAGCTGACGACCGTTTAGCGATTTTCTCTTCCACCCCGGTACAATCGATGAGCTTATCTATAATAAACTGCCTCCCTTCACCAGCTGTCGGCATCCGTTTGAAAACCGCACCCAATGCTGCAATTTGCCCGCGCCCAGTCTCCAACCGCCAGTTATCCTGAATATTGTTGAACCATTTTTGCACAACCTCCAACTTTTGAGAGTTAGGAAGTAGTGCGAATAAGTACGAAGCTGCTTGCGATGAGGCCTCAATCGGAATATCATCTGGTCGAAACATACATAACAGCAAGACCTCAATAACTTTATCAAGCAATCGAGGAGATGGGTGGGGGAGAGTAGGGTGGACATCATTTTGTTGCTCCTCGGGCCCGCAGGAGCGAGAAAGAGAAGAGATAAGATATGCGCAAGCCTCAGCAGTGAGGTCAGGGCGTAGAGTATGATCCGTCAGGACGTCCGCTGTTGGGGCGATAGCAGAGTCAAAAATAGTCCCCCAAAGATCAGTAATTTGAGCCACGACCTTTTTGGTATACTCGGGCGAACAGGATTTGCCACCTCCCTGGTTTCTATGCCTGATGAAAGCATCAATAGTAGCAGCAATAGATAAAAATAGGCCATGTCTTGCCTCAACAGCTTGTAGTGGTGTCGTAGAAAGCTGTTGTACAAGTCGCTCAAGCATTATGCTCAAGGACTTGTATGATTCCTGAAGGCTTAAATCGCCGAGGACACGAGCAGCAGTTCGTCGCGACTCTGCGTCAGGAGAGCCAATGCCCCTCCACTGTAAGAAGCCATTCACGAGGGGTTTCCAGTACAAAGTTCCTATATCCGAAGCCCCTGTTGCAACATCGATCATCGCCCTCGACCTGCGAGCAACGGCATGATAATCAACAACCTGAATCAAAGGAATGCCTTCGAAAATTGTATCTGGATGGCGACCAACAAGCTCCTGCAATGCAGCAGAAGCGCCGCGTCGAACATTTCCCGAGGGATCTAAACATGCAGCACAGACAAGTTCTATCACAAGAGCTTGCAACGTACTCCCATCTTCCTGGTTTGTTGTCACCTTCAATTCCTGGGCGTCGAGGTCCTGTAGTTCGCTAGTCGTGTACTTCCGAGCTAAAGCCCATATTCCAAAGCATGCAGCATCTCTAACATTGGTTCCGACTGAACTACCCGTCGATGACCGTTGCTCAAAATCTAGTCCAGATACTAGTGACTGAAGCACTTGGGGAAGCAGGGCGGTTGGTGGCGAGCGGCGGTATAGTAAATGCGCAAGAGTGAGGATCAGACCCTGCCACTTTTGAGGGCATACGGCGCTTATGTTGCGCTTCCGTAACTTAACGTCGACATTCTGGGCTTCAGATGGCGTGATTAACGTGCCATCCTGCCTCTCATAAAGGATATTCTCATCCAGTGAACTAATAACTGCCTCTACGATATCGGAAGCCATATCTGGAGCCAGCTTGAGAGTAATCATGCTAAGTGCCTTGCTCGCTGCCAATCGTACTGGGGTATCTCTATCACCGAGCGAGACAAGGAAGTAATCAATTGCGTTCTCCAGGATCATCGACACAGTCTCCTCAGGAATTTGATGATGTCCAGGGCTCTCTTCCAACGATATCACGAGAGTCGTGATAGTCCGGAGAATCTTTACCATCGACTTCCTGGCAGATGCAGACGACCTAATCGTCTGAGCAAGGGGTGATTCTCCTTCAGATAAGGGCAGAATTCCGTTAAATATCGGCACAATAAATGAGGCCAAATCGCCAACTTGCCCAGATGCCCCAAGCCTAGAGATAAAAGAAAGCACTCCAATACAGGTGTATACCGGCGGCGGAACTATACCTTCAGTTTTCGGATGTAGAATATCCAGCGCCCACCGCATGAGAGAGTCTAAAAGGCCCAATCGTTGCATATCCACCCGCAGGGAAAGTCTAGACAACAACAGGGTAGCAGCCTCCCGTTCCTTCCCAGGAAGCACAACATACTTAAGACATATCGAAAGAATCGAACAAGACACACGGGGGATATCCGGGGATAGATCAGGGACAACCGAAAGATTATCATACGGCACCGGCAATGTCTCTGACGAGATAGACGCGAGGTCGAACGGCGCAAGAAGTAGATGAGATAGCCAAAGAAGCATTACGTATCTCTCTTGCCAAATTAGAGACTTGGGCTGAGCGTTCGTGCTGGCTGTTTCACTGGTGTCTGCCTCGGGGGTGGCGGCATCACTGTCCCATTCAATGAAGACGCGCAACATGACTTCCAGATATTTTGGCTCATTGTTGAAAAACCAGCTAATGACTTTGACGCCACGGATTTTGCAGAGCGTGTATAGAATCATGCAGATTGCCCTGGGCAAAGGAATCAGAGGGCCCATTGTGGCTCTGCTCTGCATCGAAACGTTCGATGACGCGAGCACATATTGAGCTCTATGCACTTCCAGATATGCTAAGAATGCATCCACTAGGTTTGATAGTATATCTTGCAGATATGGATCTAAAAGCTGTGGCCATTCTTGAAATGGTTCCAACTAAGATTGTCCACCAAAGGGAGAAGAAGAACACGCCCCAATGGGAAATGTTAGAATAGTCCATAGATTATAGTCATATATATATATATATATAAACACTAGTATTTCCCTTCATGAGACAGAATTATAAACTTACGAGAGTTATCAGTTTTAAAGCCTTGCGAACTTGTGCTAGCCGATGGACCTCACGGCCGCCGCCAGGACGCGATTTCCAGAGGAGCAGGACGAGTTTTGATCTTGCTTCTCGTATCAAATCATTAGAAGCACGCTGAAGTTTAATGTCTCTGTCCTGAGGAGCATCCATATTTTGAGTTCACTTTTCAACTGTCTTTCTCTTTGGCTTTTACTCCAACAGCAGATTCGTGGTTTGCTTCTTGGAGGAGGCGTCCAGGGCTGTGGGGATGGACGACACGTGACTTATATCGCAACTGGGGGATGATCCTAAGGATGATGCACAATCTCTTGCTACAGACATAGAACTGGATTCTATTCGGTGCTCACGATTCATAGTGAAGTGGATTTGAAGACAATACATTCTGCAATCTCATGGCCTACAAAGTAAAAACGCGGAAAAACAAAATTGAGGGGTATAAACCAAAGTGCTTCATAATTCCATATCATCCGGTCCGTATTCATGTCTTTCGTCATAAGCACATACCAATCATAAGACATACAAAGCATGAAAAGAAAAAGAAAACGAATAAGCTTAACGACATTCGAGCTCAAGCAAACGGAGATTTGAGCTTTATCATCCAGTCCAGCAACAGTGTATACCACCACCATCGAGTGGCCCATCCCATGACATAGCTGCTCAATTGAATAACACCAACGAACTATTCCTGGGGAAAGATAACTACATCTTTCGATATTAGGCCAACGTAATACCTAGAGGTCCGGGTCCACCGAATCGGCCTCATTGCAATCCATCCACATCACGTCCCCCTGTCCTTCCGCTTCTAGTTGAGCCATTGTCTTCCGCATCCGTACAACAGCAATGGCAACAGCGAACGAATTCCACACATCCTGGGCAATCTCGCCAAAATCAAATTGCGAGATGAATTTTGCAGAGAACCTTGAGTCCAGGATAGGGTGCACCTTGGGGTCTGAGTTTAGGGTGAGAAGGGCAACGATTGGCCCGCAGACCAGAAACCCTGTAATAACGGGAAATGAGCGACTGGAATAATATCGGTCAGCGCTGTCGCATCGGTCATTTTCATCGTTCTTGTTGTTGTTCTTCTTTTCATCGAAACTGGTTTCGACGCTAGGAGCTACTTTCCAAGCCACGCGGTAACGATTGGCTAACATGACTAGACGGTGATTGAGGGTTTGGAGGGCATCGCGAGTGGATTCGGATGGTTTAAGAGAATATATAGCGTGAACGGGAATTGCATTTGGACGATTGAGGAGGTTAGAATCATATAATGCCCATTTAATATATCTCGTAATGGCGCGACGGATAACTGGCTCGGGGCGAAGGTGGATTGATTGGCGGTCCCTAACTTGACCGCCAAGCTCAAAGAGATCGGTGAGAGCATTGATAGCTGGCATACAGTTAGTTTGAAAATAGTGATAAGAGAATAGCTGTGTGCGAGAAAGATTTTGTATATATGTAGTCTTACCACGGAAGTCTGAGCCACCAGTCGCATTTATGTACGGAGGGGTAATATCTCCAGGGAGTCCAAACAACGATTCAGGAAGGGTGCTGAAATCTAGTTGCCAATTGCTAGGCACGAGAGGCTCGAATCCTCTCATTGCAAGGCGATAGAAGAGATCCTCCTCCGCTTCGGCCCAGTGGCCCTTCGGTAATTTAATAGCAGCAACCCAGCGTTCCGCTCTCTCCAGAGAGAAATCAAATGCCACTTCTTTCCTTTCATTTTTTCTCACATTGTGCTGCTTCCCCACGACCTCCTCTTCGCTTAGCTCGTTTTCCACGGTCTGATGGACGATGCTCTTGGTAAGATTCTTGTCCACAGCGTGTGGCGAAGGGCGGTAAGTACCGTCTGTGTCACAAGAGGTCTTCGAGCCGCGGTTTACCTTATCCGGACGCGGGTGCACTTGGAGAACTTCATCATCGCCATCGGCTCCCAAATCATCGGTGGTAATCTGGGAATCCACGTCTGCATCGTCACAGACATTGGGCTCGCCATTGACTATATCCGAACCTTCAGCGCCACTTTCAACTCCAGAGCATGCCATTGACTCAGTATCGTCAACGCCAAGAGTATCACCCTCAAGCAAATCCCGCTCCTCATGCAGCTGTGATGCTGTCGTCTCTCGATCGCCCACATACACCAAGCCCTCACCGACCCGTCGTCGTTTGGCTGGAGTAACCTCATCCACCGCAATCGTATCGCCCTCGAGATCATACTCGCTGTCGCTGATTTGAGTTCCCGATTGAGGGCAACGACGATCAAAACCCAATTTCCTCTTCAGGCCCGACTTAGCTGGAGTTGGAAGTTGCATAAAGTTCCTGTAAGCGTCTTTGGGTGTCTCCATGATTTCACTCATCTTGGAAGCACGGTATCCCGTTTTCCCTTGCGGGTTTACAAACTCAATTCCGTCTCCGCTTCCTCCTCCAAATTGGCTGGACGTGGTGCTTGACAACCAATCTTGCGTCTTGGATGTGGGACTCATTGAACGACGTCGTAAGGCTCTTGTAAATGATTGCGCATACGTCTCGGTTGCGCTGGTCGTGGGAGAAAGAGGTCGTGGCTGTGGCCGTTCGAGAGGGGATTTCTTGGGGGTTAGAAACGAAGAGAGAGATTGGCGGAAAGCCGAGAGGTAACCCATCTTCTTTTATGGATTCAATCGCAAGGCCCATAAACAGTCAAGTTCTCTGAAAGAAATCTACAATATGAAAGAAGGCAAACAATGAAGAAACGTTGCCTTGGTATTTCCGGTCGAAGAAAGCAAGGGGATGGGTCAGATTGAACTATAGTCCTTGGTTGGCTTTGTCCGAAAGCAAGTATCGGGCGTGAACTGGCGGAAGATGGGACGAATTCATTATGAGATTAATGTATGGCTTGCTGTTGTGTTGTCAAGGAACAGCAAGGACAGTGAAGTGAAAAGTGGAAGAATTTGGTGTTGCTCGTGAATTCAAGGAACGCGATTACCCAACATGGCACGCGATGATGTTGGCTCCCCAGGCAGCTGCCAATTTAACCTAACAGGGTTTAGTGTGGCGTTGGTCTGCTGAAGCCTTACACAGGAGAAACTTCAAATATTCACGGATCCATGTGAAGAGAAATAAATAATAATCCGTTTATGTAGAGCTTCGAGGGGGTATATCTCAAATGTCTTACGGAACAAGGACGCTTCAAGGGAGAGACGATAAAAAATAACTCTTAAAGCACAAACAGACAGTGATTGTTATGTATTTTACCCCTTTGACCTCCATCATCTTTTCTCACTGTACACTGAGATTCAATCATTTTGTGACAGCCCTCGATCAACGAAGAGAAATTCATTGTTTGGATATTTGCAATGGAACAAGGAATGGCTAAGCCCGCGTTTGGTCGTCCCACTAGACCCACACTCCGAGATAGGGCCTATCCTCTAGGGAAGGAGGGAAACTGGAAAAGAAGAAAAGAATAGAAAAGGTAAAATGAAATTATATGAACTAACAGCAACAAGTGTAGGTGCAGGGAGATATAATAATAATTAGGTAGATGTAATTTTGAGAAGATTAATCAATGAAAATTCGGACCGTGGTGATGTATAAGCAGAGCTTTGGAAACAAGAGATCAAATAAGCCTAAGAAAAGTCCACCACCTCCGAATCGATGTACTGTAAGTCTGTTGTAAATTAATTGGGTGCAGGCGGCTTTTTTTTTGTTCTTTTTTTTTTTTCAACAAAAAAATTATTAAAATAAGCCTATGTATCGCCGCCTACCTCAGCAATATGGTTCTGGGACACTCATGCACGCTCGACGGTGTTCATTCGTCTGGAGTCCAGCTCTTCCTCCCCCCCGACGGCCGCTAAGCTGAGGGAATGTATGTATATATGCAGGTATATACTTTTTGTTTCAATCATGGGAAGTAATCTTCGTTAAAGATGGGGGTGTCCGTCGTTGATTGGATAATGGAAATTAAATTTTTGATAAGAGGCGTAGTGATAAAGGGTCTGTGATACTCATTTCAAAATAGACAATGTAAAAGAGAAATTTGAAGAGAAAAAGAGGAGAGAAATAAGAAACCTGAGAAGGATAATGTAAATTCCAAAAGAGGGAGATGGTGGGGAAAATCTGGGAATCCCGATGTGCAGAATTGTTTTAGTTCCTGGAGCAAATCAATTAAACAAAATCGGCGAAATACGAGAAGCCGCGGAATTCCTCCTGCATCGCTTGCGAGAGGACTGTGAAATTGTAAGTAAATGTACAAAATCCAGAAAGATTAACATTGAATGGAATCGGCTGGACATACCAGATTGCACAGGAGTCAACACAGGCGTCACGCTTGTGAACTCTTGATCGAAATTACTTGTATCCGTTGGGTTAGAGATGGTCGGGCAGAATGGTGGAGGCACGCGTTTATGGTATACATCATCCCAGTTAATGTTTCTGAAGAAAGCATGGGACATGATCTCTTGCGCGTCCGTTGGTCCAGATCCAAGTCTCATTTCCGGCTCGTGAGTCAATAGCTTTTGTAAAATCGACACAGAATCGCGGGGCATGTGAATAGGGTAGAGAGGCTCATCTGCCAAGATTGCATCGTAGATTTCGTCTTCGTCTTCGCCACGGAAAGGGGATTGCTGGAGAAGCATCTGGTAAATGAGGACGCCAAACGCCCACCAATCGACCGCGCGTCCGTACTTTTTGTCCAAGAGAATCTGTACAGAATGTGAGTATAGACAAGATTACATGCAAGATGTCAATAGCGGGACATACTTCTGGTGCCATGAATTCAGGGGTGCCACAGAATGTGCTGGTAGTACAGCCGTACCACATTTCCTCCTTGCACAACCCGTAGTCGGCAATTTTGATGTGGCCGTCCAGCGTTAGCAGAATGTTATCAAGTTTCAAATCGCGGTAGATTACGCCGTTCTCATGGAAATATTTTAACGCCAAGCAGACCTCAGCGGCGTAAAACCTGGAATATTATTAGCGCGGGTCAAACTCCTGCTTTTTAAGTGCATATAAATTGTAGGAGAAACTTACTGTGCACGTTTCAAGCCAAACTGACCACGTTGAATATGAAGCATGAGATCACCACCAGAAATATATTCCATGACGAAATAGACACGAGTTTCCGTCTGGAAGCATGCATGGAGATTAAGTAAGAAGGGATGTCGCTCCTTATTAGCAATCAAGAACACACGCTTTTCAGACTTCGTACTCTCCACTTCATCATTCTCAATAATGAATTCCTTCTTTAATACTTTAATAGCGTATAGTTTCTTAGAAGATTTCGTCTCGGCCAGCATAACCTTGCCAAAATTCCCCTTTCCAAGAACCGCCAGGAAGTTGAAATGGTCCAGGCCAACTTTAGGCTTCGGTTGTTGTGGTGGCTGCTGCGTGGCGACCGGTCCCGACTGGGGTTCTTTCACAGGGAGTGCGGACATGGGAGGTTGCGATGTAAGCGGCGTGTGCTGGGAGTGGCCATATTGCGCGGGAGGTGGGGCAACCTGTAGAGGGGGAAGCTGAGGTGCCTGGCCGTATGTGCCTATGCTCGCGTAGGCGCTCGGATCATAGTGGGCATGTGATGGCGGCTGCTGTTGAGGTTGACGGGCGGCATCTGCGATGCCACGAGGATCCGTTTGATACTGATCAGCTGGTCGAACCCCAGGATACTCTCCGGCCCTTTCGTAGGCCGCGGGAGGCCCTGGTTGTGAGGGTGGACGCATACCCGTTGCGGCTGCAGCTGCAGCCGCCGCTGCATTTGAGGAGCCGCGGGGAGGGTGACTCTGTCTGGATGACGCAACCGGTGACTGAGGCGTGTAGGAGCTATGGGCCGCGCTGATTGCCTCCGCGGAAGCAGGTTTCAGGGGCTGTCCATACCCAGGATCTGGTGGTTTCTGTCCACTTTCTCCTGCTGGTTGTGGGCGGCCAGGTGGACGTAAGGTGCGGTTACTCATTCCAGATGCGCCTTTGTTATGATTTTTGGTTTGAATAAGAGTCTCTAAGATTTGGTTGGCAACTTCCATTGACATGCCACAAAAGTCTGGAACGAGATGCGCGCACTGCGCATGGCATGTAAGACTGCATTCTAGTGGGAATGTCAGCAATTATGGAATTGACAAAAACATATCGACAGAGTTTGGTAATACCTGAGCATTTTTTGGCATTTTTCCGCCCAAAGGGCAATAGGTAGCCACAATGGCAACACCAACTGGCAGAGATATTCGAATAGCCCTCAAACCGATGGGGAATACGATGGTTGATTTTCTCCTCGTCTGGATCGGTTTCGTAATTCGCCTTGCTGATACACTTGGTGACGACTTTCGGGTAACATTTTTTGTGACACGTGTACTTGCAATCTGCACACTGCATGCCTGCAGCATACTTCAAGAAATCTCCACAGAGAGCGCAACGCATAATGTTATAGAACTGTTGTGTAACGAATTTGTGTCCCTGTTTTTCATGGACCTCTTCCTTCTTCTGGCGAACAGCACCCTGTCGATTGAGACCAATGTCAAATGGCCGTCGATCCTTTAATTGTTTTGCTATAAGTTGGTTAGCAATAGGTTGCTAAAAGTGCTTATCGAAGACTTACCAAAGCTCATTGTGAGATGTATTCTACCAACAGGCTCTAGCGCGAACCATGAATCAATCATCACGGTTGCATTCTGAGCCATATGCTGAGCGTTGGGTCCTGCTTGCGAACCCCCACCAAACGACGGTTGCGAAACGCTATGGAATTGAGCATCTGGTCTAATTCCACTGGGCCCTCCGTGTTCCATTTTATCAGCGGACACCCATCCGGATGCGTTGAACTCCGACTCTATCTTTTTCCGCCGCATCTCTTCCGAAATGTCGGATATTCGAATCCAAAGCATTCCAATTGGAGTTGGACGATCTCCAGCCTTGTCATAAACTGTAAGTTCGATCTCGTTGGCTTTGTCGATATCTACATTGAAAGTTTCCTCAGTCCATTTATCGCTTCTAGTTGCTCTAGTTTTTGCCTTAATCGCGTCTTCTACTTTCATTATAACGAATGTTTCAGGGCCTCGTGAAAACCGAGAGCTTGCTGCATGGTCAACGTCTTTCACTGCGTGGATGCGCATTGTTAAATGACCGGTAAGGGGCTTTCTAATATTTGGCGAATTCAGACTCTCATCTACAATGCATCCACGTTAGTCACATAGAGAATGAAGACTGGAAAAGAGTATAAACCAGGGTACGTGAGGACAAACCATCGGGATGATCCGTAGAGGATGCGATGTCAACGTGGAGATCCTCATATCTTTTCAGAGCCTGCTTTAAAAGCCTGATTTTCTGGATGCTCTCAATTCGTCGTCCCTCGGCATCCGCTCTGCTCTTCCGGTCTCCCTCATCTTGATACAACCGAACCATCTTCTCAATCCCGTCTTTGTATTGCTTCTCAACACTAAGTTTGAATTCTAACTGTGATAACATAAGTTGGATTTTCGGTCCGAGGTATGGAGTGTCATATTTAATCAAATCTGGTACGCCGGAACAACCCTGTTAGCTAAAGCCTACATCACAATAAACCCACTGGACCGTTGGTATTTTAGTGACATATTGCGACAACTTGCCTAGTTTGCTGAAATTTGGCCGGACCTTTGGTATGGAAGTATCAGGCCTAGGGTCCCCATATGGAGCACGGGGCGGCATAGCTCCAGTTCCACCCTGGCTATATCCTCCCGGGCCGACATCCCCATAGTCACCTCTGTCATTGGAAGCATAGCGACCGCCATCATCCTTGGGAGGAGGTGGAGGTCCACTGCCGTAACCACGGGGCGCGCCTCGAGGACTTGCCGGAGAGCCAGGTTGGTCGGGAGATTGGCCGCCATCACGGCCCATTTTGCGAATCTGGAGTTCCCGCATCTTTTCCTCCAAGTAGACGATATTCTTGCGACTGTCGCGGATATTTGCATCAACTCGCTGCTGTACCAGGGGATTATCTGTCGATTGCCGCATGTTGGTTGCGGCGGTTATAAGGGCCTTTTCCCGCTCGATCTTGCGGTAGACCGTAGCCATGAGTTCATCGTCTCCGTCCATTTTTGATGGCTAGTCTCTTCCTTCCCGAAAGTACTGGGTGGCGGGAGTGGTATCCAGGCTAATGAATTGTGGGGGATTCGAATGATGTATCTGGTTCTTTTTCTAGTCTAATTCGTGCGGGTTGGTGGGGATAGTTAAAAGAGGGACCTTGTAACAAAGAGAGAAGGTAGTTAGCATTTTAGAAACAATTATCTCAGCAACATTGAGAAAGTAAAATGAGTAGCGACGTAACACTAGGTCGGAAAGGCATAAATGAGATGGATAGAGTGTAAATCATGGCGGCGTGAGTGTGTGATCGTGGGAACGCAGATCCTTACATGAGATCCGGGCTGATGGGCGATATGGTGGGGGATATGTTCGCTTCAGCCCCCGAGCTTTGTCGGGTCGAAACGAGCCACCAAGTGAGCAGAGGATACGATTGAGGATGGGAGTAATCGAACGTTCGATGATCCTTGATCGGTGCTCGTATGGCCCCTGCGTGGTGAGGATGAGCTGGCGGTGGAGTGGAGTGGAGGGGAGTGGAGGATGGGTTTGAGTGATGTGGTGGCGGTGGTGCTGGTGGTGCTCAAGCAGCCCGTGACTGCGTGAGAGGGGAAAATGAGCCGCAGTGGGGGGAGAACAAGATATCCCTGCGCAGACCTTTGGAACTGAACCAACCGTGCAGCAGCCGACTGCTGAATATTAAATAATAGCTATTGTTACTATGCAATACTGCGCGCACACTTTATGTAGTGATGACTTCAAGTTATTTCGGTTTGTTGGCCACTTTGCTGATTCTCGAATTTGGCTTCAAGTAACTACGGCGCACGGGCATGCCCAAACTGGGAGGCATTCTATCAAGAATGAGATAGAGGATAAAGGGTTGAATTCCACAATTGCTCTTCCTTGCGTCGGCATGTGGGATTGACTTCTCTGCATCAACAGGCGCGGAAGTATTGTTAACTGCATCGCATGCCGCTATGCTGTTGACGACGGGGTATTCCACACCAAGAACACCCGCCCACAGGAAAGCAAGCTGTCCTATTCCAGAGAAATCACACGCTGGAACATCTTTGTCAAAAGAGGCAATGTAACGTGCGGAGGAGAGCGCCAACTGCGTGGCCTCGAAACCATCGTCAGCATTCATGGAGTATCGTTATTGACTTCGCTTTTGCTCTCTTCTAGGCTATTGGCGATGTTAAGTTCTGACTCCTCCATGTTGCAGTAAAATCCATCTTATGTCTTGGTAAGCATTATCTGTAGGTAGATGACACAGTGAGACTCTTCCTTCCATCGACATTGATATACAAGAAGTGTTGTAGCTATTAATAGGACCATGGATGACCCAAAATACTCAAAATAACTACTCAAAATAATTCTAAGCATTCAAAAATACACATATATTCAGGATCTAGACGTTGGAGAAGATGAACCATGACTGAGGGAACCCGCAAATCCTTGGAACGCTCCTTGTTTTTATACAGAATACATGACCAAGGAGGGCACTTTAAACCGCCGTTCTTGGAAGAAACCCCGCTTCCTCTAATCATGGTTATCGCGACCCATATTTGAATTAGCTCTTCCCCAGAGAGACTGGAGAAGATATCGTTTGCGAAAGGACGTTCGAGCTTGCGACGAGATCTATTGTTGGTAAATACCAAGCCCGCTATTTACTGGGCAACAAAAAGTTTGCGGCTGTTCGCGCGGTACGTGATCCGTCGGCCCGCTCGCTCTACGGCGTATGCATCGGATGTTAAGCCTTGGTACTCGACGTGGGGCAGGCCCTATGTTCACGTGATCCACAGCTTTGTTAGGCATTACTACGGCTACCCCAGGCACGTGCCACCTAACATATTGTGTTGCTCTCGCTTAGATAGTTAACAATCACACAACCAACATTATCCTCCTACAGGTTATGAAGCCCTTGCACTTCTACGAAGCGATAACTTGCAATAATAACTTCTTCTTTTGTTAAAGAACCTCTTATTCTATTCCTTTTGATACCCTGATACTTGATAATCAAATGCCAGTCAGCACGAGATCAACCAACCGTGAAGAAACACCAGAGAACCAGATAACCCCTGGAACCTTTCCAACGCCGATAACCACGCGAAGACCACGATATCAAGCCCCAGAACGCGAAGAGATGGCAGATCAACAAGATGAAGCTGCAATACTGAGGCATCGTATTGCTCAGTTAGATGATGAACTACGCCAGATGAGAGCTGCTAGCACTCCTGCTGCTAGCACTCCTGCTGCTGGCACTCCTGCTGCTGCTACTGCTGCCCATGATGGCAATGAACTAAGCCCTGACCTTGCTGCCCACCTGCGTGATCAAGGTGATACCCCTGCCTTGAGCAGAGTTCTTCAAGAATTCCGTGAACGAGTCAAATACCTTCAAAAACCAGGTCTTCTCAAATCAGCATCTGATTACCCGATTTGGAAGGAAGAGATCCTGCTTGCCATCAAGCAATCCCGTACAGAGGATATCCTCACCACCAAACCCCTGGAAAATGCCAGCAAGGATATGAAACGATACTGGGAGGAACGCAACTCCTGGCTATACAATTTAATATGGTCTTCAGTTTCTGTTGAAGCCAAATCTCTTTTTACTATACCCCAAGATTTCCTAGATTCTTCTGCTCTATGGAAGGCCATAGAGGTATCTTTTTCAGAAAGGGTAGAGATCCGCAGAGCTCGCCTATCCAAAGAATTCAATGATATCACGGCTGCCACCTATGGGGGATCTAGTCGCTCCTTCATAGAACGCCTCCTAGCAATCCGTGTTGAATATATCCGCCTTGGATATGAGGTTCCCAACTTCATTCTCTTCGATAAACTCCTCAACGGCCTCACCAAGGGTTGGTCATCATTTATCAAGGATCGTATGGATCATGCAGCAAAGGATGATAATACCAGACCACTTGAAGACAACTTTCTTGAACTTTGCAAAGATATATTACTCCGCCTGCCATTAGATGACAAGAATGCCAATGCTGCTACAGGCTATCTGAAGGATGATAAGAACACCAAGGATAAGAACACCAAGGAGTGCAACTACTGCAATCGAAAGGGCCATGATGAGATCCACTGTTGGGACAAATATCCAGAAAAGAAGCCAAAGAACCTACAAAAAGCCTCCACTGTGGAGCCAGCGAATGTTATAGAAGAACAGGTCTTCTAATACCTCTAGTTGAGGTAGTCACCGTTGATATTCTCTAGTTGAGAATCGCTCCTAGTTGGAGCAGTATATCGTCTACAACCTCTAGTTGAGGTAGTCACCGTTGATATTCTCTAGTTGAGAATCGCTCCTAGTTGGAGCAGTATATCGTCTACAACCTCTAGTTGAGGTAGTCACCGTTGATATTCTCTAGTTGAGAATCGCTCCTAGTTGGAGCAGTATGTCGTCTACAACCTCTAGTTGAGGTAGTCAGCTGTTGATATTCTCTAGTTGAGGATGGAGCTCCTAGTTGGGGCAAAGTATGTTTTTGATGATAGTTGATGGTAATGGTAATACAGCAGATTGGTGGATTTTGCTTGTGTTTTTCTGTTTTTATGGTTATTGCCGTACGGGCACCTATTCCTAATAGGGAAATCAGGGTCCGAATTTTGTAATTAATTATTATTGTGTTTTTGAAGGATTTGAGCGAAGGGGGGGCCCTGCTGCAAAAGCCTAATTTGAATAGGCGCAGAAGGGTGTTAGGCATTACTACGGCTACCCCAGGCACGTGCCACCTAACATATTGTGTTGCTCTCGCTTAGATAGTTAACAATCACACAACCAACATTATCCTCCTACAAGCTTCAACCACATCCCATTCGTGAATTTGCACATCCAAACCAAGCAATGTCAGATGAAACCGTCAACTTAAAACCCCCTTTCCTCCCATTTTCAGTAGTTTAAAGGGATCCTCCTCCTGTGAAGACTGTTTCGAAATGGCCCCACCAAGAAGAAAACTACTAGCCACAGTAGAAGAAACCTTAGTTGCCCCGGATTCGTTGTTGGAGAGCCACAAAATCGCGAAAGTGATCAAAGCCACGGGAAATAATATCTACGCCGTAGAGCTACCGTCTAAAGAGACCGTGTTAGTAGAGCTAGCGGCAAGATTCCGTTCGACGATTTGGGTCAAACGGGGCACCTATGTTCTTGTCGACATGGCAGCTCTTGAGGATAGAGGCAACAAATTATCCGGGGAAATCATAAATATTGTCAGAGATGAGAAGGAGTGGCGGAAAGCACATTTCTGGTTCGCTCCATCTTTCACATCTGTCAATGGTATCTTCTCTCATTGATAATATTGCTTTAGGCCAAAGGAATTCGCAAAGCCCTCAAGGGAAGAAGATGATGATGAAGATTCGATTTCGGGCAAGTTGCCGCCCTCAGAAGATGAAGATGAATAGGACTAAGTGTTATTTTCAATCCGGATCCGATTTGGAGGCGGTAAAATTTTGCCTTACGATATTGGCTTTTGCAAGATCGTAACCCATGCGAGAGTGTATCGTAATTTCGTGGGCGGCTGCAGGAAGGGGTGATTTTTCGCGCGCGAATGATAATCACAGATGTCGAACGGTCTTTTACGATGTTGTGATCGACTCAGCAAGGCCAGACGGCATTTTATTTCTTTTTTTCTTTGATTGAGACAGGCGTTCGATACCCATTCCAAAATGTCCCAAGAACCTGTATTGAAATGCATGTGACAACTGTGATTGAGCTTAACGTTGTGCTTGGATAGACGTTCCAAGCCCATTCCTGCGCGGCCCAAAGCAAATAAATAAGCACCGGGTGGAATCCAGACTTCCAGAGAAGAAAAGGCGTTGCCCATGAAAGATACGCGAAAAATTGATAGTGCAAGGTGCGGGCGCAGAGTAGCCCTATCGCGAAGGAGGTTAGCATGGTAGTAATGACGAAGGAGCTGCTGATTTGAGTTGGTGGCAGTTTTCCATGGACAGCGTTGTTGATAAACTGTGTGAAGCTGGCGTTTGATGGTCCAATCCAACGATATACGAAGAATAATGCCAATATCGATACATGTACAGCTAGTAATGCAAGCGCAAAAGATTGAGAGGTAAAAGTATCTTCGCCGACGAACCGCCAGTTCACTGTCCACTTGAAAAGGAATTGCCGTGTGAATTCGAACGCTCTTAACATATAGCTGCTAGGGTTTTCTTGAAGGAATGGGACGGCAAGGAGCACCTATATAGTTCAGATTAGTTGCAAAACAATAGAGATCTTTTGCAATTTTTCACAGAAACCTCCATTCAATGAGAAGCTATCGCAGCCTTCGTCAATGGGGCATTCTCCAAGTGTAGGGTGAGAAACGCACCTGTAGTAATAAGGCCGTGATCCCAAGGCCAGTAGCCTTGATGATACCAGCACCCAGCACCACGGTTACTGCAACAGCTGGTGCTATAAGCAACAACGTCATTTTAACCCCTACACCCATAGACCATAATACAACACCTGCAGTCCATTGTCTTCTCTGCAGCATCAAGATAGCCGCCCACAGGAAAAATGTCGCAACCGCATCATTGAACAGCCGGAGAAGGAATACGCTATGAAGCCGTTTCGATAACACGAGCAGAGGAAATAGATACGGCGGCGCCCTTGCAGATCGATAACTCCACATCACAATCACTAGTGTCGCAATATATAGAATCGCAAACACGACTTGTGCGAAAGCAATATCCCGACCCTCATCACAGATGCGGTAAAGGACGGAGTAGATGTAGACGTGCACGGCAGGGTAGACGAGCGGGCCAGTGGAACCCTTAATGAGGGCATAGTCTCGTTCGCCGGAGAGGAATAGTGACACCTGTTGCATGTATGTGGACCAGTCTATCTCTGTGTCTGTTGCAGTTTAAAAGGGTCAGCGGTCGTCCGAGTCTTCCAGCGGTATTGATACATACACGGGATTTTCCAAACAATGAGTGCGCAGAGGAAAACCTCCGCGAGCAGAAGCAATGGACAGATCCATCTGGAATATTCTGGGGTTGTAGCAAGGCCGATGGCGCGCTCGTATATGTTCATTTTTGCGTGTTGGATTGCGTGTTGGACCCCCTGCCAGGAAAAACGAAGTGACAGATCGATAGTTTTGTATCAGTCTCGATGGATACCCGCGCTCTTCACTTTCCTCATTTGTTGCAAATCCCAACACCTTCCTTGCCTGACTATCTCGTTTCATAGTCTAATGTTGTGTTATTTGAAAACCTATGTTGCTACATTGGCAGAGCATATTTAAGCCGAGTTACTTGTCTGTGGATAGTGTTGGGGGTGAGCTCTTTTGCCCCAGTCACCACCTAACAGATATTTAGGCCACTATTGGTTAGTTAAACTCCCATGCACCGGGCGTAAGCTCTGACATTTCTCCATAGGAACAATATCCAGTGGTGGGAAGGAAATACAAAAGGGAATACTTAACATCCTTGGCGGCATCTAGCGATGTATTTTCTTAGCTTTGACAGGGATATTCGGCTTTCTGTCTTCAGCGGAATAGCTTTTTCTTTCTGAAATTTGATCCTAAAATTCATCAAAATTATCTTATTAGATAGCTCTGATGATGGCATCTCCCTTTAATACTAACTAGTTAATAGTGCTTTATATCCTGTTTGATGCCGAAGTTTTCATAATTTGCGGCCCCTTGGACAATTATATACTGAATGCCAATGGCGTGAGAAACCTTGATGTAATCCCTAGCCTTCTGCGTAAAGCCTCTCCATCATCGATTACCTCGCCTTGCTGGAATGATACAGGCAACAAGGATGAAAGTGAGCGCCCGAGGTAACTTCTGGCAGAGAATGGTGGATATCATTGCATTATTCGACCCTCTCCAAAAGAACGAAGCAGAGATGTAAATAGTTTATACATTCTTTTATAAAATGATATAGAATAATTACAATTGTGTATTTTCGTTACTTGTATTAGAGGGTAAAAGAGATGTTCGAAATGGAGTCAAAAACCGTCATAAGCTTGATGGGAGGAACAAGCTAAGAAGTACCCGGCGAGCGACTTGATGTCCTAAGGTTGGTAACAAGGAGTGGAAGGAAAGAGTCACTGCAAAACCCAGAGGAATGAAATTAGAAACAAGAGAAAACAAGAACACCGAATGAATATACCATTGATGTTCTTCCTCAATATGCCCGTTTTAATGTAAGAAAAACGAAAAGAAACAAAAAAAATGAGTATCGCGTACGCTACACCCCTATCTCATCATGGGGATGAACAAAAAACACCTTCAGTTTCAGAGATCAGGATGCGAGCTCATAGATCCCTCGAGAAGGAAGCACGGCGCCAGGAGGAAGACATGTTTCTTCTAGTTCCGCTAATGAGCTACGGCTGTCTGTGGGAGAGTCGTACTCGGGAGGATCCCCCCGAGAGGAAACCGGAGATGAAGCTAAGGAGCGGTTGCTTTCAGGCTCTTCGATCTCTATAACACCGAACTGAAGCAGTTCTTCTTCGCCAATCGGTTTTCTAATATCCTCCACCATCAACGTATAATGCGTCTCCAACCGTTTCGCCTCCAGTTTCTCTCGCTTCTTCCTCGCTGCCATTGATTCCTTCGGCTCGACTTTGAGCCCTAATTTCGAGTCAGATTGAGGGCTCAGGGGGCTGCGGTCAGCATGAGGCTTATGCTTCGAAGAGAGCGAAGATGTACTGTCGTTGATGTCGATGTCGTCGTATTCTTCGTTATTCGTTTTCTTTCGTTCGCTCTTTTCCATCTTGCTATCTAGCTTTTCCTGTTGACGCCTGGGTAAACGGAGCCACACTCTGAAGCCCTTGCTTCGAAACACATTCTCGTTCCAGTTACTCAGCGTAACTTCAAGCTCGCCCTTTCCCTTTTGACTCCGTCTCACTTTCTTCGCCACGCGACTGTTCTTGATGCCCTTGCCAGCGTAGTATGCGGGGATTGGTCCAAATACAGCCAATGCACCCGTGGCAACCAACCCAACTCCAACCCCAACTGACCAGACGGCACATTTCTCTAGCACCGTAAGCCTGACAGCGTAAGCCAGCTCGTCACTAAACCGTGTCCATTCGTCTGGGCTGACATGTAGCTGAAAGAGTAGTTGGTTGTATGGAAACCCTGAGGAGATTTCCGGCCCATTTGTTGGGAGCTCAAGAGTAGGGAATAGCTCTTCTAGTGGGGGAGCGTGTGGTAGGATGCTGCTGGGTTCGCTGGACATTGAGTCAGTGTGTAGGTAAAGCACCCGAAACAGCGAGCATCACTTTAGTACCTACCTTGAATATTGCTGCTGGTAGAGTGGAGGGTCCATTTCACTGTTTCCGGCGGGAACTATAGGGGAAATAGGAGAAATAGCAGAAATTGAAGCAGTGGTAGTGAGCGTCGGAGACGAGACAGGTTTCCGCGCGATGTGGTGCATTTTTCCGAGAAATGTCAATCGTGTCCAGAGAAAAGGCTAGGGTTGATGGTTGGATAATCCAGTAGGCGCAGATTTCAGTCTTTTCCAAGGCTGTCACAGGTTATAGACTCGTCTTTGAAAATTGCAACAAGGTCGTTTCAATCGCACATTATTTACGTCCCTAAGATTGTTGCCAATCGCGAATTGGAGAGAGCTGTGAGATATTGCGCTGGTTTGCTTTCCGAGGTGCGAAAGAGACACAGGCGAGCAATTATATGAACGAGGTAGTAATTATTTATTATAGTTGGCCTCCGGTAGCATGCTGTGCAAACGCTTTACTCAGTGTTTCCAAACAATCATGAGAATTTTCCACGCCCTCCGCGAGTCGGCAGAGCCATCCATTAAATATTATTGAAATACTTTGCAGATGAGACGCAATGGTCTGAGAAGTTGACACAGCCCCAAAGCAACCCTGTCGCAACTAGCCTCAGTCGAGATTCAGAAACACACCGGTTATCATTACCGAGACGGACGGACATATTCTTCAGACCCTTCGAGCTCGTGGCGGTTGTTGCCAGGAAGCGATTCCATTTTCTTTCACCCACTCTAGCTCGTTGCTTGAGGCGGAAGCCTAATAAGGCCTCGTCATCGTACATGAACGAGCGCGTTGGTAGTTTCCACCAGATGCGCTAACTATCAGTTGGCGTTGAAATTCTTGCCCAAGTCCCTCGGAACTCAGAGCGAACGAGAACCAAATACGATCTGGCACAAAGCCAAAAAGTGAATCAGGATTTGCGAAGGAACGAGCGTCCGAAAGAGTATCCAAAACTCCGCGAAGAGGAGATGGAGCAGGGCTCAGTGAGATGGGTTTCGTGATTGCGAACTCCAACGCTCATTGGTGCGCTGTACGAGCCAGTTCGTCGGCTTGTGTGAGCTGGGTTTATTTGGAGGAGACTTCATCAGCACAATGCACGAAATGGGGAACTAAGCTTTAGGGCCGTCAGCCGTTGGTGCTTCTCCTGTTTGCTGGCTTTGTTTGCACCGATGCTCAAGATATGAAAAAAGGAGCGAATATCAATTTCTGCACTCATAAATATTCACTATCTGCTGCAAGTGATGTTCCCGTGAAGATTCGGAGCTTGGACGAAGAGACGGGCGGCTAGGCTATGCTTGGTTACATATGATGCAGGGTTACCGAGCGAGACAACAAAAAAATGCCTTTGAGTTTTTGCGCGTAGATGGAATATTTAATTTACATGGCAAACCACTATACAATCCAGGCTCACCCATTCACCATTCCCATGGTATACATATGAACAAGATGCGAGTAGAGAAGAAGTCTAACAAAGCCATATATAACACAATATCCAAGGCCCGCATCCAATCCCCCACATTGGGAGGTCCATGTTTTACATTATCCACCTTCCTGCCTGCCAGGAAGAAAAAAAAAATTACGACCCGCTCCCCCGCCCCGGTATATCTGCCCTCGGGATCCCGTCCCTCCCACTCCCTGTATCCTGACTCCTAAAGCCAAGAAGCTGGCCGATCACGCCCCCGGGCTTCGGCACCGGACATTCCCTCTTGACCGTGGCCAAACTCCTCGCTTCCTCTTCCATCTGCCGGAATTTCACAATCTCTTCATCTACAGTCCCCTCTTGTTGTCGATGTATTGAATTCTTCGGCGTCACCGTGTGGATTTGGGTAGTCGTATCATCTATAAGAGTTGAATTCGCGTCACTTTCACCATGCAGCCGGGGCTCGGTAGGCTTTCTTCTACGTTTCCGTACCATCCTCTGCTGTCCGTCGGCGGACATGATCATTTCGGAATCAGCGTAGGCATGTCGCGGCACGGGGCAGGGGAAGAGATGTGGTATGCCCACGATGACGAGCGACGACATGAGGGTAATTGTGAAGAGGGAGACGGTCGAGCGCGACCGCGGATGGAGATAAGAAGGCATTGTTGGAAGTAGGTTTTTTGCCAATGGGCCACTTTTCGTCCTTGTTATGGTGATTACCCAAGGAGCGTAGACGCCATGGGACGTGGCTGAGGAGACGTCGGAGGAGTTTTTGTAGTTCGCAATATTTTGTTCTTGCTGTCGCCGTTATCCCCCTGTAGATGCGCCATTGGATTGTTAGCAACTTCGTTGAGACCAATCTCCGTAGGGGCAATAGTTTACATGCCTCTAGGTCCATCACACCGCCCGGACAGAATATTAGAGATCAACGTATGTTGAATGGCGGGATGTGGTATCCGCAGCTTTAGTTTTTGAACCCAAGAAATCCGAGTTCCCGAAAGAGTTGTGAAAACGGTCCCGGCAGGATTTATGTCATGCCGGTAGCCAATCAAACAATGCGGATTAGCATCTCACGTGGTTCCTGAAATCTCCCAAAGATGATCTATAAAAACAAGAAAGAAAGAAACAGACAAGGGCAAAAGGGATGCTTGTCCTCTTCGCTATTATAGCTTCTATTACTGAGAAGCAATTGCTCACACATTATAAGCTCCCCTCGCTCTCGCAGGTACCCACGATGGGAAATCTATTTGGGCTCTCTGCACGAGTCAGTGCCGCTTTGAAACGAATTTAACATCTTCTGGTCAATCTGAGCGGGAACTAGTTTGGATAATTGCTACTTTGGGTCCTTTGTGAATAGCAGGATATGGTTTTGATTGAAGAAAGTTCTTTCATCTCTCCTGCAATGGAGCTTCGATTCTACCCAATTATGCCAAAGGTATTGTGGCGGACGTAAAGCTTGCGAAAACAGAATTTTCTGCCACCCCCTGAAAAGTAGTAGCAAAACACCGCAAAAATAACCAAAATATCCACATATCTCTAGAATCATTCAAATATCATCCAATTCATTCAAATACACACCTTTATCATCAAATCTGTCAATATGCCCCCCCAGCTCAGTGAATTTACCACCAATGAGATTGTATGTCTTCTAAACAATGGTTATATGCCTGCTCAGATTGTGTGGATCATTGAGTGCCATCTGACCACTGTATATCAAATTCAACAAAATATTCACTGCTTTGGAACTGCTAGAAGTTCTCATTCAACATGAGATGTAAAGTCAAAGATCACACCAGATATCTTATCAGATTTGAAGGATTTTTTTGAAGTATATCCAACTGCATATCACAATGAGACTGTCTGCTTTGTGAAGAATGAATTTGATGTTGATATCCATCCTCAATCAATATCTAGATTGTTGAAGAAACTGAATTTAACACAGAAAAAAGTGATTAATTATTACAATTGTCACTTATAGAATCTACTAATTCATCAGTTCTATTTGATATAGATTGAATCTATAACCACTCAATACAACAAAGAACTTCAAGCTGAATGATATATTCAAGTTACTCAGTATCAATCTGATCAATTTATATTTTTAGATGAGAGTGCTGTAAATGAATATACTGCAGATCAACAATATGAATAGTCAAGCAGAGAATTCTCTTGTCATATTAGAAGACTCTGTAAACAATCTCACAGATGATCAATCTTATCTGCAATAAATGTCAATGAATATCTTGATTATGATATATATCAGAGATTCTATAATACAGAGAGATTCAATAAGTTTGTATATATTCAGATACTGCCCAAATGCTAACAAGATTATCACTATCTAGTAATAAATAATTGCTCTTCTCATCATTCATAAGCACTGCAAGATCTCTGCAGAGAAGCTGATATTGAACTTTTATTCTTATTCTCATATTCTTCTGATTATAATTCTATAGAGAAGTCATTTCACACATTGAAAGAATGAATTAGAAGATACAGATGTCAGTTAGAGAATCAGTTTGATGAAGATTTTGAAACCTTCTTATATCATACAGTTGAAAACTTCATGGAAGAAGAAGATGCAAGAGGATATTTCAGATCTGCTTATATAGAATAGTATTGTAAAATCTAGAAAAATTCAGATTGCAATTCAATTATAATGATATATAATATCTAAATTTCAAATTCAGAAGCAGAAATAGTATGAGATCTGCTGCCATTACTACAAACAGCAGATAAAGACAATTTAATCTTCTTCAATCATAACTGCCAGATAGAACTCTTTAACTCATCTTTTATTATCAAGAATATATCCATTTCAATATTCAACTGAATCATCTGCTCATTTATCATTGTTCATATATAATTCAGTTCAAATCCTTTATTTTGAATAATACTCTTTGCAGTTAAAAGAGCTTCTGCTCTTCAAGATCTCTCTATCATCAATTAATTAAAAAACTCATCAATAAACAGATTCATATATTCATCAAACTGAGAGATTGAACTACTTCAAATAGAAGACAGATTTGAATTCAATAGTAGATTTGAATTCAACAGCAGATTTAAATTCAACAGCAGATTTGAATTCAACAACAGATTTGAATTCAATGATAAGTTTGAATTCAGTTCTTTCATACCTCTCATTCCTTTCATCATATATTTTATCACCATCATATTGATTATCTCATTTGAAGATATAATATTAGATGAAGAAGAAGTTGAGAGAGAAAAGATAATTGCTGACATCTGAGATGTCTGTATAGAAGAATTAGAAGCAGAGATAGATTCACTTTTTCATTCCTTCTTCTTCTTTCTATTCATTAATCTTTTTATCATCTTTTTTGACAGATTTTTAATTGTTGTATATCTACATTCAACATCATCTATTCAACTGACAATCTTACTATTCAGAAGTTGAATATAAATATCATCAAAAGTCATTCAACAAATGTTCTGTTCAAAGTTATAACAATTCATCTTTTGACAACATCAGTGAGCAGTTATCTCACACTCAATTCACAAAGAATTGTGCTTATTTGATCATCAATTTCAAGCCTTCTTCAGCTGCTGACTAGTGGCCATGAATCTTGTACATATAGGTGACAGCTTTTTGTCATTGAATATTTCATGAATTCAAGAGAATTTGACAGAATAATAGAGAGGGGATTTGACAGATGATGAGATTACTTCTTTTTTGACATCTAATACTCTTTTTGATGTCAATATCTGAGTTGTTAATTGTGAATTCAACACTTCAATGAAAGCTGCAGAATTATATATTACAGAGATGTTTGAGAATAGAGTTGAGATATCAAGAAGATTAAAAGAGATGATAATCTCAATGCTAAATCTACTCATCTTCTTCTTATATAACTTCTTCAAAAGAATAATAATCTCTCTTCAATCTGTCTTCTTCTCAAGAATGATTTTGATTGAAGATCTATATTTGTTTGATGAGATGACTGCTATACAATTTGCAACTTCTATCTTCTTACAGTTCTGTTTCATAACATACTCTTCAGCTATTCTTTTTACAGTATATTGAATACAATAGAAGCTGACAGTCATATCATTTGTTGTGACATTCCATAACTTGATCTTTATAGACTTCTTTATTTCATTGATAATCACCCATTCATACAGTCTGAATAAGATCTCAGACTCAGAGATAGATATTCACAGAAATCAAGAATCTTCTGACTGTGTCTTCTTCTTCTTCTTCTTCTTCTTCTTCTCATTATCAGTTGAATTCTTGTCATTATTCAGAACATTCAGAACAGACAGTTTGAGCAGACAAAGACACAGAGTAGTTGAAGTTCTTTTACAAGCTTGTAAGACAGTAGAACAGTGAGTGTTGCAGAGCATATTGACAGATTTGATGATAAAGATGCATATTTGATGATAAAGATGCATATTTGAATGAATTGAATGATATTTGAATGATTCTAGAGATACATGGATATTTTGGTTATTTTTGCGGTGTTTTGCTACTACTTTTCAGGGGGTGGCAGAAAATTCTGTTTTCGCAAGCTTTACATCCGCCACAATAAGTTAGTGCCAGGTGTCCCACCACGGATTTTCACTCTTTTCCTTCTCACACATGTAGCTGTTTAAAGCTAGATTACAAGCTTCAACCCCGGACGCATATTCATCTTTCTATGTTTGCGAGCGGTTCCTCAGCCTAACACAATATATTATTACATCTCTTTGTCTTTTTGTGTACTCTACCCCAATATGTCTTAAGGAGAAAGTCGTACTTTAACCCCTCTGCACACATCAGATCAATCAACCACCTTTTATGTTTGATTTTTCCGCTCGCCACCTAAGTGCGTGGATACAACCAGGCAATCGACATGCCATTCTTGAAGTTTTCAGGCGATATCCATCTCAATACTGTGGCTTGTTTCGTATCCGTATCGACCTGTAGGAGGTCATTGCATGGTGAAGGTGTTTGTCTGGTTGCGATTAAACGGTCTAGTGCGGGTTATATCATCGCTCTCAGAGTCATCGGCCCCAACAACTGAGGATCTCTCATCTGTTTCAAGGTGGTTCAATTTTACTTGGGTCACGAGCAAAATGGAGAATGACTTCTACATGCCCATTGTCCCCCTTGCTCGGTTGATTAGGGCCGGACACAATCAACTCCCATTCCGAGGTACCTAACTGAAACCGAGATTACAAACCATGTTAAATGGAGGATGAATGGAGGGAAGTGAGTTAAGTGGATTGAGTCTTCACGTATAGACTGGGAAATTCGTCTGGGATGTAACACAGTTCGTAGCGTCTTACACGTCGAGATATGAAGGGCACGAGGGACGGGCTATATGATAACTTGAAGCCATCAACTTTAATATAACGAAGAGGTATAATTGCTAGCATTTGAGCTGGGTAACTAGAGTAGTTGAAAAGCAGCATCAACAGAAGTAGTTACTGTATGTAGTAGTTATAATATTTCAAGCTGTATATCACTGGCGCACAGACCAACAGCCACTCTCCTCGCTGACATAACCAATCACCTGTTGCGTGCTCCAGCTGCATCGACCTCGATAAGATCGAACACACCACAGCACAAGCTCCGAGAATCTTGCAACAGCCTTTGAGACCACTTCTCAACGAAGATGACCTTCATCGCCCTGCAGAGATAAACCCTGCCCTTTCCCTTGCGGCTCTGCATACGTCGATCCATCGTCGGCGCTCGCTTGAGGAGATCATCGGTTTCTTGGATACCGACGTACGCCCTCCGCCACTTGGTCCGTCTCCCTCGGTACGCTCCTTAGCGTCAGCGATTCAGTTGGAGGAGAGAAGACAAGGGGCTAGGGCGTGCGTTCTGTGTGTGCGGAGGGAGTTCCACCATGAGCGATCTAGACAAGTAAGCGGAAGCTCCATCTTCTGATGTAAGCTATCAAACATTTTTACTGACCGGTTATTTCATTTTCCTGTACCTAGGGCTATTGCGCAGCTCCGCGCTTGTCGCCCAATACCCGAACACGAAGTGCGAGAACTCTGCTATAAAGCACGCGAGCTCCTTATCGAGGAGGGAAATGTGGTCTCTGTCGACGCGCCGGTGACCATCTGCGGTGATATCCACGGCCAGTTTCATGATCTGATGGAGTTATTCCGCGTGGGCGGTGATGTGCCAGATACGAATTATCTGTTCATGGGCGATTTTGTCGATCGCGGCTTTTACTCTCTCGAATCTTTCCTTCTTCTCCTTTGTCTCAAAGTTCGATACCCTGACCGCATAACCCTGATTCGTGGCAATCACGAATCCAGGCAAATCACGACCGTGTATGGCTTTTACGACGAATGTATTCGGAAATATGGCAGTGCTAATGTTTGGCGTTATTGTTGTGAGGTTTTTGATTATTTGGCATTGGGCGCTTTGATACTGGGTGCCAGCTCTGAGCTGGAACCCTCTGGTCCGGCGGCTAACGATGCCACCCAATCCGCCGTCGCTACTGGGGATGAAGAGCTGGAGTCTGAAGTGCTGAATTCAAAAGGCGAAGTTACGTTTTCTACATATAGACGAAGAGACAGCGGTGGCGGCTCACAAGATAGTTCAACTGACGTCCGAGAGGACATATCTTCATCGTTGCCAACGGGCACCCCCACAAGATCTGGTCCCGCCGGCACTGGCGCCACTTCTGATAGCATGGGCAGTATTGGAAACACTACCGGTGCCGTCTTTTGCGTCCACGGTGGGCTGTCTCCACTAGTGGACAGTATCGATAAAATCCGCCTCATCGACCGAAAACAGGAAGTGCCACATGAAGGCGCCATGTGCGACCTTCTTTGGTCCGACCCGGACGAAATCGAAGGCTGGGGCCTATCCCCACGAGGAGCAGGCTTTCTCTTCGGCGGCGGGATCGTCAAACATTTCAGCCACAAAAATGACCTCTCGCTCATCGCTCGAGCTCATCAACTCGTTATGGAAGGGTTCAAAGAGATGTTCGACGGTGGCATAGTGACTGTCTGGTCTGCGCCGAATTATTGCTACAGGTGCGGCAATGTGGCTGCAATATTGGAGCTAGGTGAAGATACTAGCAACGGGGGAACAATTGCAAGGAGCAACGGCGACTATGGACGGAGTCCTGGCGTTACTGATATCAGGCAACAAGCCCAGCAGAGAAGGATACTAGGACCTGGAAGAAGGTATAGGGTGTTCGATGCGGCAGCGCAGGATACAAGAGGGATGCCGGCCAAGAAGCCGGTTGCTGATTACTTTCTGGTATGTTTGGTTATTTCAATCCTCCTTGTTGCTGTCCCAACCCTCTAAAGCCTTCTTGGCCTATCTCATTTCCGACCTTTCTATTTATCAAGGAATTGCCCTCTAACGTATATGTAATAGTGATACCATTTACTGCTATATTCTATACATTACCAATCTCACTCTACCAAATCCCGTCGCGACTCAAACCCCCTCAACAGCTCACCGATTTCTGCATACAATCCTAAAAACCCTTGCGGTCCATCATGTTCTCCTGGCGTATGTTGAGATGAAATATCTGGTATGTATTGTACAATTTGTTTCTGGGAATAATCCGTATAAGAACGAGAATCGTACTCTATTAGAGGAAAGAGCGATATATAGAAAATAAGGAAACGGGATCAGACTTCTTTTTTCCCCTTCATTTATCAATCTACCCCTCTATTTTTTCCCCTCTCCGTTTATCTGTCAATCATTCGGAGACAAGCTAGATAAATATAGCAACTGAGTTCATGTAAGATGAAATGTGGCTGTATCTGTATCTGGTAACTTTTGAGATTTATGTTCGTGACTGCCGGACCACCATCATCGCTAGCCAACCATCTCCAGTGGATGTATCATCATCCTATGTCTTGATAGATAACACGCCCGCGATCAGATCCAAGGCCCTCTGACAGGAAGGTTGCTATAGCAGCACCCATTACGTTGGCGTATGGACGATGACAGAGAAATCACCCCTCAACTGATCAGCCCGGAAGGCTCCAGAACCGGACCTTAGTCGTCGCGCAGACGAGGGTGTCAATCAACCAACTGCAGATGAGTGCGCTGACTGCCAGTAAGAGAAGAGGCCATTCGCAGAGTTTGTTGTCGCTCGGTTAGAGGCCAACCAGAATTGGCAGGGCCATGGTGCTTGTGTTAACTCGTTACTAGCGGGGGAGCAAGAGGCTCTTGCTGCTCCCTCAGTCAGAATATTTCCTTATATCAAGAGTGTTTATGGGGTTTGAGTCTCTGACTGATGTGGCTTTTTAAATCCCGTGCTGTGGCTAGCTGCATTGATGCTTCCGACGATAACCTTCCCGCGCCTTGCAAAAAATGTAGTAACACCTTTGGATGTGGCAGTCGATTCCTTCAAAGGGATCAGAATAGTAACTGAACACTCAGTGAACGCGGGCGCTGCTTCTCCTGCCTTGCTGATTCCTCGAGTCATTCATAAGTATGGCCTATCCCCTGCATACCGCCTGAAAACAATTATCGCACGTTGAAGCTTGCTGCTCTCCTCGGGCCTAGAAAGAACCATCCGAGGCTTTGGGCAGAGCGAAATCCTTTGCTTTCCAGGCTGGCCTTTCCGACCAAAAAACGACATTGAGTCCGTGGCAGTCGCCCGTGCGGATATTGAATCGATCGCTAATATTCTGGTCTATTCGTTCATAGTAATTTCCTATAGTAGCTTCCATTCCACCTCACTTTCATCCGCTGGCAATCTGCTGCTGAGTCCCGATTTTAAAAGCATAGGAGACATGGCTCTCTCAGTGATCGATCTGGGCAGAAGCTTGTGGAATTGGGCGACAACTCATCACGGCAATCTATTCACTAATTTTTGCGGCTTGTGCGATATCTGCCCTTTCATTGCGATCCACCCCTCCAGAAAGGAAGCAAAAACAGACCAAAGGGAGAAGCAAACAAAAGAAAAGCCTCGTCTATCCATTTCTCTGTATATACACTGACATCTATATACATTTCGTCAGCCATTGAATTTGGGGAAGGGATGGAAAAAGGGAAAGGGGGGGATAAAAGAAGGAAAGAGGAAAGAAAAGAAAATACGGAAAGGGATCACAGATGAAAATGAATAAAAAGCAAAAAACAAAAAACCCCCCTTGTCCTCGCACCCGGCTTCGATGCTGACAAAACCAAGAAAGAAGATAACTACAACATTTAAACATTTGATTGAAATGCAAAGACAACAATAATCAAATCCAAGATAATAATAGTAATAACAATAAAAACCGGTATACAAAAAAAATTCAAATACCGATTTTGACGTGATCCATGACATTTTTGCCGATGTCCCCAAACCTAGCAAAGGAATAATAAAAAGGCACGTAGAGATATGTATGACAACATAAGTAGAGCGAAATAGGCGAATTAAGACGTTTCTTTGACGTCCTCTCCGGCGCTCAAGCATCCAGCAGTAGGGCAAGAAAGGAAAGAAGACATAAAAAAGCTCTTTTCTGAGCGGGTAATGGTACGTCCAAGATAAAAAAAGAGGGGGGGGATATGATCACGCTCCCCCTGATTTCGAGTGGTAGGCATCAGGACTGACGATGACCGTGCCACTGAAAGTCAATCTGTCTTGCTAGATAGATGAGGGGTTTCGTAAATCTTTTCTGTGAGTCCTGTGGAGTGTGTGAAGAGTTTGCAAATTGGTGTATATTTACATAATGCAGATTCAGTCGATAGGAAGATAGATGGTGTTCAGATGGGCAGAATCTCCACGTTCAAGGAAAAGAGCGATGGAATAAATGTGGTAACGTATTCGGGGAAAGTAAATATATGCAGTGTCGGATCAAGACAGGCAATGATGAAGGATTTCAGGAACCATCGAGTCGTTTTGGGAAGCTGTTCCCATTTCCTTGGGTAATAAGATCGCACGATGGATCGATGAGGACTAGTAATATATTTGACCAAGAGTTCCAGATCCGGCATTCGTCGTCGATGTTTGCTCTGGCTGTGGGTTGTCTTGATCCAGACTGGTTCTCGTCTGCGATAGCCCGCTTTCATCGGTATATTCACCGTCGTAGCCTGGTAACGTTAACGGCATATTGATTCCCATGCCGTCGTTCGCATTTGACAGCTGGTCAGCTCCCAGATTGTGGCTATTACTCCCAATGATTTGTCCGTTACTACTTCCGAGAGCAACTGCTGGTACGTTGGCTTCAAAGCCCATGCTAGTGCAAACTGGTCCAGGAGCATTATCCCAACTGTCGCCCCAGTTGTCTAATCCTAATGCCAAAGCATTTTGATCCTTCAGCCACCAATCTTGACTTGCCTCAACTAAACTCTCCATACCACTTAATGCAGAAATCTGCGGTATACTCAGATTAGACAAGCTGTTGTTCTTAGTGGACATGTCCACTGGCGACTGCGGGGTATTTGTCCATGGCTCATGTTTTAGCACTGTATCGAGATTGGAACTGTAAGAGCGTTTGGGAGCTGGTACGGAGAACGTATGATGAGGTAGCAGAGAAGATGGTAAATTTGCCGGATGAGTGGGCTGTTGTGGTGAGGACTGAGTGGTTGCGGGGGAGAATGCATGATATTGAGAGAACAACGGATTTGGTAGGGGGGTTGAAGCCTGTTTCACAGGTGCGGGTATAGTGGATTTGGAAGACAATGGAACGGGTTCAGGAGTCGTACAGCTTTGAGAGTTTTCTGACCTCTGTCTCTTGCCTCTCTCCCTGTCGGAAGCTTCTGAGTTCGACGGAGAATGAACCTGGTCCCACGACCCCCATGGTCCAAATTTGGCGTGTGAACGTTCCAGAATTGCCACAGCCTCACTTGGCAAATCGACATTCCACTTTTGGGCGGACATATCGAGGATCCGTAAAGTCCGACGGGCACAAAGCCAGCTTTCAGCAATTTCCTCCAGATTCTTAAGACCATGGATGAGGTCTCGTTTCGCGGTTTTGTCAGGAAGATTAAGTAGATGAATTGTGCAAGCAGAATGAGCAATGTATACAGAAATGTTACAGATTTGTCGGAATCCATACGTGCGCTTGTATAGTCGAAGTAGTTTGGATATCGTAGATGCGGACTGCGTACACAGTTTTCTAGGTGATACATGGGATGGAAGAGGAGAAGTAGATTTTGTATACTTGAGGAATGGACGATATAGGTGGATGAAGAGGAGTTGGAAGAACATGCTGGGGAGTATTGTCAGTCGGGAGCAAGTGTAATTTGGTTGGAGCTTGGGTTGTTTCGAAAGACCTACTGCATGAGTAAAACTTGGGGTAGCTGTCCTTCCTTGGGCTCCATTTCTTTAGGAAGCCCTTTACGCCACGCTTCAAGCCTCGTGTGAAGCTGACTTAGCCGCTTTAACTCCTCTTGCTTTCCAATATGCCTTTCTACAGGCTTCGGGTGGTAGAAACACGACAGTAAATCGCTACTGATCTCACTTAGACGTAAGATTTGAAGAGAGACTGCCCTTGTTCGAGAAGGCTGTATGTGTTCACGCGTAACACCTGAATCCGTGTACGGAGACCACATTTCAGCATCCTCATCGGGGAAGACATCGAACTTGGGAACGGAGATGCTGGAGCTCAATAGTTGGGGTTGGCGTCCTAGGTAGTTCGACCAGCATCTGCTCATACGGGCATTAGTCAAATCAACAATGACCTAGGATTATATATTTCGTAGAAGACAGCTCACTTGTCAAAAAGAAAACATCCCCAGAACGACATCCTTCGCGCGTCGATATCCTCCTCAGTCAGGGAATGGGAGGCAATCCCTGTACCGTCGAGGTTCAAACCTAAATCATACGCCATTCGGAAACTCATTCCACTGTACACCCAGCCCGAGCCTTCTCGCCCGCAGCCAGCTTCGCGCACTGACATCAAGGCAAGAGCTTGCACAGTGCACAGTTTTGCCCTTTCATGTTCATCATTCTCCAATATCAGCTTTTTAGCCTCTTTGAAGAAATGATCACCCGCAGTTGCGGAGTCCTTTGGGTCACGCCTCGCCGCAGGCCAGGAGCTGAAATGGCAGCCAAGGGCCAGCATGGCATTTACAAGGAGTGGTGAGCAATACTGAGTCGGCCGTCCCTTAATAAAATCACGGTAAAACAGCTTCTTAGACATCGTTGTAAAATATGCGTAATGCCATGTAAAATACATGGTCAATAGGTGGCGGATAAGTTCTTTGCTTTTCGTTACCCGGGTCCAACCAGTTATGGCGTCGTCCGCATCTTGGCTCTGCTCCATGAAGGCAAAAGAGGAATCCGGCTCGTCAAAGGAAAACTCAGCGGGCAAGAATATCAAATTCGAAGTGCCTCCAACAAACCTCACAGACCCGTCCATTATCAGCTCGCTCATCTTCCCAGCCAGCTCAGACTCGAATTGGGGGACTTCAGTAACTTGACCATTATCGTCGTCTGTACCCGCATCCCTGGTGACAGCCTTGCTTGATGTTTTTTCTCGCGCTAAAATAGAATCTGCTACTTGTTCTAAATCTTCACATGACCGTATTTGTCGGACGAGCTCCGGCACGTCAGCTTCGTCATAATTGAGGATTGCCTGAACCAGTGTCTGGAGGGTGGTATTGCGATTTTTCAAGTTGTCGATGTCTTGCTTATAGACTCCTTTCCGACGGTGATCTGAATTGGGGTCGTATATACCTGATGGCAAGAATTAATATTCGATCTTGGAAGTTCGTGAGGGGAAACAAACATGGCGTATGATAGACGGATGCGCAAGCAGCACAAGTAGGTGTATTTCCATCGCACTACACGAGCACCCCATCAGCTGGAAAACTTCATTGCTTTATAGGATTATTGCAGGAAGGTTAATACCTTCGATTTCCTTTTCCTGCAGGCAATGCACGCAGTGCTGACACACCGTCGTTTCGCTGCCGTAGTGCCGTCTCTAGACTTTAACCTGGATTTGGACTTGCCGACTTGAGCAGCAGGATCTGGTCGGACAGGCTGCTGTTCCGTCCCCAATTGCTTACCATTGTCATCGGCCATTGAAGTTTCCGCCACGCGGACAGATGTGCAAGTAGGACAGAGTCAACAGTCTCGGGGCATAATTAAGAAAAAAAGTGCAATAATATGTTCTAGCGCACAACCATGTAGTGGACGTATTGGCGCAACGGTAGCGGTAGTGGTATTGGATGATCACGACCAGGGCGGGGTATTTAGGGTATTCTAGATGCAAGTATAAATATAGGGAGAAACGGCAATCTGCTCAAGCTTTTATATTCGTTGTAGTTAGGATAAAGTCACCCCAGCGTTGAATACACATGCCCAACGATGAAATGACATAGAATTCTGTGCCTAAGGAGACGGTTCGGAACTCTTAAGCCACTCACAAACTATCGTAGACCACGTTTCTACCGAATAAAATAAACCTCCGGCCCAGAAGCCCACTCAGATAGTACTCGCATAAGGCGGAAAGTTTCGGTGCAAACGCAGTGCTCCCCTGGCGCAGGGAAGGTGGAAGAAAGAATATAATTCCCGGTGAGGCTGACAAGGGGCGGTTGAATAGGAAGCGTTGGGCGAAGACAAGACAAGAGGTTAACAATTAGGGAATCAATGAGTATGGTAGAGTCCTCGCGATCTGGAAAGAGCGGGGGCCAGGAGATAAGAAACCCTGCTCCGGGGCCGACAGGCCAATGTATGTAAAAGTCCCAATCACCACTGACCCCAGATTTGCTTGTGTTAATCGCTCTCAGTTGGGTTGGGCACAGCAGAGGCGTTGTGGACTGATATACAAACTCATGGAAATGGGATGTTCGAAAGGGGCGGAATCGCAGGATACCGGAAGAATTCACAATGGTGGGTGTATCCTGCGTTGATGCAGGTCTGTTGTGGCCAAGCAGTTGATGTTGAACGGGCGGAGGAGGATGAGGAGGAGGCGTAGTCAAGATCCCGCAGTGTCGGGTGTCGTGAGAGGATTTGCCCGACTTGGTGGCCACAGTCAGGTGACATGCAGTACAAATTACTCAACAAGCAAGCATTGCATTGAGTACGCTCAGCATTGGGTGAGGGAAGAAGCTGGCAACCTCAGATCTTTTGTAAACCTCCAGCATGATTCACTGGTTAACTACTCGTCCCACCTTTGCAGTATTCAGTTGTGATTTTCATGATGTTCCTTGATCCAAACCACTCGAGAACAAGGGGGTTTTCGTGCCAAGCCCATCGCAGCTGAACCCTGGCGCTTGCGCTCTCTGGGAATATTTCGCTTTTCGGAGAATTTTCAATTTTCATATGGGCTGTGGACCTGGGAGTTGCACACAGCTCCATCCTGGAGTGCCAACAGGTTATGATGCTTTAGGGGTATGCTCTCAAGCTCCCATATGATCGGCACTTCTGGCGGCAGCCAACCGTGATGCTGCATGGCTAGACTGGAGCTATCCCAGCATGATTTCCCAGGTCCCCGGCTTCGGTGCATAACCTCCGCATTTCCCCCGTGTGTCAATGCTCGCTGCTGAAGAAAATATAATAATAGGGAGATCTTAGGCAAGAAGGGAACGTCTCTGATGATGACAGCGGAACTTCATGCTTGCGCAATAGTTTAATGGATTTCATTATTCCTCACATTTGGAAAATTAATTATTCAAGTACTGATTCCAAGACTGATCTCCGAAATAAATGCAGATTACATCATGCCAGACTCGGAGACATGATGTAGGATCTCCAGTGCTCACTCTGAATGAAGCAGGATAAAGAGAAAGCCACAAAAGCTCGCTCTCAAAATCATTTTTCAGGTATTGGGGATTTGGAGGTTCATCTTGATTTCAGAGAGAACAAGCTCTGAAGTCTTGCTACCCTGTGGTATCTTCGCCTCACTCATTATAGCCTCCTCTCGGTGAAACCATATACAAATGTTGGACGGGAAGGTACGCGAATATGGGAGACGTTCTTGTGGATGTCGAGCCTATCCTAGACGAATACAGCTGCGAGAAGAAAGGATATGATAGCAGAGGCTCTGTGGATGGGTTGACAGTCAACAAGGTAACTCTTCGCATCATGTCGAAAGAAATCCCTTAATACCCCTGGGTTTCTACCGTTAATTTGCGGTCCTAGTTGTTGATGCTGCGCAGCATTTCACCTGACGACTTGCATCATTTAAAATTTGAAGAACGCACCACTCCCTCACTGCGTGGTACTCATTGCATTGCTAATCTTGCAATTTCATCATATAGATGGCGGCAATCATATTGAGTACTAGTAGATAATGTGGGGGAGACTGAGAAGAGAAGTTGAAATTAAATGAGCGGGAGTGTGACTATGGGACATCAAAACTTTATTCTCGGTGGAAAGGGTGATAGCTACCATGTTTCTTCCCTAACTGATTTTATCTTATCTTACCGTGCATGTATATTCCAAAAGATGATCTACAGATGGAAACGAAGGAGATCGCATTTTACAAGTTGCCCACCCATTTGAATACGCGCCGTAGTCACATCCGCTCTCCATATCTTTTTCTTCCAAAAGCCGATAATTTACACGGAAGTTCACACAAATATCTCTCCACTCCAGATGATAACGTATTGATAACAGGTACAGTCACGCGCGTATCAGTTCAGCAAAGAGTAGGACCGCTTCGATATAGCAAGTCAGTTCTTGGCAAGCTCCTTGCTGCCGACTCCACGACAAAATTAGTGATATCGTGTAGCCCCATCGGCTTTCCGCGCGGCCCGTACGGTCACAGAAAGTGCAATTTTGAACGCTGTATATATACATAGTATGCGGTTGCGAAGAAAGAATTTGTACGTCTTGGGGCTTGGTCTGATTTCTTACAAAAGCGAAGTTGTAACGATCTCGGCTCAGCCGACTCTAACCGCAAAATATTACTTCAACTACTCATGAGACCTATGAACGCTGCCGACATCAGATGGCACAGAATACGAGTTCTACGGAGAAATCGCATTTTACCACCTTCTTCCAGGCCTACATAGTATACCAGACAGAGGTGGGGAGACTCTTCGAGAGAGACGATGACAAAACAAAGAACGAAAATGCAAAAAGTAAAGGAATTCTGCATGATAAACAAATGGTCATTAATTACGTCTGTATTAGACACGCCAAACCAACCAGTAATGGAGGAAATGATGAAAACATGCACATACTATATCAGGATTGCAAGGGAAAACTCATCAGCAAGCACTGCCAAGGTCCATGAACCATCGAGAACCTCAACGCAATCAACTAAATAATTGGAGAATGACAGTCGTTCTATCTGGGAAATCTCGGTTTTTGATGCGTTCCAGGTCCCAAACCCTCCTCCTTGCTGCTTTTAAAAAACGCAATGCAACGTCTGAGATTGGCACAACGGGGAGAGGAGACCGGAACATTCGTGTGTATGAGTTCCAAGTTGTGGAATTCGCGCCGTGCAGGCACAGTACAAACAACACGCAATTTCGAGCTGTGTCTGTAACGGGGAGCCATGTTTGGCTCACCAAGCAGCGGAGCGGGAGGCATATTTCCATCATAAATCGGTCATATGGTATGAGAGTTACGCAAATAACTGCTAGCCAACTTCAGCGGGGATGGGCTGGATGATGGCAAAGCTGGAGGGTTTGTTGGGGATTCGTCGATTGTAGATCTGATGGGATATCGGATTGTGGAGACGAAGTTATTGTGGCGGAAATTGATCCTGCTATGAACTGGTGTTTATGTGAAGAAGGCGGTGAGCAGTCTTCCATTTTTCTTTGATGATTCGGGGAGGATGAGGGAGATAGTATCTCTCCATGGTGCCTCTGTTCTGGCCCCCTATTTTATTCGTTGACGTTAAATAAATGTTTCTTTTTGATGATCTGTTGGGTTGTACGAACACTTCTAGATGTTCGATTTCGAGTGGCATAGAAGAATCGAGGCGTATGGGATTATCTCATCACAGGTAGTAGTTGTTGAAACCTCTCGTATGAGATGTCCACGAGTGTAGAGTGTTCGATCTATAACCCTTATTCCAATGAGGGAAGATTCTATTATTTGTTATGATAGAAAGATTTTCATCGCGTAAATAAAACTGGGCGGCTGATCGAAAGTTTGCTTTCACGCATTAGTTATTTACTAGTACTTTGAAAAGGTTTACAGGAAGTGAAGCAAATAGGTGGCTGCTTTCTTCGGCTGGGAGGAGGGCTAGAATACTAGTAACAATTAAAATCACTTTGTGCACACGAACGCTGTGGTGTGTCTGAAGAAGCCAAGACAACTTGAAGCACTTGTCCTGGGGTCAAGAATGAATAAAATAACACTGCTTGACTGATCGTGGGGATTTTAGAATGAAGTGCCTGCAGGTACCAACAGTGATGAGCGGCCCGCTGCGGGTGGATCGATTCCCCACAGGACAAAAGGAACAGGACTACGGCAGCCTATAGTGACAAATGTGTCAAATGGGTTTTTTATACTAGTGTTACAATGTACACACACCTATCATATTCATTCTATTTGTAATTGAATAGAGCTTATCGATTATTAGAAAGCAATGCATTGCTAGATATCATCTTCAATATATATCATCACTGTGATAAGATAGCACTATAATCACTAGATTATCCATAGTGAAAAGCCAACATAACCATTTGTTAAATGGTTGTGCTCATAGTGATATATATACCCATGGGTGTGGTGGTGTGGCCCGGCCCACAGTGGGTGTGGCCACTGAACCAACCACTGAGACACTGCGACTGCCAGCCGCATCACTCAATATTATCACTAGATATTATTGCTAGATATCATCACTAGATATTATCGCTAGATATCATTGTGAGATATCATCGCGAGATATCATCGTGAGATATTATCGCGAGATATTATCGCTAGATATTATTGCTAGATATCATCATCAATGTTTCCACACTATGGGCTGGTGGTTGCAGTGTATAGATAATGGGTTCCGTGGCCATGCCCACTGTGGGCCTGACCACACCACCCACATCCATATGTAAATATATACATATATATATCTCATTGATATATATCATTGCTAGATATCATTATGAATATCATCACTAAATATAATAAGCTAGTACTATGGTAACTAGATTATTCATAGCAAAAAGTCAACATAATCATTTGTTGAATCATTGTGCTCATAGTGATAATGATATATATATATATATATATGGATGGATCTGCTGTGGCCTGGCCCACAGTGGGTGTGGCCACGGAACCCATTATCTATACACTGCAACCACCAGCCCATAGTGTGGAAACATTGATGATGATATCTAGCGATGATATCTAGCAATGGTATCTAGTGATAATATCTAGCGATGATATCTAGCGATGATATCTCACGATGATATCTCGCGATGATATCTCACGATGATATCTAGCGATAATATCTCACGATGATATCTAGCGATAATATCTAGCGATGATATCTAGCGATGATATCTAGTGATGATATCTAGCAATGGTATCTAGTGATAATATCTAGCAATGATATCTACAATGACATAAATTCACTGTTTTAAAATGTACTTAGAGAATTCAAGATGCATTGTGTTCTAGTATAAAATTTCTATCAATGAGTGTCTGTAAGTGGAATTAAGTAATTACAGTGGAAAACATCAAAAAAACCCATTTGACACATTTGTCACTATAGGCTGCCGTGAGGACGGAAGGACAGTCATGACAATTCGACAGACGGTCATTGGATCCAGCGGCGGACCCGCCGCTGCTGACGGGACTATGGGGATAGTCTGGGTATCTACAGAGTATGTGACGCACAATATGTTCACGGGTTGCGCTGTTCCTTGCCAATAACAACGATTCGGGCGCTGCATCCCCCCATGCGCCCGCGCCTGGAAGATGTGCTGAGATGTTGAGGTTTGTTGGGCATCAAGCGAATCCTCGTTCTGCGCAGCGATTGGCGGTCATGACGTCGCATGTACGTGTATCCGTCAGCAGGCGAAGTTAGTGGAGGTACCGCCCCACGGTTTCTGTGCGGTGAGGTACTCGCCTGGACATCCCGCAGTCCGCCCTCCGTTCATTCCAAGGTTATTCCACTTCACCAACCACTCCGGCTCTCGATCTCTTCGACAGCCCTCTCTTCTCTTCCTTTCTCTCTTTTCTTTCACATCTTTACGAAGTTCTTATTTCTGTGGTCCACTCTTCTTCTTCGGCCTGCTATGCCCGTGCGCTTAGCGGATCATATAAACTGCTCTGTCGTGTGATATAAGACGACATGGTTCCAAGAGTTTTATCTCGGAAAAGTTGACACAAAAACTACGAGTAGAGCAGACTTTCTGTCTATTGGGCCTGTCGGGAGCTGAACTTCAGAGTGGCTCTCTACGTCTCTACGTCTCTACGTGTGTGCGTTGACGCTTGCTTCCCGCCTCAGTCCACGAAATAGCCACCTACTCTTCCTATCGAGCCCTTCAGAAGGTGATAACCCATGGCGATGGCTGCCCAGACCTTCCGATTCAACTCTACAATGATGAATGCAAACTTCCAGCTGCAGGATGAGAAGGCCGCTCCTGCAGTCTCGGCTGTAATTTTCGATCCACCTACAAATCCCGTTTTCATTCCCCCTAAGCAAAAATGCCAGAGACCAACTATCACACCTCTCAAAATCAAGCCGAAACAGAATCGACTAAATGAACCGGTGAAATCGCGCTCTAGTTCATTGGCACGACCGGAGCTTTCTGTCCCTCTTCATGTTTCAAACCTACTACAAGCAACGGCAATTCCAGTGCCGCGGACTTGGACTGGTCGAAAGCAGAGTCATTTATCGGATAGAAGCGATGCAGGATATTTCGATTCCTTGTTCTCTGAGGATGTAGCTGGAAACCAACCTGGAGGAATGGTCCGACCCTCAAGGCAATCCTCTCTTCACGTTCTTCTGAGTCCTCCAAACGTGTTGGATGATGACGACGACAGTAACCTGCGAACCGGATCAGAGACCCCTGATTCAGTAAGATCATTATCGTTAGACTCTATCCCGTCATTAGATAACGATGACGATATTCCCACCCCGCTCGGTGACCCGCCAACACCATCCCTTACCACTCCCCAACGATTGCCGTTCGTTCGGAAGCAGCGTGTCTTCTCGCCTAGCGAGGCCTGTCCCCAAGACCATCCTCTCCTCTCCACGTCATTACCCGAGGACCTCATGTACATCGATGAAACCCCCACAAAGATGCCAGTATACAGGTCGAACTCCTTCCGAGCCCTTCCAAAATTAGGGGCAACCGTCAAATCCAACCTCACTGCGTCCCTCCGAGCGATCAGATCCGCTGCCCAAAGCGTCTCTAATTTCACAGCTCCCTCCGTGCGATCCGAAGATTTCTTGACACGATCCTTTTTCTCATTCTCTCCAGAACTAACGGACGATAAACACCCCGTTCTAATGAAAAACACCCCTTCGCCGGCACTCTGCCGCTACGTAAACCCCTTAACAATATCCGCAGCAGATATCCATATCTACAACGAGTCTCCACGAGGAACTCCTGTTGAACCCACCAGATGCACAGCATGCATTCAAATGCAGACATACAACTTGTCAACGGTTAAGAAAAGACGCAGAAAATGTGTATATCTCCCAGCCGCCACTGAAAATGGCTATGAATCCGACCTTGACTGCCAAGACGAAGATGTGAACGATGAGGAAGACGAAGTGGAAGATGAAGATGAAGAAGGCGAAGAAGATGGAGAATACGAAGACGACGAAGACGATGACCGTCCACGATTCCACCTTCCCCGCCATAGAGAGCCCAGAGAGAACAGCGATTTTCTTCGAATCGTCGTCTTGGAAATGAACATGCAACGCCGTGGTAAACTACGCAGTGACGTCCCCGGTCGAGCAAAGCCCTGGCTTCCGCCGAGAAAGGTGATGATGCGGTCGTCATCACCATCATCACCTTCTTCTTCTGCGGGGCTCTATGTGGGGACAGGTGGGGCAGGATATACGAGCCGCAAGATTCCGCGAAGGTGGATTCCAATATCCATGGATGATCTAGGATGACTTGTTATTCATTTCTTTTTTCTGCTCCCCGCCCTTATTACTTGTCTCGTATGAATGACTCTTGGTCCACAAATCTTAAAAGGTCCATGCCATGTTGTTTGCTTCCTTTTGCTTTTACCTTGACCTATATATATTTTTTTTCAAAATATATATTTTTCAAAAAAAGCTTTCGTCACGGCGTCTTGATTACGGTTGGGTGTTTCAAGAGCAGGGTAGTTTGGTTTTGGATAAGTATAGAAATGAAGAATTCAAATTTATTAATTATATAGTAAGACTATTTCATATTCTCATATAAACTATAACTGTTTTCTCTCAAACTCTCAATGAGATTTTGTTGAATAAGGTTGCTCTCATTGACTCAGAGGTGAGTGCAAGCTCATTCTTGCTTACACACTATTCTAGTTAAATTTGGAGCAGAGAGGCCGAGTCAACTGAGATAACCCCTGAGAGAGAAATGTTGCTCAGCAGCATTTGGCCTTGGGACCGTTGTTTCCTTGGAAAGCCCCGATCAATTTCAGTTTGCTTCGGAACAATAGATGCTGCTTTGGCGAGAAGGGGAAAAGGATTTTCAGCGGTTGGCCCAGCTAAAAAGGTATTCTTTCGGTGGAGAGCAATGCAAATATCTTCTGAAAACACGGGCCAGGTATTTACATCGAAATTTCCCCTTTCCACCTCATGTCACCCACGGTTTTGCTAATTCCAGCGAATCGTCTCAGCCGCCCTTGAGAATATTTCAACTCTACTAGACCATCTTGTCCCTCAATCCGCCTGTTCCTTTCTCTATCGCCTTCTCAGAAAAATTGGTGCATACCTCTATGGTACTGGGACTTACAGTGTGCTCAATATTCAACAGCTACCCTTCAATCTATACTCCAAACAGGGTCTATCTCAGCATCTCGTGAGCTAAGCGCGTGCACTTAAATTGGTGCAAAACACACAACATTAAATGCATCTCAGATTCTTGAATTTATCAAGTTGCCAGCAGCAGAAGAGTGTTGGATGTTGATCACTCACATTATAGATGACATTGCAGGAAAATGCCTCCTCTTGGTGGATGTGGAACAACTAGAGCAGTCCAGCATTGCTTTTAGAGGTTAACTATGTGGAGCAAATTCGATCTATCCCAAATCCCTATTCCCATCTCATCTGCAGCCCACTTGGTGGAGAGCGTTGGGATTGTTGAATTGACCATGACAATGGCGGGGAACGGACTCCTATGACAAAAATTGAGGATCTGAACAAGCACATCCTAGGCAATCCGAACATGATCTCACAGGATCCCCGGGTTTAGCGTGGCACGGCTCCACACCATGGGCCAGAACAACTGTCAAGCTCAGAAATCGGGTTTTGAAATCTAGAGCAACAACTTGGTCCAGAACATGGAACAAGAAAGCTTTACATGTGACAGCAACCGTGTCGATGCGATCACATGTTATATGCCCCAACCCTTGGATTGATCCCAAAACAAATGATTTAGTAGCATCGGATTTCACGGCCATGGCTTTGTTCCAATATACGAACCACCCATTTAATGGCTGCCTTCCGGGTCAATCTTTGAGGCACATCTGGCTCTGGTGCCTCTTCCTCTGCATTCAGTGGTGCGTCTGCCTCATTTCCTTCAATGTAATATTTGTGCCCACGCCGATGCATGCGCTCCGCAAACTGGATATTTAGATGTTGGATCACTGCTCTTAGCCAATGAGAATCGTCTTCCCCATCAATGGGTGCGTTGATATTGATGCCACCAAAAAAGACCTCCTTGTAATCTCCATTCAAGCCCATCACACCTATATCGTACACCGAGCCGAAAAGATCCACTAAGTAGGCACGTTGATCAACCAGTGTGGTATATGGCTTTTGCCAATAGAGTGAAGCTCCATGCCAACAGTCCTTGCAATGTTGTCACGCTCCTCTTTGAGAATTGGTAGTTCCCGCCTCAGGTGATGGAAGGCATTTGTGGAGAGGATTGATGCCTTTTATATGTTTGACGAAGAGCCTTGTAGGCCCCAATGCTGAAGAACACACACTCCTTCAAATTACGCTCAACAAAAGACAGTTGATGCTTGCCATCACCGCAATTCCTTAACAAGTGTCATTCAAGCTTGAAGTAGATATCTCAATTCTGCGCCAGATCAAGGCATACTCTCTCACTTCCACAGCTGGCCTGTAGATAGTCAGGCTTTGTAATAACACCAAGAGTGCGTGCGCCCTTGGGGTCGAATGTTCAGCAATTCTTAAGAATCTGTAGAATCACTTGATTAGCGCAGTCATTTTTGGCCAAGATGACAGCAAGGATAATGGTGCACTATTATTTACTTATACTTGTATACATCGTTGTGTTTTAAAACTTATATATTTAATTGTTAGTATTATTTCCTAGATCTATATATCTCATTATCTCGTTAAGTAAATAATTATATCTAAGTGTAATGCACTAGATCATTACTTCTTATGTATTCACATATGTACTGTATATCTTTTCCAGTGCTGTTTGGGCAGTGCAACAGCTCAACCATAGCCCATCATAAGGCAGGGTTTGCTAATAGTGCTATTACATATCTGGTTTTAAGCGTGGGAATGGCCGGTTTGTGAGTGCTGAGGATGCAGGCGAAACCCAAAAGGTCATATTTCTAATATATCTTATTGTCTTGTAAAGGATGAACGCTCTACAATCTCGTTTTTGCAACCAAATTTCTCAAGGGGATTTTATACGACAGGTGCTACAGCCTTACTGCCCATGGCAAAATTATGCCGACTTATATTCAAAGAGTTTGTACCATAAAATTATAAACATCGTAATCCAGACCCATCAGCTATTCCAAAATATGTATGCGATATCCGGATACCTTTGGCTACAGCAAACAGCTTGATTCTCTTTCCTTCCGATGGAAAATAGGTCATGGAGCGAGCAAGGAACTCTCCGTTAATGGGAGCCTGTTCTTACTTCAAAAGCCATTTTTGCGCTCCGCACCTCCAATGCATGCATGCACACAGCAATACAACCTCTTCACTTTGGCGTCAATCCTGAATTAAAACACAACCGATACATAAGCATTTCGTGTCCAATGTCCAAATTTCTATACGGATAAAAAAGGGTGGTTGCAGGAGATGATGTGCTCCATTTACATACTTTCCTCATCAACCAACGTCCGCTCCCTCCAACTCTCCTCCACCCACTCAACCCCAACAATATGCGGAATCCGTTTACCAACCCCAGCACGGGATGAAATCGCCCTCCTGATGCCAGCAACGTCCGCCGCTGCCATAGCTGCCTTGTCACCGGGCGGATTGCTGTCAACGACAACATGCGTGATGCGCGCATCCTTCATGTCGCCATCGTCGTCCGTGATGACTTCGCCGCCGGCGAACTTTACCAGGTTGGAAGCGAGGTAGAGACGTTGTGGCAGAACGTGTGGTACTTTGCCGTTTCCCTCGTTCGACATGGACGGGGGCGTGGCAAAGTATATGACTAGTCCTTTGAAAAGCCAGCCGGGGCATGTTGAGGTGTTGGATATTGTTGGGATTGTTGGTTTTCGTTCGTTCAGGCTGTGGGATTCAAGTTGGGATGTTAGCTCGGATAGACTGGAAGGCGGCAGCGCGGGGGCTGGGTGCATGCTGTCGAGGAGCTGTGGGGATGGTTAGTTCCCATTTGACTTTATATTAGGGAGACATTCTTGAAACCTGAAAGAAGAAAAAAGGAAAGAAATAAAACTAATAGAACGCTGGGATAGGGAATGGAAATGACCTGTTTGAGTTCCGAGACATCGATATCTCGGGCATAGCTATCGGAATATTTATCTACGTGCTCTGCGATTTCTTCCTCCTGATCTGCTGTTGTGAAAAACATGTGTCTTGTGAGGTTGAAAGAGAGTAATTAGATATTGGATACAACGAGAAGGGGAAGAGCTGGAATGTGGGACATGAACTGACTTTGGTTCCAGTGGAAGAAGCAGGTCCGGAAGACCACGATCCCTCTCGTTTTGTGTTAAGCAGTCAAATAGCCATGATGGCCTGATGACGTTCTCTTGCGCGTTTTTCTGAAGCGAAGCTACTTTCACGGTTCCTGGGATGCGTTAACATAAGTCCTACTCATACGACGTGCTCAAATATATATCGTCTCAAACTTACTGCGATCGGCGATGCAAATTGTGTTTTCAGCAACATTATTCGTCTGATATATCTTACCGCCATTGGCTTTCACGAGTTGTTCCAGTTGAGCCTTGGTTTTCTTCGGCTGATGAACTGATTCGGTCATGATAACTGGTGAGAGTGTGGTTATGTGAGTATATCATCCAAAATCGAAAACGTAAAGAACTGATGACACTCACAAAAATTGAGTCCATCAAACAATTTCCCAGAAGGACCAACATATTCAATCTTCTTGCCTCCGTCATAACCGGCAATCGTCAGCGGCTTTTTGATAGTCTTCCTGTGCCGCACTTTGCGAGAGTCGTCAACCTTGAATTCCTTTTCTTTCACTTCCCTTTCGACATTTGACTTAAGGTCCATAAACTCCTGGATCGACAAGGCACTTCGCCAGTCCTTATCCATACGAAGTCGTTTAAAGCGCGGAAATCGCACAGTAAGGCCAAGGCGGAACTGGTCAGTTGAGGTAACGGATGATGCCTTTACACATAGAACAACCGAATCCTCAGGCTTTATCCATACGTCAGGACGTTCATACTGTAGGTCACCTCCAGCAAGCTCGATGTATTCAGTGGGTGGTCGTTTTGGATCCCAATCCATCCACTTCCCATCGGTATGATGGCGAATATTGGCATAATCGGCAGCAGTAAACCCTCCTCCCACTTTGCAAAATGAATAGCATTTTGTAGGGTGATCACCTGTTTTGGAGTGCGAGCCATCGACCCTTAGTCCACATAGGAAACTTGATAGGGCGCCACCTCGACGGCCAGAACCGTAATATCCGCCGATTACAATGCAATCAAGAGATTCACCGAATTCAGTCATATACTCGGGCTTGACCTTCATCCAGTCGTCGTGACGTTCGTTTAGTCGATAAGGAGAGTTGGGATTTTTAAGAACAAGACCTTCAGATGCTTCCGCGACTACCTTCCGAAGTAAGGGATCGATATCAGCGGCACTATGGCCAATATCATATGTGTGGATTTCAAAACGGCGATGTACAGGAATCACACTTGCTTCAAGTGCTTTTCTGCGGTCCTTCAGGGTGTATCTTGTGAGTGGTCGGCCGTTCAGGTAAAGGATATCAAATATACGGAATAGAGGCCGCTGTCCTGTCGAGAATGGGTTTCTTTGCTCAGCCAACGCGGCAGTCTTAAGAGTCCCGAAAGGGACAATCGCGTCGTGCTCTGGGTCCCATGTGATCATCTCTCCATCTAGAATGATGCTCTGAACACCATCTGCAAAAGCGTCTTGAAGATGCCTTGTGAGTGCCCCATTTTCATCCAACAACCCATTGCCGTACAGATACGTATATTCCTTGGCCTTTCGAGACCAGAAGCCAAACCTCTTACCTCCAGGTATTGAATCGTCCGGCTTCATATGAAGCTGTATGCGTTCCCCGTCAAGCTTTTCCTCAATCCAAAAGGTTGGGTCGTCCTCAGCCAACCTCATCCTTTTGATCATATGTTCAAACGATTGCATTTGAAACTGAGCGAGCTGGGGTTGAAAACACTGCATAAGAGTGACTTTTGTTTCATCCCCTTCCAAACGAACATCAGGATTATAAAGTTGCCAACAAACTCGCCGAAGGCTGCTAGAGATACTAAACAATGCCTCTGCATCCGGATGCCAGATGCTGAAAAACGTCCGTTCTGTGGCACCGACTTTCATTTGCCGTAGAATAATCCGTATAAGCCACATCAACTCCTCAGGGTTCATCCTTCGGTAAAAATACGCGAGAATAGGCACCTGCTCATCCTCCTTCGAGGCTGCGGACAATTTATCTAGCTGCTCATTGACTTCATCAATTGTCATATCACCCACCTCAGTCCTCAAAGGCCTCTTTGATATGACTTCGAAACAGCGACCGGCAAAATCGCCAGCCATTCTACTCGCAAAGCTCTGGCCTGGCACCTTCCAGTTCAACAAGCTAAATCCATCCTCAGAGTTTTTATCAATTTTCATAACTTTCACAAGCAATTTTCCGATGGCTTTCTCCTTCAATCCATACATGGCACGATCTCGGTCTTTTTCAGGAATTATCAACCGAAATGCAGGAAATATGTCGTCGCCCACTTCTTTCCGCCATCGCGAAATGAATCTCTGAATTATGTCCCTTCGCCGCTCTTGTGGGCTCAGATGGACGGCAGCGCCCTGTCCATGAGGACCCACCTTTCTTCGGGCAGCCGCTGGGCCGGTTGGACGCTTTTTGTTCTCATTGAGAGGATTAAACAGGGTCAGGAATAAATCATGAAATGGCAAGGTAGGTGAGTGGTTGCGAGGGGGATTGGGATATCTAGGCACATGTTAACGAGCATTTTCCGGGTGGGCATTTGGGGATGTTACTTCTCGTCCAGGTCATTCGTGGTCGAGTCTTGCTGTCTTGAACCGTTTGGCTCGCCTTTTCCATCCGAATCCATTTTGAAAATATGAGGATCAAGAGAAGAACTGAGGCTCTGCCCAACACCACTCTGAAGTCATGATGCTGGATCATCCGCTGGCTCAACCGCTGCCTTCTCTTGCTCCAGGCAGCACAACACGAAGGCAGCACCATCTGCACGTGATCTGATGTCACCGGCTGAGCTGAGCTTATCTTATCTTAGCTGAGGCTTCGCCAAGATTTGCCGGAGCCCCCTGGTTATTACTAATACAGCTCACTAGTTACATGTAGTTAGCTAGTTGGTTAACTATAAGCGCAACATAAACTTGATCCCTAATCTGCTCATTTAACCCCGGGCGAGTGATGTTGTATTCGCCATGATAAGCAGTGGTTTGAGTTGCCTTAGACCAAAGGTTCCGAAAAGTGGGCTGTCCCTCGAGTAAGAGATGTCTTGACGTCAATCCCAAATAGAAAATACACAACTACCTTGGAATTCATAGAGAAGCATCCGAGAAGAAATGGTTGGTTTGTTAATGAATGGACGGGATGCATCTTATGACTTCGAATGAGTATAGCCCAACAAATCTATTTGCTGGGACAATTGGTACTTCTTGATACCACTAATTTCCATGCCCATCTCTAATTTGTAGATATGGAGTAGCTCATTGAAAAATCACGTTTTTGAGAAACTGTGGCGTTTGGAAAATTCATGTACGAAACCTTCCTCGTTAGATGGAAATACATATGAATGTTTTCAACAGGATATATCTGACTTATTATTCATTTAAGCCATGAGCACTACAAAAGGGACCGAATGACGTGACTTCTTGCCTACAGCTCCCGGTAGCCATATACACTTCGTCCTAAAGGGCCCAGAGTTCTAAAGGCGGAGTGTGTGGAGAAATTTCTTCAGTGCAGGCTCTCGATAATCCTGCAGTCATGGCCAAGGTCAATGAGACGTGGCGAGGCACCTTGCACCGGCCAGTTGATACCTTCTTGGGGAAAGCCATCTTGAAGTGTTTTTTTTTTTCCTCCGGAAACCCACGAGCACGAAAAAGAACGGATGCATCTGCCCAGCTCATGGGTCTTCGAATGCGATCCATAGCTTGCATCTCCTCAAGATATCTGCGTAGAACGTCTAGCACATATACTATCTAATCAATACAATGCCATTATATTTGAATTCTTCATCTCTCTAGCTTAATTTTGTGCTAGTATAGGAACTTTGGCAGTGTGTATGTATTGAGATAATATAATATGGAGATGAGTGAAGTTGAGAGGTTTTTTGGGGAAGGAGATGTGTAAAATATCATATATCCTAAACGTACTAGGAGTCATACGTTCTGACGGCGGAATTGAACAGAGGGTAGGCTGGTGCTGAGATAAATGAAAGCATCAAAACCCAGCTTGTGTACGAGACACGGGGGAATTTTTCTTGCTCACAAGTATATATTTACAAGTATTCTTTAGCTGCGGCCCTTTCTCGGGCACCTCTTCATTCTTATTACTTGAAGATAGAGAGGACGAGGGATCGCGAGTACCCAGAATATATGTACAGTACATGTACATTATATCAAACCGTTATTATAGCCAAATAATAGTGATTGTTCGAGAATAAAAATTTTCGACTTCGTTAACTACCGGATTTGATACGGTTCTGTCAGATGGGGCCTCCATAGGGCTGAGTGGCCACAGTTGAGAACTAGTCTCTGGGTAACTTTGCTAGTACCAACGACCCATCAACAACCACTGAAAAACTCTCAATGCAACGTACGGAATGAAACTTGACTGCCTCGAGGGCGTGATGCTTTGTCGACCTGCCTGGGCAATACGCAGCGTTATACAAGGAGTTTATGAAACTTGAACTTCTCAAGTTACGGAAATCTAATATCAAATAACCGTGGAGCACGGTTGCAATATTCGAACTTCGGAACCGCAAACAGAGAGCCAGAAAAATCATTGAGTGGTTACCAATCAGATCCTAGCATGGCTGGCGATCTAAATCGCGACTTGGGCCTGGGAGAGGCATGTTCGCGAAGGCCCAAACATCGGCCGCCAGTCCCGTCCAAACCCAACGCTCAATCTGCTGCTCTCCTTGGAGCGTCATTAGCCTTCGATGCACAAGGAATGAACACTGTCACTACACCACAACCTGCGAACAGCACAAAGCATCCGAGGACACTTGCCGTGATGGATCTGGGTACCCTGGATAGCGAACCCATGCAGCAGGACACTGCTCTTCGTAGCTCTACGGGGTTAGTGGGAGGCCGGATTAAACAGTTTAATGAAACCCAAGGGTCCACATTATCACAAACCGTATCCAGTCTCCATCCTGAACCGGTTGGTCCCCAGCAGATCGCCGCCCAACTAGCTGTGGGGAAATCCACGGTGAGGCCTCCACCAGCAATACCATCGAGGGGAAATCGAGCGGTTAACTCATCAGCGCGCCAAAACGATCCCAAGCAAGGTCCCAATCACGAAACCTCTGCTTCAAGTGTTTTATCGCATGTGGCGAGGAGCAATGGCCTTCACGATCAGCAGGATAGCGCTGCTAAAGGGGTATCTTCGTTTGTTACAAATCCCCTTGGGCATAGGGATGTTGTCCCCAACGGGTCAGTTGGCCCGCAAAGGAAGGAGCATACGGGCCCGTCTCTGCTTTCCAACTCACTTGGCAAGGCCGTATTACAGATGCCGCAGCCAGAGCTGCAAAAAAATACTTCTCTATCCCAAGGGAATCAAGGTCCTCCATTACCACCAAGGCCTATGGTCCCTGTGAATACATCCAACCCATCGCAGCAGACCGTTCCCGCGAAGAATGTAATTAGGAAGAACGACCCTGCCATTGACAATAAGCTGAATGTTGCTCGCATTGGAGGACCTATGAGCATCCGAACCGCAATCCCAAACGCACGAGACCCAAGATCCCAAATGTTGCCCTCTCGATCTTCCTCATCCAGCTTGCGACCCCAGCATTCAGGATTGTCTGAAAGTTCGTTAGCTGGTGCTTTGGCGGCTTCATCCTTAGCATCCTCAAGAGCACCATCCCCATCCAAAAGGAATACTCCACCGCCACCGCCACCGCATCGAGGTTCCCGCTCCCGCACTCCACTGAATCCGTTACCTCGAACGCCCAGTCCAACCAAGGGAATGAGACAGACATTGCGCCAAGAAACAAAAAGCGACCACGACGAAACTAAACGGCGGAGAAAGTTCCAGCGGCCGCGCATCATAAAAACTCATCCCAATAAGCATCGGGAGGGCGATCGAAAACGGTGGCGAGATAGAATCACGGAACGCGAACGGAAACGGTATGAAGGGGTATGGGCTGCAAACAGAGGCCTGTTGATTGATGAAAACTCCCCGCCTGGGAGCTCTACGACTCCACTGCGGGATATGGTGCTGAATCTGGTTGTGCGGGATATATGGTCCCGCAGTCGACTTCAGCCTATCCTCCTTGGGCAAATTTGGGATCTTGTTTGTCACGACAACAGGAGGATGCTCACTCGCCAGGAATTCGTGGTGGGCATGTGGTTAATCGACCAGAGTTTGAAAGGAAGAAAGCTCCCCATTAGAGTCTCCCAGAGTGTATGGGATAGTGTTCACATTCCAGGTAGTTGCTAGCTAGATTCCGATGCTTTTGCAGTGGTTTGGTGTTATTATTATGATTTCATTCTCTAGACAACTATACTTCCGCACGCCAATCAACAACGACTTAGGCCGAGATATCCAAATCAAATAAATCTACACATCAGATCCATGCAATATTTCAACGACCCCCAGTTGAATGTCAACTGGGGAAAGAAGACCCTGTTGAGCTTGACATGAGTTGACCTTCCGTGATGTTGAACTAGTTAACCAGCTATGTAACTAGCTAGTTAGCTAGTTAGGTTAACTATCGTGACGGATTAGTCACTGTGATGAGTTTGGTTTAGACGGGATGGGTGGGTTCCGGAAAAGTGGGCCCACGCGTGGCCAACCTCCGCCGGGACCGCCAGAACCTTTAGCTGCCACACTCGCAGAACAGACCCCGAAAGGCGACGTCGGGGTTTGCCAGCAGGCGACACTTGGCTTTGCTGATTAAGTTCCAAGGTTCGCCGCTCGGCTGCACATGACAAGGCTCCCTCGCGCTAGTCGAGATTGTCTCCAGGATATGCACATCCACAGTTCCCACGGCGGAGAGCTGTTGGCTATCCGTCGCTCCTTGGACTCGAGATATTTATTGTCTTTGGCCTTTTGGGTATCGTTCATTGTATTCGTGGCCCTCCACATACATCTAGGCCAGCGATTTGACTTGCTTTCCTGGAGTGGGAAAGCTGCAATCGCAGTAATTTTCAGGTTGCCATCTGCGGATTACTCTGCCTCTAGCTCCTTCTGGAGAACGGAACACGCATGGGGATGGCTTCTCCCAATGATCCCCAGAATAGCCAGCCTCAATTTGAAAAAACCCAAAAGCAAACGGCACGCAAGAAGTTCGCCAAACCTCCTGTCAAGGTAGCTTGTCTGTCCTGGTGAGTGCCCCTCTTGTTCTTGGGCATCATTTGAGCCTGACTTTCCAAAATGTCTGGATGATGCATGTTTGCTTTACCCCCACCTCTTCTCAACCCCCCTGGGGCGCCTTCACCCATAATTTGATGGGCTCTCTTGAATGACATTAAGCTACAATTAGTCGCGCTTCTAGAATTAGATGCGATGGAAAAGAGACATGTTCAGGGGTATGTCTACCTCCCTACCCCAAAGTCTAGATGACGTTTGGGCAAAACCAACATAGCATTTTGCTCAACGTTATTATGTTTAAATCTAGTGCGCGAGTAAGGGGAAAGAATGCTGCTATCTCCCTAGCAAACGGGGAGGCCCCCGAAAGAAAAAAGTGGGACAGTCCTCGGGACTGGGCTTGGAACCCTTTCCGGACCCCAGCTTACAGGAAGGTAAATTAACGATATCCGATACAAATTATGTTTGTCACCTGTGAATGGAAGAAGAAAATGCTTATAGACGTATCTTACTAGCGGTGTTTGTCCAGTTCGATTCCCTGGCTGTCCCAGGAGCTGGCTTGAGACATCTCGACTTTCCTCCGCAGGACCAGTCAATGTTTGACAGTTTAAGGGTTCCCGCTAGTGGGGATGTATCGCCTCCGGCGCTAGCTGCGGAACCCACCTCTAATCGTGTACCCAGCGAGGGCCCTTCACGGGTGAGGGTGTATGGTAATGAAGATGATATGTAAGTGTTACAATGATTTCCATGGTAGGGAATGACAGGCAATACAGTACTCATTCCTCTCGGCACCTTAGCGAGATTTTGCTAATATTGTTGCAGACTCAATGGGTATTACATATTTATCCATCAATATTTCCCGATATTCCCTCCTGCACATTCCCCCATCACAATTGACCGCCCCTTGGACTTCCCAGGGAAATCATCAAATCAAAAACTTGGCATGGACACTCCGTTAGGTTACATACCGAAGTCGCCCATCAGTCTCGCAATATCCGCCATTCTGGCCCTCGTCCCCCATCCAAAGGACCTAAAGCCATCTTCACCGGAGTCAGTGCGACTTCGACGGTCGTATGCCCAGTGGTTTTCTCGAGCATCCTTAGAAAGCGTTGAGACTGAATCCGAAATTGCGGAGTCTGGTGCCAACCCTTCCCAAGCCCTTCTCAACGAACATCCTATCCCTAAACGACCATCACTTCACCCGCATGTCCCCGTTGAATTAGAGGCCATTCTCGCACTTCTGATTCTCAGCGTTTATGAATATGCCCAGCGGGGAAATCTTGTCAAAATGCGACACCGTGCTGGTCAGGCTTTTGTTACAGCAATGAACATGTCGCTGCATGCATTACCACCAGAAGATAGCATATATGCTGAAGCGAGACGACGCGCCTGGTGGATGACCGTATGTAACGCCTGGTTTTTTTGCAACTTAATCGTATAGATTTCGCTGAGACGAGCCTACAGTATTACTCCGTTTGTCAAGGTTCGATCGTGAGCACGACTGTAAGTTCTATTAAAAAGATTATTTAGGAAACGTTTTCGAACCCTGTGGCTGAGATTTCTGTTTCGATGAAAGCGCCCTACAATCATTCCCAACGACCCGCGCTTCGTGACCCCTTACCCAAATTTCGCTTCGGACCCAGATGTAAGTAAGATTGTTTCATACCATCATATTGTACATCTGTAATCTAATCCATCTGGTAGTGCTGGCCGCTGCTGATGAGAGCCCAGCATGCCCTTATCGCTGGGACTCAATTCATCATTGATCTTAACCAAACCTTAAAATCCCGAGGTGACATGTCATATATTTACGAACGGATGAAGAAGATTGACGCTTGGATTCGCCCCGTTTTGGCCCAAGCCAATACTGCCCCACCTGTGTCTCCTGTGAGTGGAATAACTGATTCTGAAGCAATAACTGCGCAAAGCATCCGAAAAATATGTCTTATAAAGCTCTCGAGGTAAGACAGCTCCATATGAAATCCACACTCTCCATCGATAGACACGAACAGTATATATATCTCTGACTGGAACAGCGCACTCATCAAAACCCACCGTTTCCGAGCATTCTTAGATATACCCATTTTTATTAAAAAGCACTGCGATCTTACTTGCGCCAGCATAGGGTATCTAGCGACTGAGGCCGATGCACAAGGAAGCTCAAAACATTGTTGCGCCGATACCAGCTTATATGACATTCCCCCAATACCTCTACCGGGCCAATCCCCATCCTCCTGCTCGACGACGTCGGATATATCTGGGCCAACTACTTCCTCTTCAACCTGGGTTGACCAGGATTCGTTTCCATTCACGAATCAGCAATCAACGGAAATCTGTTTAACCTCAGCTCTCACCATAGCTCATATGTTCCACACCCTCCCCTACCCGGTCCCAGTATATGGTGATAAGGACCTGCTAGATCTTTCCTCGAGGGCGCAATCACCTTCCCATGAGCTCTCAGCTGTTGCTCCGCGGACAATGCCTTCTTTTGCGTGCTGTGCCATGCAGAGCAGCTATGCGATGCTCATGCTTTATTATAAGTCTCGAGTCGTTGACCAGAATATCTATGTGGAAGGCAGGCCCCTCAACTTTTCTGAAGAATTAACGGAGGAGCTCCAGTATGGTTTGGAATGTGTGATATCCGCTGTTAGAAACTATTCAAGGGTGTTTGAAGCGCTAGATGGAATGAGAGGTCAGTAGTTAACGAATGCCCTGATGAAACTGATAGTTTCTCACTTTTTTTTTTTTTCTTGTGTTGGTAAGAAATCTAATCGCTTCTATTTTTTGTCGTGCTTAGAGGAAATCGAAAGCGCTTTCATGATGGCATTCGCACAAGTGCAGTAATTATGCAGCAGGGCCTATCACCACTACCTCACACTTCCGCGTCTCGGACCAGCAAGCCTCAGCTCTCCAATAGAGAATGAAAATGAAAAGGCAAACCACTCAAAAGTCATTGCCTTTAAATATTGTTATATTACCTGACGGCATGGTCAAAGGATATTTCGAACGGATTTACCTACCTACTTCTATTCCCCTCGCCGCTCTCTCCCGCTCTCTCACTCACTCTCCTCACTCCCTTGATGATTCCATGACCTACTCTCATTTTACGTTCTGATTTCGCATATATTTCCCTAGAACATACTTTTCTTATATCCCTTTACATAACATACTCTTTGTCAATACCTATTCTCCTTTTTTTTTTAACCATTTTTAATTATCCTCAAATTGACCCAACATAGCCATCCTTACCCTATGCCGTCCCTCTGTATATTAGATTCCGTTTTATTTTTTATTCTTCCTCTTTTGCCTCTCCTTCCAAAGGGCGCAGTTAGCAGTGCGTGTATCTGCACGGCATAGTTTCTCGGGTTTATTATGACATCTCTATTTCCCTCCTATACACACACGCACGCATATATATATATATATATATATATATATGAAAGGACGAGTACTTCGCGTTACCGTTTAATAAATGACATTATATACTTTCATAACGCCAGACCACCATCTCAACAGCTCGTGGAGGAGATATGCTATCCAACATTGGAAGGGGCCAGGGAGGAATAGCAACGCACATCAACGGGATGGTAGTTGCATGTACAGGAAAAATTCTATCTATAATGACGCTCAAAGCAACGAGAAAGAGCGAAAACAAAGAGCGCAACAAAAGGCAAAAAGAGGGAGGGAAATGGACAGGGGAACAAGGGAACAGGGGAGGAAGCTCCGCATACGAACCGTTCTCTAGGGGAAAAAAAAACAATACGCCATTCACCACGGTGTAGAATAAAACAAAATATTCAAGTAAAAGTTAAAAGTTAAAAAATATATAAAGGTAAATAAAAATCGAACGGTGGAAATCGCTCAAAGTTTAGATCTAATCCCCTCAAGGCGAAACTTGACATCCTTCAGCACCTTGCTGGTAGGTTTCCACTCGTCAAACAGCTTCAGGATCTCCGCCGTTTCGTCGGATAACTCGCGTCGCACGAATTCTTCCTCGAGGACACCCCGCATGGCGAAAGGGAGGATGTATGGATTTGCGTTTGGTGAACGGCTGGATTTGCTGATTTCTAGTTTGGCGTTGGGAACAGGCAGTGTTTCGAGTGTGAATTCCACAGCGAGGCTGGTTAAGGAATTATCAGCAACTTGTACGCGAGTTTGCTAATACTATATATAGCACAGGATTTTTTTCTTTTTTTTTTTTTTCGTCCCTCGGGTTTTGAAGGGTGGAGGTCTCACCGGTAAAGTGCTTCATCGTCATATAAACGGGAATGTCCCTCGCCCGAATATAAACTACCCGCAAGGGGAGAGCTAAGCTCCCGGATAAGACCGTGATCAGATATTCCAAGGTTACGTAGTTTCATCGCGAAACTGACGAGATGTGAAAGACTGGATGAAGTGGTGATGTTAACGACTGTTGCCCTTGTAACGTGGGTATAAATGTTGACTCACAAACTAGGCGCATGAACCCTGCCATCCACAAAGACCGCTCGGTATATATGCGGATGTGAAACAGGTGCAAAAATAGATGACTAGAAAATATACGAGTTCAGCATCTTCTATGCATGTCAGATTCGCAGCAACTTATCTATAAGTACATACCTCTAATGACACAAGTTGATCATCTATGCTTCCCACATATACGATCCTCACCCCGAAGTCAAGAGCAGTTTCAAGTGCTGACATGTAATCTTGTGAAACTTTGCTGTCCGGATTCGCGAAGTCGAATAATTCACCGGCTGATCCACTGATCCAGCGGGATCGATAATCGGGAAATGGTCCTAGATTGACACCCGCCATGGCGCATATGCCAATTCGTGCAGAGCTCACACAGCCAAAAGCTATCAGTTTCGCTACTAACATGACCGCGACTGGGACACCCTGGCTATGGCATGCTACCATAATAAAATCGGCCTTCTTGATATATTCGATATAATTGAGGAGCAATTTCCAAAGTAAATCTACACGTTCGGAAATTCGCCCTTCGCCCTCGAGGGATATTTTCTGGATTTCACATGCAAAACCATGTGACTCTGTCCATGAATGAATAGCCTTCGCCGCCATGGTCGAAAATTTGACGGATGTGCCTGTTGGCTGCCCAAGAACAGTACGAATAAGTGGTGCCGGGAAGAATCCATGCACACCGATCGCAAGCGCTTGTTTAACGCGCGGCGCATTATTTGTCAGCTTTACATGTCGAGGTTCGGTATTGTTGCAATAGAATAGAAAACTACCAAGTTGCCGGATAATACCGGCCCGTTCCTGTACAGGGAAGTTATCCCTTAATGCGGGAAGCACTTGATTAGGAAATGTAATCTTCGTTGCGGAAGATTTTTCCTTCGACGGGGCAATTGGCTTTTTAGTGCTTGGTTTAGCTTGCCGATCGGATAATACTGCATCCGTTGGAGTCTGTTTCGGTTGGGTTTCCGTCGCTACAGCGCTTGGTTCGGATTCTGATACCTTGATCGATGCGGACGCCTGATCTTCAGATGGTGGATTAGTTGTGTCCTCGGTTGGTTCAGGCCGTTCTGCTCTTGTTGTAGCATGCTTTATCTGTGTATCTCTGGACCAAAAAAACCAACTAGATGGCTTTGTTGTATCTGAAGGGGGCGCCGTCAAATCAACATTCTCGTCCGATGGTGGCTCCATGTTGCTCTCCATCTGCGAGTCTGTAGCGCTAGGCTTTGCAATGGAGGATTTGTTGCGCGCGCCCGGCTCGCTTACATCCTCTCCACCTTTTTTCACGGGCCCCTCATTCTGCCTATTTTCTACTTGTTGCGAAGAAGTGGGATAGCCTCCCCACACTTGCAACCAACCTCGTTTTTTAGGAGCTGGGACCTCAGGAACAGTAAATTTTGGATCAACTGCAGCTTCGAGTCGTTCGACATTACTTGGCTCAGTTTCTTCTTCAGGTGCGTGGGGTAACGGCTCCTCTTTGTTCAACTCTTCGGCCACTACACCAGGTTTCGCCGATTGCTCTGTGGGCTCTATTTTTGCTGTGGATTGGCCGCCAATTTTTGGGAGAGGAATCCAGCCAATCCAGCCCGATGTCTGACTGGGGTGGGCCTGTTGATTTTCCTTTCCCTCTTGATTACTATCCGGAACGGTGTCCTGGGCGACCATGCCACCGAGTTCCTTAGTAACTTGGTCTTTTTGGGCCTCTGTTGAAACAGTCGTCAATACGGGCGCTGAGCCATCTGAGATATTATGTTGTATGTCACATCCAACACCTTTGCCGGATATTAACGTATCGGAAACCGAAGGGGACCTAATTGATGCAATATTAATCCGGGTAGTAGCTACTTCCGCCGGCAGCGACCTTGTCGATCCTCCGATCTTCTTCGTCAATCCAATAGAGGGGGCCCTAGCAGGTTGATTTCTGTTAGGAGGCGTTGAAGTTGACAAGTTCCGTTCCGTTGTCAAAATTGTTTCGGCAGAAATGCTCTCTCGCGCAACTTCAGCGACAGCAGGTGCCTTGGGTTTGTGCGGCCAGGTTCGAGTATACCAGCTCTAATCCAGTGCTTCAAGTTAAAACAGAGCTTCCTAAACGTTCAATTAAACACTGGAATTCTTACCGTTCTATTATCATTTTGATTATCGAGCGCTCTCGTCTCTGAGGAAGTGTTCGAATCCACGCCACCAGCCCTAGACGTAGGTACTATCTCGGAGTCTTCGTTTGCATTCACCCACTTTCGTGGTCCCGCGGGCGCCATAGATAGTAGAGTGAAATCATACCACAGAAAGTAGTTAATATGTTGGGTGCTAATATTGCAGCCAGTCCAGTGTCGGAAGGAAGATAAGAGGTAGCTGTATCAGGCAGAGCTTGGCGCAGAGTGACGAATGATGTAATGTTTGTCATGTGATTCTGTCTTTGCTGTGGCTGGTGAAAATATATCTTGGCACGCACCGCCTCATCTGCAAAGAAAAAAAATACAATAGAATGAATGCAGTGCGGACCTACAACAGGCAGTCGGAACATAGCGCAACGGCCGATTTACCCAGCAGTGCTGGCTCAGGAGGATGCGCGTTCGTGATTGTCGTTCAATTCTCGCAGTCTAACTTTAGTTGATTCACCTAGTAAAGATCAGCCATGGCTATCCAGAAGAAGGTATGCGAACGCTCTGTCGGCATTTGGGTTTTGGTCGCATTCTAACTGTGACTATCAGCATGGCAAAGGCCGCTTGGATAAATGGTATAAGTTGGCGAAAGAGAAGGGTTACCGAGCGAGAGCTGCTTTCAAGCTGATCCAGCTTAATAAAAAGTATGGGTTTTTGGAGAAGAGCAAAGTTGTAATAGACCTTTGTGCTGCACCTGGCGTAAGTCGTTGAAACTTGCTCCTCCAACCCCCAGCTACTCCATACATATGCGGAATATTAATTCCCTCGGGCTTTTTAGTCGTGGTGTCAAGTTGCTGCAGAATGCATGCCTTCACAGTCGCTAATTATCGGCGTCGACCTTGCTCCCATCAAACCCATTCCGAAAGTCATTACCTTCCAGAGCGATATTACCACAGACAAATGTCGGGCTACGATACGACAGCATCTTAAATCCTGGAAGGCTGATACTGTTCTCCATGATGGTGCGCCAAACGTTGGTGTAGCATGGGTTCAAGATGCTTTCTCACAAGCGGAGCTAGTTCTCCAGTCTCTAAAGCTAGCGACCGAATTTCTGGTTCCAGGGGGAACATTTGTTACCAAAGTCTTCCGGTCAAAAGATTACAACCCGTTATTGTGGGTATTTAAGCAACTTTTCAACACCGTGGAAGCTACAAAACCCCCTTCGTCACGAAATGTCTCTGCCGAAATTTTTGTTGTGTGCCAAGGCTTCAAGGCTCCCAAACATATCGACCAGAAATTCCTTGACCCTAAGCATGTTTTCGCCGAATTGCAAGATCCTACTCCAAATCACGAGGCAAAAGTGTTTAATCCCGAGAAAAAAAAACGGAAGAGAGACGGATATGAGGAAGGAAATTACACCCAATTCAAAGAAATCCCAGTTAGCGAATTCATAAACACGGCAGATCCAATATCGATATTGGGAGAATACAACAAGTTGAGCTTTGAACAGTCAATTGGCGGAGATCTTGCTTTGGCGACACTCGCACGGCTTCCAGAAACCACAAAGGAAATCCAACTATGTTGCGAAGATCTCAAGGTCCTAGGAAAAAAAGAGTTCCGCAACCTGTTGAGATGGCGAATAAAAGTGAGAGAAAAGTTTGGGCTATCCGTGAAAAAAGGCCCTAGTAAACCAGCTGAGAGCGAAGAGGTAGCTGAGGTGGAGCCAATGGATGAGGAACTCGCAATCCAAGAGGATCTGCAACGGTTACGGGACAAGGAGACATCAAGGAGAAAGAAGGAACGGAGAAGAGAAAACGAACGAAAACATAAGGAAATAGTACGGATGCAGATGCATATGACAACCCCTATGGACATTGGTATCGAACAATCTGGACCTCTTGGGGAAGGGGCTATGTTTGCGCTTAAGCCCGTCAAACGCGCTGGCGATGTGAGCCAAATAACCAGTGGTAAAATGGTGCCTATTGAAAGTGATGAGGACGAAGAAGATGATGATTCGACAACCGTTGAAGATGATTCAGACGAAGAGGAAGATCGGCTAGAGCGCGAGTTAGATTCCATGTACGAGAGATACCGAGCTGATAGGGAAGATCGGGATGCAAAATTACGTGCTAAAAAGGCTCGCAAAGAATTTGAAACGGAAGAGTGGGAAGGGATTTCTGATTCCGATAAAGAGGGCGATGAGGACACAGATGGCGATGATGCAAGGTTGCAAGATGCTATACCGCGACCTACGGTTGACAGTAAAGGGTTATCTAACAGGGCTGCGATGTTTTTCGACCAAGATATATTCCAAGACTTGGGAGACCTCGGTGATGAAGACGAAGAAGATGTGCCAGGGTCTGAAGACGGGTCCGCAACTCGGGACCAAGAAGACATTACAGAAGATGAAGAGGGGTCTTCCGATGCTTCTGATAGTGTCGACGATGTTCCAGAAATACAAATACCCGCAACGCTGGACAGGAAACAAACATCCGAGAAACGAGAATCCACACGTAAAATGAACTCGAAGGGCAATGAGATACACTCTGAGTTTGAAGAGGAGGAGAGACAAGACCCTCGGAAGAAGAATGGACAACTTGGTGAGTCTTCTCCTTCTCTCGTGTTAGTTCCCTAAGTTTAGAAGTAATCGATGCTAACAATTCATCCCAGACATCGACATAATAACAGCAGAAGCCATGGCTCTCGCTCAACAAATCGCCATGGGCGAGAAAACAGCCCACGACGTTGTGGACGACGGTTTCAACAGATATACTTTCCGCGACACCGATGGACTCCCAGAGTGGTTCCTAGATGACGAGGGCAGACACTCCAAGCCCCTAAGGCCCATCACTGCTGCCGCAGTCGCGGCTATCCGTGAAAAGATGCGCGCCATAAACGCCCGCCCTATCAAAAAGGTACTCGAAGCCAAGGGCCGCAAAAAGTTCAAGGCTGCGCAGCGGTTGGAGAAACTACGCAAGAAGTCTGCATTGCTGGCGGAAGACGAGGCGATGAGCGAGAAGGATAAAGCGCAGACGATTGCGCGCATGATGAGTCACGCGATGAAGAAGAAGCCGAAGCAGACTGTGAAGCTTGTTGTGGCGAAAGGGGCCAACAAGGGCATTTCCGGCAGGCCCAAGGGGATTAAGGGGAGGTATAAAATTGTGGATTCAAGGATGAAGAAGGATATTAGAGCCGAGAAGAGGTTGGCGAAGAAGAGGAAGAAAAATTAAAGTTGCCCTTCTTTCGGGGAAGATGGGAGTTTTCTTTTTACATTCTCTCTCTTGTCAATAGTCTAAACTTCATTTTACACCTTAGGTGGGGTAAACAGATAGGTGGAGTTCAGGGATAGAACAGCAATATATGAGATAAATACATGTAACCATCATACTTCTAGTTGGACTTCAAGTTCGAAATTAATCTCTCAAACCATAAGCGGCAAGTGATTCGGTGCGTTAAGCAACCGTCCATGCTCTGATGCTGTCCTGCTTCGCTCGATCTCTCCATTTTCATATCAATTTCATTCACACATTACTTTCTCTATAAATTTCACGAAAAAGCGAGAGCTAAAAAAACAAAATAAAAAAAGAAAGGGTTTTCATTGCAGGGAGGAGATATAACACCACCGCCCCAAGTTTTTCACACTGCTTCCATGTCATATATACACTTCTTCTCATATCCTCCCTCCCTCCTTCCCTAGGCGTCGAGCTCTAAACCCCAAACTCACCCAGCACAATAAGTACTCTTCCCCCTCAAAAACTCCCCATACCTCCACAACAGCGCAGGCGCCACAATCCCCATCCCCGCCGAAATAAACGCCAACAACGCATTTCCCCAACCCAAACCCAACCGCGCATACAAACTCGGCGCAAACAGCGGGAAACTAAACCCAGCCAACGTCCGTAAAAAGGCAGCGGCGCCTGTTGCAGAAGCAGCATATTGCGTATATGCGTCTACAATGTATGCTTGTGCGCACTGGAAGCCGATAATGAGCCCCGTTGCAAAGATCGCAGAAGCGATGCTGGGAATTATCCAGTGGATGTGAGGTTGGGCGGTCCAACCGTAGGTCATGAGGCCGATGGGGACGAGGAGTCCGCCGGGTATCATTAGGGGGATGCGGAATTCGGGGCGGCCTGGGTGGTTATAGTGGGCTTTTAGGCGGATGTAGATCTATGGGGTGATGTGGTTGGTGAGCTTCTTTGATTTCTGATTGCAAGGGAGCGTCGTGTGGAAGATGGGGAGGAAGTGGAGTTGGAAGAGCGGGTGGGCCCAAGTAGGATAGGTGAAGTATACATAAAGTCTTGACTGACCCTGTCCATTATTGGAGCACATATTTGCAGACCTATCACGAATCCGATACCGAGGGATAGGTAATTTAAACTTGCTATGTCGGTGGTTTGCTTGTAGACTCCTTCCCAGACTAGGGGGAATGAGGATAAGCTGTAGAGAGATGTTAATCATTTTCCCTCCTTACCCTTGGCTTCTCGATAACGAATATGAGAAATATTCATGGACATCAATACGTACACCAGATACATGAGGCCATATAAATACGCTCGGTACAACGCGAGGGCTTGAATTGTTGGCTGTGTACCAAGCATGATGAACGGCCTGACGAGGCTTTTGCGCAACAGCATACCAAATGAACGGTTTTCCATTTCCCATTTGGTCCGCAGTGCATTGTTTCCAGTGCTCCGTCGTAGTTTTTTGGCTTTATTCGCCAAAAGTTTAGGAGCATAAGTCTCCTTGAGGAATACGAAAGCCACGGCCTGAACTCCTGCGTCAGCAATGGAGACGGACCAAAAAATCCAACGCCAGGTAGTATGTTTTGCCATAAAACCTCCAGCTTTGCGGGTAGTTAGCTTCGTACAGGCTTTTTTGGAGGGGGTTTCCTTTTCTTTTTTTTTCTTTTCATGAGTATGCTCTCACCAATAGGGCCAACAGCGGGGCCAATAAACGGAGCCAAACTGTATATTGCGATGGACTTTCCACGCTCCTCAGCTCTCCAACAATCGCTAATGACTCCTCCGCCCAGCTATATGCCAGAAAGTTAGGACGAAAAGAACTTATGCATGCCTCTTTTTTTATTTTCAGAAGGGTATACTTACAGCTTGCGGCGCACTTCCTCCAAGGCCACTGAGGAACCGAAAGGCAAGAATTTGTTGCTTATTTTGCGCAAAGCCACAGGCAGTGTTAAATACCAAGTAGAACAGATTTGCCAACTGCAGGACAGCTACTCTGCCAAATATCTCAGACAGAGGGCCCAGCAAAAATGGTCCGACAGCATAGGCCAAAAGGAATATAGACATGACCAAGACTTGCTCCATGGACGAAGTAATGCCAAATTCCTTTCCTATGGCGGCTAAAGCCGGTGCCACCATGGTAGACGACACGGGAGAGATGAACGTAAACGACGATACGATAAGCACTGCGGCCCATTTTGCAGGGCGACTCCAATTGAGAGGATTTTCAGGGTCTTCTGGGCCAGACCAAGTGACCTATCCTGTTCAGCAATGCGAATCATCTGTGAGGCAAGAGCTGGAAAATTTACCAAATTTGGATCTTTGCTTGGACTTTGTGTCCGTGCTAATCCCATCGTGGGCGTGTCTGCACTTCCATTTCCATGATATCCATAACGTGTCTCATCTTAAATAGGGAAAAGGAGTGAGCCCTGTGCTACAGGAAATCGCTTGGCATTCGGACTCCCCATGTTTAGGATACTCACCGCATTTCTCAGGATGGTGATTGGAAAATCTACAACCATGAAAGTCGTGGGAGTTCTCAGCACAGGATGTGGGACTTAACGAAGGGACTTGATATTCATCTGTAACTGTCGAACTCCGCGAGAGAACGGAAGGAAGAGAATTGCGTCGTTCCATGAAGAAGCCTTGCGTTCAAAAATCTCAAACAATAAATATAAATGAAGCTAAACGAGTGTATGGTAATTTTTTCATATTGGACGAGATTCAGACATATATGTAGATCTACCCGCCATTGTAAAGGCATCAGAATATCCGGGAAAGGAGACAGCTACATCTTTAGCTGAATTCTGCAGAATTCAAAGAAACTCCGCACTGCTCAGAATAGCAATTATGCAGACGACTCTTATTAAGAACTGGACGCATCATCACCGGGCAATGTCCAAAGCAACCTTGTCCCTTGTGGCTAGAAACCTGAGCAATGATAGGATATGCCCAAGCAACGCTTGACACTTCAAAAGTCAATGGCAAGACCGCGAAACGCGGCCCTGCAAGAGAAACAGCGCCAAGCTTGCTACCCATGGTAGCTACAAGGACTCGGCAGTGAAGCACTGAACTTTTGAAGCTCCCACTGAGGCTGCGTTGAGAACACTGCACAATTGGGTTCCCAACAGCCGTCGATGACGACGCGTGGCTGACGTGGTTGAGCAGCCACACCGACGTTGGATTAAAGTGGCGCCATGCGGGGCTAGTCCGGGGCTAATTCCGGGGCTAATTCTGGGCGGTAGTTGGGCTACCGCCGTGCTACCATGGGACTGTCTGTGCGGTACAGTCTAGCAGAGCCCATCCGACGTCCTGGAGCTGCAGACAGTGAGGTCAGGCAGGGTCCTGTTTTTCCCCATCACTGATACCTCAGCCCTGCTGGTATGCTGAATCGTTGGACGGCGCATCGGGGCAAGTTGATTAGTGGAGATGCGAAAGAAAGAAAGAAAATTCGGCTAACCAGAATGTTACCTGCAGATCTCTCGAAATTGCAGCCAAAGATTTTGCTTGTGTCTGTGGCTTGATACTACAGGGCGATCTTCCACCTAAGTAGTACGAGCTGTAGGACGACGCACTCTTGATCTGCCAGGAACCTCTGTACTTCAAAGGCGATCCACTGAGCAACCGAAGAAAGTCAGTTTCCTCCTCCGGCAGTGGATCCTGACAACCGCCTTCCCAAGATTCTACTGAGACAGCCGAAAAGACATCAGACTTCTCCGTAAGTCTGTACCGTCAAACGTTGCTATGTGATTGGCCTCACTTACACCCTGGTGGAAACTTTCCCGCCTCGCCCATGCAGTTATGTGAGCTAAACTGTCCTCTCATTTCTCACAGAGCGAAAGGTCGACAGGGGCAGTGACGACCACAGGTGACGGGAGTCTCGCGGACCTGGCCAATGCATGACATCAATGGATGTGAGTTCGAGTCCAAATCCAGTAGCTGAACACGTTACAGATTTCCTTTTCCGCTCAAGTTTGGTGGTCTCTTTGTCTCCACGCCCGATAACCTCAAACGGAGAAATCGCCGCGATGCCCCAGGCCTCCCTCCCATTGGTTGTTGACAATCCTTCACTCTGTTAATGATTGACTTGGCTGTTAAGGTACTCAGATACGCGTCAGTATACACGTGTATCCTTTCTGTGGGCAATATCCTTGGCAGAATCCAAATATAGACTAAACATCAAGGTGGAATATGGAAAGCCTACGTCAATGAAGAACGTAGTAGATCAGACCATCAAAGCATCATTTCTCCAAGGCGCATGGTAGTAGCAAAATTGGCTTCAATGGAGCCAAATGACACTGACCTGATATCAAAATGGATTTGGGTTTGGTAAGACGGCCTTCGCGCAGCACGGTGCTGGTAGCACCGGTAAGACCATCAAAGAACATAAAACGGAGCCCAAGGACGCATCTCGCTTTATAGAGTAGACTCGTACCTTTTCGTTGAAACACGATTATTGCAATAGTAAAAAAAATAATACATTCGTTTTTATTATCTCGTTATACCCATATTTGCATCAAGGAAACTTACACGCTCGTTTGCATGCTGTCGGCGATCACGATCTAACAATGGTAGCAAAAGCTTTTCCCATCCAGATGCGTACAATCGAAGGGTTCATCAATGTCTCAATGCCACAGGCAAAAGCGGAACCGCCCCTGAGCATCCTCATTTGCCCATCAGGATTCAAGGAGAGTCTTGATACACTTGCTGTCGCCGATTGCATCGAAAATGGGGTCAAGCGCGTCCTCCCAGACGCAATCGTACGGAAAGTCCCGTTATTCGACGGAGGGGAGGGATTCGCCCATGCATTGGCTACCACGACTGGTGGAGAACTTCGGCAGTTGGAAGTCACTGGCCCAATTCGGGTTCCTCTCATCTCCCACTATGGGATCCTTGGAGGCGGCCGCTCGAAAAAAACAGCTGTTGTAGAAATGGCTTCTGCCGCCGGATTGCGCCTGGTCCCCAAAGACTCCCGTGACCCGACGATCACAACCACTTATGGAGTCGGTGAGCTGATGCGCGCGGCGTTAGATGAGGGAGTAGAGCGACTCATCATCGGATGTGGCGACTCAGGGACCAATGATGGAGGCGCTGGCATGCTCCAAGCATTGGGCGCACGTTTCCTTGATGCCCACGGTAATGAGCTTGCACCGGCAAGCGGCGGGGTAGCACTGTGCACAGTTGCAGAGATAAACCTTTCCGGCCTCCATCCTCGGCTAAAACAGGTTGATATCGAAGCCGCATGCAACTGCCAGAACATCCTGTGCGGCCCTAAGGGTGTTGCACGCGTATACGGGCCGCAGAAGGGCGCAACACCCGCAAAGGTCGAACTCCTCGACACCGCACTAAATGCCTACGCTTCCGTCGTCAGCAGGAAACTAGGATACGACATATCCACCGCACCTGGCACCGGAGCTTCTGGCGGTATGGGGACCGGTCTCCTGCTTCTGGGTGCAAAGTTACGGCCCCGTTACGAGGCTGTGGCAGAATACTTCGGCATCAACGACGACCTATTTAGAAACTGCCAACTGGTCTTCACTGCGGAGGGGCGGCTTGACTCTCAGACTCCGCTGGGCAAGATCCCCGCAGAGGTTGCTTTGCGCGCGAAGAAACATGGGCTGCCAGTCATTGCGCTTGCTGGAACTGTGGGGCCCGATGCTGCGGCGAATTATTCGATTGGCATCGACGCCTTTGCCAGCATAATGCAAGGGCCAATCTCTCTTGAGGCCGCCATTGCAGATGCAGGGCGGCTTCTGACGGATGCAGCGGAGAGTGTGATGCGTCTGTTGATGTTGGGCCAGTCACTTCGGGTGCGAGAGAGCGTTGTTAGTGGTGTGCTGGTGCAGCCACGGACGTACCTGGGCTACTTTAGCGGTTTCAATCCACTTTGTTTTATATCCCTGCTCAAGTCGGTATTCATGTTCATGACGATACGAGAAAAGCAATGCGATGTCTGATTAACGCACTTGATGAAATTATGTTCCAAAACACCTTTCCTCATCTCTCCCCCATAAAACCTCATAAAATTGATTCTTTGTACAGTACCAATATTTGTCGCAAACACTCAGCATATATGTCAACACCAATCTATCAATTGTTAAAGCCAAACTCTAACCCGATAATGATTCAAATTTCAGTAATTTGCTAGTTAATAGCATAACTTTAATCTATGACGCAAAACTTCGTTATCTTCACCATCCACCACGGTGCCCAGAAAAAACACTAAACTAAATTCTTCCGATATAGGGCCCCAGGCCAGGGTTTCTCTAAAACTTGTATATAATTCACCGCCAACTCTGGCTGACATTGTTTAGTTTGCCAACTCAATTGGACCTTGGTTGGGTCTCATGCAAGCATCGACCATTTGTCTTCTGTGGCAGCAATAAGCGCCGCAAATGCAGGTAATAATCTTACAGGCGAACGAGCAGATAACAATGAAAACAAAACCAGGACAACCGTTGGGTATTTATTTATCATCAGATCGGGGTCTCCCCTTGCGTGGAGGCGCTAAGTCCCCAGCTGCTTAGACTTGAAAAGCAAAGGATGAAAAGATAAAAAAATAAAGAAAAATGAAGCCGAAAGAAAGAAACCGAAAACTCATCCGTATTCCCGCACATGCGTAACCGCTGACTTGAAAGACATAGGTCTTGGGAATAAGCAAATAAAGCAAGAGAAGAATAACACCAGGGTGGACAGTCAAATCCAACCGTCTTCCCAAAAAAAGAAAAAATGACAAAAAAGAACCTATCAGAAAATGAAAAAGTAAAAGAAAGGTATATAAGAAAAGGGGTATGATATACCGTATCCCCGAATTTCTATCCCATCATCTGACAAAAAAAAAAAAAAAATACAGAAATAGTATAGTTGAAAATCGTTCTCTAAGTGTGAGGAAACAAAAGATAAGAGAAAGAAAGGGATTCATCATTCGCCCTTGCCCTCGTGATTAACAACCAAGAAAGAAAAGAACACAATCGCCGCACCAAGCCAGTACAGCGCGCTCGAGTACTGCCCCTGGATGACAATCTGGGCAACGAGCGAGAGAGGGATGGTCAGACTGAGGCCAACAGTGACCACCAACGGTGTTGTTAGGAGCATAGCATATGCCCAGAGAATATCGGAGACAAGAGAGGTGAGGGAATTGACCTAGGAAAATTGTTAGCAGGATTAATATAGATTTTGTCAAAGAACAAGAGAATCAAAAATAAAAGATGGAATGTGTATAATATACATACAATGACAATCAACAAAATACGTCGTGTAGGAGGCAATTCAAATGTCTCCCAGCCTGTCAGGTGAAGCACGATCATGCAGGGCCACAGCAGGAAAGTATTGATGAATCCCACCAAGCCGAAAAACAGAGGCATGTTAACTCTGCTTTCATCTCCCACTTGTTTCTTCATCACGATCGTATACACGCCGTACAAAATCGCGCTGAAAGCGGCCATGGCGTCACCAATGGCAATCTCACCAGCCGACTTGTGCGGGAAAGAGCCGCGGTTCTCATCATTGTTTTCGCCGGATAGGTCAACCCGTGATATTAGGATGATTCCGGTTAGGGAAGCCAAAACTCCCAGGAGTTTGCGGATGGTAAATTTCTCAACGCCAAGTACAGCACCGAGTATCAAGGTCCAGACGCCTGCAGGCGCATGAGGCTGAGATTAGCTGAACGGTGATACAGCAAAAGTAGGTACTAGATAGGGAAAACAGAACGAGTGTAGTTCGTACCACTTGTGGAAGTTAATATCGTCGTGCTTCCGACGGTTGTGAATTGGAGACAGGCTGCGGCAAAATAATTCGCCTGTTTCCATATGTCAACAATCAATCACGTTTCAAGAAAGTAAATTGAAGATAAGGATGATTTCCACATACCATAAACTACAGAAACAAGTTAGCAATGGAGCCGTGCTCTCCAAAAAAAAAAACAATGCAAATCATAAAAGGAATTCGTGCTCAGAAGGAGAGTCGAAATATCTTACCCACACCAAACAGAACTCCAAACTCAGCTTGGCCGTAGCCTTGAAACCCAATCTCTCTGACAAAGTGTTCACCTTATCATCGCCGTCAACCAGCCCAGTATCATCATCACCTGCTTCTTCTTCTTCTTCTTCAGCGCGCAACCGCCGATATCTGTCCCCTCGCTCAGAATCACCTCGTTCAGAATCCCCCGGCTCATGGACATCGTCATCCGAAGCTGGAAAGGGACTATATTCGTGCGCAACCTCGTGAGAATCCAACTGCTCGAGAAGCGTTCGGAACGTGGTGGCTTTGGACAGCTGCCCGGCCCTCCACATGCGGAAAAGCCTGAGTCCAAGGATGAAGAGGAGGGGGAAGATGAAAAAGGTGGTGTTCACGTATGTGAGGAAGAATGGCTTGGAGTAAGTATTGTCCGAAAATATGGTCTGTGAAAGGAAATGTTAGCCTCGGGTTTTCACTTCAAAGGATATTGTCATGTAAATAAATGTGCAAAAAGAGCGATATTGAAAAAATAATAAAAATCCCAACACCCAACATGTTAACCAGGTACAAAAAACGGTGGCACAACGGGCGTTCCATTCTGCAAGAAATATGTATAAATAAAGAAGGCCAAAAGAAAAGAACTCACACTGGCCAAAAAGTTTGACACTGTCCACAGAACAACCACAATCAAAAGTAATATGATTCCCAAAGTCCGTCTTCCTATGCCCAAGGGCAATCGGGCCTCCCTACCGCCTTGCTTCCGCTCCGAAGTCAATGATCTCGGTCTGGATGTGGATCTCGATTGAGGCCGCGCAGACCGGATGACGCTCCCTGAAGCTTCATCTTCGACCTGCATGTCCTCAACAGGAGCCCGATGTTCGTGGAGATGGTGCTGGTGCGGCTTGTGCTGTTGCAACAGCTCGTCATCACTTCCGTCCACCAGCTGCTCCGAACTCATGGCTGTTCCCCCCTTCTTTTTCTTTATTTTTTTGTATTTCCGTTCGCGAAATAAATCAAATTTCTCGTTTAAGGAGTGCCTGTAATACTTAGGATTCGAAGAGGACGTGAAGTGGTTGAATTATAGGAGCTCCTCTGGAAAGAGCTATCGTGAGTGATCGTGAGATCTGTGCCATGTGCATAGTGAGAAAGATAACGACGTGGTGGGTTCGATGAGTAGTGCTATCATCAGAGAGGAGGCATATCGCATTTAGATCCTGACGAAGAGAACGCTGCTTTTATTGAGAGAGCTGGAAAGTTGAGCATCAAAGTTTGCATGCAAACTTTCCCAAGCTGGAGAAAAGCGGAGATGGCCGTGCTCGTCGTCTCACTGTTGAACAGGGGTAGGCGGAAAGGTCCGGCCAACACGGACATCAAACATATTCGTGAATCCGCTCCATGATATTATTTTAAATAATGCAGCACTGGAGCGAACCTTCGACTCTGCCAAACCTAAAATCAAATAACTACAGAGTAGCAATTTCATCCTCATTTACCCAATATTACACATTTTCATTGACAGAACGCATACAGAGTAAGAGTGCAAAATCAACCCATCTTTGGCTCACTCAATATCTACATATATGATGAGAGGGAAGGCCCCCTCTGTCAACGACTTGAGGGGGGGGAAATAAGGATTAAGTATGGCGAAACTGTATAGGAGCAATACAAAATACGGAGGTGACGCCAGGAACACCATGATGAAGAGGACGAATGGCAATGCGCAAAAGACAGAAGGAAAGGAAACCTGATCCAACATTTCCACTGAACAAAAACGAGTCCTCCCTCCACTGACACATCTCAGAAGGACCATGGAAAATATGGAAAAATAATTAACCCTCCAGTGGGTGATTCATGCATAAATGACAGTCTAAGGCTATCAAATATTGGGGGTATTGGACAAGGCACGATAAAACGGAGAATATTAACAGGCACAGTTGTCACGGTCGTTATCCAGGTGGATGTTGATGGGATCGGCAAAATCTCCGCCGTACTCTTCCGATTCTTCCTGTGCAAGAGCGCTCTTCGCGATTTCTGTTTTCCAGAGCAACTTATGTTAGATCATGCGCATGCATATACAAGGATTTGTGGGGAGAGCAGCTCGTTACAAAGCATACCTTCAAACGCTTGCTCAACGTTAATCGCCTCTTTAGCACTGGTTTCGAAGTATGGAATATTCCCCTTGGACTGGCAATATGTTGTCGCCCGCTTCGACGATATCATTCTTTTGCTCTCTTCTACGTCGATCTTATTCCCTAAAACGACCTATGTCCCCCAGTCCATGTAAGCGCGACCTTTTTTTGAAAAATGCACACAGAACACGGCGATTATATGAGTGTAATGCTTAAAACTTACAAAGGGAAAGCTTTCAGGATCTCGCGGGCTCGCCTGGATGAGAAATTCATCTCGCCAGCTATCCAGGGTTTCGAAGCTCTTGGAATTATTCACATCGTAGACCAAAACACAGCAATCAGCTCCTCGGTAGAATGCGACGCCTAGCGACTGGAATCGTTCTTGTCCGGCCGTATCCCAAAGCTATAAAGTAGAAGAGTCAACAGTAGCTGTTGCTGGCCCTCCCTCTCTCCCGCAAGGAGCTGTTGTCGCATGGTCGCTGGGTGGATTCTGAGGCAGACGAAAAGAAAACCATACCTGTAGGGTCACCAATCGGTCATCCACCAAAACGTCCTTTGTAAGATAATCCGCACCGATCGTCGCCTTGTAGCTTGAACTGTATTTCTTGTTGACCTGCCATGTTCCCAACATAAATCAGATAATAAGCTTCATGCTCTTCGTTCCACATCATCCCATATACATATATATGTATATCACGTAAACCGCCCATGAAAAACAAAGAACTCATAGCAACTGACATATTGGTTCATCAAACTCGTTTTTCCAACACCACTATCGCCAAGGACGATAACCTATTATGTGTCAAAAGAATAGGGACGACTGTCAGCAAGGAGGCAACTTGTGAGGGCGGGGGAGAGATTGGATTGGAGGAATAGCCACTGAGCGAACCTTCAATAGGAGCTTCTTACGGGTAGCCATATCTAACACGAAGTGGCTCAAGAGAGGATGTAAACAGCAGAGGAAGAGCAACGGAGGGGTCGCAGGGAGGGATTCGAGCACTTGGCGGCAAATCGTCACCTTGCTGGGGTTGGATGCGGAGGCTGGGTGGCGAGTTAGAGGAGTAGCAGCCGACTCCAACTCCAAACAAGCTACCTGGATAGGCCGGCGACAGGAACAACAGAAGAAGGTAAACGGTGAGGCTTCTGTATTAGCGAAGAGAGATGTGGGAAGCTCAGGGAACAACAAGCCCAATGCGAGAAGGTTGGACCTGTGATGGGTTCCAGGTTCAGAACCATGCATCACGCTAGGAATGTAATATTGGTAAATCGGGTACCCGCAAAAGATTGGGGCTCCCTACTACATAAAGCATAGCACCGTAATTGATGTATAATACAGTACAAACAGGCTAACGTCGACCCTCACGGAAGTTATGGGGGCATGACACCTAGCCTGACAGCCAAGATTTAGGTGTCAAGCCCCTAAACTAGCCCCGTCTTTAGGGGTTGTCGACTGCTACAGTGCGATTTCATGCTGCCAGACGGAACAACCCAACACTAAACTACTTAAACTGTTCACTTTCAAAGCCTTCATTTCAGTATCCTGGGGAACGAAATTAAAACACTTTTATGACCAACTAATTCCATTAATTTTGATGTTTATAACACATGGGATTTTATGATAATTTTTGAATTAAAGGCACTGAGCGGGGATCATCACAGCATGGGATCACATCTAAGACAAACAAGACAAACATAATAAGGTGCCTTCGCATACTAAATTCGTCCAGTGATTCATTCTGTCATGAGATGATGCAAACGTTCTTCCTAGCACAGCTATGCCGCGCTCATCATCCCACCTCGGATGGCAGTGACAACATAGCCGCCCAACCAAACCACGCAATGAGATGATGTCAAACTGGCAGGAAGAATACTTGTTAGCTCTAGGAGTGAGGGATGCGCGTGAACAAGCAAACGCTGCTATTTACGATGCCTGTGCGTAAACCACCTTCCCAAGCTGCGAAGGTAACCCGCTCTGCCCATCACCATACAAATCACCTGCCACCCCTCATATGAACTTATACCAAAAACATATAGACACCCGCCTAGCCGACCGCACAAGCAAAGCCCATTCCGCCTCTTCCCCGACCAGGCCCGCCGGCTCGCCTGCCGGTAACATCCATGAAAACAACAGCAGAAAGCTAGTCCCCTCCTCCAAACGACAGCATGGAAGCGAGACATCTCCCACCAACGACGCGCTCCTAGCTGCTGCGCGACAAGATCTTTCCGAAGCACAGCGCTCGCGCACAGAGCTATTAGATAAACTTGCCAAGACGAGCGCGGAGCTGGAGAAGCTGCAGCGGAAAACGAATGCGAATGCGCGCAGCATTGAGGAGTTGAGCGCGGAAAAGGCGCTGTTGCTGACTAGGGTGAAGGATCGAGATGAGGAACTGAGGGGGAAGGCGAAGTTGTTAGATGTACGTTATGCGATGTGCTTTTCGTGTTTTTTTTTTTTTTTTTTGTGCTTTTGTTTTCTTGAATACGCTATGTGTTGACCATTTTCTATTTTTCATATTTTCTTTACAGAACGTGCAAACGGAGCTCGTATCACTGAATCTACAGTTTAATATGGCAGAGGACCGTGCGAAGAGGCTGGAGGCCGAGAATAAGGAATTGGTTGATCGATGGATGGCAAGGATGGGGCAGGAGGCGGATGCCATGAATAAGGCATCCAAGTTTTCCTGACATCCTCCTCATGCTCAGTTTCTTGATGCACCTTGTATAACCTCTTCTTTTGAAAGCGAGTTGATGAAAAATCGAATCAATGAAACGGATCGATGGGCGCGGCGTTTTCCTTTTCTCTTCAGATGGGCGTTATTTCTGGGAACAGATGTTGGCATTTTCGGACCATGTGGGCGTATTATTTATATATATTACATTAGAATTGAATTTCTCATGCTATGAGAATTTGGCTTATATTGAACACTACCAAAATTCTCCATTGCACAAGTAGGAGTGTAATCGCCGCCAGAAATAACATCTCCGGCCTTAATATCGAATCGACAACTTTTTGACTCTCCCCTCAAATGGATATCCAAAGCCAAGAAATGATGTAACAGCAGACAGACTGTGAAGGAATAAGCACTCTAGAAAGGAAAAGAAAAACAGCTGAATGGAGCAAAAAGAAGTTAAAGAATAACCGTAAACCACCTACAAAAAGTATCATAAATCCAATACACCCGAGTTTATTGGCGTGATTCCAATCTACCGTCAATTTGCATCTATTTCTCCCAGCCAATCTATCCAGAAAACCAAAAAAGAGAGAGACAGAACCAACACCCCAGATATATAAACCACAAACCGGTAGATTCGCTTGCCAAAATAAACGAGTAGTCTCCGTCCCAAAACGAGTGTTGGTGGTAAAAGAAAAAGGAAACAAAAAAGGAAAAAAAGGGCATCATCGATAAGGTACACCCTTCCTTTACTACTTCAATATCCCCTCTGCAAAAGCTTTAAGCCTCGAACTATCCTTTGTCGCAATAAAATATGTCCCCCCTGCGTCTGTCCAACTTACGCTACCGGACCAGTAATTCTTCTGCTTAACCGACAACAGATTAACAGGCGAATTCAAATTCCGCGCCTGAATCCGATGCCCCGCAGGCACAAAAGACTTCAAAGACACAATCTGACATCCTTCCTTCATGTCGAGAAAGTGGTTGATGATCTCATTGTTCAACTGCGGCGTAAACGCTTGGTTATTAATGAGCACGACATCGGCCCGATGCAGCGCTTTAATGATGCTTTCTTCCGTCAGGAAAGAGCCGCGGATAAGTCGGACAATGCCCGGTGAAAGTCCCCAGAGTCGACAGCGTGCTTCGAATTCTCTCCCCTGCAACTCCGCAACGTCGCAGGCATTCTGCATCACCTCGCAACCCCAACTCTCACAGCCAATTTCCAAGGCTGCCTGTAAGACGACATTGCCGACTCCCGAACCTAGGTCGACGAATACCTGGTCGGATTTTAGCTTGGTTTGCTTAAATATATCGGAGATGAAACGGGGTAGGAGCTCGCCGTAGACGTTATCTGTGCCATTTTCGTACTGTCGGAGGGATTCTACACGTGGGGAGACCGTGCGGGAATATGTCTGGGTGAGGATTCGTTCGACTAGGGGGAGGGGCAGGTTGTGTATGTTATCGAGGTGTTTCGCGATTAGGCCGTCAGTTCGGAGCCGGTTGATGATTTTGTTGTATTCGTCCACTACTGCAGTGAATTCTGATTCAGAGGCATGTGCCAAGGCGCGTCTGAAGCGGCGATTGATCCCGGTGGTTTCGTCGTTGAAAAGATGGACATGCTCCTCTGGTATGTAATGTTGTGACACTATGCTAACTACATGGACTATGTCATCCAAGGGTTTGAACCCTTCTTTTTCCCGAGGGATAACGAGTTGGTAGCTAACAGCAAATGACAAATGGAAACCATTAGCAGAAAATTTAAAATCAAGTCAGGATGTTCCACAGGCATAAACTCACTTTTCTCCCTGGGAAATGCCAGGATACTGCAACCGAACCATAAAAGGATCTACAGAATCGGAACCGCTCCCATCACCAAACGCTCTTGAAAACTCCGCAGGTTTGTCCATCGATGCGATATCAGATGCATGGACTATGGGGATTGTGTGTTTCCCCGCATCTTCTGCGAACGCAGCCGTCGACCGAACCTGGCGTTGTAAATCTGGTTCCGCGCTTGTGCTGACTTTCATCCGCTTGCGAATCTCAAGGAAAGACGCTTCAGTATCGCTCTCATCGCTACTACTCGATAACCGTTGGATAAGTAATGGGCGCTTTCGCGTCAAGGATCTTGCTTTTAGACGCGTGGCGGGGTCATGGTGCCGGGACGGGGTGGGATCGCTCGCCGTGGAACTTGCACGGGCGGAACTGGAGGAGCGCCTACTGGATGTGGGAAGGTTGGGATTGCGGTTGCGGCGTTGGTGAGAGTGAGGGGCTGGTTTTGGGCCTGAACATTCTGATGCGACTGGTGCCGCTCTCGACGTGGTAGGTTGGGAAGGCTTGGTTGCTGTTTCGACTCTTCGGATCTGTGGCCGCTTGGGTTGAATGGCTATGCTTCCCCTCGTCTGAAGGTGGTCGAAAAAACCCATACCCTTCTATCTAATCTAGATTTTAAGCCTGGTATCACCGCCTCCTTTGAGGTTTTTAGTTGACACAGAGGAAAGACAGAAGTAAATGAACAAGAGACTTTCAAGATATAATACAGAGGGATAAAAGAGAGGAAGGAATCCAAAGGATCTTTTTTCAGGGAGTGGTAAAGTACAATATTCATAGCAATGGGTGTGGTGAGAAGCGCAAACAGAAAGGCGTTTGAAGTCTGTCAATCCAACGTCTCTTCGGGTGCGATAAGGCTGGATTGCTTGGCAACTATTAGTCATCGGATTGGGCTACAGGAGTCACCGAGTCAGGGGTCAACGGCATTGCATTTTATTCCAACAGATGTATCTAATAAAAGATCAAAAGAACCAACAATACTAAAATTCGAAAGCAGTGGATTCTTCACCAAAAGCTTCTTCTCAAATTAATTTGGAGAAAACAAATTCGCGGGACCTCTGCAGTCCAATTCAAGCAGAAACAATACTAGAAGCTTAACACCAACGCCCTAGCAAACAACCAAAGGGTGCGTAGAATATGCGACATCATGTGTGGAGCTTGCCAGGGTGGATAACGAAACAGAGTAAAAAGGGCCAAAAGAAGAAGAAGAAGAAGAAGAAGAAGAAGAAGGGTATCAATGTCCGCTAGGGAAAAAACAACGCCTACAGTGCCGGCAGTCAAGTATAAGAATAAAGAAAAGGGAAAAGGAGGGGGGAAAAATACACATAAAGGCTAAATATAAAAGTATATAAAGGTGGTTGGTGAGTTTAAAAGAGGTTACATGCTAGCATCCAACGGCAATGACCTGATGGAGCAACGATACAAACGGTCATCTTTCGCCAATGCGCCAAGAGGAAAATGCACAGGAGGAGGAAGAGGAAGAGAAGGAGTAAAAACAGAGAAGAAATAATAGCGTGTGAGCATGCGGATTTGCGCACAGAGACACCAGTCTCTAGCACTAAGCCAATGAGCAAACAACGAAAATGCGGCAAAATGATGACGGACAAAGGAGATATTTATGGTTGCAGGGTATTCTTCACCCGGAGAAGGCGCGAGTGCGGACACCATCAAGAGTTTTCAATATTTCAGCGATAGGCTTCAGGAAGGTCCAGCGATCGCAGGTCCAGCTGTGTGCCTCGACGTGCTGCCGTGGCGTTTAACCAGCAGGCTCTTGAGTGCACCCAGCCATTTCGCAAGGGCTTCCTCGTCCAGCGCGCAGAATCGATATGTCTTGTCCTCCGCGATTATCTGGAGGCAAAACTTCTTCGATCGGGAAATTGGGTCGATTTCCGCAGCGTTGATAACTTGCAGCATTGAAATGATTTTGACGGCGGCGTATTCTTGCTCATCTTTATAAAAACAAATATTCTGCGGTCGAAGGACCACCCAAAGCTTCTTCCACTGCCGGACTCCTTTCTTGCTTTTTAGGCAGAGGAGGTAGCCGTGGCAGATGACTCGTTCTGGATCAAGGTTCCCGAGAGCGCCATCGATAAATTGGCTTGTGTTCCGTGGCAGGGATGGGTGGTGATCCGGGGGCGCAGAGGATGAGAGAGAATTTCGATCATGGGGTGGTAAAGACACTGTGGAACGGCGTGGTGTGATGCTGCCAATGGCATCAGAGAAATCAGAACAGGATGCTATTTCATTCCCGGAGTAGTCTTGCGAAAGCTGTTGTGCCTGCTGGTTGCCGGACCGGATGGATGGGGCACGATGTTGAGTCGTTTTATGGCCGTCACAATCGGTCTCGCTCATGCTCTCAACAGCTTCTCTCGCTTTCTTATTCTCCGTAATGTCATATCCTCCAAGTGAGTCTGCGTCATCCGAGCAGCTCTCGTTGCGTATGCGATCAACCCAGCTCTCCGCGTCAACTTCTGATACGGCCTGGAAGCGATAATTTTTCGAAGGGGAGAATATTCCGAAGACATGTTGGCGTTTGGATTTGGCGGCCTTCACCAAAGCAACAGCTGTGACATCAGATAGGTCGATTGACAATTGAAGCTCTGCTTCCTCTACATCCTTATATAATGACAGGAGGTTGGGTCGTAGCACCAGATATCCGGGTTTCCACGAAGATTTGAACGCCTATAGAGTAAAAGAAGTCACTGTTAGTTAGCTTCCCCCCGATTAAGCCAGGAAAACAACGGGTACTGACATGATTATGGGTTGATCGTCTCATTACTTTCCCCCTCTTTAACACTTGATCAAAAGCAAAACTCCCATTTTCATTGACTGGAGAAAAGGTATCAAGATTCAGATGTCCGTTACGAGAAGAAAACGTTGGTTTTGGTGGTGACCCAGCTTTCACGGAATGGGTTGGATTCCCAATCTGCCTATCGAGCCGTAACGTCATCACGAAAAGTGGAGGAAGGATAAGGAGAGCGGAATAATTAGTTAGTAAGAGGGCTATACGGAGTTGATGGTATTCTTTTTGATGAGCGATGTGCACAGTAGCGGAGGTCGCGTATAGGATTCGCCAGCACTAGGACAAGTTATTGTTAATTGTGACCATAAATCAACCAGGAAATGTGCAAATCCGGCATTTTTAAGGGGCAACAAGACGAAGGGAGTGTCAAAGTCATTCTTCGATGTTTGGCGAAGATCAGGCGTGGCCATGCCCACCCCCGTTTTGCTGTTGTGGATGCTTGTCGCAGGTGAGCAAGTCCAGGTCATCAGGAAAAATGACGGAAGAGTGGCAGCACAGGGCTTGGCATGCCTCCCCCTATTTTTGCACTTTCTCTTTTGCTTCTTTTCTTTTTCCCGCTCTGCGTCAGGCCTATCTGGGCATGGCGCAACAAAGAGAACGGGAGAACTACTGTGTATCCTGGGTGCAGCCTGACAGGCAGCTCAACCTGGATAACGACCTGAAAGAAATCGCGGGATCCCGAGCATGCTTCTAGAAAGGCTTGATCAAAAGGCCTAGCAAAGAATATCTGGGTGTTTCTGAAGGGCTATCCCTGCCCCATCAGATGTATTTTAGGTTCAGATGTGTGGATAGTTACGGAGATATATATCACAATTGCTGACATTGTGGGAATTTCAGCTTGTAGCTGCTGCTGGTCGATCTGCGCCTTGCTGGGTCGGCGCACGGTAACAAAAATAGCTAGCCGTCATATGAGCAATATGAACAACATCATACAGAATGGAAATATCAATAAGATATACAAGTGTACACGCATCTAAACATCTAAACATACTCAAGCCGATGATATACATCCAGCATCAGAGGCTGGGATAAGCTTCAAGACCCAAGCCCTCCACAGATGCCGTACGGTATGCGTCAGTACACCGGTGAATGATTACTGAGAATACTGAGCCAATTCATTGGTTGGGCTTCGACTGCTGGAGCGCTGGAAACCAAATTTGATTATGAGCCAATCAAAACGCCGGATGATGCTAGCTGATCCAGACCCGTCCGTATTACGCGTCCAGCCATTTAAATTACCCACGGTATTGAATTTGGAATTACGTACAGTGGCGTATCATGGAGATATCCTCAAACAGCAAACAGGCATTTGCCTCGATCCAAGGTTTATTTGCAGAGGCAATTTGCGCCGTCACATCTGAATCTGCCTTCTTGATAGTACACCCTAGTTTGGGCAGTCATAAAATCGCTGGACCCTGTTGGCTTGGTGGCCGAGCACAGAGCAGAAACGCCGAATTCGAATCCTTCCCTGCTTCGTTTCTGGTTTAGAGCGAGTCTTGGCATCCCTCCCGTCAAACGTCGCCTGCTCGAATCCCAATCTCCAAAAAATCCTACGTCTTTTGCAGAACAAACTGCAAACACTCTCCCCAACTTTCTGCCACCTGCAATCCCAGGCCTCGCTCCTCCACCCTCTCACCTCTCAGACCTCATGACCACCGCCTGGCTCGCCATAAGCTTGAATACCGTCAAGAGGCTGACCATTGAGCCAATATTCCCCTATCCGCTTGATTGATTCCGCTGTGCATCCGCAAATCTGCAGATAGGGGACTTCTCTTTTCCGGCGACTTGTTTCTGTCGGAATTAGAGCCTCCCTTTCCCACGTCCATTAGCCCTCCACCACGCCGCCAGTTACGTCCCGCTACCGGACTCTCTGGATTTTCTCAATAATCGAGTTCCTTTCGTCGTGGTTACAGCTACTACTACTATTGATCTTGTTGCCTCTTAAAGCTGGCTTCCTGACAACCCCCCCCTCTTCCCCTCCCCGGCCTCGCCTCTCCGCCCCCGGTCCAGGAGGTCAAACGCCATCCGGACCTCCATCAAAAGGAAACAAAATTCTGTCCGTGCCGAATTTCTTCAAACCCACGTGTCCGCGCCCATGGGGTTCGTACAACGCCTCGCAAAGCGAGCCCCATATTTAACAGCGGCCCCTGCTTTTGACAATGTCTCGAACGAAAAGGGCGTCATAATACCCAGATTCGCCTTCTTCAAGCGGCGGATACGACTCCGAAGGAACTCTGCTATTTCAATACCACTGGGCTTCGTTCTATTATTTCCTTGTATTGTAATAGTTCTTGTATTCCTTCTCATCATCACTCATCCTTCTTCTTCAGGTCGAATTTTGTTGCCGGCTGGAACCCCTCCGTCAATCAGGTGCGTCTTTGCTACTCACAGCATTTGCGCTGAAGCCAACTCTTGACGTGGTTTGTGATGCTAATAACTCGTGATTTCAAACAGAAAAATCAGCGAAAAACATGATAAAGTTTTTGCTACTGGTTGTCTTGAAATGGACACCAGTACTCCAAGAGCAAATGCCGCATTTGTAGTCTTGGCAAGAAATAAGGAATTAGATGGCGTGATTCAATCCATGAAATCTATTGAACGACATTTCAACAGATTCTACAACTATCCTTATGTGTTCCTAAATGACGGAGACTTCGACCAGAATTTCAAAGATACGATTGCCAACTATACAAGTTCTTCTGTGGAATTTGGTAAAATTGACTCTTCCATGTGGGGATACCCTGACTGGATCGACCATGAAGTAGCCAAGGAAGGAATTAGAAAGCAAGGAGATGCCGCCATTATGTATGGTGGCATGGAGAGTTACCACCACATGTGTCGGTTTTATTCTGGGTGAGCATCAAGTTATCTAGCCTGTATCGCGTAAATACATGCTGATTGCACTAATGTTGTGGCTAGATTCTTCTACAAGCACGAGCTCCTCATGAAATATGAATGGTACTGGCGCCTGGAGCCAGATATCAAATATTTCTGTGACATCACCTAGTATTTATATCCCCAGCCATTCCTTTGCCATCCCTAAGCTTAACTAGGGTTTGCTGACTTCTATATTAGTGATCCATTCCTCAAAATGATCGAGCATAATAAAACATACGGGTTTACTATTGCTGTTAAAGAGCTCAGGGAAACAGTCCCAAACCTCTTCCGTTACGCTTCTGCCTACAAGAGAACAAACAATATTACATCCCAGGGTTTGTGGGAAATGTTCCTGGAAGATCCCCCGGAGCCGAAGGAACCAGCCAAGGAAACTCCAGAGTATGAGCCATTGCCAGATGAAATCCTGCAGACGCAACCAGGCAACGGAGCCATTGAAGACATCGACCCTGAAGCTATGGAAGGAGAAAAGTATAACATGTGCCATTTCTGGAGTAATTTTGAAATCGCTCGACTTGATTGGTTCCGTAGCAAGGAGTACGATGACTTCTTCAACATGATGGACAGAAGTGGTGGATTTTGGATGGAACGAGTAAGAAGCCACACCCTTGTTTTCTGTTTTTGTAATTACATTTGATCACAAAGGTATCCTGACATCTATATCCAGTGGGGTGATGCACCGATCCATTCACTTGCGGCTGGTGTCCTCCTCGCACCCAAAGACATTCATTACTTCCGAGATTTTGGATATCGACACACAACCATCCAGCATTGCCCGGCCAACGCCCCTGCCCGTCAGCAGGACAGGATTCCGTATCTCGAAATGACCACTTTGGATGAGAAAAAACGACAAGAAGAGGACGAGTACTGGGATGTACCAGACACACCGAAAGAAAATGGAGTGGGTTGCCGGTGTCGATGCGACACGGATATTGTAGACGTGGAAGGCAAACCAGGAAGTTGTCTAGCAGAATGGGTCGAAGTTGCTGGAGGCTGGGCATCTCCATAAACCGATCTCTTGATTGCTTTGGTCGCCCGTTCTCTCATCCTCGTTGCCAGCCCAGGCCAAGTGTTCGTTTTCTCTAAAATGCCGAGCTACCCTTTTTGGTCATCTAGGAGTTTATATTCTTAACCCTGCACGAACCTTTTATGGTTTTTTCTTCTTTTTTCCTTCAATCCGCTTATTGGGAATTAAGGCGTTTTTTGCATGTGATACTTAATATACGGGTTTCTTTTTGCCTTGCTTATTATTTTGTTTTTGTCTTATGTCATTTTCCCCGTTCTCCCTCCACGAGCAGCCCCAGCGTCATCGCATTCTTCCGCAAAAACTATTCCAGATCTCTATATTATATCTGCCGGGCATTCCAAACTTGTCATCTGGTCCGTTTTCCACATAGGATGTTTCCTTTCGGAGACGGGAGCATCCTCCTAACGGCTCCCGGGTATACGATGTGTCGTCCACCCATTACGATACGGCATAAAGATGAAATAGAAAGAAAGCTAACCTCTCCGGGCCCTGTTATATATATCACCGCACTGACGACTACTACTACCTTGCGCTCGAACTTGTCACCCATCACTCTCTATAACACTACCGAGTAGTGTCGACACTTTTTCCCCTTTTGGTTTACGAAGAATACTGCTGTGGAATGTTATCGGATTAAAAACAGGAGGTTGATTGGTGCTGCCTTCAAAATACAAGATCCACAAACACTATCCGGCCGCTCCTGCTCCCGTGTCTCTTCTACGTCGAAGAAAAGAAAGAGAAGGGGCAATAGCCAGAAACTCGCTGCAGTGGAAAAAAATTCATGACAATTTTGAGACCCCCAAGGCATTCGGAGTAGAGAATGGGGCGAACCTCACTTATTTTAACCCTTGAAAAGAAGCATAAGCAACAAATACATTCCTACGCGTCACCAAAACAAAACAAAACTACACGAATACACCAAGTTATCTATTTTAATCCTTTTTTTAAACCCCCCTTATATTTTTTCTAGCTCTCCTGAACTTCCAATTTATCCAGTTTTCTTTCTTTTCTTTTAACTCCTGTCCACGCTTACCTTCGCCTCCTAGGCTTCTTTTCTACACTTGATTCTTCTTACCTTCTGACACTGTACATAAGACTGTTGCTCTGTTACTTTATAGCTTACACTTTACTCCCGCCCCCCTCCCTCCTTTCCTCCGCTTCTATTGTACTTTTGATATGTAATGTTTTTCTTTAGTTTCTTCATCTTCAGCCGCTTTTTCTTTTTTGGTGTTGGTTAATCGATTTCAAATTCCTTGTGAATTAAGACATCATTGAGACAATTGTCACTGTAGTCTGCCGTAGGTTTTGTTTGAGGAGAAAAATGGCGGCGGAGGGAAAGGAGATATTAAAAAAAGAAAAAAAAGCCCTCTATCTTTCTTCTGTTCGTTATTACCTACTAGTAAGTAAGTGTGTATTTATTATTTTGTCTTGCATTTTTCCGGTTTTCGGTTTCGACTCCTTCCTCCTGATATCAACATTACTTTACCTCATTCTTCTCTATCATATCTTTACAAACTGGGCATTGTGACCCCTATGTCATTATAAGTGAACTGTACAAGCGGAAAAAACTTTGTAAAAATTTAAAAAAAAAAAAAAAAAGAAAAAAAAAAGAAGGGGGGGTCTACAAAATCGGAGAATATATATAAAGAGAATGAAAATGATAATGAAAATGGAGAAGAAACGAGCGAATAAGTACGAATCGCAAAGGGAAACGGGTGGGCTACTTTGGCAGGTTGGCAAGTTGGCAAGTTGTTTATACCTTACCTAGGCAATTTTGTATGCTGCACTCTGGGAAAGCTTGTAGAACATCGCATTTCTATAGACACTTTCTAAAGGAGTCCACTGTATGTTATTTCAAATGTAGCTACGCTGTTTATGGAGGCTCCATTCAACAGTTCATTCATTCAGACATGGGCAAATTATGTATTATTCAATGTGATATTATAAAGTTCACCTTTTGGCTCTCCCATCGAGGAAATGTGCTGATAAAATTAAACGATCTAAATTAGTAATGCGCCGTGCAAACGAACTTTCGAATCCTTCTGGATTTCGCCAAACAGTCTTTCTCTCAATAATATCCTTTTCACACTCTCCAGAGTACCGACGAGAAGGTAGTTAGCCCACGTCAACCGCGGCGCCAACTAGCCCAGCCGAGCCTAACTACAAAAGGTTCCAGCTGGCTCCAACGCCTGCCTAATTATAAGTCTCCACGGCCCAAGCGTTAATCCGACCCCACCCCATCTTGTCATCATCCATCCAACACCTCATCTATCCTTTCCATCAGCACTCGACGCAAGAAATGCCTGGCTCGGACGAGTCTGCTTCCTCCAGCAGGTCCCAGCATTGCCAACATCATAATCACAGCCATCATCAGGACAATAACCATCCGCCTCTTTTTCGGTTCCCAAAACTCCCCACTTCTAGTCCGGACTCTGGAGCAATGACGTCAGAGAGTAATAGGCTGGAGCGGCCAGGTAGCTCACTCAGCGAGAGCTGGGCGACCCTCAGCGGCTCTGATATCTATTCCGAAGATGATTCCCGCTCAGATCAGACAGACACCGCCTCTCTGGTTGGTCGTGGCGTTCCCGACGATGTCACCAGTCTTGAAGGCAGGGATGACGATGATAGCGAGGTGGATAGTGTGGACGTGCGAAGCTGTTACTCTGAGACCTCACTCCCCCCATTCCCACCCCACATGAGAGAACAAAGTCTGGAGAACAGCGACACAACCATCAAAGCTCCCTATCAGTTGGGTTCAGACCCTATCGAGTTTGTCGAGCCGGACAATTGGTCTGAAAGGGAAACAGTCGAATTGAAACATACCATCAAAGTATTGAATGCAGCTGAGATCCCCGCATTCCTGCGTTCCCTTTCCCACGACCTGGGCGATGGCCATCTATCTGTCACTGTCCAGCAGACAGTGGCTAAGCGTGGTCTTGACCTTGCCAAGCCGTTCCGTGCTCTCTACATCGGCGACTCGGATTTCAAGCATATCGTCCTTGATAAATTGGGGGATGTTCTCGTTGCAGGCTCCGAAGATGGCTTTAATAATGGCGAATCAGGGAACGCTTCTCGTTTTCACGTCGTCCCGGCATCCTTTGGCACTGGCGCTAGTCCGAACTATGCAGAACTTCTGCCAATTCATGTTCAACTTGTCGTCGATGAATGCCTGTCGGCAACGGCACAGAGCAAACAAAGCAAGATTAGCATTACGCTAAATAATCAAACCCTTTGCAGTTCGGCTTGGACTGGATCGGGCTACGAAATACAATCCTCTACTTCTTGGACTCTTCCAGACTTGGCTATCTTCTTTATAGCCCAAGATGACAATCTTGGAAGCCACAAGATTCGTTCTCTGTGTCATACCTTCATGAAGCGCCATGGGGTGCCATCAATAGTCATCTCCGAGAATCCTATGTGGGACAAGCAGAATCCAATTGTTCCGCTGGACGATCAAAGTTTACATATCTGTCTGGAGTCCCGTCGGAAGGGAACGGGTGAGCCACAAGTACTCGGCAGGTTCCCAATTGATTTGAAAACCTTCGAAAGTATTGCCCCTGGACAGCTAAATAGGCATATCGCATCCCTTTCGAGCCTTTGTTCGTCGAAAACTATTCCCAAAGCGACTAAGGCACCAGATAAGACGACTGGAAATCCCGATCAAGTTCAAGACTGGAGACTCTGGGTAGATATCAAATCATTGTCGGACGGTTCTCATCAGCTCATTTTATTCGGCACACCATACAATATCGGTACAATTAGGAACGCACTTTTCTCCTTTGGGATCCTAGCCTCTAGGTTTTTGGTGATCGCGGTGATTTCTGCTCTCATGCATGCCTTTATTCTATTGATCATGAACCTCTCCTCTCGAGCTCCCACCCTATCTATGCCCCCTCTCCACGCTGGACCTGCCTCGACAACGGCTTATTTACCTCCCATCACAACTACGGCCAGTACCGCAAAAACAACATCGTTGATGCCTCTCTCCGCACGAGACCTGATCTCTTCCGACTGTGCGCTGGAAGATTCACTCCACTTGGATACCTATATCTCGAAAATTACCAGCGGCACGGAGGAACCTGGTAATGGACATGATAAATTCCAAGTCCATGTTATTGGTGACTGCCACATCATTATAAAACTTCCGGCTCGCCTAGCATCACGCCGAAAATCTTTCAAGTTCGATGTAAGGGTAACCAGAGACGCCCTTCATATTCCGTTTGACCAGACGCGCTTGTTTGACGGAGTATACAAGCTGCGTCTCCCCAGAGAAGACGCATATGGCCTTCTGAACATTTCCATCGTTACGAAATCAAAACCGATGATCGAACAGGTTACGGAGATTGACTTCGGAACTCCCTGGCTTAAGATCGCCAACTGGAAAAGGGCCGCCCAGAAACTTTCTGCCAAGCTCAGAAGGGATCTCAACCTGGCCTCTGCAGGACTTTCAGACGCATACAACCGAATGTCAGCAGATTTGCAAGAAATGAGCGACATTCTACGCGGGGAAACCGAATCGGTAGGTCGGGCCTCGTTGCAGCGGGCAATGAAAGCCACGAGCTCGATGCTGGCCAAGTCGAAGCAACTTTCCGACGAGATCGCACGACGCACACAGGATAGAATGCTGGCATCCACAACCTTACTTCGTGAGAAACTGTCGACTGTGAACACGGATGTTGTGCAATTAGCCAATGATGGTTTGTGTGCAATAGAGAAGGAGGCGAGGAGACTATTCCAGAATCCCGCATCTGCGTACGACTTCAACATTGCCCGGCATCTCACAGATAACGCACAACGAGTGAGGAGGTCTCCGGGAATGGCGGCGGCGCAGAAGCAGGCGGCGCATCTATGGCAGCGGCTAGGAACTAGGCCTAATAATGAGCTAAGGAAGGCGATGCGGTGGTCCAGATGCGAGAGAGGGAGGTGCAAGAAAGCGCAACGCGGAAAAGGACATGGTTCTCAGAAGCACGAGCGCTGAGGATTAAAACAAATCTCCGCTCCATTTCTTTCCAACCGCTTCTTCCATCCCACGGTTATGTTACAGCCTGGTTCTCTTTCCTTTTTGTTCCCCCTCCGTTATTCGTTTTCTTTCTGTCATGTCTTGTAAGTGGTGGGCTTTCAGCGACTTCGGTACATTCAATAAGGACTGGCTGGCTTTTTTTTTTTTTTTTTTTTTTTTTTTTTGTGTGTAGGCGGGGGACCTGGGGAAATGGAGTTTCGAAAATGGGGGTCCTCAACTTAATTATTTGCTTTTATTTCCCCTTTCAATGTTCACATATTGATTTGAACGCGCTGAGTACATAATAACTGCCTAGGTAGCTAACTATCTCGCCCATTCCTTCTTAATTCTCAATATCTGATTTAGTTTCAGCTAGTTAGGTGATTCAATGGCGAAAACTTAAAAGAAGAGTACATATCCTGGATCTTCTGGAAAGTATTTCTCGATCAGAATAGATGAAATAGTGTGAATGTAAATTAGTATCATCAACTATCAAAAAATGCACCGGGTATTGCCAATGCCCTGGATATCTCTCCTGTTGAAGGCTTAACATGGCAGCTTCCGCTGTGGCATCAAAGAACACACAGCACAAAAATACACCAACGATCTCAATCTAGCTTTGCGGGTTCCACTTGCCCCTCTCCACGCCAGGTTCCAGGCTGGTTGCGGGCCTCTCAGGTTGCAAGCCACACGATTTACCCCTCCACCAAGAAAAGGAGAAAAAGACGGTGGAGGCGAAAAAGGGGAGACGGGCCTAAAAGGAAAAATAAAATAAAATAAAAATAAAAAACCAAATCAAATCAAGTCGAATCAAAACCAAACCGAAAAAAATACAAGGAAAGAAGAAGAGGCAAGAAAAGGACAAGGAAAAAGAAAACCAAAGAAGACTGGCGCCCCAACTAAGTGATCGCCCTAACCCAACTCACCCCTCACTGGAAACCCAAACCCGAACTCGTACCTTGACTTTTTCAACAACACGACCACAACCACCACAACCAACCACCACATCACAACTTTTCACCACTTGCCCTCCACTCCACCTCCAACCCAACAGCAACATCCTACAAACCAAAATAAGATAAACAAAAGACGACCCCGACGAGCCCAGTCATATATAACCTACCCTTAACGCCTCCCCACCAACAACCGCAGCCATGACCGACATTACCAACGCAAAGCCTGAAGACCCCACCACCACCACCACCGACGCTGCTGCGGCGCCAGAGGAAGAAAAGCCAGTCGACGCTCCTCCTGCCGAAGAACCCAAGCCAGACACAGAAAAAGAAGTTGCTGCTGCTGCTGATGACGATGCAAAGAAAGACGCGGAGGGAGGGGACAACAAGCCCCCCACCACCACATCTGATAGCGTGTTTTCGATGTTTGGTGGGGGTCCGAAGAGGGAGAGGAAACGGGAGGATGATGAGGATGAGGATGAGCCGTCTGGGTCTTCGAAGGCGAAGAAGGATGGGGATGTAGCGGTGAGTTACTGCCTGGTTTTTTTTTTTTTGTTTTTAAGGAAAAAAATTTCCTGAGATTTCTTTTTTGATTTTGATTTTTTTTGGGGGGGCCACTTACATACGGGTTGAAAGAACTCCTTCCCCTTTATTGGGGAATACAAAATTATTGGTACTGTAAACTGACGTGAGGCCTCTTATCTTGGTATCTTATTATATAGGAGGAGGAGGAAGCGGACGTCCACTTTGAGCCCGTCGTACATCTTACCGAAAAAGTCGAAATCAAGACGAACGAGGAGCTGGAGGAACAGACATTTAAGATGCGTGCGAAGCTCTTTAAATTCGACCGTGAGTCCCGGGAATGGAAAGAGCGTGGGACCGGCGATGTCAGACTTCTTAAGCACAAGGAAAACCAGAAGACCCGCCTGGTTATGCGGAGAGATAAGACGCTGAAGGTTTGCGCGAATCATTACAGTATGTTTCTCGTCCCCTAGAAAGGTTTTTAAGACGAAGAGAAAGAAAGCTCCTCGCTTTTCGCATTAAATGATTCCGTGATTTTAAGTGTAGGAATGCATTGATGCTAATATGAAATCATTTTAGTTGTTCCCGATATGAAGCTGGCACCCAATGTCGGTAGCGACCGAAGTTGGGTATGGAATGCCGCTGCAGATGTCAGCGAAGGTGAACCTGAAGCACAAACTCTGGCCATCCGCTTTGCGAATAGTGAAAGTGAGTCCTACCTAGCTCCCCTAGCTCTCTTTTGCAAACAATTGCTTACTCGCCTATGCTGCAGATGCGAACCTCTTTAAGGAAGCCTTCGAAAAGGCCCAACAGGAGAACGAGAAGCTTTTCGCCGCTGGCGCTAGCGAGTAAATTTTTCAATAGTCTGCTCGGGACTATATTATTCACGTTCTTACTATCATCATCATCATCATCCCAAATATCATCATCTTCGAGAACAATTTATGCGTCACTGAGATGTGTTTTAACAGCACGTTCAATTATCCCCTTTGACAACACGCCCCGTCTGGACTCAAATCCCCCGTCCCCACTTCACTATCATATCCCCCTTCACCACCATCGCCATCACCGTTCCCCAATACAGACTCCCCGAATAATCCTTACGTCCCCCTTGACAACCCCTATGCAAAATCCCAATACCCCCCGCTTTTTTTTTGGTCAATGAGACTGCTTTTCCCCTGATTCCTATTCGATGATGTAATGTGTTTCTCATCAAGCAATGGTGCAGATGAAATTATTTTTTATATTATCTTTTCACACAGAAAAAGAAGAAGATAAAGCGCCAAAAAAGGTTATAAATAGATAAATTTGAATGTCCATGAATTATAGACGTCGGGAACATCTGGCGAAATGAAATGGTTCCAAGTCAAACTTCTTTCTCTTACTTGGATTGATTAAGGGAAAGGGGCGATGCAATGCACAAGCGAAAAGACAGACAGAGAGAGAGAGGGAGAGAGAGAGAGAAAATAAGCAAAAAATAGGAACATAAATCGATTCTTTGCAAGAATAATCGCATAGAAAGAAACACTCAATCATAGCTCCCGCTACAATCCCCCGACCAAGGCCCTCGTCAAAACCACCTTGATACATGGCCCTCCTTATTTCTGCCTCGTCCTTGGCCTTTTTTGCCCTCTTTTCACGTATTTCCTAACGAGGAGCGATTTTGATCTTAAATTTTGCGGGTAGAGAGTGTCCTTTTATTATTCTATTGTAGAAAGCAGAGGAACTTGGAGATTACAAGTTCATTTTTCTCTTATTGTCGTAACAAATTATTCGGTTGCTGTGGTGCAACCATAGCAACTTGGTAAAAAGAACGAGCTCCCACAGTTTCCCCGCCCACCATATCGAGAATAAGTTTTTGTATTTCAGAGCCCACCACCAAATCCCCCTCTTCTACCCCATCGTTCGAAAGTTGAGGCTGCTTGGGCAAATTAACCGTCTCGCGGAAAGCTCCCAGGCGTTAAAACATTTTTAGCCCGAATAGCTTAGCTCTCCACCCCACCCGCTGTCCATAAACTTTGAAAACAACAACACTGCCGCCCAAAACCGCCCAGCGCCCACTCAATCAACGAGGGGGAAAAGAAGGAAAGAGAAGAAGCTGAGGAATACGCATATCGATATGCCTGACGTGAGTTCTTCTGTATTCCCGACCCATCCTATCTCCCATCTGACGCGAAATGCGAGAGGCATGGGCGGCGGCGCGTTCGTCTTCTTGCCTACCTTCGAACCCTCCCCCAAGGACTCCCCCCGTTTACCTTATAGAGCTCTCTAACTGACCCAATCCCCTTCCTTGACGGGATGGAGTATTATAGGTGAAACGCACTGTCAAGCTCGTTACAGAGCAAAAACTCAAGTTCGTGCCTTGCCCCCCAGTCCAACATTTCGCTCTCCCCCCTCTTTCTACCCCTCCACTCCCCTTCAATAATCCTCTCCTCCCAACCGGCATGATTGTTCGCCTAGCCCGCAGGCTATACATCCCTCTGCCCTTTCGCGTGTATATTGGCTTTTGCGAGAAGCTCGTGCGCCGTGTGGGAGGGACATTTGCCTGTCATCCCTCCAGATGAATAAGTCCTGAATGGAAATGGACTTGGGAATCCTTACCCCCACCTCGCTCTTAGAGTGTGCGCGTATATATATACATCTGTATACGTGCAAAACTGAGGGGCCCCGCTCACACCATGGAATATCTATATGATAGCTATTAGCGGATGCTTACACGAGTCTTTGTCCGTACAGGGATGGTGAGACGGCGTCGGAGGTCGAATTGCCGCTACGGAAATGGTCGATTGAGGTTTACCTGGTGAACGAGCATGGCGAGGATGTCCCCGCGACGATGTTTGACAAGGTCACCTATACTCTGCATCCGAGTTTTGGGAGTAGAGCTATCCAGAGTATGTGTGATGGTGATGCTGTTGAATGAATAGCTGCTATTTGCACATAGACGCATGCATCTGTGGCTGCATTTGTGTGTGTGTGTGTGTGTGTGTATAGTGTTATTTTGCTGACAATGTTTCACAATGTGATGGATAAAATCTAGCTTTCAAATCTGCCCCTTTTAAAATTGAAGAGGAAGGCTGGGGTGAATTTGATATGCAAATTGGCTTCACAGTTCTAGACAAAGAGCATGTTGTCAATCATGATCTACACTTTCAGCAGAATAAGTATGAGTCGAAGCATGTTCTTGTGAGTTGTACCCTTGAACCACCCAACTCATAACCGCATCCCCCTTTCCTCATTGATATTGTTTTATTTGTTTCTTTTGTGAATGCGGGTAGACTGATGTTATTATCTACCTGCAATGTGGGTGGATTGTCAAAGACTTTCAAAAACCCCAAACCAGCTCTACTAAATGTTCTTCGCGAATATGGCCCTGTGCCTGGTGATGAGAATGGTGTCAAATCGAAACGTGGAGGTGCACAGGATGAGGGTTCCAAGAAGAAGAAGCGGATAGATAAGAATGTTTGTTTGTTGTACCCCAGAGCCCCAGTCGTTTCCTTTTTACCGGGATCTTTTTTCGCCCAAGTCGATAAGGGGTGCCCCTTTTTCGCTGACGATATCCCAATGTTTTCGACATTTATTAGGTCGACATGGACAAACTGGCAGACGGCCTTCAGAAGCTTGGGGAAGATGACCTCCTCCAAGTTGTGCAGATGGTCCACGATAATAAGTCTGCAGACTCGTATACGAAAAATGACATTGAACGTAGGTTTTCTGGTGCCCTAACCCTACCGTACTCTCCTCTCTCACGCGCACACATGTGTACAGTACTGACATGTCACGGATACAGAGGGCGAATTCCATGTTGATCTCTACACTCTTCCCGACTCCCTCATCAAGATGCTGTGGGACTTCACACAAGAAAAGGGAGTTGTATGAGTACGGGGAAAGGGGTCGCCTTCATTCCCTGACTCTGACTGAAGTGATACTGTTTTCCCTTCCCATTCTGGGTTTTGTTTTTCTTGATGGATAACAGATGAAATCGAATCATGCGTGGATTATTTGGTCTCAAGGGTCCTTCGACATTTAGTTCTTCCCCACCCCTTTTTCTATGATGTAAATTATGCCACAGTCTCGTTTCCCCCCCTTTCTTTTTTCTTATTAATTTCCTTTTATTATTTTCTCATATCGCCGTTGTTGTCAATCACCTTTTGCTTTTCAGGCAGTTGGGTTGTATTTTCCTTCACCTTTTCCTTTTATGCTCTCTCTCTTCTTCTTTTACTCCCTTGGTCACTCATGGAATGATGGGGCAAAAAAAGGCCTCTCTTGATTTTCATTTCCCCCGTTGGCGGGCGTTGTTCTTCATGATTTGCATTCATGTTTGCCTTGTCTATTGTTTATCCTGGTGGGAAAGAAAAAAAGAAAAGAAAAATCTGTGGCTGTTGTCCATCTGTGCTATGTGGCAAAGATTTAGCACTCTACCCCTTGGTTGAAATTTGATTATTTTTTGCATCTCTTGTTCCCTCTGCAAAGTTCTCTTTTAATTGAATTAGATTTCAATTGATTTCACTGTGCAAGGTGCAGGCAGTTACATTCTTTACAAGCCAAGAAGCTCAAGTGGAATTTTATCTCGTGTCTACATAATACTACGAGTTACATAACCAGCTTACACTGAGGACGTCGTAGAATGGAAATGGGGGGAATTTGGGGATGGATCACAAAACATCAATAAAGTTAGAGAAATAGTGAAATAAATTAAAAAATAACAAAAGTATCGACGCGAGCAGGATTCGAACCTACGCCCCCGAAGGGAAGAGATAGATAGTTTGGCCAACAGCCGGTTCTAGTCTCTCGCGTTAACCACTCCGCCATCGCGCCTATTTGAATGCTGTTGGCAGAAAAACTACGATGAATTGACACTTCATGCTTCTTCCCTTTAGCCTCCTTCGATGTCGACATTGATTTTAACTGAACACTTTTCCCACGAGGGGAAAAAAAGGGGCATTCTCGATACCACCAGCTATTGATTCAATTTTTTAAACCTTAATTGGCTAACAGAAAAGATGTGGGGGTAGCTGTGGCGGAAATCTGGACACACAATTGTGATGCAGCTAATACGTTGCAATTATCATGTATGAGCGCTTGAAGATGGAAAAAATTGCCTTCTGTAGCACAGAGAAGTTAAAGCCAGAATGGCGAATGACAACTTTGCTAACAGTATGGCAAACTCTCATTCGCTGGGTTTGTACTGTACGAGCATGCTAAGTATATGGACCTCAAGATACGAGATAATAAGAAGCAACAAGCTTCAGTCGAAGAGCGCCAGTATCTGCTTACACGGTGATGTGCCGTACAGACCCCAGCTGTTACCAGCATCAAAGCGACTGGGAATCAGCGCAGGCTAAATTCTTTTGTCGAAATGCTTAAGCCCCGTAACGCCCGCGGCCTGTGTCAAACGGCAAACATCCACGTCTTATTGTTTCGACGTGGCTCTATATTCAGTATGGGAGCTGCCGTAGGGATATTTGGCCCTGCTACCTGCCACTGCCGTCCATTGTGGCCCGGGCCGTACCAGATGAGTTAAACGGGATCTGGATGATGTGGACGAAGAATCTCATTTGCAATTCTGCATAACGCTGCGCGGGGGGGGGGGGGGGGGTAAGGGAAGGAATGCCTACGAGCCGGGTGAGAATTAAAAGCCTGTCTGTCCAGTGTTGAGTCTTGACATGCCATACCCTGCACTTCTAGTTCCTGGGTCATGTGGGAAAACTTCCTTGGCGGTCTATTTCTTGAGATTTGATGCGGTCTAGACTTAAGGTTGTGGGATCTTATTATACAACGATTATTTAGTTAGTTGGAGGGGCTGGGAAAGAAATCAACTCCTAGTCGATAAATTTTTATTTTTGCTTTAGCAAAGGGGTTTATGGGGGTTGATGAGGTATTATATACGCACTGTACCAGGACTATTATTTATTTATTTCTTCTAGAATTTGCTAAATCGACTCGACTTATGGACATTTGGAGGATAATCTCCGGACAAGATTTTTTGGGTTTTCATACCACAGCCGGTGGCATGCAAGGGCAACAAGGAGTGATGACTGTCAGCATCGATGTCAAACCCTAAATATGGACACATCGTTCCACTCGCTCTGCTTCTGTTGTTTTCCTTCCGGAGGGTTGCGTTTGATCCGCCCTCACGTATAGAAATATCCTAGTTTATAGCAACATCGCGTCATTATACAAAGCAAAATATATATATGAAGAAAAAAAAAAAAATGACAGGCTGTTCACTCCCTTGCAGTTTAGAAATAGACAATCTAAGAGACAGAACGAGAAGAGGACGGAAAGAAAAGAGGAAGAGGAAGCAGAGAAGAATAAAGATGAGATCCTGTTTCTCCTTTTATCACGCATGTATATGTCATCGCTCATAATGGAAAATGCTTCAATAAACGGACGAAAAGTGAAAACACTTTAGGCGTGAGAAATGTATTTTGATCAGTATATCCAACAAGACACTGAAACATAGAGGATTGAAATAGTAGAGTCCAAGTAGACGAGCGCACCAGGATATCAACAGGCGAAAATGATAAAAGCGCAAAATCCAATATTGAACCAAAACCAAAATCAAAAAGAGGAAGTAAGCGATAGAAAGGGGAAGAATTAATATTACATAACGGAAACGGCTAGTTAGTTATGGAGAAACGGAAAAGGAAAAAGATCAGAGAAGATAAAACGAAAAAAGAAGCGCCAGAAGGGTAGTATAGGAAAGGCAAGGACATTACATGGACCCGCATAAATCCTTCCATTTATGAAGAAGCCTCATTGCCGCCTTATAGCTTTATACGTGAAATAAGAACCTTAGAGTTCTTGAGTGAATGAAAGCGTACACGAATGATGGGCCATATCCGTAATGTTTTTTCTTAGTCTTCTCTTTTGTTTTTAAAACTCCAAGGGGTAACGTGTGAGAAAATCAACAAGCCAAAAATTTGCGCCAATGCAACAATGCTATCCTAGGGGGTAATTCTGCATTTCATGGAGCGGGAGAGGTTCGTTTTATCATGGCGGTTGGGGAATCTGAAGAGGAGAGAGCATGAAGGATGGGGTATAATGCGACAGCGAATGGGAATCATAGTTGAAAAATAAAGAGAAATAGAAATAGAAACTAAAAATAAAAATAAAAGGGACGGTCAATCAGAAAACTCGGTGTCTGGAAAAATCAATACGTTAATCAATTGTTTGTACAGAGTTGGGGTAGAATGAACAATTTTATATCGATTTTTTTTTTTAAAAAAAAAAAAGAAAGACAAAGGGAACATACTGCATCAGGAGATCTTCTAGGCTCGCAGAGCTACAATCTCGTCCACTGGGAAGTTGATGGAAGATATCCATTATTGTAGCGAAGACATCACCATTTCTGTAAGCCAGTAGGGCGGGTGGAGTAACATGTTCCATCTCTGCTATCTCATAATGTAGTTTAACGAATCGAGTGGTAGCCTGTTTCCGGGCCACGGTAGCCAGGCAGTCCTCGACGATGTTGCTTTCGGGGGACTGAGATCACAGGAGATTAGTGATGATGTACTACGGTCTGGGTGAATGTTAAAACGAGATGCCCACTTACTTCAGGATCGTATATACAAACGACAACAACGGTATCTGGAGTCACCTTCTCGATGGCGTCCAAGTATCCGTTTGCATTAACTACCTCTACGGTTCCGTACCTTCGCTTGCTGGGGCTAACACGTCTCTTGCTTTTGCGTTGTAACTCCAGCATACGAGCTTCTCGCCATTGGCGCATGAAGCGTTCATCTTCAGTTTCATCCGGCGGCGGTGATGCCTCGTTGGCCTGTTGCGTGTCCTGTTCGCTTTTCGTCGAGTTGGAGTAGTAGGTATGTTCAAGGCCTGCGACGTTCATAAACGTGCGACGGAATGAGCGTTTCTTCGCCCTTTCGAAAGATTGGGCATCCGCAATGACGCCTTTCGGCCCAGTGTTCGCTTCGAAGACGGTAGTAGGGATATGGTAGCCGCTGGCTTTTGAAATCATGTTGGGGGAGGGATCGTCTTCGGTATCGGAGTGAACGTATGTCAGGCTCTCTTCCTCCGAAAATGATAGGTTTGAATCGTTGTCTGAAGTAAGACGGTCTTCCGGGTGACAGGAGACCTTTTCTTTGGGGTTGAGGAGGCGGTCGACTTCGTCTTGTGCGGCGGACATTTTGAAGTCGAACAAAGGCGCGTTAAGGCGGCTGGGGACCGGTCAGATTTATATATAGCAATAAATTCCGTGATTGGATTCATGCAGTCCAATCGGCTCAGAAATGGGTGGGAAATGGTATTGTGACGACGGAGGAGTTCCTTTGAGGATAAGAGGGCAAGGACAGGGACAGGGGACGGAGGACGTAATCAAAACAGACTGGAGACAAAACCGCAAGGAGTCTCCTGTGTTGCTGAGGGGGATGATCTTGTTTCAGCCTTGAGAAAGGGGCGAGCCTGAATGCTGGCGCGATATGTGGTGGCCCCAGTGGACCGCGTGGGCATGGAATCTGCAAACTAGTGTGGCCTTGGCGCATGGTAAACCAGGCTGGATGCCACGCGACGGATCGCCTTCTGATGACTGAACAAGTGGCAGGAGGTCAAATCCTGTCCATTGAATGGGGGCATGGAAGGAAGAGGGATGAATTGACCACTGACCAGGGCGAAGGGCGAGCTTCAAGCTGAGATCGCCCACGCTGATTTGTTGGTAGATTACATTAAGAGACAGGAATCTGCACTCAATTTCCAAGCAACCCATCTGGCCACAAACCACTCTAAGTTAGGCCTGCAATTGCTGCTCTGGGATGTGTTTACTTGGAGATGTATGTTGGAACGTTGAAGTTAAACCATCTAATCTGGCTAGTCAAGAGCATCACGGGACTCTTGAGCCTCCAGTTGCCATCTACAGAAATATTCAAGGAGGCCTCTGAATCCTGCTTATCCATAATATTATTCAACCAACTTACTCCTTAAGAATAGTGATGACGTCCAACATAACCAGACAACCTGAAGGCTTGTCTGCTTGCCAAATCCTGTCAATGACTGAGCAGCCTTACAAAGTAGCTTCAACTAGCCATGTGTCTCGAGAGCATGGTGAGACATGGATGTCAGATAAAGACTCAAACTAATGGAAATGGGCTGAGATCAACGAAGACCACCGACGATCGCTTGTGAGCCCTCCACTAACAGAAAGGCAACTAGCATTTTATGTTGACGGATCAAAGTATGTCACCAACTGAGGAGTTCTACATGATGTCCGGGACAGATGACAGCTCTCGATAGTAGCTGTGGATTCTCTTAAATCATGGCACTTTTCGAACATATGTATATCATCAATGTCAAGCCCACCTCGACCAAAGATCTCGCCGAGTGTTAAAATGTCAAAATCTTTTCCGTAAGATTGCACATTGAGCAACCAGTCCATACAAAATGTTGCCTCAGGTACCATACTATGCAACATGCCTCCTGACCCAGCTTTTAAGATCGCCGCCAATCAAGGTTCAGGACCTTTGCGCCTTCAGACCATAGAAGTTTCATCTCCAGTTACGAATTCGATAGCAGTACCGAGTGCACATTGAGCGCCTTGCGTTTCGTTCACAACATGTGTGAAGAAGGCCGGAAGAACACATTTGCAAGGATCACGACAAAAATAATAACCGGTATGGACGACGCAGAACATCATGAAAGGAGGCACCAATCAACAGCAATCCATCAGGCTGGCATTGTGTGTTCAATTCTCCGCAATTTAAAATCGACCCGATTTTTCCCACGTGGCGGCAGAGATGATGGAGACTTTTGGTTAGTCCGCCCAACCTCGACAGCAAGAGGGCTGAAAGAATAAGCATGGATAGATACAATGATAGGAAAGTTGCCTACCTGCTTGTCAATGGCGTCAGCAATAGTTCCACATGATTCGGTTTAACGAATTTTCCTTCAACTTTCCGCCACGTTCGAACAAGTCCGAAACTAACAACTCCTTGTTCACTATGAAAAGTGGGCTGGATTAAATTTCTGCTCTGCAAGGCTGCAGGGCGGTAAAAAATTAAGAATTGTGGGAATGCTCAAATGATTTAGTGGCTGTTTTCCATCTTGCGCCAAAGAGGAAGAAGTAGGAGTTGCGCATGGAATCTCGAGGCGAGAGTTGGTGTGGCCTATAACAGGCAACTTTTCCACGGTGATCACATTTTACAAAGCTAATTTTTCTTGGGAACTGTGCCGTTGGAAAGCCGATCCACAAGGGCCGGGCTATGTTTACTTATTTGCATCATGGTTCCCATCAAGTCCAATCGCCTGGTTCCCTCCGAATTTTCCACACTGAAGATCTGGCACCGCATCCAGCGAAATTCAAATTATTCTTCTGATAGGTCAAATGGGATTAGAGGGACCTTAAACTTATCAGCACGGTTGATATGTTAATCAACAGAAAGGGGCTCGGTTAAACCTCCCCACATTATCATTTACAATTACCTGCTGTGATCCAAAAGATTTTCCAGAAAATAGCTATCCGCACCAATGCCCAGAAGTATGAAAACTAACGAAGAATAGCGTGACACGGCAAGCAAAGAATGGTATCAAAACTTTCTAGTTACTTTCTCTCTCAAACCCATTCAGTATCTGTTTCGCTGCTACAATCCCCAGTATATATAATACTATTTGGTAAAATCCCCCTCCGTTTCCTTGCAAATCAATTCATATTCCGGCACAAATTGCATATACATTGCTGCAGGCGATCCAGAGGCCTTTTTGGTGTATGCAGCTTCTTCGTCCCCGACATATTTCTTTTGCAAGCCTGGAGTATGGGTCAAAGCGTGTTCGACCAGCAGCTGGGTTTGACAAGCCCTTTCCAACGCAATAAAAAAGGCTGCTGCTTCGCCGGCGGTCGGGCCGGCAGTGGTAAGTCTGTCGATACGAGTTTGCTATGTTAGAGGGCTTTAACTATGGTATAAGTGCAAAATATGCAAAGCCTCTCTCACAAACCACGAAATCAGATCAGTAGTGACAGAAAATATCGCTAGAAGAGAAGAGCAGTCCATGGCATGCTGGGATGGACTAGCCCGTGATTCTGGAGAAAGAGATTTTTCTTGCTTCCTAGAGCACGAGATATGTTCTCTCCCTCCTCTTTTTTAGCACAATCCCGCCAAAGCCTTCAATAGACAGCGAGATCATCATAGAACATACGGGACTCTACGATCGTTGTCAGTGCGGGATGTGGCTGGCTAACTCAAACTGATAAACGGCCATGGCTTTGGGCTGTCCGCTAAAACGGAACAGATGCTTTCAGCGCCAAGAGGAACATTTCCATGCATGAAAGAGCTTTGATGGCGGCTAGGTAGTCCTTTGATGGTTTTAGGAATCAGAACGCTTTTGACACAGGCCAAAACGAACAGTTAGGGCTCACATACATGCCCATATAAATAAATATGACGCTAGCGACTAGAACAAAATAGAATCCTTGACAGAAAAGACCGAGAATAACCGCGGAAAATGATGATATTTACAACATACCTTGATTCAACATTTCAATGCCCTTGCCAAAGGTTGACCAGGCCCTCCTGTAGGGCGAATGCATGTGGCACACAGCATTTAGCGCCTGGTGGATCGATGAACGGATAATGAATCCTGCCGTGTTGACTTTGTTCTCCGTGGCTGTGAGCGGAGTTCCCTCATGATTCACCAGTATAAGGTCCGAAACGGTGATGCAGGCGAAGTGTTTGGCGTACGGGTCTATTATTGGATTGATGATGGGCAGAGGACAAAACGTTAGTATAGGATTACCTTCCCTCGTGCAGGGCCGCGTTTTGGGGCGAAAATTGTTTCATCTTGTGACCTTAGCACATAAATACATATATAATGTCTTTCGATCGAGAAAAAATGAAAAAGGGGTGCATTACCGATCCAGAAATAGTTCGGATTCACAGGGTCTGGAATAAAACGTCAGCTTAGCACGATTATATGGAATAAATAAATACATTGAATGATATTGTACCTCTCAAACTTATGTGTCCCGATGCGCCATCAGCAAACCCCAACTTCGCAAATATTCGGAAGGCACCTGCCATGTGGTTTTTGGCCTATTTTTGCTCTTCTTCTTTACTCTCAAAGGTGGGGATCTCATGGAGAGAGTGGCTAGCAGGTTTGTTGGAATCCGAAGCTCTGTTGACAAGCGTAGTTGTTCAGGTAGTGGCTGTGGCCGTGACTGTGGTCATATTTGGTTGATTGATTGACGCCTTTCTTTGCTCTGCTTGCGCCGGATACTGGGGATTTTCGGAAGACAGATGTGGTTCGTTTTATACCGTCTATCGGTGCAGGTTGAAATAATTGGAAGAATTGGCGGGAGCCGATCAGATTTGCTGGCTCAGAACTGCCACAAAGGTAGCCTGATAATTATCGAGCAAACGGCCAAAGTGAAAATGCCCTGGCCATCATCGGACTCTCTTCTCACTCAAGTCAACCACCTCTTGTTTCGTTATGCGGGGTAGGGAACGATCAGGGTAGCATTCAACGACGATTCATACTAGCCACCCGGCCCATTCTATTGTCGAACTTCGGGCTCCAGCGGTATCTGCTAATCACAGAGCTCAGGAGAATGCACACCGTGTCTTCCATCGTCCAATCTCCGGACTGAGCATTCAAGTTCGACTCTATTTGCACCTTGGTCTCGACGCAGGACAGCCGAATGTGGGGATGGTGTCTTTGGATCTAGTCCGACGGTGGGGTTGTGCTTCTTGTCTGATGAACACATTTTCATTGAAGAATTATACTAGTTCATGTTCTCTTCTAAGTCGCAGGATCATTTCTCGCCTAAATACCTCAATTATACTAGCACTTCTTACGTATATAACATTCTATCATATGAAACCCCAATTCTACTAATTAATTTTTTTATTTTCAAATAGAAGTACACTGATTATCTATCTCTAAGTTTTCTCACGTTACATTTTTTTGAAAGGTGCGGGCACCAGCTGAATCGCTTGCCCACTCCATCCTCTACGCAGCTTCAAAGTATTCCAAGACCAATAGTTTAACAAGTACTAGTATAAATACACAGATTGGAATTCGTGGATACTTCTTTAGCCGGCATCTTCTGGAGGTAGCATACGAGCACATAACACATAACAAAACAATGTCACCGTCTGCTACAGGTGCAAAGCCCAGAGTCCTAGCCCTCAGCTATCCCGCATACACGAGCGAGGAATATTTAACCGACTTCAAGTCAAAATATGATTTCCATGTAGACAATCTCCTCTCCATACCTCCCAAGCATCTGTGCAGCTCTCTATTGAAAAGAGAAAACATGTGCTAATATCTCGCAACTACAGGTCCTCAAATCTCCAGGCCGCGCAGGCGCCATCCCCGAAATTGCCGAGCTCGTCGCTTGCAAGGGGCCCTTTGACGCTGTCATGGTGCGAATGGGCACTCTGCCATTTGAACCATTCGATGAGGAGCTCCTAGGGCCCCTGGCGCCGCATTGCAAAATCATAGCCTCGGGCTCTGCGGGTTACAACGAGTTCGACGTCGACTGGATGACGCGCAGCAAGATCTGGTTTTGCAATACCCGCAATGCGGTGTCTGAGGCCACGGCGGATATGAGTATGTTCCTGATCCTGGCTGTGTTGAAGAATGCAACGGTGGCGGAGAGGTCGGCTAGGGAGGGACGGTGGAAGGATGGGCTTGTGCCGACGAAGGATCCTAGAGGTTTGACGTTGGGGATTGTGGGAATGGGGAGTATAGGGAAGGTTGGTATATGGACTTTCTTCCTTCTTTGGTTGATATTCGTGGTTGGATATGAGCGGCCTCCCTTGCTTCGGGAAAGCATTCTCTACCATGTCATGGCGGCCATGGCACAAACAGAGCGTATATATTTTTCCCCCACCCATTATTACTGGGGGTAATGGATTGGAACCTGAGACAGGGTCGTGGTTTTTATGAACAAAAGTTCTAATATCATTGCGATCACCAAAAAGCACCTCGCCCGCAAAGCGCTAGCCTTCAATTTGAAGATAAAATATTACAACCGCACCCGACTCCCCGCAGACGTTGAGGCCCAATATTGCGCCACATATTGCGCCTCTCTCGACGAGCTCCTCTCCGTCTCCGACATCGTTTCCATAAACTGTCCCCTGAACGCCGCCACTACCGGCCTGATCGGGCGCAAGGAGTTCGGTAAAATGAAGGACGGCGTGTTCTTCATTAACACCGCCCGTGGAATGATCGTTGACGAAGGTGCGCTTGTCGATGCCCTGGAGTCGGGCAAGGTGAAGATGGCCGGGCTGGACGTCTTTCCCAACGAGCCGGAGATTAAGTATGTGCTTCCTACTATATCTTGGGATTCTTTTATTTATGTTTTTATTATATGTATATATATTTGTCTATGCAACTGTGTAGAGCGGAAGAAACGAGCTGACACAACTTTTCCCAAACCCAAAAAAATTTTTTTTTATAGCCCCTATTTCCGCACCAGTGACAAAGTCATCATCCAACCTCATTTGGGTGGCCTGACTGATGGCGCATTCAGCTTGTCCGAGATGGAATGTTTTGAAAACATCAAGGCCTGTTTATCCACGGGGGCACCACTGGCGCCAGTTAACTTTGTGGAGAGATAGATAAAGCTGGAGGGAAAAAAAGAAAAAATAACAAGTGAAAATATAGACAAAATGGTGCCGGAATTTTTACTGCTTTCATATCCGGTCCACATATATACAGTTTAGAGTATCGTTTTTCTCGCTCAGTGGATCCGTGGACTGTTGCTTTTGCTTTTGCTTTTGCTTTCCCCTCGCAATTTTGCTAATGATATAACTAATATATACTTGGGGAACTTTGGAGTGAAGAAGGGTGCCTAGGGCGAATGAGGGAGGAATGGATGGAGTGCTGTATTGTTTTAGGGCATTCTTGTTAGACCTCGCCATATATGGATATTCTACGCTGGCTGACCTCGTTCTCTCGTTTATAGAATGGGTATATAAACAAGGTCTTCAAGGTACTCAGAATATCTTTTCAAGGGAATAACCTGGAAGAGATAACCCTATAAAAGTTAGTGATGGGGAAAACCGATCAAATGAGATATTTATTATATGAATTGCGTTCCAAATGGTTTGTTGCAATAGCTCCGCAAGCCCGAGCCAAACCAATGTCAACCCGTCCATCTGCGATGCGGTTTATTTAGTGTGTTAGTCGCCTAAGTTTCATGCGGAAAATCGATGTTGCTCACTTCAAACTAATATCGAATTACCTAGAGTGTAGATAATAGATATGAAGGAAAAGTTGAATATTTGAAATAATTAGTTAAAATAATCATTGATGCAAAAATTGTTGAATTATCCAATGTGATTTTATATACGGTTCATTATAATATTACATTATCAAAATCAATTTAGGTTTGCATATGGGGAATCGAGGCTCGTGCGAAGTAAAGAGATAGACAGACGGACACTGGGAGGGAGTTAGTAATGCAATTAGGCATTATTCGTTTGAATCGTGCCAAAGTCGAAAACACAGGATAAAAAACAGGGAAAGGAAAAAGGAAAAAAAAAGAAACAAGAATAGGAGGTGAAGCAGTAATCAACGACTTTCCTCTCCTCTCCTCTCCTCCTTCTCCCCATTTATTGTCCGGCCTCAAACTCCCATCACTAGCAGCCCACAGCAGAACAATGGACTAAAGCAGACCGACCAGGCACCGTTGCTTTAAAATTTCATGGTGCATTTTTCAAAATTTCAAGAATAGTTTTAATTGAAGAAGACATATCCATATATCAAGATAATCCAAAAGGGAAATGAAAAATATAGGTTCAACGAAGCCCCACACAAACGAAAATACGTAAGTTAAATTTGCTCTGGAATTTAGAATACGTGAGTGGTACGGCGTCGGGTTTTGCATCTGGAGGCCATTTAAATAATAAATGGACGGCAGAGGAGAGGTTGAAAACGAGGAAAAGAAGTAATTGACTAACATTTGAGCAAAACAAGTAAGGGGAAGGTGAAATGGAAGTATGCATATTTAAGGGTGAGGCGTGATAAATGTAGGTTGGATAGGTAGGAGAAAGATTCAAAAGAGATGTAAATGGAAAACGACAGAAAGGGGGGGAAAAAAGAAAAAAGAAAATATGGAGGTAGTACACACCAGGGTAACTTGAACTATGGAAAGACAAAAACAAGAGCAAAATAGGAAAAACGAGACAAGAGGATAAATGAAATGAAATGAGGATAGGAACTAGGAAGAAATCTCATCAAGGGGGAACAGAGAGAAAAGAAAAGGAAAATGACAGAAAAAAAATACATAGAAGAATTTGACAGAAGAATTGAAGGTTACCAAAGAAAAAAAATAAAACAAATCTTAGCCTAACCTTTAAAGGGACAAGAAACTAGAGGAATATGAAAAGGGAAGCTTCACAACCCTTTCCAGGCCCGTAGGTGCAGTAGGTAGAGTCAAGGGGGGGTGAGAATAAGAAACCGGCGCCAATGGAAAATCGAAGGTGAAGGTGTAGGGAATCAACATAATAGAACATACGGGAATCAATTAAAGGCCCCTTGTCTCAGAAGTGAAAAAAGAAAAGAAATTGACGAAATGGGAAACTTAGCAAAATGAAACCCGAGGAGGATATGAATCAACCAAAAAAAACACAAAGTAAATAACTGGATATACTGAAGTGGAGCTGATAATGAAAAGAAGGCAAGAAATGAGAGACTTGCCCTTAGCAACAAGAAAAATATATATTATCCAATGATTCCGGTTTCGCGAGCCCCATATTTCTCTTTTTTCTTTTTTTGGTTTCGTGAGCATTGTTTCTTAGTATGTTGTAGTTAGCCCTTGTCACCCCGTTTCTCCCTCTATTTCAGGAAATAATTCGACAGAATAATGGGGGACAGTCAGACTTTTTGAATGGTAGGGCTGATGATTGAGAATCAGGGATTCTTCATGTCGTCGTAGTGTGTAGTATGTGATATCTGTAAATGAAGCATCCGTGAGGGAAACAAGGAGTCTTTCAGCCATCAATGGAATTTCGAGAGGTGTAAGCATTTGCCTTTCCATTTTAAATTCCACGCTTACTGGAGGATATCAAATGTAGGGGAAAAGGAGAAGTGGGAGGTAATGGAGGAGATACAGCTTCGTCGAGCGAGAGGAACGGGGAGGCCATTCCAGATGGATGAGGAGGTGACCATTATTCAATTCCACAACCCCTCAACAAACTGAGGTGTTGTGACTGGTTTACCAGGCCCAGACCTTGAGCTAGATGAGGTGGGAAAATCATTAATTAGCATGCAGATTTGTTTATTTTAAATAGAATTCAATACTCACAAGAGAATCCCAGGATCCTGTGCACAAGCTGATTCCATCATTGCTGACACCTAGGCAGCTGACGCGGTTTTCATGACCACTAAGTGACCCAACCTTCTCCCCTCTTAGAACATCCCAGACCTAGAACAACCAATTTAGGATTAGACTGCATTACACAAATGAAATAAACAGATAAACAGGAGACATACCTTGCACTCATAATCATCATATCCAGCAAAAAGAAGTCGGCCAGAGACTGAGAAGGCAACTGAAGTAATACCACAAAGAACTTGATCACTCTGTATATTTTGTAAAAAATATGTCAGCTATAACCAATGTGACGAAACAATCATAGATGAGGCCCAGGAGATCTCGCGCGTAAGGAATGCTGCGCGTATTTTTATTATAAAAACATGTTTGCCGTGCATGAAACCGATAAACTCTGCCGACAAGAAGAAAAAGACGAGTTAATAATACCTGATATGTGTTGAGTTCCCTGTCTGCACGGATGTCGAAGAGGCGACAGGTGGTGTCATCCGATCCAGTACCAAAGGCGTTGCCATCGGGGAAAAACTGGATTGCATTGATATCCGATTCATGGCCGGAGAAGGTTTGTACGGATTTGCCGGCGCGGATATCCCAGAGTTTGGCAAAGGAATCGCATGCGCCGGAAACGAAAACATTGTTGTTTGTGGGGTTGATACTGATACTCATAACGTCGCCCAAATGATCTGCGAATTCTGTAACCTTTGACCCCGACTCAATATCCCATAGCATACAAGTCATATCGCCTGAAGAGGTGATGATTCGACGGTCGTTTATGAATCGACAACACGACAAATAGCCTGTATGCCCGGACAGTTCTCGGGCGACACGGGTTGGTCCCTCTCGGGAAGACAAATTGTAGATAGAGCAGATATTGTCCAGACCGCCACAAGCAACATAGTTACCGCTTGGGGCGTACGCGCAAGTCATAACCCATGACGATCGTAGGGGAATAGCGTGGACTTTGTTTGTTGTATAAGCATCCCAGATGATCAGTTTACCGTCCTGAGAGGCAGAGACAAGATGGCGGCGGTCTGTTGACCAGTGCATAGCATAAATTTTGGCCAAGTGTCCCTTTAAGTTCCGTCGCGGCTTCATTCCAATTCGTGGGAGGGGATCAGTGTTGTTCTGTGCAACTTCGCGAACTATGAGAAGGGTATTATGTCAGTTACTAATGAACGGTCCATGGTAACGTAGTAACCTCGGAACGTGCAGAGGCTGGCGGCTGGTAAGGTTCCGTAAAGTAAACCGACCACGGCTTGTCAAAAGACGAATGCATGGAGCGAGCAAAACAGATTCAAACGCATGGGCAACGGAAAGGTGGGTGGGGGAGGGACTCGATGTATGTGTGTATGTGATCCTTACGCGAAGTATCCGCAAGCTCATCTTTCCTGCGCTTGATGCGATCCTTCAGACCCTCTGCCTCGCGACGGGCAGAGGTGATCTTAGCCTGCATTTGCTCGCCGCTCAAATCGGCAGCCATGATGAATGAACAAGACCACAAGGAGGAGCGGCTTTGGTCAATTGGATAGAAAGAAGATGGATGGGGAAAGGGAGAGAAGGCGTGAGAGCAGTTGACAGGTTGTGAAATTTGACGACGGGACGATCAGGGGGGACGGGGTGTGATGGGAGCCAGCAAGAGAGCCGGGATTGTAATGCTCTGGATTGATTACTAGGACAGGACGCAGTTGGTATCGTTAATTTAGCAATTTTAGTGGAGAACTAGGTCTCCAGCACTGGTCTCAGGAGAACAGGTTGTGGATAACCAGGAGGTTTAGCTTTCAACCGAAGACAACAAGGGCTGGAAAGGTCCGAGAGAGCGCAGTTGATCTTCCACGACAACCAGCAACAGCGAGAATATGATCGGGAAGAGGTAAGAAGGGAGAGATGAGAGGTAATGGCAGACAAGCTGGAACATCCGGTGCTGGGGGGAAGAGGCGGAGGAGAAAGCGAGGGAGAAGAAGGCGGGTGGTTGGCTGGCGACGGTAACATTATGTAATGCGCAGAGAAGGGCTAGTTGGTTAACTGCCTAGTTAAGTTACGGTGGTGGGAGTCGGAGCTGGTTATGGCAATACAGCGTACAGCGTACAGCGCCTTGATAATTTACAGCCTTCTTTCCACCGGAGCGGGTCTATTCTTCGCGTCAGTTCTTGCGATGTTTCGACTGGCAGTCCCTGTCCTTGATGTCCCGGAATTATAACGTAGCCCGAGAATGAGTATCCATCTTATTTTATTACCCTGCGATGGCGTCTTGGGTTGCTGGGGCTGACAGACCCGTTGGGGTGATGCTCGGGGTCAGGTCTCTCTGCTGTGGCTGGAGGGTGGGTCGTTTATTCTGCTCTCTGCACGGTCCGGCAGGTCTGAAATATTCGCCTGAAAACTGGATGCAATACGAGCATCTTTCCTCTCCCCCATAAAGCGATTGACACATTATGATAAGTATTATTTTCGTGCTAGTATCTATATGCGTTCCTCCAACAACTCCCTTGGGAGGTGCATCCTTGGAGGTTATTGTCTCCAGATTTCTACACAGTACTGAGTACGTTACAGCCGCTGAAGATTGTTGAGGGCCGCTGGCTGAAAGCCATTGTTTTATGGTTTTTGTTCTCGAAGTCAACAAAATAGCCCCAGTGATGCCGGGCTTGCTGTAAGTAACCAAAAGAAATCTTCAAAACTCTGCACATCTGGTTCGCTTGGCATGGCGCCGTAGCGTCGTGTTAAATTGTTCAGGTCAAGGCTCAAGCCTAGTCTTGACCAGCAACCAGGGATAGCGGCTGTCCCAGCACGGCGAAGACCAATCAAAGTGGATTCTCACAACTCTGATTGTTATCCTTCGTTTCGCACTTCGCCAAGGGGTTCTACTCATCAATCAATCAATCCTTCATCATGGTTCAAGGAACAAAACGACAGAATATGCAAACAAGCAGCTTGTATCTCCAAACACCAATGCAAGTTCTGCCCAGCCAGTTGTTTCCGGAGCCTGACAAGGTCGTGTAAGGCTCTATAAGGTTGGGTGGAAAACCCGCAATTGGGATATTCTGATTCCCCGAAAGGTCTCTAAAAAGCTTCCGAAAACACAAAGATCGCCCCGATATGCCCGTCTGGATGGTGCTGTAGGGCGACTTTACCAATGCCCAGCAAGTAGGGTCCAGATCGAAGCTCGAATCGTCTCATGGCTGCCAGGGTTTATTTTGAAGTTGATCAATATCATACTTGGAAGGCGGGCTAATTCCGGGGTTCAGTTAACTGCCATCAGTGCCATTCTTCCATCGGCTGATTAGTCTGCTTCTGGAAGCATGTTTAGATGTTCTCAAAGTAACTACTCCGTACAGATCTGTACAGAAAAAGAAGAAAGCAGGAAACCTACTAGTTAACGCATCCAACTGCGGCTTGGTTGTTGGAGTGGCTGGGTTCAATGGCGCTGATGAGAAGGCTACGCACAGACACCATCTACGGCTGAGTGGATTCGTTGGTGCTGTTGTTCCATGGTGATCATGTTTCCATCGAATGAAACTGCATCGATAACTATCAGCGTTTGCTACAAGCATACAGATATGACCTGTGAAACGGATGATGTTCATTGATCTCCCAAAGAAACTTAGTATCGGAAGTTCCGCCTTGAAAAAGTAACACTGAGGAATAGCTATTTTCTCCGCGGGCACGTAGACATTCAAGTTTTCAGGATAACCGAGCATCATGAACACCGAAATATGGTTGATTTGAAGAAGAACAGTAGAAAAGGAGAAGAAAAGAAAAAAGTACAAAGACTTGGCAGTTCACACAAACCAAGTTACTTCTCCCATTCGCCCAATTACAAACGCAAAGAAACCGCTTAGAACGGAGGCGGAACCTGGAGTTTTCTCAACTGCCAACCAGCGACGACGGCGCTTATTAGTGAGTACCTTTTCCTTTCTGTTCGTTTCGTTTTGAAAGATTTCGTTTGGAATCTGAGAGGCCCACATCGACGCCTAACTCCATAAAATAATATACAGCCCCTCCAAAAGACCGCAAGGAGGAGGATAAGGGTGTCCTACCAGGAAAATGATAAATGCTTTATTTTACTCATACGCTAGAACTCTGTTGCTTGTTATCTAGACAACAACCATATACCAACATACGGTGCAATTTCAATATCAGTTCGCAATAGGTGTGTCAAAAATTATAGTTACGATACAAAGGACACTGAGGGTGTTACGAGTAATTTACACCCCATCCCGTGGAGATCGCCAGAATGGGGAAGGGGATCGATCGCTGGGCAGGAGCAAACCTGTAAAACTACCATTCCGTAGTACGGAGTCTGATTATCATCATTCATCTTTATTTTTTCTTCTCATATTTTTATTTTTATTTTTATTTTTTCTGCCGGTAGTGCAGTTTGCTTCCAAAATCGTATAGTTGGGACACGAAACTTCCAGAAACGCCGCCGCCACCAAACTCCGCTCCAACCGCGCCTCCTAAATAGTTTATGCACAGTGGTACCAATGACCATGACTCTGGCATTCATGGGCATAAAATAGAAAACAGCATCTGATAATTCATATCTTGGCTGCATTGGCAAGATATACATCCATGCCTTGGTGCATCTCTAAGGCTTCTGATTTCTTCTGCAGGTAGATGCTAGATGCGGTCATTGTATAGTCTAAATATCCTAGCCCAAAATATCTGAAAATCGCATGGGAACGCAGTACCGAAGGGAATCCGTCTGCCATTGCTGGTTGAGAGCAAGCACCCACAAGCGAATTTGGTTTCCTGGGTTTAAACGGATTCGTTGTAGATAGCGTTCCGAAACAGCGTGTCAAACCCTATGACGATACCGATTTAAGATTCATTATGTATTTGAAATTGTCCATTCCCTCAGTCAATGGGCAAGAAGAGGGGGGGCCGGGGGAATTGAAATGAAACGGATCTCAGATCCTGAAAACGAGAAGAGAAAGACATATTCATTATCAATTAACGGCGAGAAGTCACCGTCTCCTCAACTGTTTTTCGTCAAGGAACTTACGAGATCCGAATTCCACAGCCTTCGTCTGCTTCAATCAAAAGAAAAGCATAGGGACCAGTAAACCTTAGCCAAATTGTCGCTGAACCGTCCTCAGTAATGGTCCGGGAAATCCAAGACCTCTGCTGCTGATTTTCCCCTTCTTCAACTAACCAAAGTTGTCCTTGCAGGGGGCTTATTTCATATTGAGACACATGGTGAAATTCCGAAGGGTTTCCCAGAATAGTTATAAACGAGAAAGCTCTCTGCAATGTTTTTGAGTTCTCACTGCTCTGCTCAAATCCATCGAAGCGTTATACCCGAGCTTGGCCCTTCAAGAAATGAAAGTTTCCTCCCGTCCACTCCGTGGTGCCTTCAAAAAGCCAAGTTGGTTTCCAGGAAGGCACTGGAGGACGGGATATTTCGGGAGATATCTGCCGTCAAGGGGAGCATTGTTGATGGTTTTGTTGACACAACTTGACAATAGATCTTCTGATGCACAGGGGAAATACTCTCCCAGAATGTAAAAATCAGGAATTTTAACTGATATTGTAAGAGATGGATGGCTTATAACGTCATCGCCACTCCCCGTGTAGCCATTAATTAGCTAGCCGTGCTGGAAGGCCGGTAGCCTGGTCAGACGCTAGGTAAACAATAGTAGCAGTGCGAATGATATCAAGTTTGCCTGGGAAATTCACACTGCTCAGACTGCTACTGCGGGGTAGGCACCTTTCCTTGGAGCATCGCCCGTGAGCACCCGCGTGGGTAGTTTGATGGGGAATTATTAAGGTCACTCTCTGGGGCAGTAATGACCTCATCATGGAGATTGTTAGTAGCCTGGAGATTGTAGGAGCCAGCCTCGGAACATTTCTAACTTAGAGGCCCTGATGAACATTGTAGATATGTAGCTCCAATGACTGACAGGAAGTTTGCGGCGATGTTCCCCTAGGGCCTTCAACTTCCTCCAACATGAAGTTGTTGTTCATCGCAATAACATCAAGCGCTCCGAGGTAACTCCGAGGTAAAAGCGTCCGGTGCATCTAGGCCTGGTACTGTTGTTTCGTTGGAAGGCAAAGGCACTGTGCGGGATGTAGCCCTGAATAGCATGAGTACGCATTGCAGAAAGTGTCCAGAATGGTAATTCCAAGGGGTTTCTCTGCCGTCTGTATAGAGAGAGATGTTAGTTATTTCTTGGAGCTAAACATTCCAGATCAGCCATACAGAAGACGGTTAGATTGCCCACTTGGGCTAAGGGAATGCGTGTCCCAGATTTCCACGGCTAAATAGATATATTTGTTAGAATGTAGATTTCGTAAGGAAGAACGTTATCAGATCTAACCATAGGGCTCTTGGGCAGCTATTGGAAGATACCTCTGTTTTTCTGCCGCCGGACTTGTGCGTAGACAGGGAAGAATGACTTGGTTCTTCACTTCCAACCATCAGATAGGTTAACTTACCCTTGCCAAATTGCAATTATTCCTTGATTATCTTCTCATAGGTTCCCCGTCCCTGCTCCCTGGTCAATATCAATATGCCCTTCCACACACGCTGGGTCACGTCCAGAAGTCATAAAGTGCGAGTGAATATCGGATTCGTTATATTATTGTTATTATCATTATGAGTAGTAATAGTAGTAGTAGCAGTATTGACTGCGATAAAGGATTCTCTTTTGTTTGATTTGCTGGACAAGGGGATGTATCCTTGTGTGGCGCCATCAAACTGCCGCCGTAGGGAAAACTCTCGAGGCGCTATAGGCGGGACCATGCGTAGCACGGGCTTTCCCTTGGCCTGGGATGGGAAAAGCAAAGGAACAGAGGAATCTGTCAAGAATAAACAAGAAAAGATAAAACGGGAATCGCAGTGTGCTAAATTAAAGAACAAAACAAAAACCCAGTACAGCAGCATCCTTTGCCCGAAGAGTGACTCGGCAAGAGGGAGGCAAAATGGCAACGAGAATCTTGGCGTATGAGGCGGCTCCTTAGCTAAGCGTATCAGGCTGGCTGGTCTATTTGCGGTTTTGCCTCTTCCGTCAGCCCAAACATCTCCTCTTCCTCTCTCTCCTCTTGTCCATTTCTCGCCCTTCCGTCCTCCCTCGAATCTTCCACGCCTCTCCCATCTGTTTTCTTTCCATTTCCCATTCGCATCATCTCTCCCGTCTTGCTTTTCTCTTTTGGCCCTCTCTTCAGATACCCTTGCTCCACGTCTGTGTCGTGGTGGTTGTTTCTCTGCTTGCTGTCTAGTCTCTTCAACGGCCACCCCTCCTCTCCCCAGTCCGTTAAAATCCCCTCAAGGTTATTTTGTCCACCGTTTTGTCTATCAGCTCACTATCACTCCCAATTCAAGGTTGGTATGTCTTCATCCGTCCTACTGTTCAATTTTGAATTTTTGTTTTCCTTGACACGCTGCGCTGGTATCCACTCGCTGCCTCGTGTGACTTGGTAGCTCTGGCCATAAACACCTGATTATCTGATCTCAAACTTATGCAACAACCCATGCTAATACACAATAAATACAGTGTCTTCCATTATTTCCTCTCATTGACGCAAATCTCGACCCATAATCCAGATCGACGCTGCCCATTTTGAAACCGTTCCGTCGCTCCATATCAAGCTCCCGTTCTGGCCTCGCGTTTTACTTTTAGCTTTCTTTTTTTTTCTTTTTTTTCCTTCGGTTCAAAGCCTCATTTTCCGCCATTTGTTTCTTATATTTTTCCCTTTAAAGAATTTGATCATCGTCTGGTCATTTAAATCATCACGGAGCTTATACCCCCTCTCTGGTATTGTTGTTGTTCGAACCCTCGTGTTTTCCGCCCAATAAATACCCCCTTTGTAATTGATGTAAATTGGGCCATCCGCGGTTCACTTGGATATATTTTTTCTCATTTCATCCTTTTCAACCGGTACGGATTCCCGAACAAAATATTGCACCAATATCACAACCTGCTAATATTTCTTCCAGCTTTCACCCCCTTTTAGCTTTTGGTTCACTGAAAATATTGGCCTATCCCAGTGACAACAGCAACATCGATATTCGTCATGAGGGAGGTCAATTTCAGCATTCCAAACGTCAACAAGGCGGCTGTCAACATTACGACTACCCTTTACGACCGACGTGCCCTTGACTGCACTTCAACCCTTCCACTCATCAATTCGCTCAACCATCTTGCCTATCTCACCACATCGTCTGCGAGAATTCGTGATATACTTACAGTCGACGGAGGGATTGAGCAGCTAGTATGCATACTAAAGGAAGGGAGAAGCAAGGACTTGATGGAGATGTGGAAATGGAATTTGGCCTTCCAGTGTGTCGTCAATATTGGAGTCCGTGGCACTGAAAACGTGAGGACGAGAGTTGTTGAGGCAGATATTGTACCGGTCGTTGCTACAATCCTCGATAACTACATTCGCGTCGTCGATAAAATAAGGGCACGCGCTGATGCTGAAGCGCAGCGGAACACCTCGAGGGTGTCTAAAACATCGTCCCGTTCACGCGACCAGACCAATCGCTCATCTTTCTTTGAAAGAGCTCCCACAACTTCAGACCATCGCACCACTCGTCGACAAGCCCCACCCCCGTCGATTGAGATTCCTCATCCGTATTCCCGAGATGCCCAACATGGAGAGTCTGGCGCAGTGGAAATCACTCCGTCTCCTCAAGTCATCCTAACGTCTCCCCCAGAGCGTACGACATTTTCTCGTGACGCACGCAGCCACAGAACACATGAAGGTCGCCATCAGCCGGTAACACATCGCCATCGAGTAATGCAGCCTCTGGCAACTGCTATCCCTCCTGTGGATGGCACAGCCGGTTTTGGCCTTCGACCTGTTCGTGATGCCGACAGGTTGCCGTCTGTGGTTCCAGGCCTGCAACCAGGGCTTAACTCCCAGCCAGAGTCACCGACCACACCCCATGCTGTAGGTGAACATCAAAATTCTGTTTCGCTGAATGCCCGGCCAAGACGACGCCCTTCGATTCGCCAACGACCTTCGGCATCGGGCGAGTCTGACGATGCAAATGGAGATGATGTGGTCATGGGAGAGGACCCTTCTCCACACCACGTTGCTGAACCCATAGTTGATGTGCAGAATGGAATGGAAATCGATAACGTTGGCGAGAGTGGCTCCATGCTCGATGGTAGCTCCGAAACCCATGGAATCACGATTCCAAACCCATCCGATACTCCCGAAGCTGAAACTTTCAACATCACGCACCCTTCTGCAATTGACGTAAGCATCATAAACACAACAGCACAGCCCGGAAATGGTGTTCCTGGCCTTTCGCCCGTCCGCCCAACTGCGTTGAACACTGCATCTCCCGTTCCTCAGCAGACGCCCTACCCTTTCTACTTGAGAGATCGCCAAGTTCCACCGGGAGTTTTGACTGCGATGCCCCGTGATGAAGATGTTTTGATGGCCTTGCAACTTCTAGCATACGTCTCGAAATATTGCAATCTGCGCTCGTATTTCCAAAAGACACATCTGGTTCCGAAATTGAAATTGGGGAAGGATATTCGCCTATTGGACGATCCAAATGCTCCGTCTCAGCCTTCACTAGAACTGGAGGAGGAGGAAGAAGAGGAGGAGGAGGAATATCTACTTCCAGATGACTTCAACATATTCCCGCTTGTTGAAAGATTCACCATTCGACACCACACCAAGGATATGCAATACTGGGCCTGCGTTGTTATGCGAAATCTCTGCCGTAAGGATGATGCGCGGGGAGGAATTCGTCAGTGTGCATACTATAAATGTGGGAAGTGGGAGGAGTTCCAACGCCAGTTTGCCAAATGTCGGCGATGCCGCAGGACAAAATATTGTAGCAAAGAGTGTCAGAAGAATGCCTGGGCATTCCATCGTCATTGGTGCCACATCACACCGGGCCCTTCCGAGCAGGCGCAACAACAATAAACAAAGATACTTTCTACCGGCCTCGTTTATCCTCCTAGACCTCTCGACTCTGAACGCCAGAAACATTTTTCAGCTACATCCATCTTAAATCATAGCGAAATACATTACCAATCATCAGCGATTCCCCGATTATTTTAAAATCAAGTAACTTTTTTGAAGATGCTTTTTGTGCTTCTCTTTCGCCCTTAATCAGAATCAAACTGGCAGCCAACACTAGTTTTACAGACATATATATATATAAGTATATAAGTATATTTATATATTTAGCTTTCGTTTTATAATTCTCGAATCACACGAACGAATTTCCTTATCTTGCAGTGTACGCTTCCTCACATCGCGTTTCCTTGTTTGACATCTATGGATGAAAGTGCATTGATTCCTCCTTCGACAGGCAATTCTCTTCTCCCCCTTCCCCTGCAAATGCGCTTCTTTCGTCTCGTCCCATTTTGTACCTCTTGCTGAGCTAGAACTCCATTTCTTGATACTATCCCCCCATTTATCATTTTTCTTTTACTTACATATCCACAGATGGGACGGACGAAGGTTGGCAGAGACGTAAAGGTACTTATATTAGGCGAATGCTTCTGCATATTTGATGTTTTCGCTCTACATTATATTAATTTTTGTTTTTATCTCTTTTCCGATGTCTCTATTCAATTATGGATCTTTTTTGTACATTCTACAGCCACGCGCTTTGCCGGCCATCCTTTTAGCTGAACTTTTGATTTATTAAACGTTTTGTTCCTTTTCTTTCTGTTCCTTTTGCTTTGACAGCGATTCCTTTTGAACTGCGTTTTCTTTGGCTTTGCTTTGCTTTGCTTTAACCGTATTCTCTCCCAATAAAATGAACAAACGTTTCTCTCCAGCATGTAGTACATGGATTATCCATTTGTTTACCCCTCTCGTTCGTGGAAACCGTCTCCTATCGTATTAATTAATTTGTCTAGCTTGCTTCTTGCGGGAGTTTGTATACGTAACTCAGGGGGTGTAGTGCAGTGTCAGCTTCTCCTTATCCACTTCAACCCCCTTGTTTGAACAAGATTTTCGATTGAACTTGGGTGCTAAGTGAAATGTTGGTATCATAATCGGATGGAGGAGTTTTAGCCCAAAGAATGAATGGAATACGAGCCTACAGTTTGCTTCCTCCTTGTTTTTCTTTCCAAAATATGTCCTTGGAGGGGGCCGGCTATTTTTTTTTGCTTTCTGTTTCCAGATCATCCTCATAGGTTGAAACTTATTGAAGATACGCGTTTTCCTTTTCTGTTAGCTTTCCATCAGGTGGGTGTGATACTGCTTGGTTTATTTTTATTTTTATTTTTATTTTATTTTTTTTGTAGCCAATTTGTCCATAACTTAAAATGGAAGATACAACAGTAACCAGCTAATAAAAATGATGTTTGTTTCTGTATGTAACAATTCCTAGGGGAAGAAAGGGGTAGCTATACTACTTGTTGGAAGAATATTGCATTGTTCGGACTAATGAGTACTCCTAGGTATACGTGAATAAATAAATAGTAGAAAGTTATAATCGATCACTGATATTCCTCCTTCGATCCGCCATAGGTCGCCGCCAATCTCCCAGCCAAATGCTCTCTCGCAGTCAGAGGGGCTTCCCCAGCATCGCCAGCATCATTGCTATTCCCCAGCCGCTGCCGCTGGCCTATAGCCGCAATCGTATTCTGTTTTATCCGCTCCTCAACGAGCTGGCTAGGAACAGGAACAAGCTCTGTGTGATCCACTGGATGACAGAAATATGCTATGCTATATCTATCACGACTTCGATCGCTTCTGTCCTGCTGCTGCTGCTGGTCCTCCTGTGGAAATACAACTCGGTGCACCGTAGACTTCAATAGCCCGGCCGTCCAGTAGCTCAGGAGATCACCGATGTTTATCAGTATTGGAGGAAATATCGCACCTTTGCCACTGCCAGCAGCAGTGGCACCACCACCACCATCAGTAATGGGCCGAACAGGCACAGGCGCCCACTCTCCCGTCGACGTAAGGATTTCCAACCCTGGTTGCCCATCTCGCTGGAAGAGGAGGGTGATGCTTCCGTAGTCGCTGTGCGCGCCCGCACGGACGTCAATACCGTGCTTGAAGGTCGAAGAGGCTGGCGAGTCAATTGAAGGGTAGTAGAGGAAGCGTAACGTGCAGCCGGAGGGGCCCAGGACGGGATCGTGCCGGGACGTGAACCAGTTTTCGGGGATCTGTTTTTGGGGGAGGGGTTAGTTCTATTGTTTGGCATATATATCCTTTTGTAACGCCAATTCTATTTTCCATTTTTTTCTATATCGCCACAACCTTGGAGACAAAGGAAGAGAATCTGTTTACATCTAGGCCTATCGCGAGGAGAGTGAGAATCCGATTACATGTCTTTCGGCATAAGTCGATGAATCGAGCTAACTCGGCTTCGTGGGGAACAAGGGACTTGGGAAGTTCCTGCTGGGCTTTGTTTTCTTTGAATTCGTGAATGTTCATGGCTCTGAATCGACGCTTCTTAGCCAAGGCCTATTTTTGCATACCGGGTGGGTAGACAGGGAACTGAGTCAGGCTGCAAAGGGGAAATATATATACTCTTTGAAATCCCCTCTCTGCACCAAACAAAGCCATGTGATAGTGATACTTTGTTAGCCAGATGCTCCTTCGGATGCGTAGGTAGTTGAAGCGGGGGAGAGGAATATTGAGCTGTTTTTAGCAGCAAAGCTCACCTGTTGATGTTCGGGGTCAAGCGTTTCTGCATGCATTCCAGACCAACCCTTATTCTATATTAAAACTTCAATTAATTGATGGGTTCCTAGCGCGTGGGCAACTCTTTTACAAAGTGGGAAGAACATGTCATTACCAGCGATGGGCAATATATCCTAATACACATACATTTGTACCAATCGCAACCGCAGCTTTTTCCTCATAAGGAGAAGCAAAGAAATCCCGCCCCTAAAATTGACATTTCAGTCATCAGTTCTTGCCAATATCAATCTGAAAGTAGATTGATCCGGCTTCGATGAGCATGAAGGGTAAATCTGGCATGATGGGGTAGGTACAATTAGACATACCATGGCAAACGCGTTTTCCACGTCGGCATTCGAGAAATCACTGCTGGAACTATCGACGTAAAAAAAACCGTTCTTAGTCGCAGCATCGATCATAGCCTTTCCTACTGTGGGTGTGGCTTCCGAGATATTGATCACCGGCAGCTGCACGGGCGCGGCTCTGGAGAGTTTATTCTCGGTCATGATTGAAGATGATGATGATATCAATACGCTTTCGTTGATGGGCAAGGTATATTTGAATTCAAAGTCCCTGATTTTCACTTATTTGCTGCTCTTTGCTCTGATTCTTAGGCTTTTGCACCAAGCTGCACAGAATTGTCGATGGAGGTGGGGATATAGGGACAGACTGCAGGTTTAACAGTCATAGTCACACTTTTAAGCAGCGCGGAGTATATATTTGTTGTCGACGAGACATGGTGCTAAAACCTCTGTTTTCATTATTGGGCGATGAGGGCGATTCCAAGGTTGAGAGTACGTACTAACTATGTATGATATATGTTGTTACATATTCTCACGAGAAAAAGCGCGGGAGTAGGAAGTTCCTCCAAGTAACCCCCTGCCATGCTTGATATGGCCACCGCCTTGCTGTTGTGGCCACGGCCCGCTCCTCTTGCCGTTTTCATCTCCGCGACTTCGACTTCAACCTCAACTCGTGCAGTGCATTCGGCTCCCTTTATATTCCAGCCACGATTCTCTGATTCTGTTCTACCGACAGCTGCGTGCTTGTATCGACGTTCCGTTTTCCAGCTGTGGTCTGTTGTAAAAGATACCTTGGATTTGTCGGTTTTTATTCTGTCGTCCTCTTGGAATCACGCATATCGGCCTTTGCTAGCTTAACTAAATCGGGGGTTGAGCTCTGCCCTCGCTTCTGGCCCAAAGGAGCTCCACGATTTGCGGAGTATTCCTGCCCTGAACCACCTCTTATTTGCTAGCTGAGCAAATCCCTCTACACTATGCCGAGTATGTACGAAAGAGCTGCTCAGCCAGTGCTGTGCTCTTCTTGCTGCCCAAAGCTGACCAAACTTCTGTCCGTTTCTAGTTCGTGCCTTCGATGAGTGGGCTAGCAGTCGTGCCCAAACCCTACCTCTTGCAACCCTCAAAGGTGCTGTCATAGGCATTGATGCTTCCCACTACCTCGATCAACACCTCAATCATCATGCGACAAAAGAGCCCCTCCTCATTGCTCTTGGAGGCTTCCCATTTTCTCTAAGAGCCAATATCGAAAAGGAGATCCAAGTCCTGAAGAATCTAGGCGTTACCTGTGTCTTTGTCTTCAACGGTCTTAATTTTGGGAAGCGGGAACCTGATTTCACTTCTCAAGCTGATTCTACTCGTGCACTGGAGCAAGCGTGGGAGCTGTATGACCAGAAACAAGCGGACCAGGTTGTTGATGCCTTTAGCTCAGCTGGTATGTGGAACTTTCCAGAGATAGAACGTTCCTGTCTTAGGTCGTTTCTAATATTCGACCTGTAGGGAGCGCAAAGCCCGAGACCCTTTATAAATTTTTGCAAAGAATCCTACATGAACAAGGTGTAGACTTTCTTGTTGCGCCTTACGCTGCTTCTGCACAGGTAACCTTCCATACACTCTCCTCTGTGGCTTGGATTATGTCTAATTGCTCATGCTGATGTCTCTGTAGCTTGCTTACCTTGAGAAAGGCCCTAACCGTTTCGTTGATGCTGTTTTCGGCCCGTCAGAACTCTTTCTTTTCGATATAGATAAAGTCATCACTAGGCTGGATACGGATGTTTTTCGATTCACATGGATTACTAGACAGGTATGCCAAGATGATCTGGGACGGATAACAAACGAGCAGTTTATCGAGTTCTGCTTGCTTCTTGGCTCCCGATTTCTCCGTACATTCCCACCCTTCGAGAATGCGACATTTCCTGGGAAGGGGGTTAATATCCGGGAGGCGATGACCGCATATAATAACGCCGGACGAAATGCTTTGGTTCTTTGTGGCCAAATTGAAGATGAGCATCGTGTTAATGATTTGCCGTATGCTGAAAGTTTTAAGCGTGCACTCATGACAGTGAAACATCACATCATTATGGATATCGATGGGAAGGTTGACCCTATGGATGCTGAGAATGTATCCAACGATTTACATGAACTCATCGGCCAGCGCCTTCCGGAGGAACTTTACTTTTACATGTCCAAGGGAATTCTTGGATCTCAAGTGTCCGACTGGTTAACTTCGGGCGAGCTCCTTATCAGGTTACCACTAGGAGCTGAGGACTCTGACATCTACCGCCGTCTTCAGGGAGAGCTTCTTACTCCCATTCGAACCCAGGCCTTGTGCCTGCTTTCTAATTCTCTTCATCGATTCTACCAAACTAAAGCAATAAATGTCTGTACCTGGTATGCGCCGAAATCCACACGCTCTATTAACCTCAAAGAGGATTTACCTTCGGTTAAGGAGTCTACAATGTCGTGGAAACTTCGAAGCGATAAATTCCCAGAAAGTGTCAAGCAACTCCAGGTATGTCCTACAGCAGCTTCCGGCGCTGTATCGCCGTTTGTACTGATTTTGTGTGTTAGGCCGATTCTCTTCCATTTGCATTCGCCCTTCGAGCACTGAAAGATCAAGAGTTTGTTACCAAGTCATTCTCAACGCGGGATGCACCGGTAAGTACTACGCGATTCTCAAAATACGATGATGTTATTATTATCTAACATTTAAAGCCTCTATCGTCAAAATCTGAAATTCTTGCGAATGTGATGTGGAGGCTATTGCAATTACGGGGCTATGTCAATGACAAGCACCGACTCACCCAGTGGGGACAAGCGTTGGAAGCAGCCATGTCGTCATTAAACCCTACGGAGAATTTGGAAGAATCAACCTTTATAGCAGTGGAGCTTTTGCGGCTCGGGATTTTGAGCTCTAAGGATTGGTTCGCTAATATCTCTGGCGGCCCAATGAGGGGTACCGGTAAGTGATATTGAACTCTCACGGGCTTGCGTTTGTTTACCGTACTGAGGTTTCCATTAGATGAGGAGAAAAAGTTCAATCTGTTGGTGTCACAAGTTGCATGCATCGGTCAAATTCGTCACAAATCCATTGGCTACTCAGGTCCTCTGAGTAGACAGCTCTTGTCCTTCCGTTCCCTGATATGCGCTGTCCGGTCGAGCTTACGAGACTTAGTTGAGGTTGTCCTAGCAAGTCTTTTGCTCAACGGGGAGGCAGACCGTGATCGCGATGACTGGGCGGATTTGGGGCTCAGGTTAGTCTAAAGAAACCAAATGTTAATGAGGCGAACTAATTCAAAATTTTAGTCTTCCTTTTATTGATGATAATAATTGCGGACTTGGAATCGCTGTTCGGACGTATCTTGATGACCTCCCACAGCAATCGGAGCCAACATCGCCAAGGGTTCGGGCTGAGGTGAAGTCCAAAGGTAAAGAGTGGTTTCAACATAGCGATAGTTTTAGCGGAAATCTTGACCTGGCGTTCACACTTTGGGATGCGGTATGCCCAGACCCACTACCCAAAGCCATTGCTGTGAAATGAAACATGAACTAATTATGTCCGCTAGGCTTATCAAGCATCTCAAAATGCTGGGAAGGAGTTCAAAGATGCGAAATTGTGGGAGGAAGCTAATAAATGGTTGGCGGAGCGAAGATAAATTGAGGGTATTCTCCTTTTTACCCTCGCTCTACCTATACATGACTTTGAAGCGACCCTTGCATTGCTTGACAGCAATCGTAGGACTCTGTTCGATATCTGCTTAAAAGCCTCTCAATAACACCGGGGGGAATAATTTAAGCGAGTCCGGTATCAATGTATTTCTATTATGTTCATGGGCCATATCCTAGCGGCTGTCTGGCCGTGCCTGAAACAATCGAAAAGCACCAACCACGGATAGCAATTGCTTCCTAGCGTTCAATATTTTTAAATTAGGGAATACAGTCCAAGCTCTAGGAAGTTTCTCCCGTCCAGGCTTAGGCCGTAGCTTAGAACTAGAAATTAGTAATCAATGTGGCAACAGCTTGTCCTCTTGTCAAAAGTGTCAATGCCATCATCATACTCAGTCGGGTAAACAACATAACTTGAAAAGAAAAGAATACATCCACTCCTGGGGAGTGGCGCATCTTCAGGATATTCCCAACTGTGGTTTGAAGTTTAACCTCGCTCTCACTGCCACAGACCACAACCTCCAAAATGGCACGCCTAAGCTACCTCCTTCTGGCCTCGACCTCCCTCCTGCTGAATAACGTAGCCTCCACCAGCGCCCTATCCTCCGTCCTCGACCTAACTCCAGATAATTTCGAAAAAGTTGCCCTCAAATCAGGCAAACCGGGTCTAGTCGAATTCTTCGCCCCTTGGTGCGGGCACTGCAAAAACCTGGCCCCAATCTACGAGGAGCTGGCGGCAGACTTCTCCTTCGCTAGCGACAAGCTACATATTAGCAAAGTCGATGCGGATGAGCATAGGGAACTAGGCAAGAAGTTTGGCGTCCAGGGCTTCCCAACACTGAAGTGGTTTGATGGGAAGAGTGACAAGCCCGAGGAGTATAATGGCGCGCGGGACTTAGAGAGTCTGTCCAAGTTCGTGACGGAGAAGACGGGAGTTAGGCCAAAGGGTGCGCTGAAGGTGGCCAGCAATGTCCAGATGTTGACGGATGCGACATTTGCCAAAGCCATTGGAGGGGAGAACGACGTTTTAGTCGCGTTTACGGCGCCGTGGTGTGGGCGTACGTCTTCCCCATTCTTCCCCATCTTCTTCGCATTTCTAATCTCACCCTACCATCATCTTTTTCTGGATATATATTTGGCTAATGACATTCTACAGATTGCAAGGCGCTGGCTCCAATCTGGGAGAAGCTCGCGAACGATTTTCAACTCGAGCCCCACGTCACAATCGCCAAAGTTGACGCTGATGCTGAAAACTCCAGGAGAACTGCTGAATTGTTCGATATCAGATCATACCCAACTATTAAATTCTTCCCCCGTGGCTCCAATGATCCAGTAGACTACGCTGGCGGCCGCTCCGAAGAAGATTTCGTTGTATACCTGAACGAGAAGTCTGGAACTCATCGTGTTGTTGGCGGCGGGCTGGATCGGGAAGCTGGCACAATTGAAGTCCTGGATGACATCGTTGCCAAATACGTTACTGGTAGCGAGAAGAGCATTTCCAGGCTCATGCGTGAAGTTAAGGCCGCGTCGAAGGAATTGGAGGGACGATATGCGCCGTACTACTTCAAGGTGTTAGGGAAGTTGATTGAGAATAAAGAATATGTGGCGAAGGAGTTGGCAAGGTTAGAGAGGATTGTGACCAAGGGCGGCCTGGCACCGGAGAAGCTGGATGATTTGGTGTCGAGGAGTAATATTCTGCGGAGGTTTACTAAGGAAAAGGAGGAGCCAAAGGAGAAAGAGGAGGAGCCAAAGGCGAAAGATGAGCTGTGAATGAACTGTTTATAAATACATTTCCTTAAATAAGGGAGGGTTTGGTATACTTTCGGTTGGCAGGGGTGTGCGCGGTATCCTGGGCTGTTGGAGTAACAGGAGATGATGAAACAAGTGATGCATCTTCATCTACAAGTCTTTGGAAAGGCAAGTATGCTTTGATTTAATGCATGGCTTTCTAGCTTTCTGTATGATTGATAGCTTTGGTTTTGTGTTGTTCCTTTCCCCATTCAACACGTTCAATTTCTCATAGAAAATGTATGAAATTAACTGGGTATTAAACACAATAGAGGAATAGAAATGCTTCCAGAGCAAAGCAGAAACACCAAAGAAACCAACGAACAAGGAATTAAAAAGAAATCGCAACATCATATTAGAAGTACAAGATTGCAAATATTACGGAACTTGCGCATCTGTTCAGCTTCATAAAATGAAAATGAAAAAAACCCCTTGTGATCAGCAAACACAAAACAGTAAAATAAAATCCGGATAACAATATATTATTATAACAACATTATTTTCTCCCATATTCTGAAGGCGAGCTGGTTTTGAAACGAGGTTCTGTTGTGCTGACTATCCAGATTCACTGGTATGGGTATGAACGTGCGAACGAGGAAAGATTGCGAATTCCCAAGCATATCATGTATCCTATACCGTTCTGTAAATCCGAGGTAAAGGAGAAAATAACGCAAACCAAATCTCCATGTTTTATGGGAACGGGAAGGAAAGGGACAAGAACTCCATTTTGATGAATGAGAGGCTAATCAGCTCGTCACATTAGTTTCAGGGGAACTAGCGAGGGCAGCTTCGAGTTGATCCAGTCTTCGCGCCATATCATCCACTAGTGGGGAGAAGGGAGTTTGGAGTTAGCAATTTGTTGTATATATGACACACACATGTGTATGGAGAAAGTTGTTACTTAGTAGACGATGGTTGTGAGGAAGTGGAGGAGGCCGCGGGAGGACCATGGCTGGAAGGGTGGAGGGAGGAGAGTGAACCGTATTCTTTCGCCAGAGAAAAAGGAAAAAGGAAGTGTATATATTACACCATGGACGTACATTTCCCAAAGATCTCTGTTGATACTTTGTCGAATTTATTCTGAAGCTGGTCTAGCAGCTCATCGACTGCTTGAGCCAATTGATTTGAGCTCTCATCTCCTGTGGTCGTTGCCTATTGGTCATTCAATTGGGGGACCTATTAGCAAGGCGATTTCGTTCCCACTTTTAGTTCCGATTGAGGAAACCTTCAGCGCAGAGCGTACTTCTTGTATTGATGAGCGTTTATTATTGTCTGTGTTGTCATGATTCGAGCGGAGTTGTGAGGGTCTGCGAGTTGGGCTTGACATTGTTTATGATCTGTTGGCGATTCGGGAAAGCTCTTGATTGGGAGGGTACGCACGTTGGTGGACACCTTGGGTGATTCCTTCAATTTCGCAATCGCACAAGAGATGTGGGCGCAAAAGAAGAAGAGGGATAAATGTATAGTTGGATGTTTTGCGATGCGACATGTGGACAGGCATGTGTTGCTGTGGAATTAAGGTTGTGGAGACATCCCGAGACGAGCTTTCATTGGCCGGAGCTAGGTTTATCTGGAAATCAGCAATCAGCCCGATGTGAGCCGCATCTCAACCATATCCCCGAGGAGGGCTAGCACGGCTGCGTCCATATGACATGGATAGATGAATCTTTCTTTTGCTGGCTTTCAGGTGGCAAGTCTTTTGTCTTTTCACGAACAAAGGGAACACGATTTACTAATTTCATGATCCGACCGAGGTACTCCAAACAAGTGACGTCCTCTGCTGTACATGGAAGACTACTAGCATCTACTATCTCACGATCTCTGTACATGTACATTTACTAGTTTCCAAGTCACACAACTTGTCATATCTCTAGGTATACCATTATACATCACGGTCCCCGCCATCAAAAGTCAAAATTTCATAGTTTCATCGGCCTTAATTTAATCACACCGCCGAAAGAAGAGCGACCTTGAGGGTCGACCTTGGTGTAACATCCGTCTTGCCTTGGCAGTGTGGTGGACGGATGGATGAATTCAGGTGGCCAATCTCAACCTGGGCCTATCGAGTTTGTTCGTCAAGTGGTTTAAGGTGGGGGCAAACGTCGATGAGGGTGGGAATGAACGTGGCATGCTGCTTCCTTCCACTTTTTTTTCCCTTACCACATCAGTTAGTTGCTGGGTGTCAATCGTCTTTCACTTTCATGTCTTGTACAAAACATGCAGGGAAAAGTATTCATTTTAGTCTGTGTCCGGTCCCGCATCCGATATTTTTCGGCAACACAACATAATTTGAGATCCGAAGAGAACCTCAAGGATGAACAAGCCAGGAGATTATTTCTCATAGATACCATCTCAACGATAATAGAATAAGCTTGTGAAAAATGTGATTGCCTTATTTTTTCTATCTGCTTGTGAAACTGTACTAATTCTCTTTTTCGCTTTTATTTTATCTTTTCTTTGTTGCTTTCTCATTTGTGGGTTATTCCTTATTTCCTGAACGTCCAGCCTTCAATGCCAAATCTACCCGTTAGCTATTAAACGCCCTAAGCAACTAGTGGGTTACCCTGATAAACAAAGGAAAATTGCAAGGAAAATTGCAAGGAAAATCAAATAACCTATCCCTATTTGGAGGAGGCAAACACTTTATGCTCGCGGGGTACATGGGAGAAAGTCCATCCACCTTTCTTTAGACTTTGGTCCAGATATTGATTCCGCCTTTCATATAGCGGGCGAAGATCATGCAAACCGAGCCGACAGCCAATACTGCCCCTGTGAAGACAATTAGTTCTTCAAAGCTGTGAGAGGTAGCGCTGTCTTTCACAGCGGCCATTGCTGGTAAGCCGACGAGTGCGCTGTATATTTGGGACAGAAAGAAATTACTTTATTAGCTTCTATCCGGTATTGTCGCTTGAGGATAGATAAGACAACAAGACCCGTTACAAATAGGGAGTGAGTTGAAGTCGGATGGTGCTAACATACCCAAATGCAAGGCCTATACACACAAGCCCGAACGTAATGCCAAGGTTCTCCAGCTGGCTGTCTGCGAGAGAAACAACACAAGGCGCGATCAAGCTGATAAAACCGCCGCTAGCAACCCCGTAGATCCCCCCAAACATAAAAATACCAACCGTGGAGGGGCTGTTGCTGAGAGGGAGCCAAAAAGCTAAAACTGACGTAGCAGTGAAGGTGGTGACAATGCACATGACATTAAATGCGCCCAATTTGTCGGACACAGCTCCCAGACCCACACTGTGATCTCGTTGGTTAGCGAAGCGGACCAGATGTTAAGTACTACGCAAGGGGGAGAAAGGAAGATCCTCCAGGAGGGGCCAAGCGTTACACTTACCGACCAAACATTGAACCGGCGCTACGAATCGACAATTAGCCATGATTTTTCCTTCTTATTTTAACTTTGTTTCCAAGGCTGCTTCTTGGGGTTGTCACTTACTTGGTTACTGTGAGAGTGTACTGCGCAAGATCCGGAGACATTCCAGTGGCAACTGACATCAGAGGGAGATAGTTGAAAGGCGCCAAGAATGACCACCTATGAAGTAGCAGAACATTTGAAGTCAGTCATCGTGGTTGTACAGTATATATCTTCGTGCCGGAAGTCACACACATGAAGAAGAAGGTCCCCAGAACAAAACCCGCCCATCCAAGTGGTTTCCGTTGAAGCAGGACGCCCACCCCCTTTGCGTTTTTCTCTTCGTTGATTGGTGGTATCGCAGTCTCGAGCACGGGGAAATCCAATCCAACCTCCTCCGCTTTATTCCTAACCGATTCAGAATCATCTGGTTCTATATCCTGGGAGATCTTCCTGTCTGTATGCTGGACAGCCTCCTCGTCAATTTGCAGCTTTTTCAGCTTGTATTGTGGTGGAAACGGTGTGTCGCAGAGCAATATCCCAATCAGCATAGTTACGCCAACCACAACCATTGACCATCTAATAGAGGTCGCAAAGCCGTGGGATTTGATCAGTCTGGAAACCATAATGGGGAAGATGACACCTCCTACTCAATTTTGTCAGTGTGAAAGGCTCCACAAGCAAGCTTTCTTGCCTGAACACAATAAAGGATATGTCTTATGCTTTTGTAGTTCTCTGCGGTTAAGCTGAGCACAGCCAAAACAAAAAGAAGGGGAGGGGTCCACTGCTGAACTTGATTCTCTTACCAACGCTACTTCCACAGCTCGCAACACCAACAGCCAATCCTCTTTTGGTTGAGAACCATTGGGACACCGTAACTATTGCGGGCAAACAGGTCCCGGAGACTGCGATTCCAAAAGCAACCCCCTGAGCTAGGAGTACTTGGTAGTACTCACTGCAGAGGCTCAGCATACCAAGTGATATGACGGCCAGCGCAGCGAATGGCGCGATGACTGCTCGTGAACCATACACATCCACAAGTTTGCCCACAGCTGGCCCGCATGCGAAGAAAAAAGCGATCTGCAGAGTTGTGATCCAAGCAAGCTGTGATGCATTTTTGTCAGGGAGCATGGCACTCTGATAATAGTATTGGAAAGTTCCGCAGCTGCCAGAGATGCAAGAAGAGAAAGAAATTCAAACGAGTCAGCTTTCATTGTGCTATTCCTCATCCATGGGATGATGCCATCTCAAGTCTACCGAGGAGGGAAAATGGAAGAGGAAGCCAAATATTATATTGGCAAAGAGCGGGTATACTTACGTATTGAGGTATCCAAAAGATGACATTTGAAGGAGAAATGAGCCTACAACAACCAACCATGCTCTGCCTCCTCCATTAGGAGGATCCGGCCGGATATAAGCCATTTGGGGAAACAGGAGTTATTGAGAAAGATGTAGAAAATCGAAGGCAAGTCAAGGGTCTTAAACCTGACGGGAGCATAAAAGGGTGGTTGGAGAGAAGATGGATGATCTTCTCTTAGGATGTCTGATATGAGAAGTGATTTTTGAGAAGAATTAACTATTGCTTTTGTGCGTTTGGGATTGTGGTGTTATTGAGCAGTTGCCTTGGGGAAGTCTCCACCAAAGGAGGTGGACAAATAATGCCGGCCCACTCGAAACAATAGTTCTATCCTTTATGTTCAGCAAAATCAAGAGAAAGAGAGCTCCATTTAAGCCATTGCAGGGTACTACCCCTTCCCACCCCTCCACCCCAAAGGGAAAACAAATGAAATTGTGTTTGCTGGCCAGGGGTATCTGCCAACTCGCCGCTGGCGGCTAGTGGAGGGGGGTGTGTGAATTGTACTCATTGTCCAGGGGATGAGGTCAACAGATGATGTTGACATCATGGCATTGAGAGGGGTAAGGCTCAATGACCCCACCATTCAGGGTCAATGGCCTGTGGACGAAAGTTCGATTCTCAAAAGCAAAGCTGCTGGTACCAGGCATATCTGCATTATGGAGCTGTGCACTGCATCCTTGATCTGAGGACAATCAAAGACATTATAAAAAAAGGGTCAATTGGGATAGGCCGCAAATTGATCGAGCTTTGTCTAGGCTTAGGACAAGTTCCCAACTCCGCCCAACCACCCACGCGAGAGTGTTCCTGACAACACTGTACGAGAAATTCCAGACAGTCCATGAAACTTTCAGGCCTACCCAAAACGTGACTTCATCGACCCGGCAATAGCTTGATGAGAAGTGGAAGCACAAGGGATGCCACTACCCGAGTCAACCGCACTGCCGTTGTCTTTCATTCGGTCTATTAATTGGGAAGTTTCAACCTCGGGTCATGTTGGGAACACAGAAAGGTATATGCGTCAAATCTCGTGTCATATATTGCATAGCCAATCTCTAGTGTCTTTATACGTTAGCCCTTTCAATCACCAGAGCATTTGTATCGCAATCACCACCATGCGCGACAATAAATCCTAGTTGCTTTGTTTAGCATCTGTCACTTTCATTTCCATGAGATGGTCAGGAAGGGTCGATGTCTTGTGAACATTGATATATCTCAATATAGTTAGCAATAAATGTATATGAACAACTTAAAAGGATCTGAGTGCAGAACATAGTTATTCGTCTCATTGATAATATTAGTTGAAAGGTTGTGGGCGTATGGAAGCGGATGAGGATAAGCGTCGAGATGATTAGGAATTGAAGTCTCCACAAAAGTAGGCTTCTGGCAAGTTCGCAAATGCAATTACGAGGATGACCCTTGTAGATTCGTTCCTTAATCATGCAATGTAGATTGTGCATCTATCAGCGTCATCCTGGTATTAATTTCCCACCGGGCCGAGGGATTACGAGTGACGGTTAATGACGAAGTAAAGCGTCCGAGTCAGTCTAGATGTCGATCGTGGTTTGGCAGAATACTCGCGTGAAGATCTGTACTGGTCTCCCGCCTGGCCCGTAGTCTCAAACGTCTCCGTTCAGGATGGTAGGGTGATACTATTGACACAAGCATGGTAGTGAAGCGTGTAGTTCTTGCAGTTATGATGGGGCCTCCATAGCAGCTACCCGATGTTATTCGATGTCTTCCGATGTAGCTTCGAGTTTAGGAAACCAAAGGGACGGTTTTTTTTCTAATCGACTCACCTGGATCCAATCAAACGTGCAGGTTAAAGGCGGGACGTATCCAACAGTTGCAGAGTCTGATGAAATTATTCGGTGGCATGTTTTCATAATTGCAGGAGGAACAGTTATAAACGATCAACATAAGACAATCCCCATGTGGCGTACAAAATCACAAAGTGTGCAGGACAGATAACCATCCAACTTCTGCTCTATCAGCTGGTGGCGATAAAGAACGTTCAAAGGAATGAAATGTTTCTGAGACATGGCTGAGAACGCGGATGTGAACATATATGATCACTTGGGAATTTGCGCGCAAAATTTTCGACCTTCCTGTACTCCAATGGAACGTTCAACGGTACTTGACAGTTAGGACTGGGGTCGGGTCGTCCGCACAGCAGACTGGCACACAGATGTGTGTGATGTTGGTTTTCCCCTACCTAATCGCGTACAGCTCTTGATGGAATAGCCAACATTTTCCATTAACATGATGGCATGCGGTGTTTCGCGTAATACGGTGGATAAATTGATATATCATCGAGTGAAACACGACTTTTCCAACCGTCGATTTGGTCCTTTCTGCCCGAAGGATCAGGGTTTGATTTGAATTCCCCCTGCGTCCGGATTCTGAAGAGGAGGATCCTTTTTCGACGGGGTGACTTTCTAGCTAATCGGCTCTTTTTTAGAATGATATTGTAATTTGGTTAGGGAGCCCGAACCATCTGTGGTTCTTTTGCAAATGGAGGGTAACTTGGTTTCATCGAACCTCGTCCTCGAAGTAGACGCTTTTTCCGTCTTGGCACCCGCTTTAGTTGGACCGCATTCCTGCGACGGAACGATATAAGCATGTTGTACGCCAGCAGATCTAGAACAGAGGTCGAGGAAAAGCATGCAAGCAACCAGAGAACTAAAGGTATCAAGCGAATTTCACTACAATGTGTTAATTGATTGAGGGAGCTGTGAGGGCACCTGCATGAGAGAAATGGTTTGGCTCTCAGTGACATCACATAGTCGGCAAAATTCAAAAAGATCGGGCCCTGCGTAAACAAGACCAACCCTGAGAGAAGCATTTGTACCCAAGGTATCCAGCCTTCCTCGAGTTCGTGGTTGTATTGTTCTGCATATTTTTGGGTAAGGTTAAGGCTCGTCGGGGGTCGCGTCACAGCATTTCAGACAAACATGGCAAGGACCGAAAGCCGGAGACAGATCTTCCACACTGTCGGGAAATCCGATATGGTTCGTGATTCATCACGGACGATATTATTTGCTGGGCAAACAAGGTCCCAGGGACAAACAAGAACTTGGCAGCTGTGTTCACAACACAATTCCTGCCTGACATGGTCAATAAGTGGCCACTTGACACTCCTGGGCAATGGGACCAATTTTGTCTTGTCCATAGAAGTTAGGCTTTATCGGCCTCGGGAAGGACCAAACAAGCTTCGAGTGTTTCTTTGAATAACCCCCGTAATTTACTAGATCTGCAGCGTCCTGGACGAGATACACAGCTGATTCAACTTGGTATGGGATATCTCCTAATCGGGAAAAGTGTTCAATATATCACGTGGAGATAAGGGCATGTATTCATGACTAATCTATGTGCGGCAAAATCACAAAGGTTAAAATCACTTCGCTAGCTACATCTGCACTAGCGTTATCCAAAAATTCTCCAATCTCAGAATGGAGCTTTTGCTTTGCTACGACGAAGAGCACACCAGCGTTTGTGCTCTCGCCATTATACCCTTTGCATATTCACAATGGCGAAAAAGAGTAAATTGCTATTGGCACTAGATGCACATAAAGGACGCGATTATCAGTTAGAGCGACAGAAGAAACTGCAGAAGGCGGCAGAGAAGAAAAAGCGAGCGGCTGCCGGAGATTCTAATGATACCGTATGTGTTGATGACCATTGGATGCTGTGCTTTAATTGTTAACTTTTGTCTTGTCCAGGGTCTTACTTCTCTGGAGCAAAATGGCACGAGAGAGAAAGAAGATGGAAAACCTGCTGATGCAAACCACGCGGAAGATGAACAGTGGACGGATCACGAAAAAGAGCAGGATGAAGGTGGAGGCGAGGAAGAAGATGAAGAGGACATCCCCCTGTCAGATCTTTCAGAGGAAGACACCACCGACGTAATACCACACCAACGCCTCACGATCAACAATTCCGCAGCCATCCTCTCTTCCCTTAAGCGCATCTCGTTTATCACGCCTCAAACCCCTTTCTCAGAACATAACACACTCATATCAACAGAGCCCATCGATGTCCCAGACCCCAACGACGACCTTACACGTGAATTGGCTTTCTACAAGGTTTGCGTTTCCGCCGCGAAATCCGCAAGAGATCAATTGAAGAAGGAAGGGGTACCTTTTTCGCGACCGACAGATTATTTTGCCGAAATGGTCAAGTCCGATGAGCATATGGAAAGGGTGAAGAAGAAATTATACGACGAAGCTGCGGCGAAGAAGGCAAGCGCAGAAGCTAAAAGACAGCGAGATCTTAAAAAGTTCGGAAAACAGGTCCAGATCGCCAAGTTGCAGCAGAGACAGAAGGAGAAGCGGGAAACGCTGGACAAGATCAACAGCTTGAAGAGAAGTAAGCCCTACCATCTGCCCGATGAGTATTATTGAAATTTTTATATCACAAAAGTTGTCTGCCTAACATGTAACTTTCCTTCTTGCAGAGCGCAAAGCGAGTGACGGCGCCCCGACCGAAGAACCAGATCTTTTCGACGTCGCCCTAGAAGACGCGGGCAAATCTCATTCTCATGGTGGAGCCAATAAAGGTAACCGTAATGAACCGCGCGCACAAAACAAGCGACAAAGAAAGGATCAGAAGTTTGGTTTCGGAGGCAAGAAACGATTCGCGAAGAGTGGAGACGCCGTTTCCAGTGGCGATCTAAGCGGATTTTCAGTAGGTAAAATGAAAGGACGCAAAAAGGGGACCGCGCAGAGACCAGGGAAGAGCAGGCGGGCAGCTTTAAAGAGGGCTTGAAAGTACGGGCTTTTAAGAAGTAGATACGAGTTTTCTCCCTCTATCCTTGTGTTAGGCGCTGGATGGGTTTATATTCTTAACCTAAATTCTATAGAATTGATTGCTTTACAAAGAGTGTCACTAAATCATACCTCGTTGAAAGGGATACGCAAAATGAACAATATATACATGTAAATATAAATATATATATATATATATTCATTGCCCATAAAATCAGGAGAAAGCCAAAGGTAAGGGTTTAAGAATCCCCATTTGCAGCGATGTCGCTCAACTTTGACAGCAATCATGGATCCCACCCACCATTAGAGTCATTAACAAGCCGTCTCGTTCCTCATCATTGTATATTGCAACTACCAAACAAAACTGAAGCTTGTCATTTCCAGAATCACCCAGCTTCAATTCGATATTGCCTGATCAGCTTCCTGCTTCAATTGCTGTGCAGGTTACGATACAACGGGTATTTTGAGGTGAAAACCACGACGCAACAATCCGGAACAATTATCGTATTGACTCCTTTCCAGGAACAAATTGTTGCCCCTGGACTGTGGGAGCGCGTTACAATAGCTAGATTTATCACAGCCTTTATGAAAGGCAGCCAAAAAAATATATGAAGGAGGTTAGCTGATTAGCTGATAGAATTTGGAGTTACAGGGAATGGCACACCCTGAGAATGTAAGCCGTCTCCGTTTGCTGCGTTCGCATGAGGGATCGACGGGAACCCTTCACGAACGTCGATTTTTTAAGTTGCCTAGTTTGAGGCAATTTAAAACGTAATGAACACCCAGCCGGGACTTCCTCGACCCGAGATAATGGGTATATGTTTTCGTCCAGCAGATAACTGTACTACTGCGGTTTCATAGCTTAATTTTTTTTGGAGAAGTTGGCCCGCGGAACTCCGGCTTATCAGATGTCCCCACTGATTCCTGGTGAGCACCAAAATCCCGAATGCGACTGACAAGATGGCTTACAGAGACGTTGATATTATGGCGTTGTTCCGCGAATACAAGGTTTAGCTTGGTTTGGGTGTCCTCAGCATGGACGAGTGAGTGGTCGAGAATGGCTTCTTTCGAGCGTTTCGAACTAGCTTTGTATATGGTTTTTCCGCATCCTTGGATGGAACAAATCCAAGTATCCGCAGGTAATTCAACGTGGTCAGGGGGTTCTGTTGTCTGATTTACGTTTTCGCTGTTGTTGATGATTGCATTTGGTGTCATCAACCTCTCAAAGATGTCCTGCATCGGTGTTTTCCTCAGTGAAGCCACATCCGATCCTGAAACTATCGAGCGTGTGCTCTCATTTACTTTCGCAGACAATGGATCATGAACCAAGCGGTGTCCGCGGATCTTCGAGGGTGTATTATTTGGTGACGAAAGTTCCTCTATTTCCTCCTCTGAATCTGTATTTCCAATCTTTGCTTGCCGATTCCGTTTCCCCGCCCCTTTCGCTGAAACTGAACTCATTTTTGGGCGAAGCAGGGATTTTCGTACCCTTCGCCTTCGTCCTTTCGGAACATGAATTTCTTCATTATCTTCGCTTTCTTCGGCAGATGGAGACGAGGAGCTGTTCAACCTTCGTGGCCTAGGGTGTAGCGGTGTGTCACTGATACCCTGCAAGCTTCCAGAATTTTCTAGATCCTTTAGTTGTCGATATATGGCTTTTTGAGACCAGTCAAAAGTCGCCGTTTGTGCGTCTTCCATCATCTCAATGAGAAATCCAGCTCTTGCACGGATCAAATCCAGAGCATATGTCAGAGAACTCATTTCATATCGTTTTAGAAGCGTTTCAGCAACAGTTGTCACATTAAGCCGACGTTTAGAGAGAAGGCCCGATTCTTTCATATCCAAAACAACCTCGAAAATTGTATCAGCTTGGGCCTTTCCCACGGCCGAGGCATCGGGTGACACATCTGATTCTTCGTCTGATTCACTCTTCTCTTGGGCCTCGTCAGCAGCTGCCTCAGCCCGCTCGAATACATCCTTTGAAGTGAAGTTAGAATTCGGAGTTTATTTCATTGTGAAGCGGATTTCATCAACAGAGATCTTGCTACGAGCTACCATACCAGATACAGTTCACGTAGGTGAGCATAAATGGGAGTCGAAGCCCAATCCACATTCTCCTTACCCCGTACCATCTGGTTAATGAGGAACTCGTGGTGTTTGTAGAACACCTCCGCTGAGTCCTCCGCGTCCTCGCAGGTCCCATTGGTATGCTTGGTATACTATCGAGAGAAGGGTGGAAAGTAAGCCCCCATACCCCACAACGCTGTCATGGAAAAGATATTCGAAACGAACCTCATCAAAAAGATAGTCTACTTTTGGGTTCCATTTTTTACCCCGCTTCCGGCTCTTCTGGTGCTTATCCGCGAGAAAATATAGAAGATCAATGGCTTCGACCATTTCGTTGAACATCGGTTTATATCCTCTGGCTGGCGAGATAGAAAACCAACCTGCCACGCCCGCAACCCACAAGCCGATCTCGCCATCGTCGTGCTGACCGTAGGCATAATGGGTGACATTATCAATGAGGACTCGTTTGTTTCGGTAGGAGTCATCGAGGACTGTTGGAGGGAGCAGAGTTAGGACAATGAAAAAGAAAATCAACGCTGGACATATTCTCCATACCAAGCTCTTCCTGCTCTTCCTCTACAATTTCCAATTGACCTGTGACACGAACAGGATTGTCTACCGAAGCAAACAAGACGTTTGCATATCGTGTCTTGCCTGGAACAAGAACCTTGACGTCGGTTAGGGCGAACTCTTCCCAGTCATTCTCATCTCTAAGGGAAGCGTCTCTAGCAGCGAGGACATTCTCGATTCGCGTTGTCATATCTCCAAAAACATCATGATGCCTTCAGATGGAGTTGTGAGTCGACGCGCATTAATGGAGGCAAGGCCTTGCTGGTTTTCGAAACGAATGTGGAGCTAAGACTTTCCCCAAACGGTCACCGTTCCGTATCTATGGAAAGTCGGAAAATCCATTATGTCTCCACAATCAATATAAAACTAAGGAATGGTTGGTAATATACAAATGGGAGGATACATAACGTATTATCAATCTTTCAGAAAATAAAAGTATCCTATATTAGATGAGATATTAGGGGTATCGTTGGGAGAATTTTCTTACATCTTATTCATACAAAAAGCTCCAACATAAATACACTAGTAATTTTAAAACAGTCAATTATTCATTTTCATCTTGCAGAATGCCTTGGGCTGGACATATTATTTAATTGATCTTTTTCTTACATGTAGTTATACATTATGTAGACGAATATAGATTATAACTTATACATTAAATAGATAAAGTTGTAATTGAGCTATATGTCGTTGGAAACGCCTTCGATCACTAGAGGAAAATGGTGGACTATGTTACGGTACTTCGAATCTATCTCGGATAGAACTTTGGTAGAATGCTCATTAGATTTATATTCTCACAACGTCCACGGTTTTGTGGAGGATGAATAATTGTTCAAAATAATATTTACCACGAAGCTTATTACCGTAACGCCAGCCAAACATCCAGGATACTCCCCCTCCTCCTCTCTCGCTGCACCGCCTTTGCCAGAAATAAAACGTCCTTCCCTCATGACCTTCCGCTTCCGCTTCCGCACAAGAGATTTCCCAGTTAGAATGTCTGATAACCGAAATCTGGAAGGCGTTTTCGGTTCGTCGAACATGTTCTTAACTGTTCAAACAAATTTCCTCAGACTAACGCCCCGTTTCTTCGAATGTAGCTGTTCATAAACCCCCGGGCATATCCTCCGCCGAAGTTCTCCGCAACCTACAACAACACTTCACCCCCTCTCAATTCTTCCGTCCATGGATCGAAACAGAGCGCATCCGGCGGGGTGCGGAGAGCAAATACCAAGCCCGCAGGCGGCGTGACAAGCGTCTAGAGGTTAAAATTGGGCACGGGGGAACCCTCGACCCCATGGCGACAGGCGTGCTAATCGCAGGTGTTGGCAGGGGCACAAAAGAACTGAATAACTTTTTAGCGTGCACCAAGTCATACGAGGCCGTGGTGCTATTTGGTGCTGCGACAGATACGTACGACAGTGTGGGGAAGGTAGTGAGTCGGGCCCCCTACGAACATATTACGCGCGACAAGGTGGAGAAGGCGCTGGAGAGCTTTAGAGGCAAGATCCTGCAGCGGCCGTCAATATTTTCGGCGCTGAGGGTGCAGGGGAAGAAGTTATATGAATATGCGCGAGAAGGAATTGAGCCTCCTGTGGAAATTTTGAAAAGGCCTGTTGAAGTGACGAAGTTGGAGATCCTGGACTGGTATGAAGGTGGCACCCACGATTATGTCTGGCCGACGGAGGAGGCAAGCAGTATGGAGAAATCTGTTGCGCAGAAGATGCTGTCTAAAGACTCATCATCATCTGGACCTTCGACTACGGATAAGACTACCTTCGCTCCTTCTACAACCGAAAAAGAGCAGCAGAATGCCACCGTACAGCCAGAGGAGGGGTCGCATGGCATTAAAAGAAAGCTATCTGCATCTCCAACACCAGAGGAAGAAGGGAAATTCTCTCCATCAACAAAACGCCCAAAGCCCCCAGTCGATAGCACGGCGGACGATTCTCTCACCAATGACGCCTCCATCACCACTGATCCCATCATATCCAATTCCGTTTCCGCCACCTCTAAGCCACCTCCTCTACCCCCGGCTGTTAAGCTCTCCATGACTGTCTCATCTGGCTTTTACGTCCGTTCCCTCGCCCACGACCTCGGCCTCGCGCTGGATAGCAATGCGATAATGTCATCTCTGGTGCGCACGCGCCAAGCCGATTTCACATTGGAACCGGAAAAGGTGCTGGAATATCGCGATTTGGAAGCTGGGGAAGAGGTGTGGGGTCCCAAGTTACAAAGCTTTCTGGATGAGTGGATGGAGAAGAAAAAGGACGGGGCAGGTGGGAAGACGGATAAGGGAGTGAAGGAGGGTTCTAATAAGGGAGACGGGGAGAGGGAGGCGGTAGATAGGGAGGTGGGAGTTCAAAGTGATTGATTGGTTAGGTTTTTTGTGTTCTTTTATCACACTTGATACCCTAGTGTAAAAGTATTAAGGGTTTTCCTTTCACTCTGTTCATATAGACATTCACATCTTAGAAATATAAAAATCATCACGTTTGTGAAACCTCAAATAATATCACACTCTCACACATTAGTGGTGTGAGGTATTACCGGGGTGAAACGAAGCAAGGAGGCTAGGTAGGGAAGGAATAGGGTGGGATATATTGTTAGATTTTAAAGTATGCGCCTGAGGAACTAGTGTGACAATAGTGAAGAAAATCTTACAAATGGAAATGGAGATGGAGGGGAAATTCAAAATGGAAAGTTGAGAGGATATATCAATTCAAGGAGGAGGAGATGTTGAAATGTTGGAATACAGTCAAAACAGAAAAGAAAAGGTATTAAAGGGGACAAGGGGTGCGACAATAAAATTGACGGATAGTAAAACAAAAAAAAAAAAAAACATTGTTAAGACTGGAGGATAACCAAATAGTATCGGGAAGTAAAAGCGACAACTGGCAAAAGGGTTCCAATGGAAAAAAAGTTAATACGGCGAAGAGGAAAACCTGACAGTCCTTCGAGGGAAGAAAAGGCTTAGAACTGGAGGATATAGCCGACGGAAACAAGAAGGTACAAGAAAGGAAGACAGGGGTCTAAATAGAGAAGTAAAGAAAAGAGGAGAATGAAATATCAAAAGCGAGTGGTTGATAACGTGGGCAAATACGAAAAGAGGACAACAATAAGAAGAAGAGGTAGTGGAGAAATGTTTTTGAGCGGATAGGGGATGGGGGGTATATATTCTGCAACATGCAACAATTAAGATGCAAAAGGAGGAAAGAGAGATGAATAGGAAAGGGAAAGGGAAAGGGAAAGGGAAAAGGGTAGCATTGCTTCCACCACCACAATACAAAATTCCACTGTCGACGATATATATGAAAGGTGAAGTATCTTTTATTTGCCCGTACGAGAAAGAGATGCCTGTGCGAGCTACCCTCTCAGCGACCTTACCACTCAAAACATGGATCTTCTCGTCTTCCATTCACGTTGCTTCCCATTAATGGCAATCAAGAACATGATGCTTCTTTTCTGGCCGATAGCCAGCCAATTCTTTGTCAATCCAATACCGAGTCAAAAATATTCTGGCGCAAGGGTTGGCACTAGTTAGGCTCGTTTCTTGGAGCACAAAATCGGCGTCAGGAAGTAAAGATGGAATCTAGCCAGGGGACGAAGCTCAAGATCTCGAGAATTGATAGTGTTGGTCGGCGCAATAAAAGAAGGTGACTAGATATTACGATTATTGGGGGGATCACCTAATTGGGCGGGGCAGACCAGGTGGTGTGATAGTTGTTGAAAAGGTCAAATGAAGCCTCATAATATCGTAGAAATCATGAAATATGACACAGAAGAGAAAGCGAGAGAAGAGAAGAAAGTAGATCTTTCCCTGGCTCTGTTCAGCAACCCAAATGAAAAAAGAATAAAATAGAGTATGAAAGAAAAGAGTTGTAAAACGATCGGTCGAGTTTGGCATGTGGAGAAAGGCAGGGAAGAGGAGCCCTTACAAAGGAGATATATCGAAGGATGTTGATTCTATGTCTCTATGGAATATCGGTTGGGGAAACTGAGCGACAAAAGAATATGCAGGAGGTAAGGGACAATCATCGCGATTACTGTTTAGGAAATAGCTGTTCGTAAGCCTGGTGGGCTTCCAAGAGGACTGAATAAATTTAATTTGTCAGTTTGCGAAAGTAAATTGAGAAATGAATGTTAAAGTGTGAAAAAATTTACCCTGAAGGATACTGCTTTGTCCCTGTCTTGACTCGCACGCACATTGCAAGGTACTACCATCCAGGAAGTCTAGCACGATGCTGTTTGGCAGTTCCTGTCTATCTTGATCCGGCAAGAATGGGGCCCGGAACTCCGAGAGATGATACCTCTTGACAATATTGCGAGGAGTCCCATCAATGGTACCAGGAGTTAGAATGAGATAGCCTTGGTCATCGATGCGCATGAATCTTCGTTTCCAGAGCAATGTGTCTGGAAACTGAACATTGACCTCGCCAATATCAACTACCTGAGGAGGCTCAGGGGTACTGCCTTCATCGGCCAGCGAAGGCAGCTGTGATTCCTCCTTCAAGGTCGGGCTTAACGCGTTTATTATACCCCGTCGAGAATTTGAGGTAATTGATGACATGCGCCGAATAATGCGTGATTTCCTAGACTGTTTTTTCTCCTCCTTTGTTTCATCGACTCGGTCAAGAGGGTTGTACGAGACTTCAGATGAAGCGTGTGGACTATTTGCCTCATGTCGAGACCGAGACGAGGCGGGCATCCCACCCGAGATAGAATCGGAACGAAGTACGCCCCGGCTGGTAGATAAGCGCCCTGATCCAGTGCTAGATGAAGTAGACAGGCTACGTTTCTCTGGCCGGGTGACAGTTGAAGTGGAAGGGCGACGAGGGGATCGGGGTGCATCGCTCTCAACAATAAGGGGGCTGCGCTGTAGATTGAGGATACCGAGTTCCGAGGGGTCAGCTGGAGGTTCATTGGGAGGTACGGTTGGATCTCGGATGATGCGGGCTGTCACTGAGACCGAATTTGATTTTCCTCGGGTTTGAGTATTAATTGATTGGTTGTCAGTCCGTTTCGGGGGATTGGGGGATAAAGCTCGGCTTTCTGAAGGCGAAGCTGATGTGTAGGATGGCGACTTGCTCAGGAGCACAGGAGCAGGAGGTAGGCTAGATTGGGATATCGAAGCCCGTTTGCGGAATTTTTCAAATGGGGATGACGACGTGCTTGTTGATGGAGGAGGCTGCGGCGCCAGGGGCGGTTGACCTTCGCGGCTAGAAAACATTTCTAAAGCCTTGATCCGTTTTGAGATTCCGGAAGAGACATTTACTTTTTTTGCGACAAGCACAGGGACAGCTTTTTGGCTTTCGAGGAAGGATCCGGAAGCAGATCTGCCAATGGGGAGTGCTTGCACATCTGATCCAGTACTTTTGGCATTAATTGGGCTGGAAACTACTCTTGAGTTCCTCCAATCCGCGGCCGCGTCCAAATCTCCATTCTGAGCAAACATGGCAGTGCTTGGCGTCTTCGGAACTGCGATTGGCTTGGCTTCTTGAAATGTAGCGCTTCCCAATTCATCCATAAACGAGTCGTCGGACAAGAGGTTATCCTCGTCCAATTGATCGAACTGAGTTGCAATATGGATAGGATCCACAAGCCCTTTACGCCTGCTCTTGAGTGTAACTTTAGATGACTCTTTCTCGGAACAGTCGTCGGATTTTGGCATGTCGTTGCCGCTAGCGACGGAAGTTGATTTCACGGATAGATTTTCTACGGATATTAGTGAGGTCGGCGATGCGGCAAGGGTGGTAGATCGTGCAGGTTCTTGGGGTATGTGTGTCGGGTTCATTTCCGGTGTTTGAGGTGGTGAAGCTTGAGAATCTCGTGGGATTGCTCTAGGGGTAGCATTCGGGGAAGAGATATCAGATGGAACACCAATTACAGAGACTTTAAGATCTCCCGTTGGGGAATCTGATGTCTTTGTATCTTGTTTTAATTCAATCTCGTCATTATTCTTTGTTTGTTGTTGTGTGTCGGTGGCCGAATCGGTCCCCACAATTTGTGGCTCAACCTGGCTAGCTCCCGACGCCTCTAAAGCCTCATCCTTGTCAACGTCCTTTGAGGAATCCGGAGCAGTAGCGGAGATCTTAGGGGAGGAATGATTTTCCTCTACCTCACACGAAACGGTACTCGTAACAGAGACAGAGGGAGATGCAGATTCAGTGGTTCTGGGTTCTATTGCTCCGACGTCTACGGCTGAGTCTGGATTCGACGTATCCGGCGATGGGGGTGTCTGTTTTTTCTCCTCGGCAATAATCAAAGATGGCTGGTATTGCTGTTGATGGGAGCTAGGAGCGGGTTGTTGTTGGGCCTTTGCATCCGATTCCATGCAGGCAGATTCAGTCTGTTCCAGTTTCGAAGTCACTTGCATTTGGACAATCTCAATGTTGTCATTGCTACCCTTAACATCCACTTTTTGTACTACTTGCTTCGTTTCAGCTCTTTTCTCCATATGCTTTTTTCGTAACTCCAGTGCCCGCATTAACCTCTGTTTTTCGGGGGTTATTGAAAGTGAACTTGGCACGCTCATAACGGATCTGGGAGACCCTGGCGCATGTCTAGACATAGGCCTAAGGTTAAGTGGTGGAGGAGGAATCAATAAATGAGGTACAGGCGGAGCCATTGATGGAGGAAGACGTGGCACCGGGATATCAGGTTGGGATTTGGGGCGTCCGGCAGAGGCGCCATTCTTTCGGGTTGACATTCGTACGCCTGCAGGTAATGATGCCACTGGACGTGTATCATTGGATCTACCTATTGATCCTGCAGTTCGTGGTCGTCCACTAGGGTCCATTGACGGCCGGGGGCCTAGCTTAACCTTTGGGCGATACAAGCTTATTGAATCTAAATCTTTCAGCGACGGTCTAGTTGACTGAGAAGATTTGCGCGAATCTGGGGGGGAATGAGTAAGGGAGTCTAGGAAATGCCTTTGCGCATGACCACTTGACTGGCTTTCAGTGCGACTTCGGGGAACAGTGGGCAAAGGCTTTTCGGCTACAGATTCCGAGCGGTCAGATTGCCGCGGTCGCTGCGTATCGGTTCTGGAGGTATCGACCGATTCCTGGACGTTCTGATGGTGGCTGGGTACAGCGGTGGCATCCGAAGTCACACTGAAAACACTTTCCCTTCGATTTCCATGACCATTGTCGGGGTGAACATGTGTTTCTTCTCGAGGGCTAGCACATTCCTCTGCATCTTCGGCAATTTCACCCAATCTGCGACGACGAAGCGAGCTTGACGACGAAGTCATTGAACCGGAAGCAGCGTGGAGCAGACAGGCGGAGGAGAGTGCGCTCTCTGTCAACTCCGACGAAATGGCAAGGGTGAACACAGTGTCATTTGGGGAAAACTTGTCCAATATAGACTGGAATTGGACAGTGATTCGAGCTGTAGCAAAGCAATTACATATCAGCTTCCTGATCATTGGAATTTCAAGTAAACCAACTACCTTCAGCCCTTCAGAGAAATAGTACCTTGGATCAACCTTGAAATACCCTCGGGGACATATTTTAATATTACTTTCCTCCGACGATACTGTAGAAAGCCGTAAAGAGGGGACGTTTCCTCATGACCATCGATTGTGATTCTGATCTCCGTGACTCCCCCCGTTCCACGGGCCAGGAGCGCGACGGTATCACGGCTGACATACTTGAGCAAAAACCTAAACCGGAGAAACGCAAGATAGATCATTAGCGCATATCATTTCCAAGCGCCAGGTTCAACTGATTGCTCGGGACTAATTTCGCAGCCCAATTCGAAAGATATGCAAAATACGACAGAATTTGAACTTCAGTCCATGAAGTATAGAGGAGAGCGGGAATTGGCCCCGCCATAGTCGAGAAAACAAGCAAAGGCGGTAGGACATTGAACTCACCATCCACCAGCTTCAGCAAGAGCAGACTGGTAGGCCTCGATGACAGTGGGATCATCTAACCCATTGAGAGACATGACGGGAGCTGCATTGGAAATGATGAGGCCCTACGGAGGGAATGCAAAGCGATACGGGGCCAGCAGTAGCAGCAGTCGCAGTAGCGGAGCGAAACGCGAGGGAAAGACGAAAAAGGACGGGAGAAGGAAAGGAGAGTTGGTGAAGTCGAGCGATGTCTGGAGAGAAAAGGGACTGGACGACGAGAGCATGCACGCTAACCGGGTTATCAAGTAGCACAAGTCTTGCGCTGACTGGGGTGTACGAAAACCCACAAACCCTGGCAGAATATCAAGAGAGGGGAAAAGCAAAAGAAACCACAAAAACAAAAGGAAGAAAGGAAAGGCCTGAAACAATGGACTAAGGATCGACTGATAGCCGCAGATGGTGATATTTTCCTGGATGGCGATGGTTTGGCCGGCGAGGAGAAGCTGAGTGGGCCTTGGGTCTTTGGTCTTTGGCACAGCAAACGCTATTTTCAGGGGCAGCGATTCCACAAGTGCGCACCAAGACAACTCAATCAATATCAAAAATAATCAGGAACACACCTCCACTGCACAAACAGCTAACTAACGACGTGATAATCCATTTTGATGGTAAACTCCAACTTCTTCTTCTTCTTCTCCTCCTCCTCCTCCTCCTCCTCGGCCAACAACTCAAACCATCCTTTATACAACAACTCCTGTTTCACCTAGTTTTCGACGACAATAGTCGGATGAAACGAGCGAATTGAACCAACCCAAAGTCTCCAATTTTCCAGGCGCATATTTAACTATCGCCATCACTCGATATCCATATCAATATCAATATCAGCCACGAAAAGCAGGCGTCTTCGCACATACCTAGTTTTCTATCCCACTGGCAAGGAAGGAAGAAAATACCTTTGAAGATATGTGGACTACGCTGCGCAGGATTTGATTTTAACCGGGATTGCATGAGATTTATCGTTGCATCTAGGCGGCTCTTGGATCTCGAGACCGGCAATCAAAGCGAAAATGAATCTCCAGATCCGTTAACCCAGTACCCACATAGATTTAACATGTTCAAGCTACAGAGTACGTGGAGGCAACAATTTTTCGTAGCGATACCCCGAAGGATCGCCTGCTCAAATCCTAGCAAGCCCGCACACTTGCGAACTTGGGGTAGTATTTCTCCTGACTTCAAGGTTCATTCAGTCCCACGGCAAAAAGCATGAAAGCGACTTGGGGCGGGGGCAAATTTTTTTAGTGCGCATTGAGCACAATCGAGCGCCCTCGCGATTGGGCAGAATTGTGGGTGTTCAAGGGGTAAAACTCACCAACTCTTAGCCTTGATCTCTTGAGTTTGATATGCAACCATCCCAATCGCCATTGACCTGGCAAGCAACCAGGATCGAATTGATATCAGTTCATTGGGCTTTAGATATGCCTGCCAACTGCCCCTAATTTCTACCTACGATTGAGGCTCTTGAGCCCTTTCTTGCTTGTTTTCCTTCTCTATTTTTGCTCGACACCCAATTAAACATGTATGTCAGACATAAATGTTTAAAGACCCCAACAACGCAAGCATGGCGCTGTGTCGACGAAATCATTCGGCCTTTTAGTAACATGTTCCACTCAGATGTTGGAAATCAAATGATCTACTTTCTCTTTGACCGGGGTTTACAGAGCCTTATTGGCTCCTTTGCGAATAAGTTGCTATAAATAATGAAGTAGAGCTTGATATGACAGATGGCCACTCAATCTGTTGCACTCACGCCCGCTTATAAATTATTTACCAAAAAAACAATGATGATGATCAGGTCGCCGATTCTAGAAGATATGAATCAAAAAGGGAACAGAACGAGGAGAAAGGACGAAATTGCCTTCACCAGGGGTCTTCAGAAACATCCTCTTGCATCATCTGATACAATTCAGCTCGATCAACTAGCTTCAAAATAGCCGGACCTTTCTTCTCCACGAGATGTTTCTTTTTTTCTCATAGAAAAGGTGGCAATGTTTGCTTTGTGTGTATATTCACAGAAGTAACCACGTTGTTGGCCTCTAAAACTAGGCTCAAAGGAGCGATACTGGTTAGTACCAACATGCGCCGCCAACCCTCTCTTCTCGGTTGCTATCCAATTTCGCCGTCGTACAGAGACGGAAAGCGAGCTCTGGAAGCGAGGTGTCGACTACGAGTATTCGTCACATACCCAAAATAATTTCCAAATTCTAACGATCAACTATTTCCCCAGATCCCTTTTGACTCCGACTCGTGGAGAACTATATCAAAATGCTGATTCATCCCAATGGAAGAGAAGTTCTATATAATACTAACAACATTATCCGTCCACCTGCAAATCTTTCGAATTTGATGCTCTAGACTTCTAGTCTCCTTGATTGGGGTGTGTGTCTATAACGAATAGGCGGTTGTATTCGGATGCATACCATCACATAGTGATGTCTGCGCACTATCTTCGAAGCTTACCAACCAAAGCCGACATCCGCTTTTTACCCCAAAACCCGCAACCCTGGGAATGGTACAGCCAATTCTGGCCGGAATTCGTTGGTTTTTATTAATTATACCTCCTACTGGACACCCTTCCATCCCTACCTTCCATACCTACAGGATCAACGTACAAACTCAAATCCACTCCATCATCCGACCATGGGGCAATGCAAACTTTGTTGGCGGTCGATATTTTGGGCGAAATGCTAAACTCCCAGTTGGTGTTGGTTTTGAAGTTGGAACTTGCAGTTGCGATTCCCTACTGTCGGGTGGCGCATTGCTCCATCATATAGTATCAATATTCAGCAGAGGGCAGCCAAACTATTCTACCAGGCTTGAAAAGGAGTGTCGCCGGGCAATACTAATGTTTACACTCGGTGCTTATTGTTCTGTCGGAGAGGTATATAAGTTTTGATACAACGACACATTGATCACATTTCCCGCAATATAACTAATTAGCAAATCAAACTAGAGACATATCTAGTTACCTTCAAAAAAAAAAAAAAAAAAAAAAAAAAAAAAAGAAAAGAAATTTGAGCAACATCCCCCATCATGATTTTAAGCTCGTGAAACCAAAAGTATCTAGGATTTCAGATGTTTGTTGTTATGATGGATGAGGCCCTAAATGAAACACCTAACTGCCCACTCCTGGTGATTTCTATATCCAACCTCATTCCTGCCTCAAAGCGGGATTAGATCTAGCTACCCTTTTTAGGAGCTAGTTATACTCTCCAGTAGATGAGCGATGGAGCTACGCAAGAAAGACGAAGATTACGACAATGCTGGTAGGGATCGTCCGCAGCTTTGCTGATGATTAACACATTACAATATAGTGCTTTTCACGGTCCTATGATCCTCCTCGTATCAGCGAATAAAACTCAAAATAGTTCTATGCTGCAATAATAGAAGGAATATGTGGGAACCAAATTTCAATAACCTTACTTTTAAGGTTGTTTAAGGTTCGGCCCGCCCAAAAGTCGTATTCCAAATGTGCAACTCCGAATAGAGTTGCTGAATACATTTAAAAAAAAAAAAAGGTTTGGTGTTCCGTCCCAACTATGTGAAGAGAGAAATTCGAATACAGTTATCCCACTTGTTGTTGGAAAGACTGCGGCCAAAAACAGATTGCCAGCGACATGATCACCCACATAGTCCAGCTAATAACGCCTTAATGACTGCATTTCATGCCATCACGATCGATATCGCTCGAGATTTCTGAAAAGCTTGGGTGTTCCTGCATGAGCTGTGAATTTCGTCTTGAGATTCGATCAACCGAAGTTCCTTGTGACGCAATTCCATAACTTCCATTTGTTCCAAACCCTTAGACACACATATATATCTAATGGGAAGCAATTAGTAACCGAACTCCGTGTTCCTCTTCAAGTTGCGATTCGCTTTCTATCTAGGCTACTGTTACCACCGGGCGCTAACTGGTAGGGGACGAACCATTCTCCAACATTCTCGATGGTCTCGGCCCGAATCTCGGTCACATGATATCCCGGTTCACGCTACATCTCTCTGGATTCACGGCCAGCTTCGAGATAGATAGTGAGAATTGGAGGCAAGATTCCCGCTGCTCTCCGAATTCTTATTTTTCTCACCCTGGCTACTAGTATAACCCCCCCATTGACAAAATAAACTAGGAATCATCAAAAAAGTAAATATTAAAAATACAGAACCTTGAGCCCTGAAAAACTCAAGGGGCCGAAAATCATCATGCCTTCCCTCCCTGCAATTTCCACTGTCCCCTTCCTCCCCCAAGCCACCCAAACACAAATACTCGATACCCTTTTCGAGGCCTCCATGGACCTGCACACCCTCACTCTTCCCCTTCTTATTCATCAAACATTCTCTTCTTATCAATCCCTCATCAGCGCCGTTGGCGCGCGTATGACGGCGCTCTCAGGTGCAGACTCTCCGAAAGACAGAGAGGTTCTATATAATATTTTACGTGCTCATCCGCGTTTAGGGGAGAAGAAGCAGGAGAACCTGAGTGAATTGAGTCGACAGGAGCAGGCGGCACTTAACGCGGGGAGGGAGGAAGGAGAAAGAGGAGACGAAGGGCGGGACGAGAGTCAGAAGAGGAAGGCAGAAGAAGAGACAGCAGAATTGAAGAAGTGGAACGATTTGTATGAGGAGAAATTCCCCGGGTTGAGATATGTGTATGTGCCGTTATTATCATGACCGTGTGACAAAAAGGAGAAAACGGTATTCGTGCCGCGCGCTAAACAATCAAGTACATAGTGTATTCGTCAACGGACGTGGCAGAGACATTCTAATGCAGGATATGCAGCGGCGAATCGAGAGGGATGACATAGAAAAGGAAAAGGAGGATATTATACAGGTAGGCTCCTTATCCGCGTCCGTCATTGTGCCTCTGTTTCCCTGTTTCCGTTGTCAACCTCAATTGCTGGATGCGGACGAATCAACATACGCTGTACACTAATCCGCATTTGTTTCTTTCCGATGAACAATTTAGGCAATGTGCGATATAGCAATTGACCGAGCACGTAGGCTTGAGCGGTAAATCGAGGGTGGCATATGTATAAATAAAGTAAAAGGTTGGAGTTTCCTTTGGGATTACACCCTACCAATCAAAATTAGTTCTAACATCACCTAGACATCCCCAATACCTCGAAATTAGAGTGTACTAAATGATCATCTTAAAAATGGAGGAGGTACTGTAAAGACAGTGAATGTTTGTGAATACATGTATATTATGTGATTCAAATCGAGAGAGATTAAGTTTGATGCCGGAAAACTTAGGCGTGAAATGTATCAATTTGTTTACGAGCATCAAAGGAGTAGAACATGCCTAAATAATAACAAACTTTTCATTTGCGTTTTGATACCCTACTCATATCTTCCAATTTGGATCTCGCTAATCGAACCAATTTCTAAATTTATTTTATTTTTCCAACTTTGCATCTCCTTCCTCCTTTTCGAATATTTTAATGCTTTTAAATGATCTAAACTATTCCATCCATTTATAAGACACAGGTTTGTTTCGCTGCCGGTCAATTGGACGCACGCAGAACTACCCTGAAAGAAATGGTTATGAAATGGATTCCAACGCCTTGAAAAGGTGGTGGATAGGTTGAACTCTCTCGCTTAGTTTGAAAACCCTAGTGCACGAAGGAAATCCGTATAAAGGAAAAAGTGTCGTTCTTCTTCATTCAGTTTTCCAAATTCAGAAACGTCGTTTCAAGCTGAATTCGGGTATCCATATCGTACAGAAAGCTTAGAATCAAATCCAATGTTTCGAGATCTGAGAGCGATTGGATATGGGAGAGCTATTCGCAAGGGTATATGATTTTGTATCGAGTATGAGGGGGAATTGTGACAGGTACTTCGATAGGAGCGCAAAAGCGGGTCTGAAATGTAGTACCCAAACTTATAGTGTATTTGTGTAGTTAGGTGTCCAATGTGGTCGGCACAGCTCGTAACTGGTAGCTAAGTATATCGATTCTCGGATACGGGAGACGGATTAAATAACAGGGGGAGGGATCTGTGGATAGGAGATTGCGAGGTTGCCTTTACGTTTTCGGCTGACCTGGGTTGAGTTGCTAGCTTTTAGAAACAACTAAACAACCTATAAGGCCGGGAGGGAACGGCGAGAGGAGGAGTTGGTGAAAAGGCGATAGGAAAACGGTGACACAAAGATTCCATTGATATTGGCATTGCTCCAAGTGTCGATTGGAAGAAAATGTAGCTGTAGGGTACTATATTACGCTTCAAAAACCAGCTTGACTGGTCAATTTGTCCCTCGTACGAACTCCAGGTGTCGCCGCAACGGTGTAAATAGACCTGGAAAAAGCATTGAATGGGTTTCTGGCAGACGTTCGGGCAACTTGGTGCGATCTTGAATGAAAACCAAATAGGCATACGCTAAACGTATCTAGCATGGGTTTGTTCAGAATCATTGATTGAGCTTTCAGGGCGTTAGCTAGAATGCTTCCATCAAAACCCGAAGTGCACAAATGACACTTCCTTTTGTCGTTTTTGTTCCAAACGAATCCCAATTGATTTTTCATCTTCTGTGAGCATTTCCGTCAATAGGAACTGGGAGCCAAAAGTGAGACTGTCAAAACTAGCAATCGCATCGTGATCATCGAGAACCGGCTCAGAAGGCTCTAGAATGTTGAAATCACTGTATACTCGACTGTTCCTTCCGTCGCCTTCTGTCTCTGTATCACTGTCACTATCAAAGTATCCATCTTCGTTATCGAAAATATCATAATTTGTTAAATATAAAGGCGATGGGGGCAGCGGAATATATTGGCGACGTGGGGTGGACGGCGGTGACGGAGAATTACATGGTGGTAAATGTTCGTTCCGCAAATTGGACGGGCTCGTAGCTCTTCGGCATTCCCCAGTTGTCCATGTAGAACTGTCCCGGGGGGCCGGAGGGTTCGTGCACAGTGCGGATTCAGCAGTTCCACAAAATGAATTAGAACGGCTGAAAAAAATAATCATCTGTCTCACTATGTAGAGCTGGCTCGGATCTTTGTTGCAGCTGGCTCGGGCGTGTTTTCGAATCCGGTTCATAATGGCAGCCTTCCTTAACAAACTACGACCTAGCGCCTTCTGCTTAGCCCATATAGCAATCTTTGACGAGCCCCGAGCGACGATATGAGTTGGGGGTGAGGAGAACGGCGAGCTGAGTCGGGAGGTGACGAGAACGAGACGCAGACGACGTTTCTTTTTCTGCTGGCCTCCCGAACCCTCACCATCCACATCAGCCAGTGGGCGAGGACGTTTCGAGTGACCCCCATCCGGGGTCGGCGGGGAGCTTTGGCGAGAGAATGACAGACGGCGTGGCATGACGAGTGAAGCGGAAAATGTGAAAGCGCACTGATGTTGCGGCAAGACCAGACTTCTACCCCACTGGCCATTCATTATGATAATTCATGGTCTCTGGGCTTGGCTAACTGGAATTAGGGGAGAGAGTCATAGATAAAGGAAAGGTGTGAGGGGGTGGTGATTTAAAGGGATTGCGCATCGACCTTGAGTGGGCATTCTCATGTATGCGAAGAGACAACTCAGGAGGAGCATGCGGAGACTGCAAGGGAGTTGCGTTTGAATAGAACAAGGGCAATAACAGCCTGTTCTGAGGTGCGTGAGATTGCGGGGAACAATGCGAGGCGTTGGCGACCGTCTGCCCGTCGGGGCAAGGGGTTTCAAGCAGATTCCGAGAGCTCATCGAGAAGGAGAATGGACTTTGGAGTGAGCGGTCAATGATTTAAATAAGAAGACAAAAGAATCAGCGATCATTCAGAGTTGTGGAGAAGCTCCTAGTGTTTTGCTTGCTTTTTCCCTGCGATGGCATCTCTGTTCTCCTTTCCCATCCCTGGGCAGAAGGGCTGACCAAAGCCTCAAACTCTCCATTCTCATTGGCACAAAGCTACCGATTAAAGGATCACGACACAGGGATCTGTAGCGCAGTGGCTGTTTTCTGTGTCCGTTGAGCACATTTCTATTGCTCGCTGCTGCTGAGAACTCTTTTCGAGGCCGACATTATCCTTCGCCATCCAGAGGGATCGCCGCAACATTGCACATGAGTCTGCCGGGATGACAAGTTACAAAAGGGCTCAAACGCTTTTCTTTTCTTCGACACTGAGCGTTCCATATGCTAGGTTGGCTAAAACAGAGTGCTTGGGCCACCACCGCGGTTATACCCGCTGGGATCAGCTCCATCTCTTGCTCTTGGCTGGCTACAGTGGCCCCGGCTTTTGGAGATGGCGTTTTGAGCCAAGTGATGCACCAGTGTGAGAATTGCACAAGGCACAATACTCGTTGCTTTTTACAGCCACCGGGATAGTGGCGGATAACAGCTGGCTTTCAGAGGGATGCAACTTTTCCATCTAATTGACGAAGAGGAACTGAAATCTTCCTCTCAGCCATCGTTACAAAATTGTGTGGAGCAACAGTAAGTGCAGGCCGCTTTTGACACAGTTATTATTTAAATAAAGTACTTTTCTACAAAGGTATATATGGCGCAATCCGGCGAGTTCATATATCAAAAGCGCGCGCAAAGAAGCAAGAGAGAGAATAGCCCCTATTTTGAAGGATCCGATCTAATTTCTCCAGAACATAGCAATACGATGCACTTCATCAGGAGACACTGGAATATGCTAATGGTAATGGGCAATGAGCTTGATCCGTGTTTAGTGCCTGCATCTCCGTTTATTACGGACCAATTGCACAAGTCAATGCCGATGAACAGGGAGACAAAAACCACACGCCGATGCCGGGCCTGAGGAGTCGCGGTTGAAAGGACGGCAAGAGTGAGCCGTACATATAAAAAATAGAATCCGATAAACCTTCCAGGTCTGTGATCCGTGGAACGGAGGAGAAGGGAGGGAATCCATTGACCTGAGGTTTTCAAACGGAACCAACCCAACACCCTGGAAAAAATTTTCCATCTCATCGTGCCCTCGCTCAGCCTTGTCTTGTTTAAATCTTGGTGGCTGGAAATCTGTGGGGCGCACTTCGGTGTAGAATTGGTTGATGAAGAACCAGGGCACGACGAAGACCCATAACGAAAATTTCGCGAGAACAAACATCTTCTTGTCCCTGATCTAAAATTTGAGCAGCCATACGCGGCGTACTATTGATCTGCGGCTACAATATTTGAGGACTGGCTGCTTTCCCCGACAAAGAATAAAACTGACGCCACAGGCTTTCTCAACTCAACCCGTGTGATTTCACACGGATGCTGCATGCAATGGCGGCAGATGTCTTACCGGGTCTGAATTGAACACAAGCTGCAAGTCCTGTGGTTGTCATGCTGGTTCAACCAAGCATGGAGGAATGGGACAGCTGCAGCCCCTGAACCCCAGTTCCAACTGGAAGCTGGCCATCTTGAAGCTTCAGCTGTTTTTCTCGAGTTTCTCGGATCTCATTTCGGTCTTCCTTTTCTTGAGTTGTTAAAAAAACATATTTTACCTCGATTCCGACATAAAACAGACAACCGCAACTGTATCACCTACTCAATACCGGCCCTCCAATATACGTTTTCACTCAGAGCAAGATAGTGACGACCCAGAAAGGAGGCATTTCTGAGGTACGAAAGTTAGCCTTGGCTTTAACCCCTGATGACGTTCCATGGCTCTGGTGTGCAGGGTGTGCAGGATAAGTCAAAACAAAGCACCAAACTTTGCCCTGTCAGGTTGTCACGACATCATCCCACCACATACACAGTGATCCCTCTTTCGCGCATTCCGAGGGGTGCGGAACTTACTTGTTTCAAATTTCTTGGGCGATGACTTCGATTTTGCGAATCCCCCCCCCAAAAAGCAGTGAAGATATAAAACGAGAGTTTATAATAGTTATACAACTCATGATATTCTAGCAAGCGTTTCGGATGTGTCTGTTACTATCACATTCTTTCCCCTTCCTATTTCTCTCTTAAATCATTCCAACTCCAAAATGGACACTCATTCTTCCACCCTGGACATGGATGTCGTTGAGCTTGTGCTGCCCAAATATGTGTATACATGTAACTTGATTTCAGATTCGATAATTTGTCAGTTACTCTCTTGTACTGTACAGTACCTTGCTATTTACTATTTCTATTTATACATATCAGTCCATTAAGTTTATTAGAGTGCTGTATATTGTGACAATATCTCCATTCAACTTCTCTTGCACCTTGACTAGTCGCATCTTGACTTAGCTAATGTTGTCGCAATCAGCATATTATCTAGGTGTAAATCTAGCTCGAATGTCATAGGACGGATTTATTTTCCAAACGCCCTCATTGCACATGAGTCGGAGAATGTGGAGGGATAAGGTAGGGTTTCCGAAAGTGATAGTCGCATAATGGTTTCGATCAAATACCCTCCAAGTAATCACGAAACTTTCGGTGATCCATGTTCACAGCGCGTGACTGATCGGAATTTAATAATTAAAGGATAACAACACCCGTAACCACCCAGGGTGAATATATCGATACTCCACTGGCTTCTCTTGATATCGTGACTCAAGACTGCCCGCCAGGGCGCCAATGTTACTTGGCCCACCTCACATTAAGGGCGTGATTATACAAGGAAATATACCGGATCCATAGACTGATCAGTGATTCCCTATTGACACAGAGGTTCGATTGGCTTCCGCGTATGCAATGTTGTATCGCTATCTAAAATCGCGGTTGATCAGAGACATATCAAATACAACCACGGTAATAGGATAACGGGCCGGAACAGGTACGGAAATATGATACTCACGGCTGACGGATATCAGTCCAATTCACCAATATAATCACATTGCTCTGACAAAGACCGGCCTCTCCGCACCACCCTTCATTGATACCGCCGAGAATCCAACAATCTCCCCCGCTGGTACCGCCAGACTAGGTAGCCTGTGACGATCCCTAGAGCAGCTGTACCTCCGAAAACGATCCCAAGAATGGAGCCAATAGATAGCCCAGACCCGCTCGGTGAACCGCTGTCGTTATCGCCAGGGCCTGGAGAGGAATTAGTAGGACCGGCAGAAGCAGTTGGTAAGGGAATTGTGGGAATCGGCGTGGCAATCTGGGAAACCAGACTGGTAAGTTGGGCGGAGTTAATGAAGGACGAGCAAGGCGCGAAATCCTAAGTTGCAAGATACGAGTGTGAGTAAAGATAGTTGAAGCCGTGGCAGCTTTGGGCACTACCAAAAGCAAAATATAGCATTTGGTGTTTCTATAACCCACCCCTCTTGTTTGCGCATTACAAAATTGTAAGAGCGCCACCTGTCCCATGGCCGCCAACTGCTCCTGCAAATTACTAATGGCACTGGCCTGCGCAGTTGCAAATTGTAGTTGTCGTGATGCAGCAAGGAGTGCGCTTGTCGCTATCTCATTGGCCGATTCTGCAGAGAGAATTAGGGCACGCTGCATTTCATCGTTGCCTTTGTTCGCCTCTTTTGTCTCTTGGTAGCTTAGGGGAGCCCAGATTCCAAACAGAACTGTAGCTGCCACTGTGAGGACTGCGCAGCCCCAGTGGAGTATAAACGTTAACCCACCGATTGGGTGGCCGAACATTTCGCGGTGATTATGGTGGTGGTGCTGCTGTTCTCGAGGAATGAGTGGCGGGACCTGGTCTGTACTCTCCAGTCTCCCCGGGGTTATGGGATGCGGTTGATATGAGTGATCTGAAATGTGTGTTTCAATTCCTAAGTCTTTCTCTGGTGGGTGGAGGTCGGTCTTTTCTCTCTCGGGCTCTTGGGAGTTCAATGGGATCTTTCGGTAGAAAGATCGCTCAATTGTATCAATGAGAGACTGTTGAATGGAGCTGTCAGAAGGCATAATGGTTTATAAATATGTACGCGCTCCGTGGCCGTGGAGCAACCCCCTATACAGAATAATGTATAGAGGCTGCCAACGAGGTTTTCTTTTGGGAGAGGGAGAGTGAAGACAGGCGCTGCAGATATATATCTCCAACTGCTGCGACAACACAGCAGCAACTGTAGCCGCCACCGCGAGCCAGACATGAATTCAATTGTGGCTTTCTCGGCTTTTGTTGTCGCAACACCCTGAAAAGTGGGCGTCTCCTCATGACCACACTACAGCCACCATCGCCAGCCGTCCAATCCAGAGACGAGATGCTAAAGCCATGTTATGCAAGGCATCAAGCACTGGCAAGTATGCGATCCAGAGCAGCACGGCCGATGTGTCTATTAGGTTCCAGAGTTGCTCATGTGGCGCATCCAAGGGTATTGCTCCAGAAACATATTTGGTCGAGTTTATCTGTTTTATTTTGGCAAACCTCGATTCTCCAAGAAGTCCTCGGCGTCCAGAATGCCCAAGCGCGAAAAATGGCGCTATGAATATTCGCAAGCCATTCATCTCTAGAGTGTCGAGAGCAAGACACAAAGGATTAGTTGCTAGGTGCTCCGTATGCCTTTTGAAATGTGGCCTGTTGGCGGGAGAGAAATTCTTGGTGGTGGAGTGCATGGTCGAAGAAGGCTATACGAAAGAATCTGTACCGCTTCTATAGCATAGACAACCCAGACCACAATGGCTTTGTTGGTCTATTCAAAGAATAACACACATCCAAAGGACGCAGTTTAAGCAGCAGCGCTATTGCACAAAGGCAGTGGTCCCTCAATGTTTCCCTACCGAGGTAGGAAGTCCGACCCAAGCTAATTCTTGCCAACATTCCTTTCATCGTACCTCAATTTCCCCTGCATATGTATATGCTACCCACGCCAGAAGAAGAGTATGTATGTACTGTGCCTGAAAGGCGCATTCGACGCCATGAGGCCAATCAACGGCAATTTTAGTTTTATAGGTTTAGCCGAGATGGTGTGGAGAGAACTGCTTCCTCCTCCGATCAGTTTAAACTGCTTGCAGCACAACAAAAACCGAGCTGGAACAACTATGTAGAAACATAGGCATCACGCGACATGAAAGAATTTCGTCATCAGATTGATTAAATAAACATGAGAAAATTATAATTATTCAGCTGTGTCCCAGAAGGGAGAATTTTGTCCAAAAAGAACCTATGTACAGTACATATACCACTAGTTATATCCAAAAATATTGGATATGCAATATGTTTCCCCAACCGTGATTCTCTGGATACCTCCTACCTAGTTCTCTTTCTTCATGGTATCTACAATCACAGCAGCATCCGGATGAACTTCGCCATGCTTAAGTGCCCCGCCAACGGCCTGCCCAACAACAGGTTCTCCCTTCTCATTTCTAGTGAGCTTATTCGCACCGTCCAGAACCTCAAACGTCGCAAGTTTGATTTCTTTTCCGTTGCGTGTGCGGATGTCAGGAACACCAAAGAAATCCGCAATGACGCGCTCATGGTTGATCTTGAGTTCGTAGTAGCCACGATAGTAAGAATCTTGCCATTGCAGGGGAGTGCTGTTCTTGACAAACGTCTTCGACTGTTCGGCTCCCTTGGCTAGAGTGCCGTTTTGGCCGACGGGGCCGGGGGAGGTGACGCCGGAGCCACCAAACTCAACACCGATGGCTCCGGATCCGGATTTGGAATCGTATTCACCATGGCCGGTGTAGACGAGGTCAGAGACGTAGGAAGCATGAGTGTCACCAGCAAGAAAAATGGTATTGTCGATTTTGTTGTTGAGAATCGTTGCGAGGGTTCGATTTTTGTTGGCCCGGTATCCATCCCAGGCGTCAGCGTTATAGGGGGTATCTGGCTTAGAATCGGCGTAGCTGATGTCAGAGATGAGGACTTGCTGGCCGACGATTCTCCATTTGGTTCTTCGCTTGGCAGATTCTCGGAGCTGGCGGTAGAACCACGTCTCCTGGCGGGGCCCTAACAGAGAGCGGGATTGCTCATCACGGATCTCGTCGAGGTACTCTCTATTCCAGGTAACATCGGTGATGGAGCGATCATAGACACGGGTATCAAGCATGATAAGGCTGAATAGATCGCCAATCTCGAAATTGCGCCAGATACGAAGGTTGTCATCCATGTCGACCTGACGGATAGGCATCCACTCGAAATGAGCACGGACGGCATTGGCTTTAGACTGGTCAATGGAAATTCCACCGGCCTTGATGAAGGATTCTTCCGTGTTATTCATTTTGGATGAGCCGGCCTTCCAGATGTTGTCTTCCACCTCTGCAAAGAAACAACTGGTTAGTTAGAGATTGCTACAGTCGAAAAGCGATTGGCCTTACCATGGTCATCCCAAACGGTAATCCAAGGGAAATATTGATGCGAGTAAACGAGGTCAGCGTCAGTACGGTAGCTGGCGTATCTCATGCGATAATCGAGTCTGCCAGGTGGGTTAGAATAAATAAAGTATGGGTCTGAAACGAAGAGAGCGTGGAAGACATACAGGGTCTTGACATTGTGATCTGAAGGCTGTGGAATGCGATCCATGGACCATCCCCATCCGTAGCCACCTTTATAGCATATCAGGTCAGGTTTTGGAATCTTGATATCTACCATATAAGAAGTAAGTGCTCACCCTCTTTGTATTCATAAATATAGTCACCAAGGTGGACAACGTAGTCGGCAGTGTCCTTACGGGCAGCATTTCCGTAAGCATTGAAAAACCCCTGGGCTACCGTCACAAGTCAGCAAGGCATAAATACTGGAAGTAATGGTATTGGCTAACTTACGATAGTTGGAACAAGAGAAGACAGAGAGATTGATATCCTTCCTCACTCTGTCGAATTTTCTGGGGGTTGTTTTGGTGCGCCCAATAGGGGAAGAGTTCTTCGAGTCACAAACTGTAAATTGATAATAGTAAGTCGTGTATGGCTTGAGGTCAGTTGCTTCAACCTTTGTCACAGCAGGTCAGCGTATGATGTGCAGACAGGATCTCAATAGGACTGTACATATATACCTTGACCGTATAGTCAACATCGGAGGAAGTCCAAACTTCTCCATCGGTGACAACTCTCCTCATCTTGTCATCCTTGGCCACCTTGTACTCCACGCAAACTGGCGCAGTAGAAACTGCAACGTATTTGTCGTTGTCATGGTCATACAGAGGCGCTGTCCCACTCACAGTCACATTGGAACCGCTGCTCTCCTTCGTGGGTGAGATCCGGGTCCAGAGGATCACCGAATGGGGGTAAGGATCTCCAGAAGCAACATTATGAGTGAAGTGCAGCTCCTCGGGTTTAAATGGAGAGGATTGGACATTCCGCTTTTGAACCTTGTTAATGGCAATTCCAAGATCAGGGTGATTATGGGAAGGAGAGCGGTAGTCTGGCAGTTGGTATTAGCCAACGATCAAAAAGAGTTCCGGTCACCGAATAGAGAAAATTGCTTAGACACATATACTATGCATAGCAGGAAGAAGGCAACATACTTAAATTGGAGGAGAATGACGCAGATGCAATTGAGCTCAGCCAGAGCCCCGCCAGGGCAACCTTAAGGAAAGCCATGTCCGCAGCGTTTAGAGCGAAAACACCGAATTAAAGAAGACCAATCGACATGGTGATTCCTATTCCTTTTTATCCCTCAAGACCACAGTCAAATAACAATGGGATACCGATATTCACGGCCGGGATGGTCCAGTAGTAAACATCCCAGATCGACGTGCCGTGACGCAGGAAGCCGAGATCCACGGTACCCTAGGCCGTAGTTTGATATCCATTCTGGCATCGATTCGCCAATACTTTTGCTGTTCCCAACACCGTGCATTTTGTGTGTCCAGCTGTCGATCTCCAGCATCCACCACGTGCTAACGCTGTGTGGTGGGATGGAACAAGAGGTAGTTCTATCCGGCGTTTAGGAAGACACTAGACTGGGAGTGTTGCTTTTGCTGCGTCATCATCGCATGCTGCAAATGTTGTGCCGTTCTGCCCCTCTGTTAATTTAGCCAGGTATGTATCCCATTGTCACTCAATTGTTGATATGTCGAACCCAGTGTCCCACAAAGCCGATGCCATCCACTTTTCACATTGCAAAAAGAATAAAAGAAGGAGTTTTTGCCCTAACCAAGGTCCAATCCTTTATTTTATTCGGTTTTCTGGAAGATCGTCGATGAGCCTGCTGTTAGTTGGTGAAGGATGGTGTAATAATTAGTTATAAGCTCTGTGATTGGTTGACAGGCACAAGCTTAAGGGGTTTGTAATACCGAGTGCATCTTACTACCTTCTCATTAGTGAACGCGCCACAGTGTAAAGGAATTCACACAGTAATGGAATTATTTTGAATATCGCAAACTTCAAAAATTAATTAATAATCATTATTATAACTATCTATCTATAATATAAAGATCATCTGTATGCTCATTAGAAGCTGTTATGAACCTGCGGCATGGCTCAAGACTTATTGAATGAGAAGTAAGAAGAACATAGAATCAGAATAACCCTTTACGTCAAATAATGCACTAAGTCATATAACTGATTGCAATGATTGTAATAGTTACAATGATCAAGAGTGAGCAGGGCAAGTAGTGACATCAATATAATTAGATAATTTGTATAAAGATCTCAAATATATTTAAACACAGTGACACTCATTACTCTTACAGCGTAGAATTGAAAAGCTTATCTTTTTAATTGTAATCAACTTACTTTAGCTGTCCGCGTTCAATGCGGTCTAGCGCGCCTTGATCGGCGATGGCGCCACGCCTCGCCTAACCAGGTTAGGCTTGATTTGCCTTCGAAACTAACATGCATCCACCATCATCATTCCTCCTACGCAATCAGCGTGATGTTCGAGAGAGCCTGTCCCCCTTTTCGATTACTGTTTGATCAATCTCAGCTTAAGTAAAGTCAGTAAGCAGCGACAGTAAGCAGCATCACATCTCGTGTGTGATGGATCGTTGTTTATAGGACTTGGCTGTCACGTCCTCATGTTTCACTGGTCAGTCCTGTATAAACTGTTACAGTCTACATGAGTGCAGCCAGCAAATAATAACTATGTTCAATTCAGTCTTTGCTGGGCTTCCACCCAGTTTTGCCGACCGCTCCAAACTAGACTCCGAAAAGCTCTTCCAATCCAGCGACGGTTCAGTCCTCCAGGATGCGAAGAATGCCTACCTACAGGATACCAATCACTTTGACAAGGTCATCTCATCCCAAGAGTCACTGCACCGTGGCGCCCGTATTGAGATCTCTTACCTTGAGAGTGTCGCGCAATACATGAATGAGTCATCAAGGGCCCAGCAGTTCTTGGAACACACATGCACTGCGGTGTCTCATGGGAACTTGGCTTACTTCAATAATCTGAAGCGAGGGTTCGATTGGGGCATAAATGCCATGTTTTGCGTCACTGGATCGCCACAGCAGTCGCAGAACCCTTACGACGATACTATTCTGACCAGAGCATACAACTCTATGGTTGCGACAGTAAATATGCTCAACGGTGACGACAATTTTACGCTCTCTCCCAAGAGCTATAGGGCTCCCCTGATTTCTTCGGAATACAAATCCCGACTTATTCAACGATCCGGACGTTCTTGCGAGCTCACGGGTGCCCAGTTCATTGCAAAGGATAGGTGCACTACGGCCTCCAACTGCACTGCAGTGCATATAATACCCAAGCGGATGTGCTTACTAACCGATGGTGCCTCAGGGGTTTTTGCATGGCTTGTACTTGCGATTCTACTTTCAAAAAAACAGTTCGACGATGTATGGGATCAATGCGCAGCGCAAGATGGCAATGAATCACGGAATTTACTACTCCTTCTGAATGAGATCAAAATGGGATATGATCAAGCGTACTTTAAGTTGTCCTACTCCAACGCGAATGACGTCAACAGACCACTTCTGCGTCGCGATTATGATCATGCTCTTCAAAACCGGGAAAGGATGGTCATGGGATTCGAATGGCTCGTTCCCGAGGAGGAACACCGGATGCGCCATTGGGTCCCCCGACGCATCAGCGACGACCAGAGATCGATTCTTCCAGTGTCGGAGCATCACGCGGGAATCGAACGTAATATCCCAACTGCTGTCCATTATGTCAATTTTGCTTCGAATGGCATCGAAGACCCATCGCCCCTGCTTTTGGATGTGCACAATCTCATGGCGTCCTTGTTTATACGGTTCCAGAACTTTGTGAAGCCAGGTCGACGCAAATTCCCACTTGGTCCCATGTGGAGCGCCTTCGTCCGCGAAGACAACAACACATCGAAGTCAAACAGCCGACAACGGAGCCATCCACCAACTAGAGATTCGTTGACTGACAACAAACCTGTCTCATCTCCATCACAATTCAATATGAGAGCGGCTGGAGATCTTTGCGACGGCGCTGTTAAAGCTCAGAACCCTGGGAAGCGACCATCGGATCATGTCGATGATATTGACAGTCATTTCCTTGCATCCCAGGATGGTGAGGAGGAGGGACCAAACAGCGCATCAAGTATCAGCTTCCAAAGGGCAATTGAGGAATATTTGAAAAAAGAAGAGATCTGGTGGATTGACCAAATGTATAATGGAGAAGTCCCTTACGCCCCTTACTCAGAGGATGAGTCTAGCTATACCTCATTCCTTCAACACAAGGTGATTATACCAACCTGGATTGCAGGGCTTCCATAACTGTTTCTAGTGTATTCACAATATTCACACAAAAATAATATAATTAATGAAATTATTATTGACACTGCTGCAGAGATTTCATTAGTATTTTAAAAAGATTAAACACTTATTTATTTTCTCTGAAAAATCTCTTTATAGTAATTATAAATGATTCTCAGTTATCTTCAATCTCTAGATTAGAATATAAGAAAGTACTATAATTATTAGATAGAGTGAAGTCTCTAAGAATCATACAAAGCTCTGAGAGAGAGGGGGCTGAAAGTTGCTTTATTTTATAACTGAAATGATTGAGATCAAGGATATGAGAGTGCACAGGTCACTTGCAGATGTGTTATTCTTCTGTACTCTTTGTAGCTTGGAGAATGAAATAACGGAGATGAAGTGCGCAGTTGAGGCCACCCCACCAACAGAAAAGAAAGAAAAAGAAAAAAAAAATCCAAGGCTTGCACTGGGCCCCTTTTCAGTGGACATGTAAACGCGATATACTGCGTTAAAACAGCGTATATATATCCAGGTATGTACTGTACACGCACAGGACAATCGGAGGCTGGGAAGAACAAATGCAACCTTGGAGCAAGTTGCGGAGGATTCCACGGATAACCTGCGGTTGGTTACTTAGAAATCAACATCGGCTCCTTCACTCCTTCAGAAATGCATTATTTATTTAGTAACTATCGTCAATAACCTCGCGGATCGCACGGCAAGCACCACTTGGACGCCCCCCGGGCAATAATATAAATATTCGCAGTTACTGTTTACAACCCGAAAACCAACTGGTTTGGCCTTAAAAAACTTAAACTTTCCAACCATGCGACTGGCGATGTTGCGCCGGGGAGTTTGGGCCGCTTGATGTCATCATCCACAAATGAGCCGTTCCCAGTCCTTGTCTAGGGCCTTAGGGGGCCAATCGATCGGGCGAACTTTTCACTTATAAATTATGAATGAATCTTCCCCAGGAGGTCAACACCACTGCCCACAAACCTCCGGGGTATGCGATCAAGCAAGTGTAAGTCAGTGTAGAGGAATTGGATTCGTCGCTTCTTGCATCCATAGCATCGATATACACTTTGCGTGTTTTTGCCCCTCCGTTCCCCTCTGCTTTTCAATGCACACTCTCGCGACAGCGCTCGAGCGGCCTGATGGAAGGCTACTTTCCGACCTCCGCTGCTCTCGAGTGCCCTGACGATCCCTAATTCGTTTTTATTCCAAAGGCTTGCAACATGGACCATGACGGAAAGGCCGTTTTCGAAGGTATGCATCGGATTGCAATTGGGACTCGGCCCGCCCAATGTCCATGGCTTGTGGGTGTGCAGCCAGGCATGCGCAGGTTTAATAGCTATTCGCCATTCGCAACATGCTGATTAAGGGGCAACAGCAGCCGCAGGAAATGGAGCTTCGACAAGTCACAGCAGCCCTGTACTGCAACCTCCAGATGCGCGGAAGCCTTCGCGGACGAGCACAGCCAGTACGGCCATTTGTAAAGATGAGGAGAGCAGCCTTCGCAACAACATCAAGCCGCTAATAGTGAAAAGCCATACGACGACTTCTATCCCCAAATCACCCTCAGTGGCAGCCTCACCTTCGTTACCGCAACTCCCATTGAAACTCTCAACGGGCATCGGGACTAATAATCAGCCCCAGGCACTAATCGACCCGCTATCTGAGGTATGTCTCTTTTTGATTATATCTCCCTGACACTAGGAAAGAGACCGGAAGAGACAAAAAGCCTCATCATTCATCATCGACCACCAATCGCCGCACTCTACCTTCTTTAATTCTCCATAGGCGTAAATTCGCCCGGAGAGAACCGGAATTCATAGACTGCGGATTTCGTTGCTGATTACTTGAGTTTCTCTGCGTGCCTTACAAGCATATCCTTCAACGAACGAATACAGATAAATCAAATCCCCCCAGATTACGACCTTACACAAAATCCGACGCCCAACCGGGTGGATCGGAATACCAGCGGCCCTTTATCCAAGAAGACTTTTCTCCAGGATGGGGAACAAATCTGTCTCTGAAAAATTCGAAAGACAAGAAGTAAGTCTATAATCCCATGTTGCGGAAAAACTCCAGAATTCTCCCTTGTGCGCAAGAACCGTGGGTGAATTTTTGTTTCCTGCCTTGCCTGTTATGTTAAAATTTGCTCGGAAAGCCTTTTGTTTCTAAGAGACGCTAACGCTATCATCTCCCACCACTTTCCCTTGACTTCAGGAAGGGCGTTTCATTCTTGAGCCGTATCATCGGCAGTAAGAAAAAAACAGGCCCCCCTGAATGGAAAGACGATGTCTCTGAAACCGGCGAGATCCGTGCCACTGGTATGGATGCCGAGGTATTTGCCCAGCCGATAGGGTTTATCCCTCGATATCCTCCACCACCGAAATATATCAAAGTCCGTTCGCGTCATAAGAAGGATAAAGATTTTAATCGCCTATTTATCGCTCAAGAGCTCTATAGTACATATCCTTCGGCCAAGAGCCAGCACCAAGAAGACAAGGATAGTTCGGCCGGTTCAGACGATACTCCGTCGACTGGGAAGGCAATATGGGCACTTGAGTTTTCTAAGGATGGAAAATTCTTCGCTGCAGCTGGGCAGGATAAAAAAGTTCGAATATGGGCTGTCATTGCAACGCGTGAGGATCGTCAGGCGCATGAGATCGAAGAAGAAGCCCAAAATGACAAACCATTCATACGGCTAAGGGCTCCCGTGTTTAAGTCACAACCTGTGCGGGAATACGAAGGCCACTCTGCGAGCATCGTTGATTTGACTTGGAGCAAGGTCAGTGTTTCCAAGTTTCTAGCGGCAACATTGCACTACAGTATACAGTAAAATTATCATTTCGGATATGATGCTAATTGAGCGTTTTGAAGAATAATTTCTTGCTGTCCACCTCGATGGATAAAACAGTCAGATTGTGGCATGTTACGAGAAACGAATGTCTTTGTTGTTTTAATCACAGCGACTTTGTCACGTCTGTGCAATTTCATCCCCAAGACGACCGCTTTTTCCTCGCTGGGTCTCTGGATACAAAACTGCGGCTATGGAGCATACCAGACAAGAGCGTAGCTTTTGTGGCTACCCTGCCGTATATGATAACTTCGGTTGCTTTTACCCCTGACGGGAAGCACTCTATTGCCGGCTGCCTGAATGGACTCTGCCTCATCTTTGAAACTGACGGCTTGAATATACAGTCCCAAATCCATGTGAGATCAGCGCGTGGCCGTAATGCCAAGGGAAGTAAAATAACCGGCATTGACGCGATCTCACTGCCACCCAATGACCCAAACGGCTCAGTGAAGCTCCTCATCACGAGCAACGACTCACGAATCCGTCTATACAATTTCAGGTATCGCACACTGGAGGCTAAATTTCGAGGAAATGAAAACCATACCAGTCAAATTCGGGCTACATTTAGCAGCGATGGCAAATATGTTATCTGTGGAAGCGAGGATAGAAAGGTGTATATATGGCCTATCTCTTCGCCAGAAAGGGATCCGGAGAAGCGCGCTGTTGAGATCTTCGAGTCACATTCCTCTATCGTCACGAGCGCAATTATGGCTCCGGCCAAATCTAAACAGTTGCTTGGAACTTCCGGTGACCTCCTTTATGATCTTTGCAACCCACCCCCCGTTACTCTTGTCAGCCAAGCGGTGTCCGTGACGTCTAAACCCGTAACCGATGCAGCTGGGTCTCGGGAAGAGTCGATGGCGCCAACTCCCAGAAGTTCCACATTTCCGCTTAGCCGGAAAGCAGACGAACTGCAGGCACCCTCAACAAAATTCGCTCACCCGTGCGGAAACATTATCATCGCTGCGGATGCTAAAGGCACCATTAAAGCCTTTCGACAGGATTGTGGATACCACAAGTTGCGTAGTGATGTTTGGGATACTGGCTTCTCCCGAAGGATTCTTGGCCGAAATAACTCGGTCTCTACGCGCCACAGTATTTCTTCGTCAATTGGGAAAGACTCCTCCCATAAAACCCCTTCTGAGCGCATATTATCGTGGCGAAATGCAGTAATGCGCACAGAGAACTCAAGCGTCGACAACCTTCGCTCTAGCCTTTCCATGACTCGGAGCGTCTCGCCCAGCAAGTTCCCCGCAAGGCAAAATGATAAACCTCAGCAGGGCCACCTCCCAATAGCTTCCGACTTAGCGGGGGAGCCGTCTAGACGTTCGTTCACCCCTACCTTTTCATTGAAACAGCGTTCCATTATAGACAGCCCCTTTTCCGGTGCAGCACCGTCTGAATATATTCCACAGCCAGAACCACATACCAAAAATAAGCATCGCCGCAACGAGCATCTCGCAGCAGCAGCAGCAGCAGCAGCAACAGCCACAAACTCGCACAACAACCTCTTGCTCTCGGGCAATCAGAGCTACATGTACTGGAATAAGGATACATTCGCCTCCCAAGCGTCAGGAAGCTTGCGACCTGTTGACTCACTTGAGCACGATGAGGGACATCCGTTCTCAAAACAGGTGAGTAGGGTGAGCACATTGAGCAGCGATATCGTTTCCACGTCAGAGGAGGAGGGGCAGGAGGAGGAAAAATATTATGACGTTCATGATTACAGTGATGGATATAGCAATGAAAATGAAGAAACAGAAGAAGAGGAGGAGGAGGAGGAAGACAGTGGTGGTGATGATGATGATGATGACGATGATGAAAATGATGGGGAAAGTCTCATCTGTTCGCGATGTCAGGGGGCGAATTTCCGCGCGATGCGGATGAAAAGTGGGGATCCGAAGTTGATCTGTGTCGAGTGTAGATTTCCCGCGCCATGATTGGTGATGATGGGGTGGAAGCTTATTGTGTGCTTAGATACAGGTTATGAATGTGCATATATATATATATATATATGGTGACAGGAAGGTACGGAGGGGTAGATGTTCTATTCTTATCTTTTTTTTTTTTTTTGTATATATTTTATAACATCATGTGGTTCCCTACTTCTACACCCTTCCGCGACCAGTCGAACTTGTGCCTATCGCTCCCACCACACCAAGCAGGCGGGCTTTATCATCCTTGACTGTAAAGGGGCCCTGGTGACGCAGAATGTCAACGTTTGATTTGGGACATCCTCACGAGGCTTTCACAATGCTCCCCCCCTCCCATAGTAGGTTGGTTATGCTTTCTGAACAGGGATCCACTCAAACAGCAGACATTTTGCTGTCGATTTATTAGCGAGAGACTGAGATGAGTGTCACTCACTTTCCACTATGATTCTCGATGCTTTACAAATGGTTGAATGTTTGGAGGAGGGGGAAGGTGGTGGTCTGCGGCTATGGCTGGACGCAGGCTTTGCAGCCTTAGAGGGCTCTGTGCAAGAATAGGAAGAGGAAGCTGGCTCAACTGTAGGTGCTACTTATAAGTACTAGTAGTAGTTATCTGAAAAATTAGCTGTTGACCCACGGATTGCGGTGGTGGTGAGGGCTGTTGCAGCTACATGCAAATGGTTTAAAAAAATTCCGGAGCATGGTCAAGTGGTGGTACGAACACACTTGCCATTCATTTAAATACTCTAGACATTGAACACGAATGTCGTTTTCAAATTGGAGGGATGTGAGTGGAGAATTTCGCTGAACATCGTCATGTACAGTACAAAGATGCCCATCATAATTCATGTAAATAATAGTTATCAGTTTGTATTCTTCGGACTTTTTTTCCCTCAGTCAGATCGCGCACGTGCATGCTCGCATGCTTCGCCAGATCTCGCTAAATAAATACATGCCTTGCAGCATTAAAATTGGAGTTAAAAAATGTGTGGAGGATCAACTCCACTCCCATCATGATTACATAGTCCTGCGATACGATTTTTTGTTAAGGTTGCTTGTTGCTGAGCAGTTTTTTGGGCTTGTTGTTTACGAATAGAACAAATTAACTCAGTACACCTTGCGGATTCTCCCCCTCGACAGAGTGAAGAAGAAGAAAAAGCAAGCTCTTCAAAAATATCCTTATTCGTTCACAGCCCTCGAACCCCGAACCGCGATTGGCTTACATACGAGTATATATACATCGAGAGAGCGGAACTCTGACCTTGTCTTCTGCAGAATTGCCAACATAGGTTTACATTCATCGACACTCCTGGGCGCTGGGCAGAGATATTTAGTCTATTCAGTCCATCTCAACATCAGTTGAATTTGACGATAAAACGACGAAAAACCAGCGAATTGAGCAGAGGAAAACAAATCGATATCTCGACAGATTCCAAGAGACTTCCCCCTCCCCCAACAAATGCCGTATCTACCTACCTCGCAGGAATACCTAGAGCAGTCAGCGCTCCTGCTGCACGCCTATCCCGACACGGTAGGTCAAGCGTCTGTCGTCCTCCTTGCCGCCTTCTCAACTTGCCCAGGCTCTGGTCTTATATATGTACAAATAAGTTATATAACTGACATGACATTACGCCCTTTGCAGACTCGAATAACAACAAAATACTCCTACCCCACCTCCAAAAAATCCTCCACCGCACAGCCCACCTCCGCACAGTCAAAACCCTCCGCGCCAGATGCCTCGACAACACCGACACAGAAGCAAACGCAATCGCAATCGCAATCACAATCACAATCACAAACGACTGCAACCCTAACCCTCAAAACCTTCCATCCGACCAGCGGCATCTGCCTTAAATATCGCACGAACAAAGCTGCGGAAATCGGCCGGCTAATCGCAGGCCTAGGGAAATTGGCGAGCGGCGCGCCAGATGCTGAGACGGCGGTAGCAGCGGTCACGGGCGCGGATGCGGCCGTGGCCGCGGCCAGCAGTGTCGGCATGGCGGGGGATGCGGAGATGGTAGATGCGTCTGCGCATGCAGCCACGCCGGGACCTGGCACCGTTGCTGGAGGGAAGGGATCTAGTGGCAACGGTGGAGGTAAATCAAAGAAGAAGACCAAGGGGAAGAAGTAGGCTATTTGCTATTTATTTTTAATTTTTTTTTCCCCTCTTCTTTTTACAATGATTAGGTATTTAAATGATTCTGCTGGAGTTTAGACTTGGGACATAGTTGTTTTTTCTTTGTCATGTAGAGATCATTTTTTATCTCGTCAAGTCTGTCAGCTGTGTGGTAGGTTTCAAGGATTTATGCGTGTGGGGAATGGGGAGAGGTAGGAATAACGGATCTCAAATTCCTGGGGATCAATCATTTTGTGTTTCATCTCAGACAATATTGCAGGACACAAAAAATTTCAGTGGTTATACATATATTATTTGGATTACCAAGAACTAGACTATACAGAAACGTAGGCAGGGGTTTCTCAACTCCGCCTGTCCTGTGCCTTATTTTCCGGGTACACCTTCAAACTGAGGAGTTGAGATACCAACTAAAAATAATGCAGATAAAACATAATGCGGAAAGAAAGAAAAAACATTTCAAAATAACAGTAGGAACGCCGTAACCCATACGTAAGAACTTGTCATGAGACCCATCCCGCAAAACGACGAGTGGGGGGAAGAAAACAAAATAGAAGAAATACAGTCGTCGAGTCAATATCTCAGGATGAGAGGGGAGGGGAATATCAAGCGGAGCATCATGCACCAAAAAAATAGCCACACATAGAAGTACAGGTCAATCCGAGCGGAAACCATAGGAGGGTATCTGAAGTGGGCATTGTAGAAAATACACTTGTAGGGTATGAAGTCCCAAGAAGAACAACGGAATGGTACGAGTCAGATGTCAAATACGGAAGAGGGAATATGAAAACAGTCTATCCAACCCAAGAAGAAACTACGACGCGAAACCGCTTAGAAGTCTTCGTCGAAGTTGAATGCACCTCCATTTTCGATTTGCTTCTCCGTTTCGTCGGTCGCAGCCTCTTTCTTTGTGCTTGCCATGACACCGGCCTTTTGGTAGTCACCAACACGCTTTTCAAAGAAGTTGGTCTTACCAGCTAGTGATATGTTGTCCATGAAGTCAAATGGGTTGGTGGAGTTGTAAACTTTCTTGTTGCCCAAAGCAACGAGGAGACGGTCAGCGACAAACTCAATGTATTGGCACATGAGCTTTGCGTTCATTCCGAGAAGCGCGACTGGGAGCGCATCCGAGAGGAACTCCTGCTCGATCGTGACAGCTTCAGTGATGATCTTCTCAACAGCCTCTGGGCTGGGGCGGTGGCGCAGGTGAGAGAAAAGGAGACAGGCAAAATCAGTGTGTAAGCCTTCGTCACGAGAGATAAGCTCATTAGAAAACGTCAGGCCAGGCATGAGGCCTCGTTTCTTCAGCCAGAAGATAGAAGCGAAGGATCCACTGAAGAATATGCCTTCAACAGCAGCGAAGGCAACAAGACGCTGCGCGAAGGTAGAGTCTTTATCCTCGATCCACCGGATGGCCCAATCGGCTTTTTTGCGAATGCAGGGAACTTAAGAATGCGTTAACTAGGAACTTTCTTTTAAATTAGATTCTGGGAGGCAGGGGACCCATACTGGTTTCAATGGCATCGAACAAGTATGTCCGCTGCTTTGGTTCTTTGATGTACGTGTCGATGAGGAGAGAATAAGTCTCAGAGTGAATATTCTCCATCATAATCTGGAAACCGTAGAAACAGCGTGCTTCCGGAACTTGAACTTCTCCACTAAAACGCTCTACTAGGTTCTCGTTGACAATGCCATCCGACGCGGCGAAGAATGCCAAGACATGTGAGATAAAGTATCGCTCATCATCGTTCAATCTATTGTTCCAATCGTGTAGATCTTTGGAGAGATCAATTTCTTCTGCAGTCCAGAATGACGCCTCCGCTTTCTTGTACATTTGCCAGATCTATTATGGAACCGCGTCAAGTTAGCTTCCATGTTGTGCTGACATTTTTTTTACCACAAGAACCACTTAACGCGTGACGCGTCGAAGGGGCTGGGAACATACCTCATGATACTTAAGCGGAAACAAAACAAATCTATTCGGATTCTCCTGAAGCAATGGCTCGTCTGCCTCTAGGGCTTTTACACCGGTCAGAGCTTTCTTCTCTCCTTCTTCAGGTTTCCGAGCGGAAGTCTCTGTTTTCTTGAGGAGCTCGGGGTCAAGGACGAGAGGGACTGGAATTGGAGCATTCTCCTTGCCGGTAGGCTGGAAATTGAGCTTCTTAGCAGGAGAGTCGTTCATTTTGAGGTTCTCCAGAGAGGATGCGGCCTGGATGAAGCTGTTAGCTGGACACGGTCCTCCATCGTCTGTGACGCGTCGAGCACAAGAGAGGAGGGGGATGGCGCGGGGAAAGTCAAAAGCATACCTGTTTCGACGGGGTTACTTGAGCAGCCATTGAAGAGAAGGTGTGAAGAGGCAGTTAAACAATTGAGAGAATAGAGATGAGTGCTCGTGTGGTGTAGGAAAAGGAAGTGGTCTTGAGGATGAGAGTGGAGGAATAAACAGGCGGCGAAGAAATATATAGTCAGGCAGGCAACACGCTAAATCACGGGACTACGCGAGTCAGCGCGACATGGAGCAAACGCCAAAGCAGTTTGCACCGTTTGTATCAAAAGTCACGTCTCGATCAGAACTTGAATGGATGAATGTTTCTTATACGGAAATGTCCCCGACAACGCCAACGTTTATGTACATAATAACCAATGAAGTATGTTCAAAGAAGAAGAATATGCCGAAACTAAAATATACTCCGTTGCCTCCAGAAATGAGAAAAAGTACACCGAAAAATGCGCTGAAAAAAAAAAAAAAACAAATAAGAAAACAACAGGCAAATGACAGCAGCCTCGCTTCTCAATACACCCCAGGAACCTTGTTGCTAAAATAGCGGACATAGTTAACGTTCCAGTACGCTTCCTTGAACGCTGTCGGATTGTGCTGCACAAACTCTTGGCATGTCGCAGCTTTTGCTGCACAGCTGCTGGTGGACCAGACAGACCCAGCCCAGTCGCCGCAGAACGTGGTATCAAAAACCTACGGAATGATATGTTAGCTGCCACATCTGCAAATTTGCGTATTAAGAAAGAAAAAGAAGTCAAGTCAATAACATACGATTTTCTGCTGTTTGATATTGGCAGCAATGTCACATGCGCCATGGAATTTGGCCATCGGCTTAGGCCACGCCTTTGGATTTGGGGTTCCGGTTTCAATGTCCCCCGGAACAGTGTTTCGCGGGAAGAACCAGATGGTGACTGCAGTTTCACTTATTTCCGTGGCGTACACTCCGCCACCGTTCGCGTTGAACCAAGCCCCATACGATGCGGTGTCCTTGGACTGAACGGAGCAACCAGCATTGGCGGGCTGTCCAGGAGCATGGACATCGCAATCAGGTGTCAAAATGTCGCCCGCGAAGTCACCTGAATTGGTTATTCTGCAGCCGGGCTTGGTGTGCATGGCCATTAAGTTACTGGTTTGCTCGTGGACTCCCTCTATAATGTCGATTTCGCCGTTGTTAGGCCAGTTTGGCCCAAACATCCAACTAATGGGCGGTCATAACTATGTCAGCTGTTGTTTCCCTTATTGTCAACTCGCTCCGGGAGAATAGGCTTTGTTTTAACATACAACGCAGGCCACGTCCCGCAAATTCCTCCAGGCATGTGCTCGATATCAACGATTATGAGGCCGCTGTCATAGGCCTTGTTGCTGGTAAGGCGAACGCTGGATCGCCCTCTTCCAGAAGCGACGTTTTTAAAATCAACTCCCATATATATAGCGTTGTTTGCAGTGAACGCTAGCCCCTGGGATTTTGCGGCAGTTCGATCAAGATAGTTGACATAGCCGTGTGTGGGATCGTCGCTCTAGTATAATATCATCGTAAGAAACTATTCCGAGTCGATTGCACTCGCTCTGGTGATTATTGCCAGCAGGACCCACCGAAAAGAAATCAAATTCGCTGAAGAAGTTCGCCGCCGTATAGTCGTCCACAAGAATATATGCCGCCTGAGAGAAGACGACAAAACTATTCAAACAAATAAGGAAAGGTACGGATATATGCATCTTATGAATAGGGTATCAATAAAGCCTATCGAAAACTCGAAAAAGTAACATATAATGGAGAGTACTCGAAATGCTGATTTCAAGGAATATTACACCGGGTATGCTGCTTTTATATCTCCCAAACGGCAAGGTGATATAATAAGCACAAAAGGGCCTGATCGAATAATCATATCGCCTTCCCTTGCAAGGTCCATTTGTATCCGCGGCGCATGTTGAAGTCATCTCAGTACCCTAGCCCTGTCCTTCAGGGGTAGGCTGGAGATAAACGCTAAAGGGGAGGAGGAAAACAACCTACTAATTTAGGAGGTCGGGTTTGTGCCACTGCCGAAAGACCTCAATAGCTGAATTCTATTCGGTCAACTACACTACAGCATCGCCTCTGACACCCCTCTTGACGCGCCTAATAATAGGGCTTCCTAGGGTAAGCTCACTATGGTTCGTCAATCTCCATACACCCTCTTCTAAGTATGGTCGACTGCCACAGCCGTCTGATGCCGGGGTTGTTGGCGAACACGTTAAAACCACCGAGGTCGTGCCAGCCTCATGGTTGAGGGGCCGTTTCGGGTCATTTTTTTTACCAGTCGACTTGGCAGCAGACTATCTATACCATGAATTAGGCTCAGTCTTCATCCCGGCGTGACAATGCCATCCCGGACCACTGTATGTTTCCAGTAAGAGAGTCCGGGCAGCTTAGCTATCTGGGTCGTTTGATTGTGTTTATTTTGCATGCTCTAATGTTTTGCGAGGCAAAAGTGATATGTGGCCATGCCCGTGTCTGTGGGTGTGCCCACGCTGTGCATGAGATGAGATGACCATGAACATGTCAGCAGGGTCTCGTCACAATCACTAAATCAACTCCGAATTTCCTTCATGTTGATGGCGTTGGCGTCGGCTCGTGCTATTTTTATGATGACTAAATGTCTACGGAAATTAGGTGTGGACCGTGAGCTTTAGCCTTCTTATCACGGTTTTTTATCTTAGCAATGAAGATGCAGAGATATGAATTAGCCGACTCTAGAGAATCGCCAGGTATGGGGATACAAATACAATCAACAATTTTTAAATCGTATGTGACCTTCGCAACTATTCAGGACCATTGTGTTTTGTCAAATAACTTGCGGGCATTGACCAAGTTTTCTGCAGGAACTGCATTTTAAGCTCTCCCAACGCGGAAGCGTCTAATTTTCTTTTCGACATTGGCGAACGGAGAAAGTATGCTTGAGCCATGGGTACATTTGGAACCCTTGCAGTATGTGGCTTATTAGCTGTCCTGTCCCTGGCTACAGCTACAGGGATAAACGGATAAATATAGTCCTCTGGAACATTTAGTTATATTAAGTTACCAGCCACTTCTCCACCAAGCGAAGGAGAGTGAGATAAGACTGAAGAGGCTACTCAAAAATTTGCTAGCACATCCATTCAGGCAAAAGTGTCACAATCTTACAAAGGTATATTTTCACCTTGAATTCCTCGTCGCACTAATAAATGTGGCGGTGTGATTTCATTCTTCAATGAAGGCAGAAATCTATATTTAAGTATAACTACTGGTTGTTGTGCCCCACTAGAGCAACGTGGGAGGCGTTTTGACAGCATTGATATCCGAAGAACCTCGTCGTTGGCGATTCAACAGGGATTTTCCACCTGTTCCCTTGTGTGGGCAGTGAAGCCTGAGGTAGGTTGTCATCAATGCCACGCCCCAGATGCCCATGTAACCAAAACACCATCCCAGCTTTAAAAAGTCCCCTATGTTCCCTGCAGAATTCTGCTCCTCGTCTACAAGGCTCTGTCAACTCATCATCATATTGCCCGTTTCCATGACTCCAGCAGATATTGGACGTCCTGGATCTTCAAGCGAGGAATCAGCGAGAGGTTGTCGATCCCGATTGCTTTCCCAACCTTTGGCTATTTGCCGTGCGCGGACTTCAGAAGCTCGAGTTCGAGATTGATAAATAATCCTCGTTGTCTTCCAACCATCGTATGTTACTGACGGGATGAAGGGGCGAGTCCAAAACTATACCGCCCCGGCTCTGCTCAAAACCATTCATGATACTTAGAAATTCTTCATAATCTGCTGGAAGTTTGATGCCAAGTTTCCTTTCAGTTTCTTGCGCGGGGTTGCGGAATAAGAACCCAGGAGGTCCGTCCATGGAACATTTGGGACCTTCAGGATTTGTGCGTTGCATTGGGATCTAAAATTTCCAGCATCTCAAGTTACATCTTGCCATCCCGAATTCTTTCGTCAAGGACCTACTCAAGCTCATTTGCATAAGCCCGAATTTACTCGTCGTTATACCAATAGCTTTGGTCAGGGCGATGTCTTTCAAGGACTTCCACGCTCTCCTCAACTGCATAAGACAAGACAAGGGCTGATTCGCCTCCATTCTCTTTGCGAAGATGTCCATAAACTGTGCCACGGAGATAAGGTCCTCCTGAGCATACTGCGTACACCCTTTCCTTGGGCAGCCATCTTAAATCTAATGCGCTGACAAGTTTAGCCGACGCATTCAGAATTCAGGCTTGACTCTCTCAACGAAACCCATGACGCTTTGAATACCAGCGACAATATTTACGCTTCCCAAACACTCCACTTCACCGGCCCCGGATTGTGTGGTGAAATCCGATTCCCGAACCTTGTAGAACCAAGTGTCCGCATATTCATCTCCAATGACCAGGATTTATCGACATCCTCCATCACTACGGTGGTTCCCTTTACCCCAGGCCCTCCTCCCTCCACTTTGGTCCTCTCCATGTGTGTGTGTGTGTGTGTGTGTGTGTGTGGATTCTTACTCTTTTTGATCTTGCAATAATTCCCTAGCACATTGGAACGTGAATCGAGATTTATGGCAATATTTGTGTAGCAAGGAACAGCAAATTGTTGGTGTCGCGACCAGAAGAGCCTAAAAACTCACAGTTTTCGGACTTCAAAAACTTGCCGTAAGGGAATTGTGATTTGGAAGCCATTGTACGGGCTGTGCTGCTACCGGATTCTCAGCATGGTGTCAGCCTTTTTCTCTGATCACCGTATTTTCGATAATAATGAGTAAATTTCCCGAAATAATATGGAATATAACGGTCACACTTTAGTCTGCTGAACAGGGAAATTTAACAGATGATTCAAATGTAATGAGAACGGGAGTCAAGAAAACCCTCTAAAGGCGATGAAGCAAGCACTAATATCCCAGAAAGAAACTAGGAGAAACAAAAAAACCAACGTCACAAAGTCTAAAATGTCAAATCTTGATAGCAAGGCGTCTGAACATAACCAAACAGGGGAATATTGCGCCGAAATGGGAAAATTTCAGAGTTCCCTAGCCGATGTTCAAGGTCGGAGATAAAATCGCTGGAGTCACCATCGAGAGAATTATACTTCAAATTGATAAGGAAAAACCAGTTAATATTTGCTGCATATGGGTATAAAATCACCAGGTACACATGTATATGGACGCCTATATTTTTTCCCTGATCGAATCCGGTATAATGCGGTCTTCTACTCTCCGCAAAAGTTTATTGGTTTGCTCGGCCAAACTCAGGGTCAAAATCTAAATTATTGGTTACAGATAAGTTGAATGCAGTATTTTTAGGAATTAGTTGGGTTAAGAACATACCGTATGGGGTAGAATACGTGCTAAATGAGCGAAGTACCCTTTGTATATTGCAAGAACTCCTTCTGTGCTGATGGTCTTGTACAGGCAGTCGAATACACCCTTGTAGAGGTTTCCGGTTTGGTTATACATTCGCGACATGATGGTATCTAGATAAACAATTAGTCAAAGCTAATGTTCAGATAGCTAGCATTGGAGTTCGAATGGTCATACCAGGAGGATGCATAACACAACAGACGACAAAGCCGCTGCAGGTGCTACTTGCCAGATGCAATGCAGGGCCATCTTCCATTCCAAGATGTTTTATTAACCGTCTTTTTGCGAAGAAATATGTAGGAAGCTGTACAGAGCTGCCAAATCCAGTACGGACCATAGCTGCATAAACGCCGCGATATAGACCTTTCACGCCCTCACCCATGTAAATTTGTCGTAGTCCATCGAATGAGTTTCTATACTTATGTTGTGTGCCCACAGGTAGGAATGGAGAAAAAGATTGGAGTCGTGTTTTTACTAGGAAAAAAGGAGATCCGGCGGCAGCCCCCAAGACACCTGATGCAGCCCCTGAAAAGACATTTATGCCGAGAGATTGGTGGGTCGAGTCTTTGTAAATGGCTTGCGTGATGTTCACCCGCAGCGGTTCGTAAAACCCAAGACGACAGCCGTTAAGGAGAACTTGGTAGATATACTATAGTCGCCAAACGTATGACTATGTTACCAGATGCAAATGGGTGCGAAGACATTGCTATGGGAAGATGAAACACACTGCTGATCCGATACCTCGGAAGAGGCCCCGAGCTCCTTCGTTTTGGAGAATGACTTTGACGCCGTGGAAAACGCCCCTGTATTTGCGCACTGCTTCCCGCTTCGACTGAAGTTCTCCTTGCAGCTGTAATCTTCAAGGGAATGTTAGTGCATGTGGGTTCCCGCTGACAATTGCGCGATCAACACCATACCGGATTTTAACGGTTTCGAAGCTGTGTGTAACCGTGACCGCACCACACGCTGCCAGGCCTCCTGCAATAAATGCCCTGCAAACAGAGAAAGTGCCGGTTAGAATGATTTCTACGCTTCTTCTGGAAACAAAAAGGAAAAAAGGAAAAAAAATAAAAAAAACCGGTGGGAAATCCTACCCTGCAGTAGTTGACATTTCTAGTTTGTAATGCTAGGAGGCACGTCACAAAACGAATGCGGAAAGGAAAAATAACATAGACCGGAAGGCAGAAGGAATCGCAAGACACCAACGACCAACGCACGCAACGCAAGGGAAAGAATGAGAAGCTGAAGAAGAAGAAGAAGAAGAAGAAGAAGAAAAACGAGAAGGGGTAAAGGGGGCCGTCGGAGTTAGTTAGACGATCATAGTTGGCATAGATCTGGTTCCTTTGTTCCTCTGGCAGAGATCGCATCTGCGGGTGCAGCAAAGTCACCGATGCACCTCAGGGTCTGCTTGCTAGGGCTAAACCTTACCCTCGGGAGGGCGCAGCTCGGCGGGCGGATCAATATATTCCCGCCACAAGAGAGCCAAATTTAGTTGAGATCGATTCAACGACGTCTTCGAGAACTGTGTTGGAAGTGGACTGGGACTGGGCTGCAATGCCATGATCTAATTGCTGCTCTCCCGGTGACCCGCTCTACGTTTCCTGATTGGCAATTTCCATTTCAATTACACAAGTCTTGTTTGTTATGGCTGACGCGGGCGCCCTCCCGCCTCAGCCGACCGCAAAGGTATCAGAGATAATCAAAAATTATAGGGCTTCAAAGGTGAGTAATTGCAGTGCTGTTAGCTAATTGTGGTCGCGTTTGCGGACTGACATTCTTCATTTTCATCCAGTCGTTCAGAGGAACTCCCAAACAGGATGGTTTCCCTAGCAATATTACCTCTTTGGATTTCGACGACCAAGGAGACTACCTGGTAGCATCTGGAGACGACGAGGCACTACAAGTGTTTGATATAAAGGAAGGGAAATTGACGAAGACAGTTCCAAGCAAAAAGTATGGAGTGCATCTGGCAAAGTTCACCCACCACTCCCGCCAGATTCTCCACGCCAGCACGAAGGTGGATGGTGAGTTTTTCCACTTGCCCAAGTAACTTAGAAATCCCTTTCTAACTCGGGCTTACGCGACAGACTCGCTGCGGCTCTTAGACTTGCACAACGAGAGTTATCTGCGATACTTCTCCGGCCATACGGACAAGGTTACGTCAATTGCAGTTTCTCCAGGAACTGACGCGGTTTTGTCCTGTTCCAAAGATGATACTGTTGCGTTGTGGGATCTCAACTCGAGGAACGCGCAAGGGAAACTTAAACTAGCTACCCCTTATTTAGTTGCATTTGATCCGTCGGGCTCGGTCATAGCAATTGCCTCCCAGTCCACCTCATCTGTACTACTCTACGATTTTAGAAACTACGATAAACCTCCTTTCGCAACGTTTGACCTTGCCGCCCAGGAAGACCGCTTCACCCCGTCGACAAGGGGCAGAGCGTGGACGCGCTTGGAATTTTCTAATGATGGCAAACATCTCCTTGTTGGAACAGACTACCACGGACATTTCCTATTGGATGCTTTCGAGGGTAATGTTAAGGCGTTTTTAATTGGTAAAAGCGGCCCTACCGGTCGCGCTGCACCGATCTCGAGTACTGGGAAGCCACTGGGTCAAGGGGATGTCTGTTTTACTCCAGATGGACGTTACGTGCTTGGCAGTGCTGGCGACCAACCTGATACTCTTGTCTGGGATACTCAACATCCGCCGGACTCTAGCTTATACCTTAAACCGACCTTCCGGCTGCCATACCGTGCCCGCTCCGTGATTGTACAGGCCAATCCGCGGTATAACATGTTTGCAACAGCAGATAAAGAGATCACGTTCTGGCTCCCAGATGATAACGCTAAACCCGCCGAAAAATGAAAGGTCTTTTTAACAAGTTCGTTTACTAAGGACTATCTGATTCCGCAGGGGCATTTCCAAAGCCTTTTTTTTTGCGGTATATTCGCTGTATGGGCAATACAAGTATCGTCCTGGCCATATCTACCGAAGAAAATGGCATTAATTGTATCGTGAGAGGCATGATTGCTTTGTATTTTTGGGACCAGTTATTCAGGCCTTCCTATTGCTGTCCTTGCCAACCAAACTTCTGGCTGTATCGCATATCCACACCAAGGGCCCTGACAATTCGTCATCCCCGTTTCTGTTTTCTTCGACGAGGACTTCGATCTGTTTAGCTACAGTCCGATTACTGGAAATCGTCATGAGACCAGCTGCCCAGCCATACAAGAACACGCTTGTGTTAATGTCACTTAACTGGCTTGCAACTTTGCGGGCGGCCGGCGGCAGGATACCGTTGGCCCAACCCCGTTCAATCTCTGCTTGCGCATTTACTACTCCAATAGGGATGTTCCAATTTAACGGAACTTTGTGGTCCGATGTATCCTGAAACTGGGATATCAAATCCTCTCTATCAAAGTTTAGGTCGGAGTCGTCGCCCACCATCATTAATTTCGTCCTTCGCTTCTCACTCGCAGTACCAATTGTCTCGACTATTTCGTACATCCTCTTGGCGGCTTCTTCAGTGCATACAAGCTGCCTATCACTCATTGCTGGCCAAAGTTCAGAGGTAACTAATGGCTGTTTCGTTTCGAGTTCAATTTGGCGAATAATTGCCGGATGATGGCCTGATGATGGATCAAGATTACGGAAATGTGATAGATCGGACACTAGAGCCAGGAGTAAGGTGCAATCGACATTTAAGGTAGAGGTCATATGAGGATGAGGATTCGGTAGCAAAGTCGAAAGTAGATTTTCCATTGTCTTGGGTTGATGGTGACCATTGTTATCCTTTCCATTGGGAGCTGCAGGCAGTTTTTCCACATTTTCTATATCCGTACTACACTCTACTTTAACGCCGGTTTTCCGAATATCTTTAATAATAGCATCGACCTCGGGGATATTTCCTTCCACAATGTTTGGCAGCATGAAACGGATCCGAGGATGCTGGTACCTGACTCGGACTAAGGCAGCCGCCCTTTTCATATCCGTAGCAAGCCTTACTAATTCGATGGCATCTTCGTCTTCATCGTTGCTATCATCATCATTGCGAAGCCTGTAGATCTCGGCTTCCTTCTCTCCATTATCGCTTGCCGAGTCACATCCCATTTCCCAGCCCCTTTTTGCCAACTCGAACAGTAGCCGACTGGGTGTGACAGTGGACACTTTGACCCACTCCTCACCATTGTCAGCTACTATATCCACCAGCACACTTCTTTTGTGCAATCCTGCTTTGTTCAAATTTTCCTCAACCGCCTTGTGCGCGTCAGCCGAAACGTGTAATCCCTGTAACGAGCGCTCGAGATTTCTAGTCGAAGTTGGCGGGGCTTGCGCCTCCCTCCTGTCCCATCTAGATCCATGAGCATTGCTCTTAGAGCTATACCAGTAAAAGCGCTTGCTGAAAGCAATTAGACCAGTACAACTGTATTTCGCCACATTCCAGACGGATGAATAGAACGGCAGATTCGACGACCGTAGAGAGTGTAGGACGCGTATCTCTGCTTCATCCTGGCCGGCCTCATCGTCGTCATCATATCCGCCTATCGGTGTATCCGTCTTCGCCGCTAGTTCTGCTAATTTGTTCAAAGATTTCAACTCGGACTGCACGAAGGACTTGAACTGCCGCAACTCGATTGTATTGGGTTTATCGATGGCTACAAGGTGGGATTGAAGGAATGTGATTTCGGATAATAGAGTGTTGCAATCCTCGAGCAAAGATGCAGCGAGAGCTTTGCTAGTTTGTGGCGGGGTAATGACCGACCCCGCGGCCATTGTTGAACGTATTTTTTGTTTCAACGAGAAAATGGAAACTGAGAAAGAAAAATATAGCGAAACGGGAAAGCAAAGAATGGGTGCGGATAAGGGTGGGTAGAAAAAGATAAATGTCCCATGAGTTGGTTGTAAACTGTGAAAACTATACTCTTGGGTAACTAGCGGGGCTCTATAACAACCTGGAACTTGTTCAAACCTCACACCTCCTTGGCTTCTCTTGAAGGATGAATGCCCTATGCTGGGGGGGTAAATGCGGCGTACTGATTCATTCGATTGTGTCGTATATGAAGGGTGGCTACTTCGCTGCATATTTGTAAATACAGAGAGAGAGAGTACACTTTGTTGCCATCAAGTTCCTTCGATCAATAATGCTTTTACTTTCAACCACAACTCTCCATCAACGATGACTCCGATCTCCCTCATTAGCTGATTGGGTCAGGTTGTCGGCCTCATTGATTCTAGAACCCTGTAAACTGATACTTTATTGTTACTCATGAGGCAGTAATCGAGACATGTAAGGATGATTCAAGCAAAAATTAGGCGAAAGAGTCCGCTGTAGAGTTCGAGTAGCCGCTATAACCATAACAAATCCAATTTTAAAAACTGAGAATGACGAGCTTTTAAAATCACACCATATACGCCTCAAGTGAAATGTTAATCTAAACGTATTGAAATCTGCTCAATTTGAAAATTGCTGGAAGATTCAGACTCAGTGCCAATCGAACGGCGAACGATTTTCATAAATCAAATTCATGTATCAGAGGTGGAAATATGTGACGAACACGATTCAACCAAAAGAAAGAAATGCAATGGAAAGGGCATGGTACAAATATGAAAATAAGAAAAACTAAAATAAATGAAAAATAAATAAAATAAATGGAAAACGTATATAGAAAACAAACAAAAAAACCCCTTCTGTAAACCATGTCAATATAATTTGGTGAATACTAGGTAAATTGAACGAAATTATAAAAGGGATCGAGACAGTGCTTCTTTGGTATCAGTCATTGTCCTTTTTCATCAAGCCTTTCCCTTCGGTCGAATTTCGTGGCGATTCGTCATCTGACCACTTATCTCCGTCTTCTCCAACAGCGAAGATTGTTTCACCATCGAGTGAGTGTCTGTTTTGGTTTGACGACGATTCCGCAGGTTTTGGTCGAACAGGAGAATGACCTCTTTCGGTATCATCCGATCCTGTTATACCAACCCTCTCCTCGTCGAGCGAGCTGCCAAATGAGCGAATTTCAAATCCATCATCGTCTTGCGCAATCTACAGAAATGTTAGATATTCGTAACGATATTAACTAGGGGAGAATTCGGGCCTACCTCATCACTCATTGCGAATCGTCTATTATTCACGGTTGGTCTCCAAAGGTACGCAACAAAAGCAATATCGAACAGATAGACAATATTGAGCCAACCATCCAGTACAAACCATCTTGACTTCCAGTGGTCCGGAACAAAGTCTGCGACGTTGCGACTCGCGAAGACAAAGGAGTTGATAAAAAAGAATCCGAAAATAACAACAATGCTGCCAAGGATGCACCACCATAACTTCTTATACATCATAGCTTTCACGTTTTGTTTTCTGTCAATTAAATTTTTCATCGTCGCGCTCAAAGAGTTCAGCGTCCACACGTAGAACGCCGTTAGCGTTCCCGCAAGGGGGAGAATCACAAGAAGAACTAACGGCCCAGCACTATCAGGCGTGATGGACAGACTTGCCACAGCGTATATAACACCGAAGAAAAAGTGTCCAATGGCAAGGAATCGGACATAGACCATGGTGCGGCCAAGTGAAGGTTTCACAACACCATAACCCATGCAAACGATTAGGAGCAAGAAAAATGAGAATGAATTGCGCCCGGCATTAAGTACAGCAACAATGACCATAAGCACTTTGGCTATAGCGTTCGCACCGTGTCGATTTTGATAGTCTGGAAGCTCGTTAGATGTGCGACATGATGCATCTTGATGTGAGCATTGGCAAGCACTAACCATAGAAACCCCAGGTCATAAGTTGTTCCACAATGAGAAACACAATGATGGCTGTGATGTAATTTTGGACGGGCACTTTGGGCGTATTAGTAAGAGAATAGAGGGCATCCATGGGTAGGAATGATGAGTGGAAAAGGGTATACTGACGGATATCATGTCGGTTCTGTACATATAAAAATGCCCAGAAACTGATGTTGGTTAGTTTTTGCCACCAAAATATGTCTTGGAAGTATACTTACATTCCAATGACTGCGTAAACGATCGTTAAAGCTCCATAAAATGGGAGCTTTGGAATTTGGGGAGCTGGGAGCTCTCCGTACGAATTGCTAAAGGTTACGACGCCCTCGTAGTCATCACCAGAGAAAGCGTACGTGCTAACACAATAAAATCCCGTTTTGGCTATGGGATAGTTTATAGGCTTAGGATCTTTTAGGTTGATGGCCGTTGAAACAATCGGAGACTTCGATATTTTCGTAGCGTTCTCAGCCAAGATGAATGAACCTAGCTGTTCCTGCGTACACAGTTTGGCTGCGATGTTTTCCTGGTCACATATGGGCTCCTTTTGCACCTGGGGTAAGTTAATATATGAATGTAATGAATAAAAAACAGACGAGCATTATGGACATGCCTTCTCCTTGTCACCTTCAGGATATCTCCCAATCAAATTTTCGTCTTTCCACTCAAATATGACCACACTAACAAGATGATCAGCCTCCTGGTTCTTTAGCTCGCCCTTTTCAATTACAGCCAGAATAAATGGGTCCCGTTCCCCTCCCCAAGCTTTCCGGCTGTACATTCCAGAACATTGTTGCCGATTCGCTTCATCTTGTTTCTACGAACAATGGAAGTAGTCAGTCAAGTGTACCTTCTTAGGGGATCTCATTTTCTTCCGCTAACTTACCAATCGCATCTCATTCGCAAACGTTCCGGTTGCGAGTAACCCTAATAAGAAGAGGCATGAGAGTAATGCCTTCATCGCTGGTTCGGCACGGAGCTGGAACCTTAAAGAGCTGGTTCGGACCAGCCCTCAGCATCCAGCAAACAGGAACACTGGACGGTCGGATGAAACCCAAAGAATTTGTATTCCTCTCTCATAAGAGTGGCGATATTCTAGGCTGCGTTATTGTCATTTGTTGATAGAGCTCCTTGTTAGGGTAAAGTGGTTGACTGGCTTCTTGTTTGGGGCTGGTTGTCCTTCCAGAGCCGCAGTAGCCGCGATCCCAATTGGCTGGGATCGGAAATATCACGTGACAGGCTCCCGAGGCGGTTAATGACGTCGAGGGGAAAAAAAAGTTGAATGACAACTACGCTCAGGTATTTATATTCATATTTGTTGATATCCGATTCTTATTACATACAAATTTCTTCGTCTAGACAGCCGATATGACGGAGAAGTCTATGGCGGTTTGCCTTGACTGCAAGGTAGCGCCGGCCACCCAGATAGTACGCAAGCGGGACCTCTGTCAGTAAGTTGTATTTCCTATGTCTATCTTCTTGCCGGTAACTGATAAAACATTTTACAGAGAGTGTTTTATTCTGTTTATAGGCTCCAAGGTTGTGAAGCGCATGGAAAAATATCGTCCACAGAACGCTCCCAAGAATAGACAGAGAAAATTACTCTTGCCCCTCTCCTACGGCATTTCGTCCTCGACATTGCTACATATTCTGAATCTTCAACTAGAGCGGCAAATTTCGAGCGGCTTGGGGCGCCGCGCTTATGACATTCATGTTCTCAACGTTGGAACTTGTGAACAATCCGATAGCCACCGACTAGGTTTATTCCGTGAAGCTTATCCTCTCCATACGTACACCCAAGTGCCTTTACATTCGATATTCAAGCATGATACTACCATCAAGGATGTAATATCAGAATATGGAGGGCCGGAGTTTGTAGATGATCCGTCAAAGACGGACCAAGAACGATTGGACATTTTTCGATTGTCTCTGTCTACTGCGACCGCTAGAGCAGACATTGATGGGATATTGCTGACGAGACTAGTTGTTGCCATTGCAAAGGAGCAGGACTGTGACGGCATCTTATGGGGAGACTCTGATACTCGGCTCGCCTCAAAAGCTCTCTCAAATGTAGCCAAGGGACGTGGTTTCTCTGTGCCATGGGATGTTTGTGATGGCATGTCGCCTTGGGGGATCCAGTTCAATTTCCCCATGCGAGACCTCTTCAAATTTGAATTATCTACCTACGCCTCATTGGCGCTCCCAAAATCGCTTAATGTTGTCGACTCAGAACGTCCGTCTGTGGACAATCTGTCTAATAAGAACACGTCGATCGAAGACCTCCTTGCACACTATGTGGAGACGCAGGGGCAAAAGTATCCGGGTGTCATGGCAAATATCGTTCGCACGATTGACAAACTTCAACCCCAGTCCGCCGATACTGGCCATAAGTGCATGTTATGTGGCATGCCGGTCGACTACAGCGGGGAGGACCCCGCAATTATTGGTGGTCAAGGAAGTTCTCAATACACGTTACAGGATTGGCGAGAGCGACCTGCGGCTAGCACCTTGTGCTATGGATGCGCAAGGACGCGTTTGGACCTTGTGCCTCCAAGATCTGTGTCAAGTTAGTTTGAGTGGGATATTGTATTGTTCCATCGATTTTTAAAGCACCTTTCGGATAGCGCACACTGAACGTTTTCCTTTTTGTGTTAGCCAACCTCCTAGTCTCGCCGTTCCAGCTGATACTTTTAGTACAGCTCAGCGGAGCTTGGAACTGAATTCACTGTGTTAATTGCGTGCGCAATTGGTCAACATATATACACATACTTGCCTTTTTTGTTGGAAATGGAGACCTTTTCTCTATGTCTCTCCGAACTTCTGCATCCATAACTCCACAAAGACGATATATACCTATACGAAATCGATACCATTCTGCATCAAACGTGGGGCTAGAATAATATCTGGTTGTGAGACAGGCTGCTGGCCTCGCCACATAGCTATATCCTGGATTGCCGCCATCCCATATTCGGAATTTTGATGATTTGATTCGTCAGGCATACTACTTGGACATGCAGCATCCCAATACCATTCGGGGCGAATGTTACACGAACTCCCGAACTCTGAAATGTTTTGCATTCTTGTTGATAAAGTGTTATTATATCTCTTAGATATTGAAACGAGATATATGAAATAGCTCGCTCCGTTATATATTATGATAATGCCAATACAACTAATGGGTATGTGAAAGCAGACAATACAAGAAAGAAGTAAAAAGGAAATGGGTTACATCCTCCCCATTTCGATATCTGGCTCCCTCTTGCGCTCTGCAGATGGAGCAGGATTTCTCGACGACGGCCCGCCCATGTGAGTTCGTGCTGGTTGTGGTCGAGAAGGTGAGTCGTTTCTTGGTGGAGAAGACTTAAGTCCTGAATTTTTAGTCGTTGGTCGTGTGTCGTGACTGGTATCAATACGCGCAGACTCGTGCAGTGGTAAACCTGTACGCTTAAGGTTTTCCTCCCCGCGCTCTTTCAGCAGATTTTCGAGGAGGACGGCGTTCCGGGTATTGCATTTATAGATAGCATCTGCAAGGTCGCCGATGAAAGGAATCAAGCCGATGAAGAAATCGATAACGATATTGAAGAGCATCCACATTCGAAGGCGCGCAGGAAGACCGCCTTCTATTTTGTTACAGGTGTTTACCACCATCAGGGCCATAAACATATCAAGTGCATCACCGATTCTGATTTTAACAATGGAGCGGAGATCAATTAGATGCTTTTTCGCCTTGACACAGGGTGATATTGTTTGAAGGGGAGCATTTTGTAAAAGCACATACGCCGGAACAAGACCAATGACACTGCTCCATCCGAAGCGAATTCCGCAGAAATTGAAAAGGCAGAGGTCCAATCTATATGCCCGCCGCTTCACCTTGGTAAGTATCTTCGCATCGCGGGCTGATATGCCTTCTGGTGCAGCCTTGCGCTTCTTTTTCGTCGTCGGACGCCCTAAGAGGTTCGTTGCATGTACTGTTTCGAAGTATGGGTCCTGTGCGCCGGAGGTTCAAGGGTCAGCTTGCAACCGCATGTCTTCACAAATATCGGGTATAATTTGAATGAGCGGTTACCTCTTGCCCAAATCGATTCTCGGCTGACTCCTTCAACAGCTTTTTAGAGGCGACGCCAGCGATCTGAGCGGCCATTTCTCTGAAGCCACTGTATATTTGCTTGAATGAACGGGAGTATTGATGTGGGTTAGGATTAAATGGAGTGATATTAAAAAAGATAGGGAAAATGGCGTAGTGAAGAACCAAAGATGCTATGAATCCAAAGGATATAAAATTATAAAAAAAAAAAAAAATAAGAAAAAATAAAAAAAATAAAAGGACGGAGGAGGAATTCAACTGTAAATAAATAAAGAATGACAGAAAAGATCAAAGGAAAGGTACTTGTGAGAACTGGTTGTTGCTTGCGGAAATGAGGCGGCCAGTAGATGGACACTCGCAGCTTCGCATCATCTTTCGTTGAAACAACAAAAGACTCCTTTGACAGATCTCAGGCTATTTGTAGAAACAACAAACCAATCCGAAACGCCACTGTTGGCCAGTCATTGTTACATGGAAGGACGTTTAACCACAGACAAACCTGGAACGTTGCTGTGGTGGGCGCTAAATGCAAGACTTCAGGAGCTCCAAAAGTTCATTTCAAGAGAAGTTGAGCCCCTTGTAAGTACTAGTAATATATCCCATACGACGACGTCACCAACGCCGGTGTATAATACACAGCCGTTACCAAAATTTCAATATTGAAATACACAATGACTCAGCGATCTGATGCCGCATGTGGCGGTGTAGGTCATCACTCGCCACAACGACTATCAGCCAATCAGAAAGGTGCCACCAACCACCTTCGACCAGCCTCAGCCTGGTGATGATTGACTGCATCACCCTGTGAGTCCGCAATTCACTCCAACTGCCGTACTGCGCATATTTGCTTCCTATTACAATATAAAATGTCCTGCTCCTTTTCTGGATGTTAACATCATTTCCAACAAATCGAGACTAACTAGATTCCGCAGCAAGACCCGGTGGTGAACAAAGACTTTGACAGCTTCGTTCGTTTTGTATTGCCATGCTACAGTGTGGCAGAGATCATGTCAGAAACGAAAATGCGTTTGGAGGACTGTAAATAGATCCCTTACACCTTACGTTTGCCTCCGTCTTTTCCCCTCTCTCTAACTAACGGCGTGATTTATCAGGGTTGGATGACTTATGTGTCCGTTTCATTATAAACCTTCCACGAGAAGAGTTGGAGTCTGTTGAGCGTATTTGTTTTCAAGTCGAGGAGGCGCAATGGTTCTACGAAGATTTCATTCGTCCTCTTGACCCGAATCTCCCGTCCCTCAGTTTGCGCGCCTTCGCCTTACGTATCTTCCAACATTGCCCTCTGATGTCGCAATGGTCTCATTATCATCACTCAACTGCGTTTTCTGAATTTTTAGCATATAAGACTCGTGTTCCTGTGCGCGGTGCCATTTTGCTCAATCAGGACATGGACGAAGTGGTTCTGGTGAAGGGCTGGAAGAAGAATGCGAATTGGAGCTTTCCCCGTGGCAAGATCAATAAGGACGAGAAGGACTTGGATTGTGCAATTCGAGAAGTCTACGAAGAGACTGGTTTTGATATCAAAGCTGCGGGTCTTGTGAAGGATGAAAA